GGAATATTACTGAGTACCTTTCGAGACTAGCTCAATCACCCACAGTTCAAGCTTTGTCTCTTGTTGCTGAATCTGGCTATGTCAAGCTTACTGTTAACATGATTCGAGCCTTCAACAAATCCTCATTTCCTTCTGTAACAGCTTCTATGACTGCTCTCAGCAGCATCCGAGATAGGAGCATCGCTCCGGTGGCATATATCCCTCTGCAGCTGAGAGGTAAAGAGAATGAATCTGTACAAGCAATGCTGGATACAGATGCCGAAATGAGCTTGATAGCTCTCTCTCTGTATTCGAGCATGCGCTTATCTTATATGCCAACATCGAATATTATCTTATACACATATAATAGATCAGATATAGCGCTTGTTAGAGTTCTTGAAACCGATGTTTTCTGTAGCAGCTTCTCTGAACAGGTAATATTCTATATCGTCGACAACAGATTGATATCGCCAAATCATCCTATGCTGTTAGGAATGCCGTTTGTAATGCAAACCAAGCTTTCCTTTGATCACTCCATCCCCGGATTTCTCCATGCAAGCTTCGCCTTTGAAGGAGTACAACTGGTTATTACAATCAGCAGTCAGAAACTCCTTAAAGGGGAGGGTTTACACAGAACTATACCAAAAAACTGAGTGCTAGCAGCCACCCTGAGGGATGCAGGGCTGTCAGCGGAGAAGTTGTCCCAGAGTGGGTGTTGTTGGAGGAGGGAGATACAGCTGTGATGTCCATACCTGAACGAGACATTGCGGCTGTTGTGAACAAGTTAATGGTGGAACTGATGGGGAGGAAGTTGAAGGAGGGTTGCTCCATGGTGAATGAGGAAGGAGCGACCCAAGGGTCTTGCCTGTGTGAAATGCACAGCAGCCAGTGCCATTCACGCCAGCCACGTTGTGTGGGGAAGGAAAGAAAAGATGTCTTAAGCCTGGTCAACACTCTTTACAAGCCCAAAGACAAGAAGGTCAAGCCAATTAATGATTCCCAGCCTGATGGTTCAGTACCAGAAGGAACGATCAGGTGGAAGCTTGCCAAGGTTGAGGAGATGAGACGAGCTCAGCAATCCACAAAGCCTACCAAGTATGATGAGTGGATTGAACCCAAGTTCAGCGATCTGGATCCTGATCAGCGCCTGAGACCTGACCAGTAGGCTGCCATGCAAGAGAAAAACTGTAAAGGGTTTTCTGAAGCTGAGAAGGAAATGTTCAAACACATATTGAGAAACAGGATCAAAGCTTTTGCATGGAACTTTACTGAGATTGGAAAGATCATTGAGGAAGTAGCTCCCTTGCAAGAAATCAGAACTGTACCCCACAAGGTCTTTCAAGCGAAGTATATTCCAATCCTCAATGCTCTCAGGCCAAAGCTGATGGAGCTCCTGAAATAATGTATTAAGCAGGAGATCATTAAGGAAAGCTATGCATTATATAGAAACAACTGGTTTCTTGTTATCAAAAAGAATGGTGGCTTACGCCTGATCAATGACGCTCAAAAGTACAACAAGCACAGCCTTAAGGATGCCTTCATGCTGCCTGCCTCAGATGAATTCTCGAAGGAGTTCGCCATATACAAGATTCTTTCACTGCTCAACTTCTTTTCCGAGTATGACTAAGTGCAACTGCATCCTAACAGCAGGAATATGACAACCTTCTCAACGCCCTTAGGCCTGTTCAGGATGTGTACTCTATCCCAGGGTGCTATCAACTCTGTTGCTCAGTTTATGAGAATAATGATTAGACTTCTATATGATCTTATTCCTCATATATGCCAGCCTTTCCTCAACAACATTCCTGTTCGTGGTTCTACAACAACCTATGGGAATGAAGAGGTTCCGAGCTTTTCCGAAGTGCATAGGTATATTGCTGAGCACATCGGAAACCTCAATAAGGTTCTTGTAAATGCAGAGCTGGCTGGAGCTACGATCTCAGCATTCAAGTTAGAATGGTGCTGAGTGAAAGTCGATATGGTTGGTTATATCGTTAGTTCCAGCGGATAACAACCTCAGAACAGAAAGATGGAAAAGCTTCTGGCCTGAACAGAATGCAAGGATATCAAAGACGTCCGCTCTTTCATTGGACTGGTTGTCTATTATGCAGCTTGGATTTGGAACTTCGCAATCATTGCCCGATTACTCTACGATCTTCTCAAGAAAGGTGCTGCGTGAAGGTGGGAGAAGGAACAGAAAGAAGCTGTTGCCATACTTGTCCGAATACTCACATCTCGTTCAGTTATCATTTCAATTGATTACAGCACTGATACTGAGGAGATCATTCTTATGATGGATGCAAGCCTGTTGGGCTGGGGCGCTGCACTGATGCAGGTAGTAGAGGATAAACGAAAGCTAGCACGTTTCGTTAGCGGAACCTGGATAATTGCAGCACAGAAGTACGATGCTACCAAGAGGGAGTATTGCGCTATCCTCTGTGCTCTACAGTCTCTTCAGCAGCATCTCTATGGTTGCTATTTCATTCTGGAAACCGATGCTTGCGTTCTGGTAAACCAACTCAATGGAGGAATGAACGATATACCCGGTGCTCTTCTGAACAGATGGATAGCAGTAATCAAGATGTTTGACTTCACTATCAAACACATTTCCGAGTCAAAGAATCCTGTGGCTAATGCCCTTTCTTGATCTCCATACTCAACGCTACCTAAGAAAGACGAAGATAGCAATGTTGAGGACTGGTATAATGCTCAGCTTAACAGCATGAATTCAGATGGAGCTGATCTAGTATTACTGCTAAATCCAACTCTTCAGTAAACGGAACAGTCGAAACGGTATGCAGAGTTCTTATGCCACGAGATCATTCCACCAAAACTCTCCAAGAGGGATCGCAAGAACTTCATGATAGAGGCATTAAAGTATCAAATACTTAACCAGGCTCTGTAGCGCCGCGCTAGTGCGAAACTCCCACGCTAACGAGTAGTAGATAATTCTGATCTTCGTTGCTGAATTATCAGAGAATGTTATGCCAAGTTTAAACATCGAGATCAAGACTCTACAGTAGCTCGTATTAAGCAACTCTACTACTGAAGAGATCTCTGAACAGATATGGCTAATACTGTCTCGGGTTGCAAGAAGTATGCAAAGTTCGATCCAAAGATGTGGAAGAAAGAAGTGATCCCAACCCTTCCAAGTCAACTCTTCACGAGGATCAGCATCAACATTCAACATATGGCTGAGAATGGCGATTACAGATACCTTGCAGAGGCTCGCTGTGACCTGACCAGCTATATGCTTGCAAGACCCCTCAAGAAAGCTACAGCTGCGGAAATGAGGAAGTTCATTTTGAAAGAGATCATTCTTGTATTCGGGTGCTCTCTCAAAATTACTGTTGATGGAGAATCAGAAAACAAGGCTGAGATAGCCAAGACTATTAGAGCTCTTGGGATCCTGCTTATCCAGATCTTCAGTTACAATCCTCATGCCCAAGGACAAGTAGAAGCTGATCATCTTTCCTTAGCAAGTGCTCTTGCTAAGCTAGCTAATGCTCAATTCTGAAGATGGAGGCAGTACTTGAGACTCGCACTCTTCGCTGAAAGGACTATGATCCGCTAGTTGCATGGATACAGCCCCTTCTATTTGATTTTCAGTTGGGAGCTGCTTATCCCAATTGAAACTGAAATCCCGACGTGAAGAGTTCTTACATGAACCGAAAACCAATCCCCTCAGGAAGCATTTGAAATGCAGTTAAGGATGATTGCAGCTAAGGAAGATGATGTGCAGAAGGCAATTGAAGCTATCCAGGCATACTATCAAAAGATCGCAGCCAAAAATCAAACGCAGGGTTTAGTATGAAAATCTCGACTGAATGTTGAAGATCTCGTGCTTGTCTATAACCACATCCGGAAAATGAGCTACTCGCGCAATACCAAGATCTCTTATAAGTAGAAGGATCCATACCTGATTGCTCAGATCCTAGACAAACATGCTTATGAGCTCAAGACTACAGACGGAGTTCTGCTAAAAGGCACATATTCAGCTACTAATCTCAAAAAGTTCGTGCGGAATATGAATGGCATTTGGGAACCCGAGATGCCCATGCCCTGGGAAGAAGATATCGAGCTTCAACCTGGCCAACTATTAGCAGAAAAGCTGGATTCGATAAGAGCTCCCTAGCGAGAGGAACCAGACAACAATATCCTCGAAGTTCAGAAAGCAGATTCAAGCAACAACGCCACATTCTGGGTTCCAGACATCATTAAGCACAACCCCACACCTAGCCAGACTAGTCCTGATCCAAAGATTGTCAATCTAGCAACTGAAGCGGATAATGATGCTAAGAATGGAAATAGAGTTAGTAACAGTGAACATTTCATACAGGCAGCAGAGAAGGAGAGGCGAGAACAGAAGAAAGCAGATAGAAGTAGGATGTTTATACCAATCCTAACTAAATCAGCATTCCTAGCTCATAGAGGAGATTAATTTCTTTCTGTTCATATTTCCTTTTTGTTTGCAAAATACATTTTCTTTTCATCTTTCCTATTCCATCTCATATGTTTTGCTGGAGGAGGAGGGACGAAGTATCGTCTGCTATCACTTGCTACAGAACACCATAAACCCACCTAAAAATTTCAAAGCATCCAGCACAAAGCATGTTAACCAGCTCTGAAGCTATTTTCATTATTCAAAAATTGCAGTATATTGGAATACAATGCATGAAAAATGCAGAGCGCCGAAGAAACACTGCAATCTATGAAGACCCCTTACTTTTATATATCATCCTCATCACCAGAATATCCATAAATATCATTCGATAGCTCTCTCCTTATTCTGTCCAGATTCATGTCATCCGTATCATCCGCCGAAGAATCGTTATCAAAAACAGAGGAAGAATCTTGAGATTGAACGAACTTAGCTTATTTCTCAACACAAGATCCTACTACAGCCTTGCCCTTGCCTTTATCCTTGCTGCGAAATACAGATCGTGGAGCTGCTTGCCCAAACCCAGATACTCCCTTCTTGAGAGCAGAAGGAGCAGTACTCTTCTTGCCGATCTATGCAGATGAAGTTAGCAGTAATCTTCTTGAGCATCGCAACCATAGTCAGTTATAAGACTTACAGTATCCTGTGGGTACCATTTCCTTAGCACAAGAGGAATCCATTTGATCTGATTATACGCAATACCTTTATCCCGCATAAGCTTGTATTGAGCTTTGATAATACGCTCAACATCAGCATTGGAGTTGACTTGAGAATCTACCTCGATTACACATCGAGGGCTGAGTTGGTAAAACGAGTGCTAACGCTGCAAGAAGAACAATAATTAGTATATACTCAAACCTGGTTAAGGATATCAGAATGGGAATCTTACTTGTATACTGCGCTTTTTAACACAAGGGAAGTCTTTGGTATAATTATATTCAGACTCTGCATAATAAATGCAGTTGCTGCACTTCCCATTGAAGAAGCTCTTCATTGAGATGCATTCTAGGAAAGGCCAGTTAACATTAACCTGCTGCCCCTGAACAGGCATGCAAGCAGTGGCATACTAACGAGAGCAGCAATTGCAAGGAACTAGGTTACGCCGACCATAGAACTGAACGAGAAGGGAATTTACTCGCTCAGGTTGGGAGAAGATGCGGGTAAGGTACTCGCCGAAGGGCTTCCAACTGGCTTTACACACCACAATAGGATTTAGTTTGATAGAATCCTTATTATCCAGCCTTGCGAAATGAGCAGCAAAGCTAGGGCTTGGCAGTGAGTTGTTTCAAAACATGATATCGCCTTGGATATCCCAAGAAGCGTATATCAAGCCAAGATCTCCCTTGATGGTATTGAAGTCTGTAACATCAAGAAAGTCGATATGGATATCCTTGAGCTAGTGGTAGTTGCTGCCCTGAGGAGGAGGAACCGAAGAAGAAAACCAGATCCAGACCTTGTCAACCTCTTGAGGAGCGGTGTTTATCCGCGAAGAGAAAACAGCGTTAGTGACGATTCGAGATATCTTGAGTGTGTTGCAGAGCTGAGCAAGGGAAGGTTGACAGAAGGAGAAGTTGTTGTGCGAAGAATGAATTGAAAGGCAAGGTGAACTGAGGGAGAGGTTGTTGAACAGTTTGCTGAAGGTTGATGAGATGGCAATGAGTGATAAACACACCCAACTGAGTTACCACGCCTTCTATCCAGTCTGTTGCTGAACAGCTCCTATCTGGCCAAGGGTGAAGCTATTTGCCTTGTAACAAACAGAAAGCAGTGAATTACTTGGGTAGTTGCTAGACAAGATAAATTGGCCATTCCATCCACACTCGCAGCCAGCTATTCTTCTTCCTCCTTCAACCTCTTCACAACCACCTTTCTCAAGCATATACACACCCTTTTTCTTCCTCATCAACGCTGCCCCAGACCTGTACACCAACATCAGAGCAAATTGTTAACTGCTCTGCTTACATAATATCATCTTCCTCAACAGATCCTCAGGCTGAAGCTGCATTCTTCTCTATCTTTCTTCCTCAGTCAACACCCTCTCAGTCCCTTAACTTTACACCTTTGCAAACCCCTCTCGCAATTGCTCACCTTCCGACAAAGCTGTTCTTCCCTTTTCACTTTCCTTTCAACTCAGCAGCAATGGCCGAATTCAAGTACTCTCTGTTCCCACCTGTCCAGCATAGCTGAGGGGACTGGATGACCAAGGCCTACTGCTTTCGGACTGTCTTTCCCAGAGCGCCGTACCCAACTGAAGTAATCAAGAGTCGTCCGCCCTACTTCAGTCTAAGGGACGAAGAAAATCATCTGGCAGCAGGACTCGTCGAGAAGTACTTCCCAGGGTTACCCCCTCGCAAGTCGTACTTGCCCACGATCTTCAGCGCCAATCCTTCCAGATACCTTCTCGATATCTATGATCTGGTCGGATTCTTAGATGCAGGAATCCCTCAAGATATTGGTCCGCAGCATGCTGTGGCTGCTTTTCGTCATTACGCTCAGTACAATCAACAAGACGTATTCTTGATAGGATGCCTTCGTATTCCATCGATAGCCCATCCATCTGGCTCTCCTGATATTCTCAATAAACAGAATCTGCCCAAACATGAGGCTAGATAGAAGCGCCTATGGGTTCTCCTCTCAGTCAATACAGCGACTTCAGCTTGTGCTCTGTCTTAGCTCAATATGAAGACTGAAAAAGGATTTTACATCGCTGTGCACAAATCCGACAATATCCTACTGGCTCATGCAAGCAAGCACTATCTGAACAGTCAGCTCAGAAGTGCTGGAGCCAATCGGGATTGGGATTTCGAGAATGTTCCAACTACGCCGCTGGATAACGATTCGAATGCAGCTCTGCTCTATGCAATCGAACTGTTTCGCCTTCGAATCCTGAAATCTACTGATTTCTACCAATCACCTAGTGGCTGTCCAGACTGGAGGCAAGCTCTCTATCTTAACCATAGAGAAACTGCACAAAATGTGAAAGAATGGGGTGCGGAGATGGCTATAACAAGCCTGCACTGCCAGGCCTTCTCCTATGAGCTGGGACACAGCAACTATACGCGATATCCTGATCAGCCATTAAGAAGGAGTGCCTCACTTCAAGAATACAAGGCTGTACAAGTGGAAGCCGGTAGGGTACTGAATATAACCTACAAGCCGAATGTTACCTTCTTCGTGGGAGGAGTTGCAGACTTGCCTGAACTGTCTATTGAAGGCGATCTCAACAGGATGAGGAGGGACATATCAGCCTTTGCCCTGGAGGATTTCAGAGCGAGTAGGGCACCCAGCCTAGTTCCGTCAAGACAACAGTCCCGAGAGAGCACAGCTCCAGCTGGCCCGATCTTGTGTTCATCAAGAGGATGTAGTATCAGCTCAGAGTTAAGTCGACTCCCATCCGGAACTCCTACCGATCCTTACTCCTCTTCACCTCGAGAAACGCCTGTCGGTCCAGGACCAACAATCAACCTGTCAATGCAGCAAACAGCTAGGCCTGGACGTGCTACTGAAGCCCCATTGCATCAGAGACTGAGAAGCAGCAACATCATGCCTCCCAGTTTTCCTGATAGACCTCAGAAGCCTCGTATGCCTCTATGGAATGAGCTTCATAGCCTTAACCCTATCAGGCCCTCAGTGGGTTCTCCGAACTGGACAGGGTTCGATCATGCTATCAAGATGGATATGTATAAAGCGAACTGCGAAAGGATCCGTTGAGTGAGGATGCAGAATCAGGAGAGAACTGCTGCTGCTGCTGCTGCTCGAGCAGAGTTTGAGAGCAGACGGGGACAGAGAAGAGGTCAGCGTTAGGATCTGTCCAGGTTGTGCCCGTGTTACGAATGGACTGAAGATGGATACTGATACTTCTGCATTGATTTGAATGATGGCTCAAGCGATAGGGAGAGGCATGAGGGTTGAATTGGGGGGATGGTTTGGTTTGCAGTGTTTCCTTTGGCAGTTTGCGATGAATTCTTTATTTCTTTACTTCATCTCCCTCTGATCAGACCTGGCACACCATTGGACTTGTCGCAACTTTGGAAGAAAGTTGCTGGGGGAGGACTGTTGTGGTGGCCAGGGTGGTAGTCCGTGGGACGTGGAGTACAGTGGGTCAAGGGTCCTCATACATATAAAGGATACCACCCACTTTTCAAATTCTTTAGCTATAAGCAACAAAAAATAAAGCATCCTTTCTCTTCTTTTCAATTTTAAACCCTTTGGACAGGTCTAAGACAGGTTTTTCACCCTGTTCTTGTGCCCGTGTGGCCTTAGTTTGCTGTCCTCATCTGCACAGGCACGCTTGGGTTGCACGAGCCCTTGCCCATTGCTTCGGCAGCTGTTTGTCCCTTTTTCTTTCGAGGGCGACGGCGCCCTAGTTCTGGTTCAGCAAGAGTTGCAACTATATACAATATTCTATTCAATGAGAGCCAATTCTACAATCCAAATAGCAGTAAGGCATTAGAAGCACTATCTCGTGCTCAGCTAGCATTAATCATTCCAGAGGTTGGAAACGATGAGGAAATCATGGATACAATTGTTGTTGGAGGTATATGGGATTCAGTTCCCTAGCCTAATACTATAAATCGAAACCAAGAATCTTATTCGCTGTTCAACGAGAATAATAGCTTATTCTCAGAGTTTCTCTCGAAAGGTATTCCGAGTTGAAACTCAGGAGTAAGAGCACCTGAAACTAGCAATGGAGCGCTCTTGCAAAGCAATCCATCCCAGGGAAGAAGCTTAGAGGATAAGATGCAAGGACTTCCAACTTCTGAAAAATCTCCCAAGATACCAGAACGAACGGATTAGCCAGAAAGAAGCGCTGCTGCAAGCAGCAAGGATATTTCAGCAACTGAATAAGCATCTTCAAGTACTGAATAACAAGCTACTAGCGCATCTACTGCTCAGAATACGAGCTAGCCTGCAGTGCAAGGGTATAAGCTTAGTTAGGCTTCAACTAGATGTTGTTAAACAAGGAACGAGATCTATGAATCTCAATCCATATAGCATTCAAATAGAGCACAGAAACCAATCGATAAAGCTTGCTAATACCAAGGATTATTCGCCACAGCCTTTATAACAAGCCAAACAGCTCTGATAAACCTCATAGCTACCTTTTTGCCTAATTAGCTAAAGGAAGCAATCAGAATATGAGATAAGCATTTTCAGACTATATACAGTATGGTTGCAGCTGCTGTACTTGAAGCAAACTCTATATGCAGAGGAGCCTCGCACTTGCAGCAAAAGCACTTTAATGCTTCTCAGCAAGTCATAGAGCTGGCGATAGCTGAAAAGAAGCATTATAAATAACTATCACCCGAACCTGAAACCTGGAAAGAAGTACGAAACAGTTCTTTCCACACCGAGTGGTAGAAAGCAATACAATCAGAAATCCAGGGATTAGTTAATAAAAGGGTATAGCAAACTCTCAAGCATGAAAAAGCTAAAGAGAAGCTACTGCTACTCAAATGAGTATACAGATATAAACTTGATGAGAATAGTTACTTAATCTCATTCAAAGCCCGAATCTGTATACAAGGAAACCTGCAAAAAGCAAGCAATCTTCAAGATACGTATGCAGCAATGCTAGCTGCACGCTTCTTTCGCATACTTATAGCTGTGGCAGCATATTTCAATCTAGAGATCAACCAGATGAATGTTATCAGAGCATTCCTGAATGCTAGCAGGAAAAGCCAGGAAAGCATTTTCTGTAAGCTGCCTGATGGATTCAAGAAGGAAGGGAAAATTATGCTTCTGAAAAAGGCACTATACAGCCTGAGAGACTCGCTAGCACTCTGGTACAAGCACTTCTGCTCAACTCTGCGAAATCTCAGCTTTACGCCCTCAACTGAAGAGCTCTGCATGTTTACTAACAAAGCAAACAAGCTAATTATCCTGTTCTATATGAATGATATCCTACTGTTCTATCTGCAGAACCAGGCATCAAAGATATGCAGAATGAAGAAAGAGATCTTCGAGGCATATGAGGTAAAGAATCAGAGAGCAGCAGAATGATTCTTAGGAGTTCGAATCATCAGAAACAGAGCTAACTACACGATCAGCCTAGTTCACAATGCATACATCGAGAAAATAGCCAACAAGTTTAGCCTTGCAGCTAATACAGCTTTAATACCTTCAATGCCTCTGAACCTTGGGAAGCTTATCAAATGGAAAGAGGAAGCATTAAAAAACCAAATCAAGAAGTATCAGGAGAAGATTGGATCAATCCTGTATACTGCTATCATGATAAGACTAGATATAGCTTTTGCATATACTCTTCTCTCCAGATTTTTAACAAATCTAGAGCCAAAGTACCTGGAATAAGCAGACAGAGTAATCTATTACTTGTACGGAATGAGATTTCTAGCAATTCAGTACGGAGGAAGCCACTTTGAGGCTCAAGCCCTGCTAATCGCCAGAGATGCTTCCTTTGCCGACGATGCAGAGAATCGAAAATCCTCACAAGGATATATCTTCAGCCTATTCGGAGATCCTATACAATGGAAAGCAACAAAGCAAAGCCTGGTAATCATCTCAATCACAGAGGCTGAACTGTATGCCCTCTCAGCCACAGCTAAGGAAATGATTGCCTTACAACGCTTCTTTTGAAACTTCACTTTGAACCTCAGCAAGCTCTGAAATATCTTCTGTAATAATCAACAAGCTATACAGCTGATAATTACAGAGCATAAAAGGATAAATATAAAGCTTCACTATATGAATATACACCAAATGTAGCTCAAGCAGGAGTTCCAAAAGAGCAAATTCCAGATCTCATATATGCCAACACAGAGTATGCCAGCTGATGGACTAACCAAGAACCTCAATTGAGCGCAGTTCGAATACTTCAGAGCGCTCCTCAATCTTCAGGATATCAGCTATGCCTTGAATCAGAGAACCAAGAAGGAATCTAAAGGGATATAGATGGGCAACTCGATCTCACATTGGCTTTTTTTGGATGCTTTCAATTACTGAATTTCATTTGTCAAAATCAAAAACGAGAGCCTATAGCTCAGAGATATCATCCAGAAACACGCAAACCAAGCGCGCAGCCTTCATCAAACAACGAACCAAAGGACTTAACTACAAAAAAAAACCCAATCATCCACTAAAGCCTAGAGTATACCTAAGCCTGAACAGGGCTCACTCCTTAGATGGGAGATGAAGGGTAGCCAGCACTGCCTCGATATCAGCTTTAGCTTTCTTGTGCTTCAGATATCATTCACGGTAAGACTCAACAGGATGATCATCGACAGAGCGCGAGACAGACTGAACAGCAGCTTGAGGACTTGAAGCAGGCAGGCCAGACCGCTGTTCCTGGAAACAAGAACAATCAGTTCAGCTCATACTAATCCCCAGGCAGCTCTTTCTATACTCACATCAGGAAGAGGATGCCAACCAGCAGTTGGAATCAAGATAGGCTGAACAGGGCTTGCGCTCTTCTCTATAGCTATCGAGAAACTACCATGCAACTCAGATACGCTAGCAGAGAAGCTGGGGTTTGTACCCAAGGGATCCTCATCAGTCTTCACATCGGGAGAAGAACCAGAAGAGGCCACATGGATCTCGCCCTCAGCAGAATCGCTGTCATCGGAAACAGCTATACTAAGCTCGCTGAGAGGGATAGAAACGTTAGACTCGCCTAACGAGAAATCTGGAGTAATTAGAAGAGGCATATTGACGCGCAGAGGCTTTCAAAAATCTTGAAAACAGATGGAAAAAGAGCTAGTTGAAAAAGAAAGAGGACTGGAAGAAGGCAAGGCGATTGTAAAACGCGCTCACATAAGCTTAAACGCATCTGCGGAGACCCCACAAAAGACCCACTTTTCTGGCACATCTGACCAGTCAGATGGGGGGTGTGTGAAAAATGGGGCATATTTAACCCTAACCCTCTGTTTTGGTCTCCTTATAAACCATCTCAGAGCCTGGTTTAGTTACTTAGAAGATCTTCCTTTTGTATTAGATAGATTCAATCTCAACACTCATTCAGCCACTTCCACGTGCTCAGCTCATACGTTTCTCCTTATCTTTATACCCCTGGAATGCTGTCTTGCTGTGCGATTTACGTCAGCAAATGATTCTTCTCACACGAGGGCGTTCTATGTAGAATTTAATGTAGAAATGCATAATATTCATCTGGAACTTACGTGCAGGTCTCTGGATTGCGTATGTTAAGATGCGCTCGTGTTTTCGGCACGCCGCTGCAATGATCTGAATCGTGTGATTACATAGTATTGACCATGTTCCGCTTTTCTGGACATTGGTGTCACTCAGCGCCAGAAGTGCGCCATTGTTCTCTTTGGCAATAATGACTCATGGTCAACTGGGAATACATTGTGTCTGGCACAAGGAGAACGAAGTGGCGAGCAGACGTCTCGCCTCGTCTTTCTCCACCAAGCGGTCCACGAACAACTCAAGGCTGGCCCACAGGGTCACTGCCAACCGAGCTATATTTACAGTAGCGGTCACGCCGTGTGCTGTCGCTAGTTGGGAAAAGTGGACTGGAAACGAGAACTTGCATGCTTTATCGCACCCACTATGCCTTCCGACTTTCTGCAGCTCGCATATATGACCGCAGTTTCATTCACCGACTAGACTTTACCTAGAACAGAGGCTCCAGTAGAGATAGAGGGCTTGGCCAACCATATGCACTGAAAACTCTTACATGTGCCCGGAGTTGCCAAATCTGAACATTCCTACAGAGACACGTGGGAATATTCCGCAAAAACTGCACACCACGGCCGATAGCGAGCCGCTGCGGTCCACCCGTGTCTGCGGCATTCGTACCCAACCATGGAGGCCATAAATACATTATGGTCTTCGCCAGCTTGGAGCTGCGTACAACTTTCAAGCGATACTATGCCCCTCGAGAGCAAACATCCGGGTCAAGTGTCATAGTTTCCGACTCGGTGCGCTCTTGAAATTTCGTCAAGATAAGCCCTGTCCAGCACGATGCTCAGCCTCCAGGAAAAAATTACGGGCTCATGGCTTATAGCCCTCATCACTATTCTCGACGCGGGTGAGTTTCCACCAGTTTATGTGAACGATAACAAAGGCTGAGCAACTAACATCGATCGCTGTAGGAAACTCTTGCTGGTTCGGTTATGATCAGGTGAGGCTCTGAAGTTTTTTGCTTCCCCCAACATGTTGTGTCTGGTATGTCCGCTCATGTATTTGTTGTTAGGGAGTGTTCGCCGGAGTGCTTGTCTCGCCGGATTTCCTCGCCCGGTTTCCAACGACTGAAGATGCCAATGTTTCCGGCATTACTTCTAGCTGCTTCTTCCTCGGTACGTAATCCTATCTCTTCAATGCGATGCCCTGCCCTCGCCCGTTTAAAACAATGAATACACCACAATATCGTTCTAACACCAAACAGGAGCGGGCGCGGGCGCATTGGCCGCCTTTTTATTGGGCGACAAGCTCGGCAGACGACGGACAATTGCTCTTGGCTTGTTGTGCAATACCGTCGGCGCCCTGCTGCAGACCCTCTCATGGCATCTTGCGCAGATGATCATTGGACGCCTTATTAACGGCTTCGGCATCGGCCTCGTCTCCTCGATGTCTCCTGTCTACCTCTCAGAGTGTTGCAAGTCCAATGTCCGAGGGATGCTGATGGGGGTTGCCACGTGTTGTAACGTGGGCTGCTTCTGCATTGCAAACTGGATAGCATACGGCCTCTATTACAGGGGAGACGCCTTCCAATGGCGGTTCCCGCTGGGCTTCCAGCTTGTTTTTCTTTTCGTGGTGGCGCCGATCTTGACCATCCTGCCAGACTCGCCTCGATGGCTGCTACTCAAGGACCGTGACGAGGAAGCTCTCCTTACTCTGTCAAGACTGATGGGGCATAACAGAAGCGTTGAAGATGCAGCCGTCTTGGCGGAGTTTGCTTCCATCAAATCCGCAATTCGGATGGAGCGAGAAGATCGGGTCCCAATCATGGACGTACTCTGTCATCGGGACAAGACTCAGAATTTCAGGCGACTCATCCTGAGTTGTGGGACACAATTTTTTCAGCAGTTCACGTAAGATGCCCCTTCATTTGATTTAAATACATGTTATCAGCATTGCTAACAAGAGTTTGCAGTGGCGTGAACGCCTGGGGTTGGTCGCTTAGAAAGTCTTTTGCCCGCCGACTGCAGACTAACTCATATATGTCTAGGATTCTATCTTCCAACATTGTTGCAAGAATTTGTTGGCTACGATCAACAAATGAGCCGCTTGATTTCAGCAGCGAGTAGTACCATCTACGTTGCCTGTAGTTTCGCATGCTTGATGCTCATTGACCGGGTCGGACGTCGCAAGTGAGTCGATGGCACCATTGCCCCTCCCAATCGTCTCTTTGGCTGACATGTTTCAGGATGATGATGTACTCCCCAATTTTCATTGGAATTTGTCTCCTTATTGCGGCTATTGGTCTGGAAGTTGGAGAGAGTGACCCGTCGAAGAAGCAAGTGGTAAGATCAACCTGCACATTGCCATTTTGTATAGACCCACAAAATAAGACGACTAACTTAAACTTGCAAAATGAAGATGGGCCGGCTCGCGACATCCATGATTCTTCTGTATCACGTCTTCTTTGGGCTGGGATTCTCGACCGTCCCCTGGGTTTATAGCGCCGAGGTCAACAGTCTCGGGTGGCGTACCCGCGGCGCAGCCGCAGCAACTTCTGTCAACTGGATATTTGGTTTCGTGGTTGTACAGATCACGAAGGTCGGCCTTGATCATCTGGGATGGCGTTTCTTTTTAAGTAAGTGTGCTTCACACAGCGCCTTTCCGACCCTTTCCGGGCCGTCTTTTTGACTCACGGATGAACCCTCAAACCAATGCTCCTTTTCTAATGGTTTTCAGTGTTCGCCGTCTTTTCGTTCGCAATCTCGCCCATGATTTATATGTTCTATCCAGAAACCGCAAACAGAACGCTCGAAGATATGGATCAAATTTTCATACACAACCCCTCGGCCTTCGTCTTCGCAAATAGAGTTGCGATACAGTCTGGGCGACCGCAGCTTTTTGTTGACGCTGAGGCACTACGAATAGCTCGCGCAGAAAATGATTCTAGAGACGCTGTTCTAGCTGGGGACGAGAAAATCCGTTCTCCCCAGGAGAGTATCATGGAGGTGTAGATAGTTTAGCGCATAGCAAATTTTGAAGACAGTATTGCTATCCATGCATTCTATCCATGCATGACACACCGGTGTCGCAGCTGGTCCATATACAGGCTTAGGAGCGACGGCGAAAAAGGCTCTTTCTGACTACCGGCTTGACTACGAAGTTTCAAATAGGCGACAATGATTCAATGTTGCACAACTCCATCACTATGAACACAAGTGAACGACATGTTACTGATTTTCAAGCGCTGTGCTATGGATATTGTCCACAGAACCACACTGGCATGGGCTCTCGGAGTAAGCATTTACTGACTTCAGGAAGCCCAGTCAGTTGGTTGTGGGCAGGCCAGAAAATCATCAGACGGGCAACAATTCAACCGGCTCGCCTTACGGAATGCACCAATCAATGCAGTCAAGCTCCACACTAGGCAATCCCCTTACCCCCCCTCTCCCTCTGATCCCTCTGGCAAAGCGACTTCTTCATAACTTACTATTACTTTCAAGTGCTGTGGAATAAGCATGCGCGTGAAGGCGCAGTAGGGTATTCAATGCTTACAGTAATATACGCTACCGGACGCGCAAGATGTTTGTGGCAACCGAGCGAATCACTATCCGAAGTTGCACCCAAGGAGCCTGATTATGGCTTTGATGTGGCACCATGACCATGGCAGTAGTTGCGGCACAGCCGCAGTAAGCAGGCATAGCGCAGGAGCCGGAGTTCGGAATACAAAGTCTCGATAACGACCCAGGGCCAGCATCCCGAGATAGCGTACCAACTTTTGATTTTATATAAAACTTGCGCATCAGCTGTCACGTCGCGATTGATAAGTGGCACGATTATTATTATGTGGTGCTTGTCTTCGAGGAAAGAGTATCTGGATATCTGAAGCGAGTCGAACCGTCGTCGAATACAAGGCACCGAAAATGAGTTTCTCCAGTTGTCCGAGCGACAGTGCTTTTGGGCCAGCTGTTCGAGGATGCCGGGCTGATTTTGACTTCACACTGAAGTTCGAGAAAATCTTCCTCAGCATCATCCCAGCCTCAGTTTTCATTGCTATCTCGCTTCCCAGGCTTGTCTACCTATCAGGCCGCCCTTCAATTGTCAAAGGGACAGCACTACGAATTTTTAAATATGTAAGCCTAGAGACCTTTGATTCAAGGCTCGGATTTAAGTTGAGTGCTATCAGGCTCTGATATTTAGCTCACAAAATCATGTGAACAGTTCGCGATCGGAATTTATGCAGCCCTCCACCTTGCACTACTGGGTCTGATAGCAGCCCAGCCAGCGGGCATGCGAGTTCTGAACATCTCTACGGCGACTCTGACCTTCCTTTCGTCGATATGCATACTGCTTTTGTCAGGTCTAGAACATGGCCGCTCACCACGACCGTCCCTACTGCTCAGCGGGTATCTGTTTCTTACCATATTGTTCGACACTGCCCAAGTCCGGACTCTTTGGCTGGCTTCCAGGACATACGAGGAATTCGCCATAACAAAAGTGACAACAGCCGCACTAGGGGTCAAGTTGGCACTTGTCTTTCTGGAAGCTCAGCCAAAGGCAAGATGGGTGACTCTGGACACCAAGAGCCACAGCCCAGAGGAATTGACCAGTCTGTATGGCCTGGGAGCCTTCATCTGGCTCAACAAGCTATTTTTGGCTGGTTATGGAAAGATTCTCCACATGGACGATCTTTTCCCTTTGGACAGCAGAATGGCAGCAGAAGTGTTGGAGAAGCAGCTAAACGATATTCTGCACAACACCAAATCCCGAGGGCAAAAATATGGATTAATCAAAGCCTTGGCGAGAATGCTGGCGCCCAATCTCCTGTTGCCCGTTGCTCCCAGGATTGCCATGACTGGGTTTACGTTCTGTCAGCCTTTCCTGATCAATGCGACCCTCTCGTTCTTGGAGCTGCCAACCGCATCAAGAGATCCTAATGTAGGGTACGGCCTCATTGGTGCCACGATGCTCACATATTTTGGTCTGGCTGTGTCGACCGCGTTGTATTGGTATTACCATGAACGGTCTTTGTGGATGACTCGCGGTGCTCTAGCTTCAGCGATATACAGGAAGACGGTGAGCAACTCTTGGAAATCTATCAGTTTATGATGTTATGCTGACAGATTGCATAGACCGAGGCAAAAGTGAGCATTGCAGGCGACTCTGCAGCGATAACTTTAATGAGTACCGATGTCGAGAAAATAAGGTCGGGAATGATGATGATCCAGTAAGTGGTTCCCACATATATGCACCCATTCTGATGAGGCCCGAGACTTCCATTGGGTATACTCAGTCGGTACCAGATTTTGGTGTAAATGCTGACGCCAGCTCAAACAGTGAGTTCTGGGCTGATTGCATCGAAGTCGGGCTCGCCAGCTTTCTACTCTACCGGTCGCTGGGTGTTGCTTTCCTGGCGCCTGCCGTGATCGTCGCCGTGGTCACCATATTGAGCTCGGTGATCGCCAGCTTCACTGGGGCGCGTCAAAAGCAGTGGATGGAAAGAATCCAGACTCGAGTTGGGATGACAGCAAACGTCATCTCCCATATGAAGAATCTCAAGATCTCTGGCTTGGCTCTGCCTATTCAGTTCATCATTCAAAATCTGAGAGTGGATGAGCTGAGAGTCGGAGGGCGTTTCAGAATTGTTGAGTGCTGGATGGTTCTCCTGTCCTACGTGCCGACGTTCATATCGCCTGTGGTCACTTTTGCTTGTAAGTTGAAGACCAGATCCATTGCTTACACCATGCCATTCTTTTTCCCCACCCCATTACAGGCTCAGCAAAGTATTTCCCCTTCGACACACTGCATCACGACGTGATTTAGATGTGTTTTTGTGGCCCTTCTTGTGCGAGTACTAAAGTTTGAATGATACAGGGACTTCAAAGACACTCACTGTGACACGAATGTTCACTTCCTATTCATACCTGAGTCTTCTTTGCACTCCCCTCGTCGACATATTCCAATGCGTCCCGCAAGTCATGTCAGCTATTGCGTGTCTCGACCGGATACAAACTTTCCTCGAAGCAGATAGCAGAGAGGATTTCCGCAGTGCCATATCTGCAGAGCCCCCCGCCGGAAAGAGTTCTGGAGAGGAGAAGACAGCCATGTCGGCCTCTCAGCTTCATGGGAAGCCTGTGATTGGCGTCTCCAGAGGTAGTTTTGGGTGGACTGACGGAGCTAGTAAAACTCTTTCAGACATCGACATGAACATACCGGCTGGTCAGCTCACAATTGTTGTCGGGCCGATCGCATCTGGAAAATCAACATTCTGCAAAGCGTTACTCGGCGAAGTTCCGATTTTTGATGGCCAAGTCACTCTTGGCAGGTATCTGAGACGGGTCGGATACTGCGATCAAACCCCTTTTCTCACTAATGCCACCATCAAGAAAAACATTATAGGGTTCTCGTCTTTCGATAAAACGCGATACGACGAGGTGATCGAAGCAGCAATGCTCCGGCCTGACTTTTCCACTCTTCCTCAGGGTGATGAAACCAGAATCGGAAGCAATGGAATCTCACTCAGCGGCGGTCAGAAGCAGCGTGTTTCCATAGCAAGAGCCCTCTACCTCGAGACCAACCTTTTTATTTTCGACGACGTCCTAAGCGGTCTTGATGCCGACACTGACGAGCAGGTCTTCCTGCGCGTATTCGGGCCTGACGGTATCATCAAGCGAAGAAACGCGACCGCAGTCCTCTGCACTCATTCGGTCCGGCATCTTCCCGCGGCTGATCATATCATAGCCATCGGCGCCAATGGACGCATTGTTGAGCAGGGCCATTTTGAGGATCTCGTCGCAAACAAGAGCTATATACATAGCCTTGGGGTCAAGGCCGGAACTCCAGACCAGAGCTCCTCAAAGTCGAGTGGCATCTCGATGGCGTACAACGAGGAAACGGCCCCTGAGCCTCTGCTCCGGGTCAACACGACGATTACGACAGGTCCCTCCACTACCCAGGAAGACAGAAGCAGAATGAATGGAGACAGTGCTGTCTACAAGCACTATTACAAAAGCATCGGATTCTGGCCAGTTGCTTTGTTTCTTCTAATGGCTGTGGCCGATGGGTTCTTTTGGAACTGGCAGAGTATTTGGATTAACTTCTGGAGTGACGGAATCACCAAAAACCCTCCGAGTCACAGCTCAGGGTATTACCTTGGATTCTTTGCTCTTTTCCAAATCCTTGCATGCGCATTTCTGTTCTGGAACGTCTGGATCTGTCAGCAGCGAATGCTCACCGCGTCAGGTGCCTCGTTGCACAAGGCAGCGTTGAGCACCGTTATCACGGCCCCCCTGAAGTTCTTCACATCGACAGACAACGGTGTCGTGACGAATCTCTTCTCTCAAGATATGACTTTGATGGATGGCGAGCTCCCCCTGGCTTTGATCAATACTAGCGTGACCGCGGCTGTGAGTGTTGGCATGGCTGGTGTGATAGCATCCTCTAGCCCATACCTTGCCATCACCTACCCGTTCTTGGTGGCTGTTCTCTGGCTCATCCAGAAATTCTATCTCAGAACGAGCAGGCAGCTTCGACTTCTGGATCTTGAAGCAAAGAGCCCTCTCTAGTAAGCATTTCTACCCGTTGTGCGAGGTATGGTGAGATTGGTTCTGACTATTCGTCCCAGCACTCATTTCATGGACACGATGAAAGGTATTGCCTCCTTCCGTGCCTTCGGCTGGACTCAAGACGGCATCGAAATGAGCAATCGCCTGCTCGACAACTCACAGCGACCGGCCTATCTCCTTGCTATGATGCAGCGCTGGCTAGGATTTACGCTCAATTGCGTCGTCGCCGTGCTTGCGACTCTGGTCGTCACCATGTCGACACAGCTTTCCTCAGGGACAGGCTTCACTGGCGCGTCACTGGTCACATTGATGTCTTTTGGGATCATGGTCACAGTAATGATCCGGTCCTATACCCAGCTTGAGACCTCCCTCGGTGCCATTAATCGACTGAAGACCTTCTCTGAGACAGTCAAATCTGAGTCACAACCCGGCGAAAACGTCTCTCCTAACGAGGCATGGCCGCAGAACGGAGAGATACGCATAGAGGGTGTATCTGCCTCTTACAAGTAGGTCCACATGCAAATGTGCTATAAAACCGTCCTTTACCTTTGCTAATTTTCTTTCACGTGTTCCTAGTCAATCCACGACCGACCACCTGGGAGAGAAGCCAAGTGACGGCGAACTCGCGATCCGCGACCTCAACCTTGTCATTCGTAGCGGCGAGAAGGTGGCCATCTGTGGGCGCAGCGGAAGTGGGAAATCGTCGACCATCTTGTTGCTATTGCGGCTCCTGGATCCGGTCCCACTCACGGCTGAGAATATGTACATCGACGATGTGCCCCTTCACCAGATCGACAGACAAATCCTGCGCCAACGCATCATTGCCGTCCCCCAGGAGACCGTTTTCCTGCCCGACGGCAGCAGCGTCAAGGAGAATGTGGATCCCTTCGGTTCGTCCTCTGAACTTGAGTGCCGCTCGGTCCTGGAGACGGTTGATCTTTGGTCTTTTATCAGCGAAAGAGGTGGTCTTGAGGCAGGAATGAGTGCGGATACCCTGAGCCAGGGGCAGAAGCAGCTCTTTAGCCTCGCCCGAGCTATACTGAGGCGGAGGCTAAGGTCGAGAAACGTGGTCAAAGGAGGTGATCGGGGCATTCTGCTGCTCGATGAGATCAGCTCGAGCGTAGACTTGGATACGGACCGCGCAATGCAGCGCATAATCCACAGAGAGTTCGAAGGCTACACTATTGTCATGGTCAGCCATCGGTTAGACATGGTTATGGACTTTGATAAGGTCATTGTGATGGAAAGAGGCTCTGTAGTAGAGACTGGTCCACCGCGGACTTTGCTGGAGAAGGACTCGAGCAGGTTTAAGGATCTGTGGCTGCTGTCTCACACTGACAAGGAAATATGAGCATGATGAGCACAAGAAAACATATGGAGGTAGATCAACTTAGTTTATATCATGGACCATAGCAGGGCGTGATCAAGCTGCGTCCATACACACGTGGCTCCCTTTTCCTCCTTCAAACGCACGCATTCTCTCTCTCTCTCTCTCTTCTTTTTCATCCTTGCTTTTTTGTATCCCCCCCTCCCCGGTAGTCTTCCAACCCTACTTCCACATACTCTTTGTCGACAACAGAAATGGAGATATCCAACAAATGAGCTTCTCCTAGCTGCTTTGAAACAAATTATCAGAATCGTGTCCTGGAGAGCCTGTCGCAATCTGCTTCTCAATCTGTGTCCTTCCCATACTACTGGCATCATCAGGGTTCGGGTTGGGCTAGTCAGGCTGAGCTGTCTGGCCCATGGCATCATCGACTTAAAGAGAGAAAACTCACTCGACACCGAAATTACATAACCTGCCGCCTCCCGATACTCTTTCATGTCTGTCTCACACCCTTTACGTCTCGATTGGCCAAGGCATTTGTTTGGAAGCAACGTCAAACATGCTGGAACTCGTGCCTAAAAAAGTGGCCCATGCTGGAGAACGGAGAGACTGCCGATATAAGGTTGCTAACACTTCCTCATAAGAAGTGGTGGTTCGGAAAACCCCTTGGGCGTTCATGACCGTGAACTGACAAATCCTACAAAACTTCTAAACATGTTCACACATGCACAAATATCTCTCTCCACTCAAGAGTTTACTTTTCAGTCGTCTTCCACGACCGATCTCAACTGCACCATCGAATTGGGAAAGACCAGGAAGATCGACCATGTCTCGGAGAGCCCTTGTCAAAGCCTCTGAGCATCATGTGTGCGCACCTCACATAGCAAAGTGGGTACATTCCAGGCTCAGAGAAACCCGACAGCTGTTTCCTCTGCCATGTATATCCTGGAGTACCAGGCTTATTCCCCCAGGACTCGCACTATACACGCCTACACCTACAAAGCGATTTGCCCATGTGGAAGCATCGGCGGTTGCAGAGGTGCCGGATGCATCGGACTTGTCAGCCCAAACCTCTCCTGAACCGAAGGTGGTCCTCTTCCCCCCGTCAAGAGAGCAGCAGGTCGCGATCGATGCTTTGCTTTACTCAGACGACAACCTGATCGTGGATGCCTGTGCAGGTTCTGGAAAGACTACGACCATACTGCATCTCGCGCAGTCAGCCCCAGGCACCAGATTCTTGGTTCTCGTCTACAATCGACGCTTGATGCTGGAGACTGAAGAGAGAGTGCAAGCACTGGGGCTGCAGAATATCACTGTTCTCAACTATCACTCTTTGGGGGCACGCTTCTATACCGCCGAGTGTGGTACAGACCAGGGTCTCAAGCGAGTTGTGGAAGATGACATGTCCGTTATGGACAACACGGAGCTGCCCGACTTTTCTGTCCTGGTCATGGATGAACAGCAGGACATGACGCCCATTTTGAAACGCTTTGTAGATAAAGTGATACGCGACAAGAATTTCGCCACCAACAGGAATCGGTCAGCCGCTGCCAAAAACAAGTTGAGGGTTGTTGTGCTTGGTGACAGAAGACAGGAGGTGTATGGCTTCAACAACGCCGACTCGAGGTTCCTCACAATGGCTTCCCGACCAGAAGTCTTTGGCTACATTAACGAACACGGCTGGAAGTCCGCCGACCAGTCCACGTCGAACCGCATCACCCAGCAGAATGTCGACTTCATCAACCAGCAGATGCTCAAGAAACCCCTGGGCGAGGCAATGCGGGCCGTCAGGAACCAGAAAATAGACGGAAGTGCGTACCCAAAGCCACGATACGTCATCTGTGATCCCTACGAAGATCTCTTGGACGAAGTTTCGAGGCTTCTGGGAATGGGTGATCTGTCGCCCACGGACATCATCGTGCTAGCACCATCTGTACGCGGCTCGTCACCAGCCATCTACCTAGCAAATGCGCTTGCATTGAGGGGGATTCCTGTATTCAGATCAGACTCTGATGTCTCGGACATTGCTCCTGAAGTGGCTCACGGAAAGGTGCTCATCTGCACCTATCACCAGGCAAAGGGAATCGAACGCAAGGCCGCGATCGTGCTCGGCTTCGATCAGAATTATCACAACTGGTACGACAAGGTCGTTGCGCCTCCAACATCCACGAGCAACCCACAGTACGTCGCTACCACGCGGGCGCTTGAGCACCTGGTCGTCATCCATGAGTATCGAAGTCCACCTCTCCCATTTGTCGACCTCGACACCGTGAATGCGTCGTGTGACTTTGTCGTCACGCGCCCTATACAAATTGAAGAACCGAGACCGAGACGCGCCATCCAAAATTTCAACGTCACTGGGCTGTGCAGAAACCTCTCGGAGACACTCATCACGGATTGTCTGCAGCGTCTCGAGGTCCGTAATCTGGCCGGTCCGGCGTACGGAGTGTCACCCTCACCGCCCACTGAGATCAGAGACAAGACCGGCCTCCTTGAGGGTGTCTCAAACGTCACAGGCACTGCAGTTCCTGCCATATTTCAGTGGCGGCAGAGGAGAAGGCTCGGGATCCTCTCTGGACCCTTGAAACTGCTGGAGCCACCGAAACGCCAGACAAGACGACCCAACCCGCTGCGCCAGCTCCCGAAAGACTTCTACGAGAAGATCAAAGATATCAAGGATGCCTATGACGGCGATGGACCTGTGGGGACAGACGACATCCTGTATCTCTCGGCCCTCGAGATGGCCGCCAAGGACAAGGACATCACAAAACTCCTCTCCATCCCGCTGGATGAGTACACTTGGCTCGCAGAGCCACACTGCAGGGACATCCACTACACGCTCAACAACCTCCCCAGTCCAGCAAAGATTTCAGGACGCGGGATCCTGTTCGAGGCCATCCGGTACCGCAAGTTCCCCACCATCACCCATGGCGGCGGACCCGTCAACCCAGAGAAGAAAAAAGGCGTCATCGTAGCTGGCGCCATGGACATCTGCCGCCTTCAAGGCACCAGCAAGACCGTCTGGGAGATAAAGAACAGCGAGTCCCTCCAGCCAGAGCACCTCCTCCAGGTCGCCCTGTACATCCTCCTCCTTGGAGAGCCCGCGTCCGGTTTTCTGGTGTCATCTCGCACGGGACAGGCGGTGCAGGTCCTACCCAGGACGCCACAGTCTCTGATGGAGATTCTGCAGCTCCTCGTGAACGCCAAGTCTGGGGGCGAGCAGACCAGGCTGCTGAATACGTACTCGGATGACGAGTTCTTGGAAGAGTGCGGGAGGAACTTTGGGGGTTTGGTTGGCAAGTGTGCGCTCCCGGCCTGGTTTGCGATGAAGCCGACTGGGTCCAAGTACATTGGATCCTATAGAGGGCAAACTAGAAGGAGGAGACATAGTACGGAGAAGGAAGAATAGTAAGTAGTGTGCAAGAAGGCATCCCTTTTGTTTCATTTTTACATGAGCGGTATAGACTCGAGAAGCTATGTGCATATACAGGAGAAAACGGGCAATCCAGCCCTTGGTTGTTCGCCTCCTCCACCCATTTAGATCTCAACAACCTAAGTTCCTTAGCACCGTCACCTGTGTACTTGTTGGCTGCGGTTCATGAGGAAGAGCAAAACGAAAAAGAAGACGCTTAGTAGATAGGAATCTTCCAGGCGTTGAGGTCCCAGGTCCAGGACTCATATGAGGCCTCGTCGTAGGAGCAGGTGAAGGTGGACGAGTCGTTGGAAGCCCACAGGGGGCGGGTAGGCCACTGGCACAGCTGCTGGACCTCACCCTCGTAGGCACCCGAGGCGACGGTGGCGTTGAGGGTCTTGGGCTGGATGCCGCTCTCAACCCAGTCGATCATGGTCTGCATGTTGTCCTCGGGGTAAGGACCGGGCTGCAGGGTGTTGGTGCCGCAGTGGGCCGCGCCGGGGATGAGGTAGAACTGGTACCACTCGGCCAGGTCGGTGGCGTTGTCGGGGCTCGAGTCTGGGTACATGGCACTGCGGACGGCCTCGTGGTAGCGGATTGAGGAAGGAGGAGGGACGGACGGGTCCGACTCGCCGTGGAAGTGGAGCAGCTTGCCGCCGTTGGACTGGAGAGGAGTCAGGTCGGCGTAGCCGGTCTGGAGATTGTCGTAAAAGCGCTGGTAGCCGATCCACATCCAGTTGTAGAGGTCGTCGTAGGTCACGTTGGAGACGGAGGCCAGGTTGTCAATGTCAACCTCCTCGACGAACTTGGTGACAAACACACCACCAGTCGAGGGGGACGAGACCTCCCAGGTCTCGGTGTCATTGTCCCAGGTAGGGGCGGCATCGTCAAAGGCAGAAGCGGTCTGCCAGCCGTAGAACACCTGCTCGCCCTTGGAGTTCAGCAGGCCATCGTAGAGCCTCTGGGCCAGGGCGACACCCTCAGCAGAGACGGTTCCGTTCTGGGCAGGCTGGTAGCTGGAGGTGGACGCTCCGGCCTGGCGCTTGCTGAAGCCATAGCCGAGGGTCGAGGCAGTCTCGGCGGCACAGTAGTACGACTCGCCAATGATAGTGGTGAGATCGAAGTTCAGGCGGCACAGGTCGGTACGGGAGACGACGCCGTCAGTACGTCCATCCAGAGGATCGCAGGCCTCGATGGTGGCGTTGGCAATCTTCTCCATCTCGCAGGGAGGGGCAATGTAGTCAGTGACCACCTCCGTCACGACCGAGGTGAGGTGGTTCTGTGAGTAAGCAAGTATCATGGTCAGCAGGTCATTCATTCTTACAATCGTACAAGTGGCTTGATAAAGAAATGATGAATAATAATAAAAAAGTAAGAAAGAAAAAAAGAAGGATACATACAACTTGTTGTTGAGCGTGGTGGAAAGCAGGAGCACCGGCGACGATACCATCGTAGACATCACCGTAGCGCTGGGCCTGAGACATAGCCTCACGACCACCGTCGGAGCATCCCTCAAAGTAAGTGTACACCTTGGCCGAGTCCTCCAGCCCATAGAAGCCCTTGGTGAGCTCCTTGCCGACCAGCGCGGTCTCGCCCAGCGCCTTGTAGGAAAACATGATGATGTTATCCCAATTCAGCGTTCCGTTGCCGTAGAGGACCACCTCGTCCAGGCTGACGCTGTCGAAGCCTCCATAGCCAACATCGGTGCTGCCAGATACGGCGCCATATGTCAGACCTCCAGTGGGGTCCGAGGTGCTGATGGTGTAACCTCCGCCACCGGCAATGTAGAAGCGGTTCTCGAAGGCGTCAGGGGACGGCAGGGTATACCAGAGCACCACATTGTCGCCACGGCCGGTGTGGGTGTACGAGACGGTGACATTGCAGTAGGAATCGCCGGTATCACGCTTCCTGAAGCCCACACTGGTACTGGTAGAGGCATTGTAGACGGCGTTGGCGGTGACGGTCGACGGGAGCAGGTCCACGCCCAGGATGGTCCCGTTTGCGGGCAGAGCCGCCTGCACGTTGGACACCGTGCAGAGACTGGCGAGGGAAGACATGGTGAGTAATAAGCTAGCGAGTGATCAAGATCCGAACAAGGGTGAAAAGAGTGTAAATATCATAAGTAGATCACCAGTATAAAGAAAGACTGACTGGGACACCGTTGCGTCGATGCTTGTACGAACTCGATAGCAAGGCACCTCGCTGGTTGGGGTTGGGAAACTCCATCTTTATACAATAACCATGGGTCATGTTCTCTCTTCCCTCTCTCTTCTCCCCTTCACTCTTCAACGACGATACCTGATAATTACTTTGCTGGACTGGGTCTCCGTTCATCCCGTGTGGGACGAACGCCGCCCCGCCCCGCCACGGATAGGGATAGGTATAGAAAAGGCTCAGAAACTAAACAACATGCGTTCGCTATATTGTCGGCACATAGAAATAGTGGACGGTTCCATATTATTATGGGTCCCGAGCCTCATCAGGCCTGCGTCATGTGGGTCATTACTACGCGTCCGACTACGTAGCAGGAACGGAGCCGCAGGTAAAAGATACGGCCTCGCGGTGGCCCAAGGCGGAAAGCTCCGACTAGCACTACTACCATCAGAGTCAGTATGACTTCGCGGCTGTGTTGTTGGGTTTCTTGGCTGCTGTACAGATGGGAGAAGTACACGCATTACGTCTGCTAAGGCACATGCTAATACCAACAAAACTTTGTCCTGTAAACTTTACCTTTGGCTACAGGGTATTGTAAATTTCGCAGATGCGAGAAGAGTTCTCCACGGACATGAAAGAAAGAGTCGCCCTTTGCCAACGGTCTTTTTAGAAAGTCCTATTTCACATGTTTCATGGCTCGGTCTGCAATAATATGACAACCAAACATCCCAAAGATTAAAAAAGAAACAAACATGAACTTGATTGTATGCATTCACGAAGGGACGAAAATAAACCCTAGAGATGAAGGGGGCTGTACCCTGGAGCGTCCAAAGTATGGTCGAACACCGCTTCGGCCCCCCACATTCCGTTCCCTGACAGCCTGCTCTTCTCTGGAAACCAAATGTTTCGACCGGCTTCGGCTAACACCCTGTCGATTAACAATGGGACGACAGAGCTGGCACAGCCTTGGCCGAGCTGAGGAAGCGTACAACACGGAAAAACAATCCAAGGGCTTGGTGGAGTTCATAAAGTATACGACGACGACGACGACGACGACAAGTGACCACACCACAGCGCAGAACGCGATCATGACTAGGGTCTCCCATTCCAAGGTTTTATGCATCAAAGACGTCTTTCTACTACTGACCGCCCATCCACCCGCCCAGTCAAATCTGTGGATCCCTCAACTGCCATCTGCGTCATGGCCACAGTAGTACCGCGTGTATAAAAATAAACTAAAAGACTTAAAGATGGCATATGATTTTGCACGCCACCATCGGTACTAACACCAACACAGAATTCTAGTCTAGACCTTGCCCTCGAGGGAAACGCTCCGTTTCATTAACGCATCTGGCAGCTCAAACAAAATCCACCTTGTGCCGCGCGTCGCAATCCATCATAATTACAGGTCAGTCCGGTGGAGACCAGCCTTGCATATGCTTTTTGTTTCCAGTGGAGTGGTAATCTCAGCGAACCGCATGATGGCATCAGAACTGCCCCTTAAGTATAAGTACTGCGTACCATGGTAAAATCTGGATCAGTCATCCTCCCTCTGCTGCGCTGCTGCATTGCCATTGTTCTACCCATTTTTTTCTTATCGATCTGCTCTCCCCCCCCCCCCGAATTCGTTCATGCCTGATCAATACTATCGTCAATTCCTTTGTACTCCTCATCATCGAGCGAGTAAATATAAAAGAATAGGTATTCTCAGGCTACTTGACCTGGTCAGGTTGCTGGGTTACTTGCCAGTGGGTCCATCAGTGAGTGGTTTTTCAGGTTGGATCCGTAGTCTTTGGTTGTTCTGCGTCACCCCAATTGTATCCATGGCAGTGTACTTTAAACAACCCCTATCAGATTCCGGTACTTCCTCGGTAAAATAAGTCGAAAGCAATCAAAGTCCGCAGCTTGATCGAGTCTCAATAGCCTGCCAGGAAACGTTTCAAACCGCTGCAGTGGATATCATGACGATGTGCAACGGACGAGCGCACTATTCATGAAATCAATATTCTTGTCGCCAAGGGGTCGCTTGGAGGGTGTGTCACGTGAGTTCGAAGCCGCAATTGAGACTACGGCCAATGACGAGGAGGCTTCCCAATGGTGTACGCGTGCCGTACCTGCGCATACATCCTCCTCGCAGTGCCTCATTATGAAGCCGTGGAATGAACTACAACAATGTCAAGAGGCGAGAAGACAGAGAGGTTCGTCGACGAAGGTGCGTATAGAAATAAATCATCATCTCGAATCCCCCAGATCAAGCAGTTTTCTTCTTGTGGTAATAGGTTCACATAATGAATACATAGCATATATAAATACATAAAGACAAAGCATGACCAACTGTTAGTGTTCATCGCGAAAAGCTCCAATATTGAAAAGTCATTCTGCTCAATCGTAAAACTCTCACACTTTCGACGTGCCAAGAAGATTTGCCAAAGTTTGAAAGAGAAAAACCAGCTTGTTACTCGTCCATGCTCCTCCTGGAAACTGACTCAAAGGAACTTGAGGTGCTCTGAGACTCACTATCATCCGAGTAGGTAGGATCAAACTCCATTGGAGTAGGGATGAGATCTTTCAAAGCATCCTCCAGCAGCATCGCCACGTCCCCAGCACAGCCGAAAGAGAGGCTCCATCCAGCACCTCCTTGTCCATAAGAATGCACAATCCTGCTAGGCCGCTGCGTCCCAGGGATCGTCCGCAGTTCCCTCTCGACGCGTACATTTCTCTGTCTGAAGGGTCGGAGCCCCTGCGCGAGCGGATAGGCAGCGTCGACGCGAGCGTTCTTGAGACCGGGAAGGAAGCTCTCGCAGCGCTTCCGCATGCGCTTGATAATCGGCGTGTCGAGGGTCAGGTCGAGGGTTGACTCGTGAGGCTGTGTGATGCCGCCTATGAGGAGGATGTTGTCGTTGCGCGGCACGAGGAACACAATTTCGTTAGAGTCGTGGACGGCGTCGGCAGTGATGGTGAGGGCAGACTCGACCTTGGGAAAGTCCTTGCCGTCGTTGACGACACGAATCAGAGCTCCGCGGATAGGGTAGCAGGACTTGTCGCCCGCGAGCTCGGTGCCGGAGAGGCCTGTGGCGTTCACGATGGCATCGGCCCCGAAGCGGGCGCGGAGTGTTTCTTCCTGGTCGATGAGGTCTCCTGTGATGGTCTCTGTGACCGTTGCAGCACCTTTGCTCAGGACGACGCTCATGAGCCACATCATGGCCTGGTCGGTGTCGATGATTGGAGCGAGTAGCTCGTATGCGTCGACGGCGCCGTATGTGGGATCAACCCGCCGCTGCTCTATCAGCTTGCGGTCATGGCGGAAGCCTTTCACACCACTGGAGATGATCTCAGCCATCTTGGAGAACTGGGCAGGGTCGCTCTCGACCGGCCTGGGAAAGAAGAAGCCGGACGGCATCATCTTGACACCCGAGACGTCTCGGAGGCCAGGAACAGACGCAATAGCCTCCCATGCATGATATGCAACCATGCACCAGCGTTTGGAGTTGGAGAGGGAGATACGGTCTGTGTGAGCGCCGCAGACGGCGGGAGGAAATTCCCAGAGGGCACCGGCAATTTGGGCTGTGAGGCGGTCGTCCGGGCTGTAGTTTGCCCACTCCTTAGACAGAATGGTGACTTTGTATCCTTTGTCCAGAAGAACCCACGCAGTGACAAGACCAGTCACGCCTGCTCCAATGACAAGGACATGGGGAGATGATGTTGAAGGCTGGACGAGGCGCTTAGGATAAGGGGTGAGGTCTCGCCACATGGCAAGAGTTGGAACATTGAAGGACACCATGATTATTATATGAGGATGATTAATATATCGATAGGGAGTGTGGTAGAATTCCAAGAAAAGTAGTTCGAGAGAGACAACTTGAAGAACAAATTCATGCAAACTCGTTGTGGTGTTCTGAGGATAGTTTTGATGGGGAGGCGACCAACCTGTTCACTCCTTGGACGTTCTCGCCTCTTATACTTGTTCAGGCTCCTATGCTCTGTTAGTCGCTTTATTATTACCCTGGTACTTACCTACTTTCATGATGACAGATACAAGTGCACGATTCTGGTCGCCTGGCCACGAGCGAACTTTTGCTAAGCCTACCTTAAGGCGCCTGGGGTTAGTTGGTACACGACCATTGTCGTGAGTACGCTTTACTGGATCTTGATACCGAGCTCGCCCTCGGACTTGAATCTCACCGAATGATTCTTCTTGCATCACTATGTCTCATTCCTATGTCGTACTTCCTCTATCATCCGCTGCCACAGTTGTATAAGAGTAAGGGGGCAGGGAGGTAGGCAGGCAGGGAGGCAGGTACATGATTTACGGACCCACGAATGTTGATATCAAATCGTCGGCCCAGGTCTCACTCTTGGACGCTCCGCCGCAATGACATGTGGGCACTGCGATGCTCATGGTCTCTACAGGGAAGACCTGACCTTATTGGAGGGGACTCGAGGCTTCATAATACTTTCAAGAGTCACACTTGGGCCCACGTTGTACTAATGCGCACCCATGCATCCGACAAGTAAGGCACTGAGACAGCTCAGCCTGTTGGTACCCCGCAACCCGCGCCACCTTGCTATGAGGAGCACATGCGTATGTTTTTTTGCTTGAAAAAGAGACCGTACATACAGCCTCCATGCAGGAGATTACTCAGATGAGCTCATACATCCAGACTGTCCTGGAAGAGTCGAAATGGACATGCCGGATTCTCCATGGTGATGACTATGTAGTTTCCCTAGGATACTGGATTACATAACAAAGGAGTCGGTCACACAATGAGCAAGGTAGTGGAGGCTCTGCGGCCCGAATGTTCATGATCTCAGGAAGGCCTGGTCACAAAACATCGAACGAGCATGTCGCTGACTTTGCATGGCCGGCCCGGCCGAAGGAATGAGGTGGTGGAGGGCGGTCTGGGCGCTGATGATGATGATGATTATCGACTGCCAACAAACAATATGAGCTACCGGTAGGGCTGAGCACTTCCTCCGGAAGGCTAATGCAGGTATCGTAGGGTTTGACTTGTTAACGAGCGAATAAGGCTGTCTCAGCCGGGACGAGGCTGGGGGCTCCGGGCAGATGATGGCACTGAGTCTGTACACAAGAGAAGCAAAATGATCACTATTCCTTGTCCTACCCTTTCAGGCCCCCATGCTCTATTCGTTGAGGATCCGGCCATTGTCGGTAAATAAGGTGGGGATCTGTGTGATCTACCTTGTCTAGTTTGGAGCCCTATAGGGCTGAGGCGTTGCACGCGCATGCAGAAGCCGTGGGGGCCATACACTGCATCACCAAGGAAACACCTGTCCTTGCCTATTCCATGTGTCACACACACCCCCCGTCCCTTTTTGTGCCACATGGCCCTACATCAGCGCTTACCCATATTATGTGAAATCCCGGCACCGAATGTCCTTCTTGCCGGAGGGCTCGGTCCATTGCCAACCGAAAGGATTTGACACGGAATCTTCCAATGCCTCGTATTCACTGCTTGTGCATGAGAAGTTGTTTCTGTTTCGGCACTGCCCTTTTACACTTGCAGAGAAGCCTATGTGACATGATGAATGGCGTGCTGATGGGGAGAAGGGGGGAGGGGTGCTCACTACTACTGGGATCTTTTGCTGCTTCGAGTCCAAGACTTCTTGATTACTACTCTTCCTGGAAATATCCGGCGGTGAGCCCATGGACTGCGCATAGTGACGCACTCTCCCTTTTCTTCTTCCCCCCACGTTGAACGGCTCGCGGAGAATTGTATGCTGTCATATCATTACGAGGTCATGTGCTCGATCACTGCATCTTGTTTGCATACATCTTACTTAATTAGGACGTCATTGGCTGATCATTGCCGAAACCCCTTTTTTTTTCATTGAAACGTTTACTATTGACTCCTAGAGTAGCATCAGGCATACCATGTACTCATCAGCCAGTTTGCAACAGGGTAGGGTTTTTGAAAATCTCACACGTTCACTGTCAGCATTATGTTTCTCTTTCCTCACACATCAGGCCTGCTAGTGACATTATTAGTGATCGTATTGTAAAGCGGTAAAGTCTACCAAAGACTAGGCGTTTCCACTGATGTAATGTAGACCTCCCATAGTGAAGAAAAGTGTTGCAGATGAGCTTTCCTGTCTCCATCCTAGTTGCTTACTATCGCCCCTCATGACTCCTACCGGCCTTAATGGGTACAATTGTGTTACTGGTACAGAGATCCGAAAGCCTTCCGAAGAACACCTTGTCCAGGGAGTGTTTCCAGTACAGGATAGCACCCTGTTCCGTTCCTTGTCCCACTCAGGCCACAAAGGTGCGCATTCTGCCTTCCTCAGGATCGTGAAGGTAGCGCGTCTCCCCCTTAGGCGTGGTAACAATGATGTCAGGCACAGCCTCGTCCCCCCGTCGCGGCCACCGCCACTCAGCCTCGATCCAGTTTCCCGCATGCTCCCGCTCGCCCCTGACGCCATGGTTGATGCGCATGGCGTGGAATTGGGTGCGGGAGCTGGCCTTGTCCCAGACTCTCTTGTAAGGGGCCATGCTGGCAAGCTTGCGCGCTCGATAGCGGGTGAGGATCTCCTTGTTGGGGAGGGCGAGGCGGCCAGGGGCGGGGATTTCGTTGTTAGGGTTGTACTTGTTCTTATTCTCGGCGCGGAGTCTTCGCTTGCAGTTGGTTTTGATAGAGTTGGGAGCGGTGCGCTTGGTGGGGTCCTTGCGGAACTGTGGGCTCGTGGCGTTGTCCATGGTGAACATGTAGGATTTCTGGGCGCGACGGCTTAGCTTGAGAGGAGACTGCTGGGCGTCGAGATTGATCTTGATGGTGGAAGACTGGCTCATCTCGTTGGGGCTGGTCTCCTCTGGGTTAGGTACCGAGAACGAGCAGTCGATGTCGTTGGGGTGGAAGACCATTTTTTTTTTGGTTAGTGGTTGGGATCTAAAATTGTGAACAAGTTGTAGTGTGTGTCTTGACGGTAGGCCGCTTAACAAGAGATGGGATGGGAGGATGGATAGAAGTGATTGCTGGAAGATTAGACCGTATCAAGTAGTAGTGGAATAAACAGCTGAGACTCGACTCACTTGCCATACGTTGGACTTGTGGAATTGTGTTTATACACACATGGCAAATTATTTGCAACAGTAGATGGGGTTAGTAAATAAGTACTTACTTGGTAATAATGTCGTTTTGATAGTACAACTGTGAAGTAATCTTAGCCTACACAGCGTTGCAATATATTCACAAAAATTGATCTATCGCAGTGAAGACTGCTCTTACTTACGATCAAGATTAGGAGAAAAACAAGACTGCTGTCTCTGAAATGTCAGTCCATGGACTCCTCTAATGAATATATTGTCTTCCTTCAATACTTTGTGGCAAAGGCCTCAAGTAATCAAGTACTTACTCTTACCTCTTGTGCCTTCACACTCAATATGTCCAGGGTCATAGGATAGCAACGGAACAACTCCCTTTCTTCATAGAGTCATCACAGCAAGAGTGATTCGAGGCTATCGGGTCAAGTACTTTGGTGGTAATTGATGAATCGTCTCTTTCTCTACATTGGGACAGGTCTGCTTGCTTTCGTCTCCCTATTTCGTCCTGGAAGAAAAAGAGAGTATGTGTCGATGATAGGAACTTTGACACTGCCCCCACAGCAATGCCTTTTTTTAAAGGAAAGAAATGAACTAATAAAACCCAGGTGCGTCGTAACCCTTCACGTGAGAGAGAGTGACAGAGGTGGTAAGAGTGCACGTTCGAAAACTGCTGCGTTCTCATCGGCTGAATAATACCTAAAGTGCTCTCTAACTTAATTTTTGCGCTCAGAAGCAAACTTCACCGGTTCTCGCCTCAGTCCCCCCGAACCAAAATCACGATTTAGACGCACAGTATAAACTCGACCATAGTAGGGCTGGCTTCGTAACAAAAGGCTGCCGGGACTGCGTGCGGAATAGGCTGAAGTGCTGACCCAGTATATAAGACTCGATGGTATTGCTTGGACAATAGAAGTGAGCGGCCCGTGGATTACGAGCACGGGCAAGAGAACGAATGAACTCGAAAGCAATCTTGCGACTTGATTCTATCTGAATTATGAACAATCGTTTCCCAAAGTACATGTTTTACCCGCCGATGCGAACGAACAACTGCTAGGAGATGTTGAACTAAGTGGATCAACATGCTCAATTCAGTCAAGTGATGCTCAACTTCGCTCCGGTTCTCGAACAATACGCCGACCGTGCTATCGTGCATACTGCCATAATTGCCACTCCAGGTGATGAAATACACACCTCATCCGCGGCTCTTCTCGTAAGTATGAGCACCACTTACCCGTGCGACTCTCTGGCATGGTACTGGCAAGCAATGCTCTTTTTTGTTCTTTCGATTTGTGAACAATGTCCTTTCCTCCCGTGCCGGTCTCACGCGAAGTAGCTCTTCCAGAGAACACCCTCCAGATCCTCGAGCTGTTCAGCTGTGAAATACTGCGGAAATAAGTCATGTCAGTCCGCTGTCCCATATCATCCCGGCAGAGACTTGAGCTTACCTTTTGATCCACCGTCCAGCTGTCCTGTCTCGTTTTCTTGAACTCGGCCAGCACGCTCTTTGCTGCCTTGCCAACCACACCAGGATCCGTTGCCGGCCTTCTCGCAAGATGCGCGAGGACATCTGGCATCCATGGTGGCGGCGGCGTCGCGTATGGAAACGCCTCGACAAGCGCGCCGAGTCCCAACACCGCCGCGTGCCGGCGTACGATCTGCTTTTGTGTGTCGACAGGTGTGTCTGTACCGCCTGCGTGCTTGCGTTTCGGCATTGGGTTGTTGCGGAGCTGTTGCTTGAAGCGCGCGATGAGGTTCTGGATGATTGGGTTGCGGATTGTCGCGGGCGAGCAGCGAATCATGCCTGCCAGTGTGGCTGATGCACAGTCGCGGACTTCAAGCTGGGGATCTGCGAGCATGTCGCCCACCGCACCGAAAAGTATCTCTCGGTGGGCAGGGGTGGTAAGGAATAGGCGTCTGAAGTAGATCACTTGCATGTTGACCAGGGCGCGGAGACGCTGATGCCAAGATGCGGCCGACCTGCCGATGCGGATGAGAGCCTTGATGAAAGCCGCATCCTCACCTTCCCGGAATGGGATATTTGCCAGGTGACGGTACACGTGATAGGCGAGACGCATGAGCTCCGGGTCTTCCTTGACATCCATCATGTGGAGAAGTTGGTCTATGAATGGATCAGGGAAGAAGGGCACGAGCTGTGTGCACTCCTGAGAACTCAACATCGAGTCAAGCCAGGTCAGAACCGTCTTTGACCCGTTGGTGTAGCTGCAAGGCTCTTGTTGCCCAGGTGTGCGCTCGTGTCTCCACTTCTCGAGACGCGAGAAGACGTCCTTGATCGTCGTAGTGAACTCGTCGGATGGCTGATATGGACGAATGCCTATAGAGGACTGGGCTTTGTTGCTGCTCAGAAGGGCTGCAACATTGGGGTAAGACTCGTGGTAGCGTGTGCGGTAGATTGTACCGATCACCCTACCCATGGCTTCTCGCACGGATTTATAAGGATGATCGATATGTGCCAGGAAGTCTTCGAGAATTGGCTTCTCCTTTCGGAAGTGCCAGCCACCGTCACTGATGAGTAGCTCGAGCAGCTGCACCTTCGACGCTTCCTTGAAGGCAGCGTTTGATGACATGTCCAGCCGGAATGAGCTCAAGTTCTCTACGATCTGGCGACAGCGTCGCGGATCCTTGGCATCTGCTGTGAGGTGCAGGCACGTTATCCAATAGTGCAGGTTGTCTGGTGTCAGGGATTCGGCAAAGATGTTGAGCATCATAGGCGCTGCAAACGCCCAGATCTTGTCCCTGTATTCCTTGGGGTCGTCAATACCGCCCGACAGCAGCGCCCCCAGGATCTCGGCGGTGGCCCGATGTTGATGCTTGTCGCTTCCATCCCCGTAGACATCTTTGATCATGTCTGTAATCTCGTCGAAGGTGGTCGCGGCCACTCCATAAGTGACCAGGTCAAAGACGTGCATCAGAAGAACGACATTCTGCATGCGAAACTTGTCTGCATTGGCATCTCGTGGCTCTTGCTTGAGGAAGTCAAAACATTTGGCAAACCACTCCTTGGTCAGGAGCTTGCCGATCTGCTCCCGGGCCGCCTTCTCCGTCTCATCGTACGCCAGGAAGGGCTCTGGATCAGACTTGGAGGCCCCGAGCTTCTTGCCCCAGACCAGCCACCCTGGGTGATCAGCGTCCACAAAGTACTCCGCCTCCTCAAGATTCGCAAACGAGTCGAGGTACTTGTCTGTCCATTGAGGATCATCCGACGGCACCTCAATATCCAAGTACACCCCGTCGTTGTCCTCCTCAAGAAGATACTTTCGGTACTCGTGACCGTAAATGGCTCTCACATCAATCCTCGAGAATATGCCAGAAAACGCTAGCTGGTAATTGGCCCTCAGGCCAGGATGGTCGTCGTTTGTGCCGTTGACGACTAAGTCAATGAATGTCGGGGGAGCTAGTGTATCGAAGCGGAGACACATGTTTGTTGCAAAGACGGCGCATTTCAGAGCAACTTTCCAGTGCGCTGACTTGGCCGTGTCGATGAGCTCCAGTCCGAGACTGTGCTTCTTCGTCTCCACCTTTTTCCTGCGCTCGCGAATAAAGTCGTTCCTGGTTCGGATCACCTTCGAACAGTCCTCGGATGGTTTGATCGTGCTCACAATGTTCTCATCCAGGATGACCATGCGTTCGAAGGGCTTTCCGAAATCGAGGAGTGGATAGAGTGATGTGGTGAGGAGCTGTTGTATGGATGTCTTATCGACGCTGGCAGTCTTGATGTACAAGCGCATCATGTCGGGGGCGAACCGCCAGTCCTTCAAGAGGGCCTTTGTCAAGGTAGTGTACAACAATGTGTACAAAGCTCCCTTAATGCGGTCGGGGTCGTTCTCGTCCAATGCCTTGCGATACTTGTCTAGGATGACGGGAATGACCAGGGGTCGACCTCCGATTAGAACTTTCAGTGATGAGTCCTGGGCACCTTGGGCAACCCTTCGGACATCTGCATACGAAGAGACGCACGACTCAGCAAGATCAAGAAGTAGCCTCTTATCAAGCTCGCTCTTCTGCCTGTAAGAGGAGTTGTACTTGACGCGTTGTAGCTGGTACGCATCTGCTCGCTTGACGAGGAGCGGGCGAGGGTACACCTTGCGCAGACCCGGGATTTTGAATGGTGTGACATCTGCCTTATACAGTCTCGACAGCCGTTCCAAGGGATGCGCAGACCGCTCGATGCCGACATCTGTGATCCAAGTCCTATATGTGGCATACAGGGCCGTGAAGCACGTCACATCATCCTCCTGGTTGGCGTTCAGGAAATTGTGGGTCTTGGAAAGCAGGCGTCCCACACTGTCCCTGGTCTCGTGAAGGCGAGCATAAAGCGGGCTTTCTGCGTCAAGAATGTAACCAGACGGATACCGATACTGCCGCTTCAACTCCTCGTCGTCAGCAACCTCGGCCAAGGGATCCTCATCATCATCCATGAGAGTGTCACCATCAGCTTCAATGCGGCCATCGTCTTTTGAGCCACCGTTTGCTTCGCCAGCAGCCTTCTTCGGGTCGAACAGAGCAGAGGCTCCAGAGATGACGAGTCTCAACTGCGTGAGCTGTCTCGAGACCTCGTCGCCCCACTCCTTGTTCTTGCCCTTACGGCTGACCGGGGTTTCGCTGCTCATGAGCAGCTCCAGCCTCTTAGACGCTGCTCCAGCCTGGGATTCGAAAAGTTCAACGGCAAATTGTATCTCTTCGGCTGATGGCCGGTGCCACCGGATGGTCAGGTCCGTGGGCGACGTTGTCATTCCCCAAACATCAGCGCTAATCCCTTCCTTTATCACGTCGGGTTCGTAAAGACTAGTATCGATAGAATAGGTATGGGTAAGATTCAGGAGGAGGTGGTGGATGAAGTTCGAGATGTGTATGGTCGGTATTCCACGACACTTCTCTTGCATGTACTGGGCGATGCTGAACAGCTCAGACTTGTACTTGAGCACCTCCGCGCCTACATTGACAACGGTCATGCTGAGCATGCTCACGTGCCATACAAGGGCACGGTCGCGCGGCAGCACATCGGTGCCGCTGCTTCGATCTGACGCGGCGCCGTTGTAGTCGATCTCGTTGCGAATATTGACAATTAAAGTTGGGATGAATCTCTTCAGTGTCTTCTCAGGATTGACCTTGCAGAGTGCGTTGCAGATCCAGGCCATGGCATCCCGAGCCTGATGCACAACATGTGATGAGACAAATGCAGCTACCTTCTCGAGAGCCATGTCGAACAAGTCCGGGGATAACGAAGCAAACAAGGGCGTTAGCGCCGCTGGCAAGCTGTTGATAACGTTGTCCTCAGGGGAGTTGGCTCGAACCTGCGATGCGTCTGGCAGGTTTTCGAGGAGGGTGAACACCTTGCCTAGCAGGGTGATGACGAATTCACCAAATCCAGCCGTTGAGGATCGCACAATCTCTGCCTCATCTTCATCGGAGAGCTCTTCCTTGTAGTTGAACTGCACATCTTGGCCCTCAATTTCCATGCGTTCCATCTGGCCTTGGACCCACTGGACCGCCAACGAGGTATCGACATTATCTGAGCCCTCTTTTTTCAGTGGCACAAAGGGAATGCTATAAGCAACGCTCTGGATGAAGCTCAGGGTGTATTGCGTCTTGCCCAAATCGTTGGCGTCGATGCCAGGCAGGGCTAGGGCCAGGAGGGCTGTGAGATGACATCGGAAACCCTTCTGCTTTGATATGACATTTGCTAACATCATCAGACCGCTCAGGCTAGAGGATGTGCGGTGTACCTCAACCAAGCCTTGCAGACTTGGGTAGAACCTTTGCAATGCACCGGGCAATATGATATCAGGCTCCAGATACGCTAGCCACTGGAGCGTACTTGTGTAGTAGCTGACAACCTTCATGCTCTTGGCGAAAAGCCCCATGAAAACAACCTCCTTCAGAGTCAGGACGAACCTCTTCTTGAGCTCGTCGTTAATCCTCCGGTCGGCCGGGGTGTCGAGCTCACCAGTCTGCTCACGGTTCCACCTGGACACGAATCCATGGGTAAGGAAGAAGACGAACTGGGCTAGGAAGTTTGTCCACGAGCCCTGGTTTGACGGATGGAAGAAGGTGTCAATTGACTCGATCAACCCTTCCAGATTGGCCATGACGGAATTGTCCTCCTTGAGACTCTGGGGAGAAAGCGAGTGCACGATCCATCTGGCGATGATGTGAGGCACAGGGTGTTTCTTCTTGTCCCTCTCGAGCCAGGCGGCAGTGCCCATGGAATAATCCAGAGTCGTATAGGGAGAATTGGCCTGACCGACCGGGATCTCCGTGAGACGTAGTATAGCAGTGAAGATCAGATCGGACTGGTCTCGACTGAAGATGCCGTGCTCAGAGAAGGGCACGTGTGTGCAACTTAGGTAGTCTCTGGCAATCCTCGAAAAGATATCGAGGAAGAAGATGTCAAAGGCTTTGGAGCGCGACATGAGCGACCAGAGGTGGAAGTAGGTGGGAAGATAATCTGTAGGTTGGGAGAGCGGCTCGTGAGGCAGAGAGGGGGCGGTAGGAACCATGACGTTGATGGCCGCAACCACCGTGTAGGCGCATGTGAGATCAGACGTGCTGAAGAATGGCAAGAACTCCTCCAACATCTCCTTCCGATCGCTGGGATCGAAGTAGGTCTGCGCATGCATGGCGAGCTTCAGCAAGTGTCTCCCACTTCTGCCCCTCCTGTTCGCCTGGTGTGCAGGCACTTCGTGAGGTAGAACCAGGCCCTTGATCTCCTTCCACAGCGGTCGCCAGTCCAGATATAGATCGTCGCCGGGTTTTACGTAGGTCTTTTTCCTATACGGGGAGAGAACACGGTCAGCCAACTTGTTACATGAGCAGAGGAAAAGAGTCGGGGCGGGCGTTTGCAACTTACTTGGTCAGGGTGATGGCCATTCTCGCAAAGCGGTCCGCAGCGGTGGTGTCGAGACCTGGTGCCAGCGCGAGGTGGTAGTAGAGCTTGGCAAGGCTGGCGCGCAGCTCACGAACCATCTCGAACTTGAGGTTCAGCCATCCCTGCAGCTCTCTGGTCCAGTGCAGAGCCCCAGGAGAGAAGTCCTCAGCCTTGATGGCAATGTATAGGTTCTTGAGAATGCCAGCCAGGGCGGCATCACGCTCATGCTCATCCTCGACCGCAAAAGGCAGCTGCGAGAAGTAGGCAAAGGTCCTCGGGCGGTACCGCTTCTTGTCGTCCTCGTCTGGGGTCAAGACGGGCACGCCAGGGGAAGTCGACCGAGAGATCGTGTCGACGGAGGAGAGATTCTGGACGAGAAAATGCGAGGCGTGTGCGGCAGCCGCTGCCGACATGGCCACGGCTGCAGAGGAGTGAGAGTGTGGTATGTCGTCCATCCTGGTTGTCTCTGTGGGCGATGAGCCCACCAGGAGTTCGCCGGGGAGGGGGCGGGGGGACAACAGGAGCGTCTCAAGACGCCTGGGGGAGGCAGGCCGCAGCTGGTGGTACGAGATCGAGGACAAGCGGGCGTGACGAGACGGCGAAGGGATGGAGGGAGCTGAAGACGGAAACAGAAGCCGGTGGAGGCTAAAATCGGTGGCCTCGCACTCAAGTCAGCACAGCTTCGAGAGTAGACGAGACACGCGCAAGTTGGACGACGTGCCGACGATGCGGAAGCTGAAAAGCTATGGGGTATGGATGATCTGGTATGTGCTGCACCGCAATTCGTTGAACTTGTTGGGCACGGGAGCTTCGCAGGGCGGGCGGCCTTTCAAAGACGATTCTCAATAAATAGTTGATAACGGCCGCGTGACGTTGTTGGTTTGGTGATTGGGTTGAGTTGGAACGGGGCGTGCTTAAGCTTCGGCTCCTCAGACAAGGCAAGGCACCAGGAAGCTTCGTCACGAAAGCAGCCGCATTGGATACGGGTCCCTTGCAAGCTTGTCACCCACAGCGGAGGTCAGTTGGCGAGCTGCAGCTACAATGGGACGCGGGACTCGGAATAGGTCCTGGGCCCAAGGACCGGGGCCCCACCTGCAGTGCTAAAGGTGGCCTCGCAGCGGCCCAGGGAGCCTCTGTGGGGTAGGTCCAGCGCTGCTAAGATCTGGGCCTTTGAGCCTTTGGTTGGGGGGGGGGGGGGGGGCTCACCGAGCCTTGTGGGACCCTGAATCCCAGATCTCAGGGCGGACGGTAGCCGGTAAACGACTAACTCTGATTGGCAGTCCTAGAACCTGTTCACTAGCGCACTGGCAGACCTGCTGTGCTAGTCTCGTGTCTACCAGAACAATGATAAATCATATGTCTGTACGTGTTGCGCCGCCTCAAATCTGGTAAATTGTGTTGTTAGTGATGGTAATTTGCTGGTGATGCTGGACAGGTCACTCGTGCCTCTACTGGGTGGCAGCCGGAGTTGCTGAATGATTCCGTGTTTTCGTTAGCTTCCGAGGGACGGTTACAGTGGCGCACGCGGCAGCCAACAGAAGCCCTCGAGGTTTGGTGATGGTGTGGTAATGTGGTGTTGTAGTTGTTGGTGTACATAGTAAATGCAACCAGTCCCACTGATCAACCACATCCATTGCCGCGACTTCCGGATGCTGAAAGGAGGCAAGACGATGGGTAGACGCCTCGGCGGGGAGCAGATGCTGGAACTTGACAAGGTGATGATATCGCTTACCTGGAGAGTTGCAAAAGAAAAATCACTGGAAGACGTGCCCTGGAGGTATTAAATGTGGAAGATACTGAATCCACAAAACCTACCACGTGTTCAACAGGTGGGTTGAATGCAGGTCATTATCCAGCAACTCGGCTCGGCACGGCGCAGCTCTCTTTTAAGTCTGTAGTCTGGCTTGCTTTACTTCTTGAACGACAGAGGTGATACCATAGATTTCCCGATTCGTGTTCGGCGAAGGAGGCAACTGTCTGCCTGACGTATGCATCCATATGCCCTCCGTTGAAAAGAGAGGAGAACACCTGCTCATCTGATCCTCCTATCAAATTCCCATGACACTTCAAATTTCTCCAAGATAGCGCATCCATGTTAGTTCTACGCGTAAGACGTTTGCCTGCTGTGGAAAAAGCAATCACCCCCTGTCAACGTCGTCATCACTGAAGTGCCTAATATATGATTACTCGCACTGATCACTCAACTTCCTGCCCGGCGCTACACAAAGATCACCGAGCATGTAAGGCTTCTCTTAGAAGGTCAGCCATCACTGCACAATATTCCATCATGCAAAATAGATGATTCGTGGCTCTATAATTTCGACTTCGTAATTCAGATTGTGGCCCCAAAACCATCGTCATCTTTCTTTTTTCTCTCAGTTGTTTGTTATTGCTCTAGGCATTGGAGTTGAGTCGGTCCAAGTCGGTCCAAGTCGGACCGAAAGAGCTACTCACAACATGTTTTGTGATTGATTCATACATGCCTATCAATAGTGATGATCGATGCTACGCAGTATACTGACGATAACAAATATGTATCTTGAGATGCCATTGTGGAAAGTTAAGAACCAGACTTAACAGGTCTCTCCAAATGACAGACAATACACAATTTTGATATTGAAACGACCAAACCATGAGAGAAAAGTGTAGTGATCTGCTATTGTATGTTCATTATGAGGCGCGCGACGGATCGCGTGCCTTGGGATGAAGATGCGAGTACCTGATTCCATGTTGCCCCTAAGATGTGCACAATTTCCATCTCGATGGGGAGAGAAGGGAGAGAAAAAAACAAGAAGGAAAAAAAGACCAGGAACACCGTAACGCCAGACCCAAAATGTACAAGAGCACAAGATGCTCAATTCCCTTCATCCCAGCCTCTGAAGCCTCCTCCATAGTGGCCAGCCATATTTTGGCAGCCGGTACTTGTTTGCCTGTGGCGCCAACAGCCTCAGTTCCCCCGCAGCCGTACCGAATGATCTGACACCCTGCTGCTGCTGGGCGCAGGCTGCTGCAGCTTGTCCCGCAGATACGAGCTTGCCGGTGTGTCAGGTATGAGCGATCTCTGCATCGGTGGCTCGCGGGCTTGAGACGAGGCGTAGTAAGCTGCGCATAGAAACAGTCAGTCCATCATCTTTCTCTTCGATTCATACTTATGTAGATGAGCCTCTGTATGGGCCATAGCTGGGATGTCTTACCGAGTCCTGCGGCTGCTGCAACAGCTACTACCCTTGTCGTGACGGGTAGTCTCTGAAGCCGGGACGCCCTGGCGACGACCGGCTGGATCGTGGGGTAGTCGAATCTGGGGAGAGCCCCGCCGAATGAGTTGGTAGTCATCTTATTTATGTGTTTGTGTGTATGTACAGTATGTATGTGTGTGGGTTATGCACAAAAATGTGTGAGTCACTAAACAGTGGGTGCCTAGTGCCTGTTGTTGTTGTATTTGATGTCAATGAGTAAAAGGTGGGTGATGATGGCCTGCTTTCCATTGTAAAGACACACCACGTCGAGCGGGGACGGCTTAAATAGCTGAAAGTCTCGTCCAGCATTCTAAGAATGGAATCCTGCTATGTTGTCCATGTCTCACTCATCTAATGGCAACGGGTGCATGGGCGAATATCGCCCTGGGCTTTTTCGCAGCATCACGGGGTTCCAAGCATATGGTGAAGTATAAAACCACGGGTGGCACGATGGCCTGTGGCTGCTCAGATGGAGGTGGCGTGGTGGAAGGTGACGGTGGAGCCATGCCATGGGCCTGTCAAGGGCTGCACGATATCCTGCCCAACGTCATGTCGGCCGAGAAATCGCTTGAGGTACTATGCACCAGGGGCTGACCATCTCCGGAGGTCTAATTTGTTGGTCCGGGCTTCCCCATTAATAGATGAAACGGTCGAGAAGTGGGATGTTCATCGACAAACCAACGGGGCGATAGGCTGGCTGGCAGACTGTGAGAGGTTGGGCCGGAGTGCATCTGCAACCCGTTGTGTTCCGGAAATGAGCTGTGGTCAAGGCCATGCTTACAATGTGACCCTTTCAGTGACTCCGAAATATTATCGTGCCACTGCTGCGTCAAGCAAGGCGTAGGCACTGGTTTGTTTTTGTGCCTTAAGTCGAAGCAGACACAGGATCTGAACAGTGGCTTGACTCCGACAATTTCCCGTCATCTACTGTGTTGTTCACTGTCGACGACTTCGATGCTCAATACAGTCTTGACGTATCGACGAAGCCCTACAATCTTGGCACGGAACGATTGTATCGACAGAGACTGGTACACCTTGAAACATGTCATTTTGCTTTCCTTCTTCCCCCTTTTGCTCTTTCTCTCTTCTTTTCACCTCTTTTTTTTCTGTAGTTCCTTTTCAACAGCCTAGCGCTCCTTTCTCTGAGACAGCAGAAATAAGACGGCCATGCAGCACAACATAATTGAAGCGTGAGAGGCGATCTGGGCTGCTTCCTCCGAGCCTCGTGCCGCAGACGGCGCACCATTTCGAGCCTGGCCCCCAGTTGTGCCGATACTGTGCAGCAGTTGCAAGGCAGAAATCGCATTTTGGCACCTGGTAGTCAGCCAGCCATGATGAAGTGGAAGAGACTGGTCTCGCCCATATGAGCTTTGGCAAAGGGTAACTGGTGTGTGTGATGTGTGTGTGTGAGGGGGGGAGATAAGGGTCAAGAAGAAGGGAGAGAAAAGTCCCGAGTTGGCGACGACCTAGTTGGTGAGATGGTGAGCGTGGGCGACGAGCGCCCACGCTGATGACCCCTAATGGCCACTCAGTCACTGTAGGGCGTATGAAATGCCTATTTTTAGCGTCCGGGCAGCTACTATGCATAGTACATGGTTGGCTGTACTGTACCTTTGGCGGTGGAGCCACTGCATCTGGGGTCTCACGGTACAAGCATGGCAGCCAGGATCAATGGCTGCTCACCCAACCGCAGGGAGGTCTTGGAATCTTTTTCCATATACATAGAACATAGTAGATCTCTGCTCATTGATCGTCACGGTGGTATGCGTGCAAAATCTTGCAGCATCTGTGACCTCCTGAATTTACATCGTGAGGATTGTACTCTACCCATAAAGGAAACTGGACAACCTGTGCCGCCGAAGTCGCCACCCGATGCCCCCAGCCGCATGGTCCCCGTAAGTGAACAGCAGTTGGGTACAGATTGGTCGCCGATTGACTCGTTGATTGGCTGGGTATAATGTAAAAAAGCATAGGGGTGTGAGACAAGTCGTGTATGCCGTTTCACCAAGAAATACCCTAATCTAGATTGTTTTGTTCATGGTGTTTGTTGCGTGATCAATGTATTTCCATAGTGGCAACAAGTGCTTACCCTGGGCGGTCTGTGGTTACTAACAGTTCCTACAGTAGACTTAATTATATCCCAGTTACTCAGCCGCCGACACGGGGATCCTTCTCACCCTACAGGCGGGTCTACCCTAAGACGGATGGGATTTAGCGGGGGTTCCCAACGGCTTCGAAGGGCTACTGCCTCTGACAACCAACAAGGCCTTGTCTCCTTCTATCCCTTCTATCCATCCCCATCTCATTCTAGGGCTTACCATCAAACACCACTACCACCAGCAACCAACGCAGCAAATCGAGTTTGAGATTCTTGGACCCCAATGCAGAATCAAGGATCCCGCCACATTGTGCTCGATCCCTTGCAGGACGGTATCGATCAGATCGCAGATATGCCGGTCAAAGGAGCGGCTCAGACGGCTGCCAACCCACTGGTTCATGATACTCTACGTTTATGTGGACTCGCCCTGAAACCTTGGAGCATGTTGTCCCCATTTCTTTGTCTCTGGAGCTCCAAGCCTTGCTGTACTCTCCTCATGATTGAACCTCTATTTCACACTTTCCGCTAGGGCTCTTCTTCCGCACAGTTGTCTGTCTTTGGGCGTTTTACGCTTAAGGGTCTCATCGGAAGATGCTTCGATGCTTCACCGTGACGGGAGCCTTATCTTGTGTGTTTGGTCAAGCAAGTGCTAGATGACTAAAGCACTTCAGCCTGGTGGCAATGTCGCTGCGTTGCCATTACCACCTGGCGATGAATCGCTTTGAGAGTCTTCTGCCCCCCCCCCCCCCAACCAAACCGCCCCTCAACTACGGCCCGATTGTGAGGTGGGTGTGCTACCCAACATGTTCTTTTATCTCTCAGCACCTTGGAAAGGGTCGTATGCGGCATGGGACTTGGGAGGAAGAGTACATCAGACATGTTGGTCAGGCTTACTTGCCGGTTTCCAGTCAAAGAAATCATGATATCATGTCCACCTCGACCAGTGCGGTGGTAGCAAGCAACGGAAGGATCATGCACGTCAGCCTCCCACGCGCTTTAGACGCGGGCATCCAAAAGTCTTGGAGCAGCTGAGACGGGTACCGCTTGTGCTGATCTTGACGCCCAAGAGCTTCTTCATACAAGCGCTATTAGCGACAGACGCCGAAGGGTGCGCCGGTGTCAATGTGTCTGTCATCCCTGCCTGGTATGCCTTGCGTCTATCGTGTGTGTGGGCAGGGCAGAAGGGTGTCTTCTATTTCTTTTTCTGTTTCTGTTCTTGGGAATGGTGTCCAACTACCGATTTTGACCCCCAAGTCCCACTACGAAAAGGCCTCAGCCTCCTTCTGATGAAACATGACGCTCTTTTGCTTGCCCGCGCCCGCAGACACCCTCCAACCAGCCACCCCAAGTTCCGTGAGTTGGCTTCGCTTACTGGATCTAAGTAAAGAGATAGATCATGGAATCAAGCGGCGGCATGTTTTGTGACTTTATCCGCAAGGCTGGCAGCTGCTGGGATGGAGATATAAGTCCTGGGCCTCAGCAGCACCCCTCACAGCGAGAGACAGCCTCCTCCTCCATGCTCATCTAGCCTCAACTTGCTGCCAAACATTGGTCCGCTACTACTACAAATAAAAGTGACACCGACTATCTAACTACATTTACTCTTCAACTATCGCTATTCCAGCTTGTCGAAATATCAATCTGCTTGTGTTTCATCAACACTTATAGTTTCTTATTTTCCCCTGGGTTCCCTTTCGAGTAATGCCCTATGTTTTCCACCGCTGATAGCTCCTTGCTGTACCTTCATTTCGTCTCGGACGACTCATCATGGGTTTCAGACGAAACAGCGAGCAGCAGCAGCCCGAGCTCCGGCCTGCGTTGGCGGACGATGAGGCTCTTTCGCCGACGCTGGGGTGGAAGCCCAGCGGCCACGAACTGATGATCATGATCGTGTTGAGCGTCATCTCATGCATGGTCTCTCTTGACGCCACTATCATCGTCACATCTCTCAGTGTGAGTTTCCTCCTCTGCCTCCTCTTCACGCCAGAGCGACAGCTCTGCCCGAGCATGGACTTGAATTTAGACACACATTGCTAACTGATACGAAAATGAACCAGTCAATAGTAGAAGACCTCCAGGGCTCCACGACCCTGGGCATATGGGTTGGCACAGCCTATCTCCTCTCGACAGCTGTGGCCATGCCCTTCCTCTCCTCCCTTTCCGACATCTTTGGTCGTCCCATTGTACTCATATTCTCCGTGTCCATGTTCACAGTGGGCACCATCATCTGTGCCACTTCCCACGGCTTCGCCCAGCTTCTTGCTGGCAGGTCTATACAGGGTACAGGTGGAGGTGGCATTGTGGTTGTATCGCTTGTGATCTTCACGGACATCGTCCCCCTCCGGCACAGGCCCAAATGGTGAGCTCTTCTTCTTATCCTTGTTTCCAACGGGCCACACAGCTACTATAGCAACGAGCACATGAGACTAATTGGGTTCATACATTTCAGGTACGGTACTGTTCAGGGGGCGTGGGCACTTGGGACCTGCATCGGCCCAATCGCTGGTGGTGCCATCGCGGAGCACACCACGTGGCGCTGGATCTTCTATATCATGCTTCCCTTCTGCGCATTCGGGCTGGTCACCATCCCCTTCCTGTTGACGATGAAGCCCCGTGTGGAGACAATGGGTGTCAAGCTGCGGCGTATCGACTGGGCTGGCTCGCTCATCTTCATGGCCAGCGCTACCTCGTTCCTCATCGCCATCTCGTGGGGTGGCACGCAGTTCTCCTGGTCCAGCGCTGCCACCCTCGCGCCCCTGGCTGCAGGCGCTGCTGGCCTCGCCGGTACGGCAGTGTGGGAGCGTTTCGGGGCACGAGAGCCCTTCATGCGGCACGAGTTGTTCCGTTGTGCCTCTGCCGTGGCTACATATGTCTGCAGCGCCGCGCAGGGCCTGCTTCTTTTCGGCCAGCTCTACTACATCCCCTTTTACCTCATGTCTGTGCTGGCCTACACGCCCCTCCACACAGGTCTCTGCATGCTCCCCGTCATGCTGACGCTCGTCCCGTCTTCCGTCGTGACGGGCGCCCTCATCACGCGCTTCAACAACTACCGCTGGCCCATCTGGGCCGGCTGGGCCGTCTGCACCGTTGGCTGCGGGCTCGCCACCATCTGGGGCGTTGATACGCACGCCGCCGTGTGGGCCATCACCCTCATCATCCTGGGCTTCGGCCACGGCGCCACCTTGAACGCACAAAACTTTGCCGCCCAGGCCATCTGCGGCCCCGGCGACGAGGCCCACGCCGCTGCCACCTACGCCTTCATGCGCCACCTCGGCACCGCCCTGGGGGTCGGCATCGGCGGCACTGCCTTCCAGAACGTCATGGCGTCCCAGCTCCGCCATGTCGGCGCGCCTGTCGAGATAGCGAGGCAAGCCGAGAGCTTCCTGCCGCAGCTGCTCGCGATGCCTGCGGGCCAGGCTAAGGACGACATCGTCTCCGGCTACGTATCGGGCATCCGCGGCGTGTTCCGCGTCTACCTTGCCATCAGCGGCGTGGCGTTTTTCGTATCGCTGCTTATCCGCTTCTTCGACATGAACAAGGACCTGCGCACCGAGCACAAGCTGCAGGAGAACCGCATCTCGCGCATCGTCGCCTCGCCGTGGGGCCATAGGCGGGAGCACAGCACCGCGTCGTCGGTCAAGGAGCGCGCGGCGGTTGACGTGCTGCTGGCCGTCAAGGAGGTCCCTGAGAGAGACATTGCCTCTCCCCACTCGAGGACGTCGAGTCGGACACATGTCGATCTTGCGACCCCGCCGCCGGCATTTCTGAAAACGGACTCGATGACCCCGAGGGAGTCTTTGTCTACTGAGAGGCCTGCGACTGTTGGCGACGGCTGTTGAGTTCGAGCAGTCTTTATGAAAGAAATGAATCTACATATGAGAAGCATGACGTTGGAAATGAGATAAAATGAGTGAATTAATTTATGAGAATTATTGTAATTGAGAGGGGCGCTGTGGCTGGCTGCGTACTTGGTGGGGGAAAAAGCGCGGGATATACCAATGCTGTCTTTGTCAATGTTCTTCACACATTCTTAATACACGAATAAAGAGAGAAGGAGAAGGAAAAAAAACTAATCACGAATCTCTACGTTGCCGGTGCCTTTCTCGCATTGCTTGATTTCTTCTTATTGTGCGTGTGACTCCAGTCAATGCCATTGTTCACCGCCAGATACTGCCTTGGGAGACCCTCGAAATGCGTGGTAACACAGACTCACTACTCAAAAACCTTATACGACGAGACAGGATTTTTTTCAAGGCAAGGCTTTCGTCGGTGTGGAATTTTGAGGCCTTTCTGGCTAAGAAGCCCCCTTCTATTTGATGAGTCGTGATGCTGTCCGCTTTAGAGTACAGAATAATTGCAGCACACTGCATTGCTTTTCCCAACCGCCCATAAATGCCGTTCCACTTTTGTTTTTGCGTTCAAGCCCCATATCGCCTTGATCCGTATCCTGGAGAGGAACGCGCGCTGAACCGCATAGGACCATCATTACACATGCTCCTGGGCGACCAGGACCCCGTCGTCTTCCTACTGGACAGCGCTTCGGGCCTTCACCTGAGCGGCGCGGATCTCCTATCTCCTCGTGACCTTGTCAAAATCCGCAACGATGCTGTCTTTTTGTGAAAGCGCAGACTCAGAAGCCTCCTCCGAAGCGGATCCGTCTATGACTTTGCCTTGCTCGAGAGCTCTCTTCGCCATCGTCCTCGCCTGGGCATCCCCCACCTTGCCGTAAACACTCAGTGCAGTGGCGATCATGCCACCGATATCGCCGACGTTGCCCGGCACGACAACAGCTGTTCCCTCCTTGGCCAGCTTGCCGAACGCATCGACATACTTCTCTGCAACGGACAGGCTGACAGCACCCTGCGCTGCATCCTCGCCCTGAGCAATACTCCTGGCGACAGCATCAATACCTTGGGCTGTAGCCTTGGCTTTGAGCAAGATTGCCTCGCTCTCACCGCTCGCGCGATTGATTTGCTCAGCCTTCAGAGCCTCGGAGGCAAGGATGACACTCTGCTTCTTTCCCTCGGCGATGTTGATCGCGCTCTGGCGCTGACCCTCCGAGTCCAAGATCTCGGCTCGCTTGCTCCGCTCTGCAGTGACCTGTCTATGCATCGCGTCAACGACGGAAGGGGGCGCGTGGATGTCACGGATCTCGTAGCGCAGGCAGGTAACGCCCCAGGCTTGTGCGGCCTCATTGATGGCAGCAGTGATGTTGATGTTGAGCGCGGCACGCTCCTTGAGGACGTGGTCGAGGCTGAGCTGTCCGATCTCGCTGCGCATGGTCGTCTGGGCAAGCTGGGAGATGGCGTATTCGGCGTCTTCGACTCCGTAGCTGGCGGTAGGGTGCATGATTAGTACATAGCGCTGCACAATGAAATGGTAACAAAAGGGAGGAGAATGGAAAATGTAGATCATACCTGGCCTTGTAGGCATCAAAGACCCTCGTGTACAAGACACCATCGAGGTCGAGGGTGACATTGTCAGCCGTGATGGCGCTCTGACTCGGGATCTCGATGGCGACCTCCTTCAGCGACTTGACATATGCGATGCGGTCGATGAATGGGATCATGATGGCGAGACCGGGCTCGAGGATCCTGTTGAACTTGCCCATGCGCTCGACGATCCACGCTGTCTGCTGGGGCACGAAGCGGATGATGGTGTTGGCGGGCAGTGATGGCTTCTGGAAGTACGAGGTGGCCATGCCAGGACCTCCCGGGCCTGATATGCCCAGTATTGAGGAGTTGGGCGCGCCATGGCGGGAGGACTGGGAGAAGCTTCGTGTAGTCTGAGAGGTGGGAAGCCGTCTGTGGGTGGCGGTGCTGCTGTGGTGACGTTGAGGGACGAGGCTGCCGCTGCGAGCAGATGCTGCTGCTGCTGCTGCTGCTGCTACTGACAGAAGGCGAGCTGAGTGTGTTGTCGGGTTGTGGAGGGAAATCCCCTGGCGTATGACAGGCGCAAGGCCCTTTTGCATGGAGACCATGGCCATTGTCACCGTTGCTGCATCTGCGTCGTCTTGGTAGCCGTGGGTTGTGAAAGCTTGGTGTTTTGGACAATTGGGGAAAGTCCAGGGTTTCCAGAAAGGTACGTCAATTGCTATGGTAGGTAGTTCTGAGCAATCCCTGCCTGCCGAGTACCGCAATACAGTGCGTCGACGCCGGCTAAACGTTAAGGCAACATCCCGCAATTACCTTGCCACACCCTGCTGCTATTGTAGAGTCCAATCAGGCGATGTCAGTTATAACTAGCAATCAGAAACAGGGGTCTTCAGGCCCAGTCAGGCGTTGAAGGTGCTAAAGTTCTAGCGTCTTGACCAATTATTTTGCGCCGCTGCACTTTCTTACTGCCACTTGGTGAGGTCATTGATTTCGGCGCAGCATGACAGTAGTTTGAAAGGACTGCAGGACTGAGAGAGTAAATGGGGATATGATAGTATGGAGGGGACCGTCTCCTCTAGATCAATCTTCAAGGGTTGCACGTTTCTTTCGAGTTTCTACAGAGTACATTTGAAACTCTCTCAACGTATTCTATGCCCTTTCGTACCAGGAGGCCCGCTATCGAATATTCCCTGCTATCATCCAGTCTCGATTGTACTTCCAGGCACACATTACCCCCAGTAACTTCAACTATGCCCCCCAAGAACCCCCTCCGCGACCTCACCCCCACAGAAGCAGATCTCACAGACGATCCGTCCTCCACCTCCACCTCTGCGTCTCCGCCTCGATCCGGCGAGACCCTCCGAGAGAAAGCAACCAAGAAACTCCACGGGCCAGACGCCAACCCCAGTCAGCTGGGCGACCCCGTCAGTCTCAAGGCCGAGACCACTGACCATGTTCCTGCGCCGAGCGAAGAAGGGGCTCGTGGACAGGAGGACAAGACGAAGGGGAAGTCGAGACTATGAGCAGCTCAGCACCGACAAGACCTCATCTCAACCTTCGGCAGCTAGACAGTCGACCCTGCGGGAAGAGTGGTCGTGGTCTGGCTTTTTGTCCGGGTGCGCTGTGGGATTCATCACAAGGGGCCATGTTAGGACTACGCAGCAGAGGTTCTGAAGACACTCTTTTTGTTGCTTGATATTCTTTCCCTTCGAGAAAGCTGGAAACGTTGTAGACTGGGTGCAGGCTTGGAATCATCCAAGAAAGTCTCACTGCCGTCAATTATCGAAAAATACTTATTCCTACACTGAACTTTCTTAACTCTCAAGCATTGTTCTTCATTTTTGTGCCATCCATTCTATGGCTCTACTGTTGTATCATACATCCGTTCTATGTGTTCCCTTGCATACACCGTTAACTCTATTGCGTGACATTGACGCCTGGTGCTAACCATGACTCTCGATTTGACTATTTTTACACTACACCAGCATCAAGTCCCAGCTCTTTGCCCACAACGCTGAGGGCCTGCGCGACCAAGCCAACAATCCTCTCATCCCCATTGTTGACATTGACCATCACCGCGCGCACCAACAACGGGTATAGGCCATATAGGTGCCTGGCGCTGGGCTTGTCGCCATTATGAACACGTACGCCAGGGATGGCCTCAGGCTCGCTATGTAGGTTGATCAGACACCTCAACACACGCTCGAGCTCGCGCCTTTGAGAGAGCGGCTGCGGCATACGGCCGCGTAAAGGTTGGTCTGCGACGTAGGCACGCAGCGTCAGAGCACATCGCAGGACGAGGTAGGGCGCTGCAGTCAGCGCGAGGCGGACATGTAGTGCGTGGGTCGTTTCTCCAGTGCTGTTTGTTTGGTCTGTATCTTTCTGCTGTGTGCCGCCAGTCGTGTCAGGTACCGGGGACTTCAGAGGGTCAAGAGCATTTGGCGCAGCTGAGGCGCCCGGCGGGGGAAAGCGAGGCGTCGGCGGCTGCAGCACAATGTCGGGTCCCGCGGCTTTCTCATCATGAGCCGTGACGAGGTCAAATAGCTCATCTAAGCACACATAGCTCATCTCTTTCCTCTTGGTAGGTTGGGGGTCAATCGTCCGGCCGCCCCGAGGCTTGCATAGTGTGCCGAGAGCTTGGTGCAGGTCATCAATGCTTTCGCTATCATTACCGTAGATGATGTCTGCTTCAGCCGGCGCTGGGGTATGGATGATAGACGTCCGGAAGAGTCCTTCTGCGAACCCTTTGCGTGTCTTGTCGGGTATCAGCTCAGAGCCCAGGGAAGGAATTATGAGCTCTTTGAGAGAGCGGAAGGCTGCGATATCGAACTCCTGATCGCTCACGATATTTGTCCCTGTCGAGGCGTTCTCGTAATTGGCAGTGATGATGCCATTCGAGATGCTCATCACCACATCCCAGATCTCTTGCACTGTGGCTCGTGAGATCTTTGCAGCCTTGACCTGTGGAAGGGTCGACTCTAGCACTGCCAGCACAGATGTCGTTGCTACCTTCCACAGTTGCTCAGACTTTGTAACGACCGGGAAGTCATATTTGAGAACGATAGGCTTTGCTATCGCGGTCAACGCTTTCGAAAAAGCGCCGCTCACGTAGATATCGACGTCCGTTGCGTTAGACAGCACATGATACTGCAGAATGCCCATGCTCTCCTTCGCCATCGCAATGTAGGTGCGCTTCGAGGTTGGCGAAGTGGCTCCTCGCTCCTGATCAAAAGCAAGCAGGACAAACTCAGAGACCTGGGATATTATGGCAGACGGCACGCCGGAGATGTCCGTCCGCACAAGTTTGACAACCTCTAGGATACGACCTTGTAAGGGTGTCGCGTACTCGATATCACTCGCGTACGACCCTGGCGTGGCTTCGAGCATGGCCTCGTGGAGCAATTCGAGCAGCCTCTTGACCCTGTCAATCGAGAGCTCCGCCTGAATGAGGCGGTAGAGCTCAAGAAAGGCCTCCACCCAGGATATCAGACACCTCTGGCTGTCTTCATGCTTCCCATTCTCGGATGGCCCTGCCACTGGTATGCGCCGAGACCAGAGGTCCCATACAAGGTCGATAGTCTTCTTGTCAAAGCTCGATTTGCCTCCTTCTTCGCACTTTGACAGGATGCCTCCAAGACTCGAAAAAGTTGCGCTGTTGATATCCAGGGCCTGAAAATCCAACATAGTCGCAAAGTGACCGATGAGGTCTTGCCACAGCGCTGTGAAAGCCGGATACGCCGTCAGAATGTCCAGGTAGCTCGCGAGTAGGCTGGAGACGCCCTGGACAACAACAACCGCAGTTTCGTTCCACTCTGCTCTGATATCACCCTCGACACCCTCATCCCTAACTATTCGAAGTCTATCTTCGATAGACGACAGCAGCTTGAATATGACGTATTTAACAGAGATTGACCATGCTTGTGGTCCGAGGTTGTTGCCATACGCATGAATTATGCGCAGTAGGGTGTGAATGGCACTGTTTCTCAGCTCTAAACGCTGATCTGTTGTAACAGCAGTAAGGCGTAGAAGCAACAGCATCCAAAGGGCTGCACTTGAGCCATCTTGGTCAGGGTGAGAAGCCAGTTCGATAAGTGCCTCATCTCTAGCACCACCAATCATTTCCTCCGTGATAGACATTGAATTACTGCTCTTCTCAGAGAGGAAATCCGATATTGCCCAGAAAAACGTGACAGTCTATCAAAAGTCAGACTTAAGCCTTATAGGTAGGTATCAAATGCATAGCAAAAGAGTTGGGGCAAAGGGAAAATAGAAAAGCACCCTTCAAGGAGAGAGTACGACATACTGTCAGAGCCACATTGAGATCATCATCTTGTGAGCAAAATTTGTAGAGGGTATCCACAAGATTAAGGAAACACAGGTTAGGTAGTGAGGATAAGAAGTCCGAACATATGAGCTGAAGCGAGCCGAACGACGCCTTGATGAGTTTAGTTGATCGAGTCGTCAGGGTACTCTTTGACTCGGCGCCACCTGTGGTTGGCAGTTTGTCGACGAAGATACTGTCGATAATTTCGAAGGTAAGATCCCATCCACTAACAAGACTCTCGCCACAATTCTCGAGTATACTCTTCAGCCCCTCGAGGACGACACGATGTATTTCGATGTCGGTGGAGTGACTCGCTACAGACCTCTCGCGGTCCTCTGCCTGCATTGGGAGCAAAGCATCGCGGAAAGCCTCCAAGAGTCGCAGCTGAACCTGCCCACGGATGTCGCCTGCCAAGGATGCAGTAGCATTAGCGGCTTCAAGTATCAGCCTGACGAGAATGTCTGCAGCTCTCGTTCTCACCGGTGCCGATGGGTATGCCGAGCTCAGGGCTAGGTTTAGCTCTGAGATCAAAGGTTCCCACCCAGACACGTCGGGTGGATTGACGAGAAGTCGCTCAAGATTGATGCTCGCCAGGTCACCCAGTTTAGCCAATGCAAACTGGTCCGCCTGAACGGGACCAGATGATGATAAAGTAGCCGGCATTCTCCTGTAGGTAGGAGACTGCGGCTGAGAGCTGCTCTCTTCAGGAATAGTCTCTGGTCGCCCATCTCTCTCAGTGGCATTTTGGTCCGGTTTGGATCGCTTTTCCAGCAGCCCGCAAACCGCATTGACGACTTCCAAGAAGGCACCATTAGGGAAGTCAATTGTGCTCTCAAAGAGCCTGGATGCTGCCGTTTCCACAGACTTTATCTCGGTGCTGAAATTGGCAAGCAGGGCGCTGGCCTCCTTGTCGGCATTCGGGTCAGGTCCTTTAGCCGCGATTGGCGTCCTGCCCGCAGTCTTCCCCGTCGTGAACAAGACAAAGTCTGCTTGCTGTAGGGTTTCCAGGATAATTTGCCATGAGGCGGAAAGTGTTGGCCCGAGTGCGATGCCCAGGTTCAGTAGGGCTCGCAGGCACAGGAGGTTGCGTGTATTGAGGGCCGTCGAACTGGCATCAAATGACTGCGACCTTGACTTTTCTGCTGCATTACTCTGGCTGACAAGATTCTCGACACTCAAGAGACCTCTAGCGTTGCCGAGGATGCTGTTGCCCGTCGATTCGGAGGGTTGTACAGTTGATGACTGTCGTGGTTGGCCAGCATTTAGACAAGCCGTGAAGACATTTGCAGGCACGGCAGCCTTGCCCAGCGTCGTTAGGAATGCGTCGCGGGGAGTAGATAGCTGCAGCAACCCGGCGACGTGAGCAAATCGCTGAAACGCCCTCACCAGACCATGGTAATATTCGGAGTCAAGAGCAGCGTAAAGAAAGGTCGAACACGTAGCAAGAATGGCGGGCCAGCATTCATCGATAATGGCCGCACATGTCTCGATTTCGGGAAACAGAGGATGTTCTTTAAGGGTGAGGGGGTTGACAGGAACTGGATTCTTCTTGAAGGATGCAGATCTCTCCAGAGAAGACGGTGTGTCGGGTCGTTCCTCGCTTGCATCAGCCGATGAGCCTGGCCTCCCACGTCTTCGACCTCGATCGCCAGGAACCGTCAGAGGCAGCACAAATTTGGCCAGTCCCTCAGAGAGGGAGGTAATACAGGCTAATGTGAGGCTGTACACGTAAGACTCGGGGATGGGAGGCGGGTCTGTCTTGTCAAGCTGATCGATACAAGGGACACGCATGGAGCTCCACTGCGTGCTGATTCCAGTATCGTGTGCATTTCCTCCTACTGAACCGGCAATGACGGAGACACTGACTCCACTAGCGTCGAGGACCGCCTGGTCTGCCGATGTTGAGTATGGATTGGCGACAGGAATAGTTGATTGGTGTGCGAGACCGATCACGACAGGCTTTTCCGTGCTCACGCGGACGAATGTCGCGGTCAGATTCTTGAGGATAGTCTTCCCCCCCTCCTTGGCATCGAAAGTACGGAATATCCTCCGGATCAGAGCGGGCTCAGCAAAGATGCCTCGAAACACCTCCATGCACAATGACCTCTTCCACAAGGCCGTGTCTTGGTCGAGGATCTGTGTCAGGATCTCCAGGGCCTCGCCACTCTCCTTGGGCAAGAGGGCGATGTGTCTGCGCAGCAAGGTGTAGAGTATGCGAAACAGCCTAACTGAGGAGGCGAAGTGTGGTCTTCCGGAGAGGGTCTTAATGATGAAAGGCATGACCTTGGTCCGGAGGATGTGGACCTGCTCAGGATGGGTCGCAAATATGCCCGCATGGTTGGTCAGTGCTGATTCTATCAGCTCCAGGCCAAATGTCTGCTGAAGCCCAGAGAACCGAAGGTACTCTGGCCGCTGGGCCTGTGTCAAAAGGCAGAGGTCGTTGAAGATGCGGTAAGCATCGAGAGCGGCTGCTCTCAGCTGCACTTTTCCATCATGTGCGGGTGCCTCCCCAGCGAAAGGTGCGTCAGGCAGCTTATCCTCTGCAACGACCTTTTCGAAAACGGAGACAATCAACTGCTGGAGAGTGGCAGCGGACGTGTTGTTGACGATGGCATTCTTGCTAGATTGCAGGATAAAGCAGATGTTCAGCGCTGTCACCAATAAGTTACTTTTAATATCGATAGAATAGTTCTGGAGAAGAGATGGGAGGGCCTGAAGGATCTTGAGCTGAACATCGAGGCCGGCAGAGGTCGCCTCACGGAGGGCTTCGAGGACAGGGCTCAATTTAGACCTAGGCAAAGCCTTGGAGACGATGAGCCGCTGCAGGCACACGATTGCTATGCTGGTGAATTTTGCATTCTTTGTCCCGCATGCAATTATGAAGGGGTTGGCGAAATTGACTCTTTGAGATAGTTCTACCGAATTGTTCAGTCAGTCAACCTGCTATCATGCCAGTCAAGCCATTTCAAACCAATACCAGTCCAGCTGTTGATGAAGTTGAAGGAAAGTTAGAGCAGCATTGCATCTTGCCGATACCCCAGCCACTTCTAACGGAGATCGCCTGTATCTTCGGTCACCAGGACAGGCAGGCAGGGCTGTCCCATGGGGACAATGATGACTGACCTGCGCCAAGCTGGGCCTCTGTAACACGGAGGCCTTTGAGCTCCTCGAGCGACTTCTCGGCGGCCTGTACTATGAGATCAGTCACGCAATGAAACAAGACGGAAGTCGGCCCAGGGAAAAGTCTACCTGTCTAAGGTCCTGGTGTTTACGCTTGCTCTCAGTAATGAGGTTATTGAGCTCCGTCACAAGGAGCTGGGCGGACATGGTGACCTTTCGAGGAATTATTTCCGAACCTGGAGATCATGGCAACGTGTGGCTTCCAGGTACTAATAGGCTTTTCTGCAAATATCTGGCCTCATGATGTGGTGGCTCCACGAATAGGAGTGGTTTTCCTGTTGTCGTTGGCTGGTTGGCGTCAAGAGGATTCGACATGCTGGGATGAGTTGACAGGAGGCTCAAGATGCCACATCAATCGTCGTCACCCAGCCCCAGGGGCCCAGGGGTTCGGGTTCAGCCAGGACAGGGGTCTCGAGCTTAGTCATGAGTACCATAGCTGATACCTTCCCAAGTGCCAAATAACACGCACAGCAAGAACGGGAAGGAGTGGGTTTCGCGGGGCATGCTTGCCATGGTTCCACTGAGCAACACCTCCAACTTGTACCCAAATGCCCCGCCTCGGGCTTGGATTCTGACCCTGTGACGACAACAAACAATTCTCCAAACAACACCTCCTACAACAGTGTCCTGCGCCCTATCTACTCCTGCTCTTCCTGCTCCTCCTCTTCTACTGCAACTTGATCCTCTCCTGATCTGACCCATCCGCACAAACACCATGGCTGTGGCTGCGACTGTGCCGCGCAATTTCAAGCTTCTCGAGGAGCTCGAGAAGGGAGAGAAGGGCCTGAGTAACGGTGCGACCAGACTTCAACGCCAGTCATATCAAGAGGGAGAGGGGCGTGGAATGCTAACTATCGGGCTTTCTCTTCAGGCACTTGCTCGTATGGCTTGGAAGACCAGGAGGACATCTCGCTGACCAACTGGCGAGGCACGATCATGGGACCTCCTCACGTATGCGCGCGTCCCCACCTCCACGAGCTCATTGTTGGCAGCACAGGCCAAGAAATAGACACGAGAGACTACATGACAGCTGATCACACGATACATGCGCCATAGGGGCACTTCGAGAACCGAATTTACGAGCTCAAGATCGTCTGCGGTCCCGAATATCCCAAGCAACCCCCGGTCATTCACTTCATCACCCAGATCAACCTCCCGGGTGTTGACCAACATTCCGGTCTCGTCGACAAGAACACTATCGGTGGCGAGTTGCGAGACTGGGAGAAGAACGCCAATGACACAGGACCAAGAGCGCAGCAGAGGGTCAGTATCGAGGCCGCTCTGAGCGCCATAAGACAGTACGTACACCACACTTATTACATGGCTTGGTCTCCGTATGGTGGGTGCTTTTTGAAAACATACTAACGAGCACACTCTTGAAGCCACATGGAGCAGTACAAGAAGCTCCCTCAACCTCCCGAGGGCACTAAGTACGCCGAGTAGGGTATGGCGCCATGGCCATGCGACTTCGTAGAGGGAAGTTGGCGAATTCCGAGTGACTGGTCTGGACTGCAAGACGATACAGACAATATCGAATGGATGAGACGAGACAGGACAAGATATTTCTAGACACAGAAAATGAAGCATCTGACAACAGGGGCGTCTTGTCGTGAAGGGCAAGCGAATGGGGGAGCCTATGATTTTCTTTCGAGACGCTGCATTTTCAAGGGGTTCAAGGCTGGTTCGGACTACATGGAGTAGAGTTGGCCTCATCATTCGTCATATGAAATACATTACGATCTGAAGGCAAGTCTTTGAGGATGAGTTTGTAGTTGGAGTGTCTTCGTTTGGGCTGGCAACGGCGTGCAGCCTTGGGAGAAGCCTTTTGTGGTCCGAGCTTCCCCACCAGTACCGGTACGTCAGTTGCAGCAGCTTGCACCAACACGGGCGAAAAAATCCATCTTCGCCCAAACTTCCGCCTCCTTCATTCTACGCACCGCTCATCGCGGCACTTATGGATTGAGTGATATATGGTCTCGAGGCAGCTTGCCCTCAGGCCCAAATGAATGCCTTCATTCTTTGTTCCCGCCCGCGACTCGCGGCATAGAGCAGCATGTACGCTGAAAATCCTCCAGTCCTGTTCCAACGACTGAGAACGCAGACCTTCAGACTGATCGCTCCCCCTCCTGCCAGGCTTCGCGCTCTACCGAGCCCTCCTCCGTCTGGTCCCAAAGGTCACCCTTCCAGATGACCTCTTCTCACGACCCGACTGGCAGCACCCCATCCGCTACCTCCTCCGCACCAGCTTCCAGCGCAACAAGAACGACACCTCTCCACGACTTGTCACCTCCGCGCTCAAAAGCGGCTACCGATCCCTGACCCTCCTCACCCGCGCACGGGATGCCTCGAGCCCACAGCATGCCGAAATCGTCGCCTTCCTGCGCGAGCGACAGGCCGCCTTTCCGCCGCCCAAGCCCCCTCCTCCGCAGCCTGAGCCCCCCAAGAGGGAGAGGCCCCCGCCCCTCTTGACGAGGACGAGCAGTCCGCACGAGATGCCCGTGTACACGTCCACCGTCCGCCCGCTACCACTATCCGAGATCTCTGGTGGTGTGCGCAAGGTGCCCGTGCTGGACGAGACGAACAGCATTGCCTTCCTGCGCATCGGCAAGCCCCAGTCGCACTGGCACGCCAACTTCCTGCGTCGCAAGGCGCTACGTCGGCAGGCGCGAATCACGACCGTGCAGGAGATGTGGGAGGACGTGCGCCCCTCTGCGGCAGAGGAGGATGCATGGGAGCGCCGGCTGGAGGAGCTCGCCGCCGAGGAAGGGGTGGATATTATAGATGTTGGGGACGAGGGCGGAAGCCTTCGCATACAGTCGCACAAGAGGAGCCAGACGTTCGTGCTTGGGCCTTATGAGCGCACCGTCAGGGAGTACGGAGTGGAGTATCTGCGCAAAGCATTGAATGACGAGGCGGAGGATATGGTTGCACGGTCGACGGCGATGTTGGACATCGTGGATGAGGAAAGGAAACTTGCGGCGCAGGAAAGGCTGGCGAGGAAGGAGGAGAGACGGAAGGATTGGGAGGAGAGAACGAGACAGGAAAAGGAGCAGGCACAGCAGCAAGAGTGAGTTGCAGTGCCGTGCAACAACGAGGACACCGAAGCACGAGCTCCAAGAACAAGCAAAAGGACAAGCTTTCCAGGTGGCGAAGTAGGAGTCGAGTTGGCTATGCTTTTATATGCTATGTACAAGATGGGGTGCAAGGCCGTGTCCTGGAACAAATTCCCCTGTCGACCCGGACAACCCGCAGCTATCTCTCCCACGACGAAAGGGAGTCTACCGCTAGCATTACAAAACATCATCACTCTTTATGGCTATGCAAAACGCATGGTACACATCACTAGGGCGGAAACCAGGCGCCCGTCCTAAGCACACGCCACGGTCCACCAGTTCTACGATCGACATATCAGCACACATGTCTCCTCTCAAAGAATAGTAAGAGCAGCTGGAGATTGAGACTTACCGCGAACAAACTTATCGATGTCCAGCGTCACAAGTTTCCTAGCAGCGTGACCATTGCCAGGAAATCCCATGAAGCTCGCGGCTTCCTCAAATATACTGTCACTCAACCCATCACCCACATCCCATGGCCTGTCATCGGCTGTCACCGTCGGCACCGCTGACAGTGAAGGCGACCCAGAGTTTGGCGACAGCGAAGCCCACTGGTCATACGCAGCCTGCACATCGAACGAGCCCTGTCGGCCCTCCTTAAACCACTCCTCATCTACCTCCACCGTAACGTAGTCCTGACCAGGCTGAATCACCACGCCCCTGCTCCTGAGATACAGCTCGACCTCATCTGCGTCGAAGAACTCCCCCTGGAACCCCGGCAACATGATCCTCATCTTCCCATCGACACGCTTATCCCTCGCGTCGGTCGTATTGGCGTCAAACGGGCCCAGTCCGAACGACGTAGCAAAGGCATGCTTTCCGACATCCTCTGTGCCCCTGTTCCCCGGCAGCGGCAGCTTCCCACCGCGGACGTTGGGACCAGCAGCAGTAGAACCGGCAAAGGACCTCTGTCCCGTCCCGCCCAGCGCCCAGAACGGCGCGGCCCAGTAGTTGAGAGACTCGGCCGTGGACCGCGCGAGGCCGCGCGCGATGCGCTCGCGGATCTGGTCGACGGATTCGAAGAGCATGCAGAAGCCAAAGATGCGGGCGAAGGCATCTTTGGGAGGGTTAGGCATCGTGATGAGCTGGTAGCCTCTCTCGAGAGCGTGGCGCTGTAGGCGGCGGCCAAAGGTTATTTCGTTGAAGGCGAGAGAATCGGGTGTGGACAGGGAGAGGGAGTAGAGGAAAGGGGAGAGGGGAGGTGGAGATATGGTGGGCGTACTGGAGCGTTGAGGTACGAGGTTAGGGTTGGTACTAGTACCGGTGAAGAAGTCTGGGAAGGTGGCGGACACATCGAATGTAAAGTTCGTGCTGTCAAGCGATGACATCGTGGGGACTTCTTCATCGAACCCCAAGGGCGGCGCCTGGCTAGTTGCTATTTGGCCATCAGGCATAGAGAGATCGGCCATGGAGAGGGCGTGGTCCAGCTCAGCTTCATTCATGACTTCGTAACCCAAGACGGTAGTGTTGTTATTGCCGTCGTTGTTGTTTGTGTTCTTTATGTTGCTGGAAAAATGAGACACATCAAGGGTCTCTGAAGAGCTGGTATCCTCTATATGATGTTCTGGTGAGTTGCTTGAGTCTTCTGAATCTCGCTCGAGGCTCTCGTTCCCGCTCCTCTCGCATGACCGTCTGGTGAGCGAGAGGAATTTCTCCGTCGTCAACTGGAGCTCACGAGCAAATTCGGGGGCCATGCGGACGATTCCATGGTTCACAGCATAGTCATGGAGTCTCATGAATGCGTTAGTCATCTCTTCGTTGGTCTCCTGTAAGTCTTGAACATTCTTTTCAAGAGACTGGATGGCATTCTCCTTCCTGCTCCGATAAGCCCTTTGGGCTAATCGAATTTGAGTCCTTCGTCGCTACAAGGTATCAGTCACTCTGGATCGGGGCCTAAACTATTCATTCATACAAGGTGGCAAGGCGAGAGTGGGTTCTGGAATGTGATGATTGTATGGAGCACAATGGGATCTCCCACGGCATAATGTAGCCAAGAGAACCAGAGAGACACTAGGAAATTAGGAGTACCTACGTCGACAGCAGTCTGGTCTTTCGTATCCAGCCTCGGTCTTCCCCTAGCTTTTCTCCCCTTCTCATCTCCACCGTCCTGGTCCTCAACCGTGGCAGCGGTTCCCATGGAGGAGGTCTTTGCCTTCTTGCGTGGCCCATCATCCACTGATGGCTGGTGTGCTTTCCTCATTTTGCTGCTCTTTCCAATGGTGTGAATCCCACTATACTGCTCGGCGTTCAGGATCGCAATAGGCGAAGCCATCGTGTCGTGCCGGAGCTTCATATCCAGCAACATGTGAAAAGTTATTTCTCCCAGATGATTACCGTGCCCTCTGAGTGTGTCCCACAATAGTGGATGCTGCGTTATGGAATCAAGCACGTGGAGAGCAGGCGAGATCGGCAGTAAAACGGTTGAGATGCCAATGCCGTTGCCCCTCGTCAACGTTGTGGACAAGGGATGTCGGTACTGCGGCGGCTGCGTGCGGATGTGCCGGCTGGATGCTGGGCTGGATGCTGGGTGTGGCGCCCTGCCTATTGCAACGACAACGACTGGAATCTCTCTCTTTGTGTGTGTGTGTGTGTGTGTGTGTGTGTCTGCAGGCGTGTCCTTCCTGTATATGTTCTCCACCCACCCAACTTGAATTGCTCCTACTCAGAGGGACCGATAGGACCAGCAGGTGTCCCCAGTGGTATGTTCAAAAGACTGAAGGGCGATATGTTGAGGCGAGACTAGGCCTATTCTGTAGCATAGGTGTCTTGATTCCAAGGCTGTCCAAGGTCTCAAGAGTGGATCACTGCGGATTCTCAGGTTGAAATAGTCCAGGCGAAGGCCTCGATGAAAGGTCTCTCTCACTATGTGATGCCGAAAGTTGACCGTCGAGAATGTTCCCGGGATTTGGAAATGGGTTGACACTGGCACGGGTCGAGAGGTGACTCAGGGCTGTCCGCTCTGATATCTACCGCGCCCTTCCGGATCAAGCACCGCTGATTAATGAAATATTTGCCTAGAGTGGTACACTTTCAAGTTTCGTAGTAGGTAGGGATAATGTTTAGCAATGCACATTTGAGACCTCAAGCCTATAGCGTAAGCTGCACCTCGTAAGTAGACGCTGACTGGCGGCGCCTTGCATTTGTTGCTTGATGGTGTGCAAGTTGGGAATAATTGAACATGGGGGTTATTTTCGCGATTACTGAACAATTGCCATGGACTGCTTTGTCAGACTTAAGGTGGGCCGACTAACAGGAGACATCTCATCTGCTGTGGACGTTGTACGCTGTGACGTTGGCGCTTGTTATGGGCAAAGCTATGCCGCAAAGGGCACACACCGCTTACAGATCAGGATGACAGTCCTGGAACTGTAGGGGTATGAAGTTGTCCTTGATGATTCCACATCACACTCCACCTTCTACCCTGGCCAATCAAGGTATGCTCGGTCGTTTTCAGGGCTTACCGCTCAGCTCTACACGTCGCGGTGTACACAGTAGTGTCATTCTCTGCACAAGCGAGCAGTAGCCTTTGCTACCTCAGTGCAGTCGGCGAGCAGCAGGGTCGTTCCTTTCAACGATGCTGCAGAAGTGACGCGATGGGCCGACAGCAACAAGAATATCAATGATTGCCGATGGGTCTGAGATGGGCTATGATGTATCATAGCAAACCCTGCAGGATACCGTTATACACAATCTAGCTGGCGATGGAAGAAATCGACTGTGACGCGCCTCAAGAGGCTGTGCATACTGGTGGGTCTGTCGTATGCCAGAGAGAGAGGAGAACAAAGAAGCCGTGCTGCCATCTATTGACGATGTTCATTACAGTATAGGCTAGTCAGCCCCTGAGGACCCTCTCTAACCCTGTCTTGACTTCAGCTATATGGTCCTCCTTGCCTTTCTTGGAAAAGCATTGGAATCTAGAGCCCAAGATGAATGACTAGTAAAATAGATTGCCCCAGGTATATGAAGAGCACTCAACTCTTTCAGGTTACTCGAACTTCCCGCACAATTCAATGACAGCCTTAACCATAGGTCGAGAGGTAATTTGCTGGGGGAGGACTGGGACGCTTTGGTAGAGAGTCTCATCAGTCAAGAGAATGCCGCGTAACAGGATCATACGCGCATCGTGTCTGACGCACTCTAGCTACATAATTACCCGCTGCCGTGAGCTGATATTGCTTCATATCAACGCTTGTTTGTCGTTCCACCGAGCCTCCTATCTTCAGCCTCGCAGACTCCTGGCAGCATTGTCTTTCATGAATGTTTGCTAGAACAGAACGATGAATGCCCACCACGCTGTTGTATGACGTTACCTAGACAAGTTTGAATCAATGTTTGGCGGTGATCTCCGAGACCCGAGAAGGCATCTTGCCGTCGGTTGTTACCAAAGGTGAAGGGAGGTCGAAGAGGTCACCGTCATGTATAAAACCATTGTACTATACTGCATATAATACGGGTCCATTTTCGGGTCCGTGGTGCTCGTAGTTGAATCTCCTACACCTCCAAGATCGTACGTGAAGACCACATATTTCCCGTCCTTGACCTCCGTCCGTAATCTTCACTGCCACTTGGCACACTTGCTCTTTCTGTTAAAACGAGCCCTGACCATACTATGGTTGCGCCATCGCTGGCTGCCCACGGGCAGACCAAGTGTGCTCGCGAAGCATGCGCCGACAGACACGCAGATAGGTCGTCATGGTGTGAAATGCGTCAGTGCCCCCCTCAATCGCTATTCCATGACAGTCAGGTTTGTCCAGCATTTGTTTCTTACTGCGGAAGACCATCTTTAGATACCTGCCGGGGTGGCGAACATGCACACTACAAACCTCGAAGCTACGATAAGTGTGAAGGATGCGAGCAATGTTAGTGTATTTGCTCAATCGCGTTGGCTCTCTGTCTGATTTCGATATGATTGAACTAATGCGACTGCTTCAACAGTTATGAGGAGTATTAGCAATGCCTTTAAAGAAGGCAAGGCACAGGGCAGGACAGAGGGCATAGCAGAAGGCCTGCAGGAAGGCAAGGGAGGGGGATGTTGTTGCTGTGTTATTATGTGATCCTCGGAGCTCGATTTATTTGAATATGATGTGAAGATCTGGAAATAAGGTTGCCAAGGTTCCGAGGCGAGGTTCTATCTGATATCATGAGTGTTCAGTGCCCGTCTATGGATTTTTATCAACTCAATTTAAGATCGTCATGGGTCAAAACCCGAGATCATCAATAATGACATTGCTCCTTTCCTTGTTCATTCCGGATTCGTATCCTGACCCAGCATTATAGTTCAAATGACAATGAGGGTGCTTGCAGAAGACATCCTCTCACACAGGGTGAATATCCTTGTCAGTGTAAAAGTTACACCGAGTCTGTTAATTACAGGGCTCGACTCGTAGGTCTGTGTGTTCAATGTTGGACTGTGACGAGGCGGGAGGGGAAATGGGGTGGGTTCTGCTTGTTACAAAGGTTCAAATGTATTCAGGTTTGGCTAATCTCTTTCGTCGGCATCCACGGCAATGTAGATCCCAGCTCGCATGCCAATGAACCGAGTATACTTTGATTATTGAATGTTGTATGGCGCCTTAATACACAGGAGTGCATGCACCCCACGCGAACCCCTCGATTTACCCCAAAACTTACCTCGAATCAAGATAAACTGGCGAATATTCATGCATGTCCCAACGATAATTCTTCCCGCGTGATGACAATGTAGTCGTCTACCGTTGCATTGCTAGTGAGCTCGGCGGACACAAAATTACACGTGAGGGGCACGGCTTCCAAGATATTTATGTTGTTTTGTTTCATATGAAGGAGAGGCCGCTTCCCAATACCGCTCTTTTTGGTGCTAGAACGAACAACGTGCTTGTACCAGTCTCAAAATTTGAATACCTCGCCCACGGGTTTATGGACGGTTCGGATTACTTTCATGATGTTGTCACTCGTATTCTGGCCGCTGGCCGCCCTTGTGAGCCACGTCTCGGCTGCCATCCCCTACAGCGACTATATTTTGGCTCCAGCAAATCGGACTATATCTCCGGCGTCCATATACAGCACCAGCGGAAACGTGACCAATGCCGCTGGTGTCACCACCTCTGGTAATGGGCCAACGATTCTGGGCCCAGGCTCATACATTACATTTGACTACGGGAAAAATGTCGGCGGTGTTGTATCCGTGACCGCTGGAGAGACGTCGGATCCTTCAGCCAATGTGACTCTTTCCTATGCTGAGTCGTCTTATTTCATCAGTGCCAACAGTTCCGATGCTATGCATGATGGTGCAGCAACCGTACCCCTCTACTTGCCAGTCGGAGAAGGGGTGGGAACCTATACAGTCAGCGATGATTACGTCCGCGGGGGTTTCAGATACCTGACAATCGGGAGCAACTCGTCTGCGGATATTGAGCTGGAGGCTGTGGTGACGAACTTCACCGCGGCCCCTGTGAATGATTTGCAGGCCTACACTGGGTACTTTCACAGTGTACGTCTGCATCCAAATGTGGACTTAGACCGGCGCCGTGTCCGGCAGGTTGAAATTGAATAATATGCTGATGTGTGTAATGCAACAGAATGATGAGCTTCTCAACAGGATATGGTACGCAGGGGCTTATACTGTGCAATTATGTACCCTCCAGCCTCAATACGGAGATGCGTTTGATGGCGGCCTAACTGCAAGTGGCCTATACACGTGGTCGCAGGTCCGTACATCTTGCTCTAAAATACTATCAGTTGCTCATGAAAGAGTACCAAAATATTCATGAGGCTCATACAATGGTAACAGAATGCGACACTCACTAATGGCAGCACGTGTCTCGTTGACGGTGCGAAACGGGATCGTGTTGTATGGCCGGGTGACATGATCATCAGTATTCCCACGGCAGCCTTGACGACGTACGACCTCACCAGTGGACTGAACTCAATCAATTCATTAATAATATACCAGCAGCCAGATGGTAAGTGTTGATGTGAAATGAAGTTAGCAATGACCGAATGTCGGATCCACGACTGATCAATCGACACACAGGAATGTTCCCATATTATGGGGCTACTTACGAAACGCTGACGCACGCTGATGCTTCCTTCACTTATCACCTTTACACCATTGTCGACTTACTGTACTATTACATCTGGTCCGGAGACGTTGATTATCTTGAGGATAACTGGTTCCGCGTGCAGGCTGGCTTGGCCTGGTCTCTCAGCTACGTCGACAGCTCAGGCTTGATGGACGTCACTTCCAGCCTTGATTGGGGGAGAAATAACATGGGTGGCCACGTAAGTATTTTCCTACAGCCAGTGTAGCCAAGTGCCGATGTAAATTTCGATGCCATGGACTCATCTCGCTCACAACCTAGGGGGAAATAGAATATTGAAGCAAACGCTGCACTCTACTACACTCTGAACTTGGCAATTTCCGCTGCCGGAGTTGTCGGAGACTCTGTTTCAGCCTCAAATTGGACGCAGTATGCCGAGAATATCAAGACTGCCGCTAACGACTTGTTGTGGGTTGAATCCCAAGGCCTCTATATCGATAACGACAGCGGTGATACATCTTTGTATCCACAAGACGGCAACAGCTGGGCCATCAAGGCTAATCTTACTCAGACCGACTCGCAGAATCAAGCCATCTCTTCGGCTCTTGCCTCACGCTGGATCTACCCGTATGGGGCACCCGCTCCGGAGGGCACAGATGTCATCTCGCCTTTTGTCAGCGGCTTAGAGCTTGAGGGACACTTGCTCTCAGGGAATGCAACGAGAGCTCTAGACCTGATGCGGCTGATGTGGGGATATATGCTCAACAGCGAGATCATGACGAATAGTACCTTGGTCGAAGGCTATTCTACCTCTGGCATGCTGAACTACCCTTCCTATGCAACAAGCTCTCGCATCAGCCACGCGCACGGGTGGAGCACGGCTCCCACCACATTGCTTAGCACTTACGTTGCAGGTCTGCATATTTTGTCGGCCGAAGGTACTACATGGTTAGTTTCTCCCCAGCCAGGCGATTTGACCGATATCGAAGCCGGCTTCTCCACGGGCCTGGGAGTCTTCAATATATCTATCGTCGCCAACGGAGCAGGATTGGTCAACCAAACGACCTTTTGTACACCCGAGGGTACTTCAGGAGTCTTTCAACTGGAGGATGGAGTGGGACTGCTCTATTATCAAGATGGAAGCTCTCAGGACTTTAACGAAACGGGTGGGAATTTGGCTGGGGGCTGTTGGTCATTTTCCAATACTACTTGATTTCGTTTCTGAACTCTATTTTCTATGTTCTAGGGTATGCTGAGAGATCTGCTGATCATTATTGCTCTTCGCATTGTGATCCTTTGGAACGTGATGAATATTCTGCTCATCAGCAATTCGGCCTCTCCAGTTAGGAAACAGAGACTACCATCCTTAAATCATACCTCAGAAAGTAATAAGTATGGGCCAGCTGGGAGTCAAAAGACGAAAGCTTCGCGGGGCATTCTCATGACACTTCTTTTGATATGTCTACATCCTCTATGCATGGAATCTAAAGACCAAGTACCCATAACGGCTTGGATCAACCTCAGTGGTTGGTCCTGCGCTTTCCCGTAGCCAGGCTTTAAGCACTGATACTCCCGCTGACAAAGAGCAGCGCAACTACTAAAGACTCAAGTCAGTGAAATCATCCTTGACACTGGCTTGACGCTTGAGGTCTTGGGGGAAATCACCAACGCATCTGTGGCCCCAAAGACTTCTGCCATGGACACATTGGTTATTAAGCAGATGCCGGCAGTAAAAGTAATGGTGAAGAGAGCAATCAGCCACAACTTCAAGCCACTGGAGCTGACCTTTTACAGTACGAGAATGGTACCGATGAGAAGCAACGCTGCGAGAATCATGCTTAGGTATGACATGAATGCCTCAATTTGATTACCAAAGGCATAGTCGACAGTCGAACTCTGATAAGGATTGTTTGCTTCCTTGTCCTATATTGTATCTTGTTAATTTTGCATCTCACAAGGCATGCAACTCAAGATGATAGTGGCCAGACCTTGAAGAGGAATCCCAATTTGTGTTTTCCGAAGATGGTGAGTCTGTCTAAAGTCCCAGGGTTATAAAGGCCTCCAAGCCATTTAGGCCATCGCATGCATCGGCATAATGACCTTCGAGAAGAAGACAATATATACTTTCACTTGGTCCAGATCTCCCATAGAACCAATGACAGGAACTCTCTAATAAATATGATTCGGTACATGAAGGAAATAACATCCAATTTTGATCCCCATGACTATGAGAATAAAGATTATTTTGCCAGTCCCCAGCACCTGGAAGAGAATGTGACTTTTGAGACTGCCCAGGTGGCTAAAGGAGGGGGAGGAGAGACTTGAGAGGACTTGGTCCCTCAATGGTATCGAGCTGGGAACTATTAAGAAGCTTTATCTTAGACAAGACCTCTACAATAGAAAGCTAGGAGGTGGGAGAATCGATATCGGTAGCTTCACAGCAAGCAAGTGCGAAGTTTTGGGGCGGGGGGCGGGGGGCCGGGGGGGCTGTGGTGTTGACTACAAGCTGTTAATCCACAACAATTCACTGGCAGTGGGAGTTTGAAGTTGAGATCCTTTTCAAGCACTAGCAATGCACTGCAGACACGTCGATTCCGCTCTCAGTAAATTACAAATTTCTGTCAACATAAAACAAGCTGGATTAACGACGCCTTCTCCACCACCATTCAGCTTCTTCTTCATCGACATCCATCCATTCATCGACACCTTACACCATGGTAACCATGTCTACCTTCAGCAGGTCTGTGCCTTTCTTCTGCATATACAATTCTGCTTTGGTATTATGCAAAACTGACAAGCTTTGCTGACGCGATATTAGCAAGGCTGGCAGCCACCGTCAACCTCAACGCATAGCCGCTACGATGACGACTGATCCGAGCACGCGCTTGCTGCGCCAGCGCCGTGGCGCTCCCCAGCCTGGCTCCAACGATGAGACTATTCAAGCGCTGCTTCGCCTGCCAGGCTTCGACTGGGAGCCTGAGCTGCACTGGTAGGTTCCTCAATCGTCTTGCGTGACGCGTCCCATCCAAGAGGAAGAGACCAGGAGGGACGAGACGCGAGTATTGATTGCTCAGGTCTTTAATCTCTAATCATCCCTTCAATACCATTTCCAGCTCCTTTCCGATTACCCACGACCCCAACTTGTCCACGCATCGCGCTAACTCTACCTTCATAGGGTGTTCCCTCGCGAGAATAGGGAGATCTTTCGAATGCTCGGTGTAGAGCGCGAGTACGAGCCTGGCAAGTGGCGCCCCGCTGCCAACCAGCAGATGCTGACGGCGCGTCTGGCCGACTTGATCGAGGCCTGCGATGACGAGTGGCTCGACAACTGGCAGGAGTGTGCCTTGAAGCCCCAGTTCTGGGAGAAGGCCGCCGAGCGTCTTCACCCTCACAACGTCTGGTGGAGCCACTTCAGACCCACCGCCGTTCAAGTCTACAAGATCGCCATGACCTATACTGCCCGCTGGGACCCCAAGGGCAGTGGCATCACGAACAGGAAGGAGGGCGAGTGGGGTTTCAAACTCGGCGAGCTGACCTGGGGTTCTCGCAAGGCCGAGATCGATCCTGACATGTTTGCTAAACCATGGGTATGGGATGCTGACGTCGTTTTGGTTTGACTCTGAGACGTTTCGTCGGCTGACTTTTTGTTTTGTGGCAAAAGAACTACTGGCGTGCCTAGAACGCTGCTTTAGACTTCCACGAGTACTGCAACGACACTGAGGACGATTACGGCCCCATCCAGCCTCCCACTGGCATGAATTCCACCTCGATCCAGGCCTTTGCCTGGCACCCTGGCACGGCTGATAGCTCCACTGAGACCGAGGAGCAGGAGAAAGAGGGACAGAACGTGGCCGAAACCTCCAGCTCTACCAACCAGGAGACTGTGACTATCTACGGCCCTCACCGCAACGCAGAGGGCGGCGCTGATGGTGGCGCTGAGCAAACTTCAGTCACTGCCGTCATTGACACAAGCAACCCTGACCGTCTGATGATTGTCTTTCGCAACCTGGATCTCAAGGGCAAGGGTAAGCAGAAGGCTGACCAGGCGGGCGATGAAGGCGTTAGTCTCTCTGGTGTCGAGGATGAAAAGAAGGAGTAATTGAACAGGGAGAGACACGTGGTCTCACTCGTCTACGACGTCCACAATCAGGATGACAACGAAAGAACGTATGAGAAGTTATTTGCGAGGAGAACGGGTCTGAGTGTGTTTCCTTGACGTTCTACTTCACACTGTATCACTGGCAGCGGTGCTAGTACTAAGGAGATGCACACAAAGGATGGTTCCAGATTGCAAAGCACAAGACACAGCATGTTTGCCTACGGAGGATAATTGTGTGAATGGGTTCAAGTTCTCATTGACGGCTGAAATATCAAGATTCATCACTTGGGAAGCTTGACAAGGCATGTTATGGGGAGACCCTTTGATACCTACTTTGAGCCACTTGGTACTTTTCACTTGGCGAAGTGGACCTAGGAATCTCATCTCACAATCTCTCAAGGCAAGGCAGATGTTGACCTGTTCTTACTAGACAGAATTGATGAACCTTACTTTATTTGATGATGTACTCGAAACGCAGACTGATGGTACTACCTATGATGCTGTGACTGAAAGCTTTCGGCCTGGCCTCAAGAGGTCCAGACGTTAGCTGTTCCCCCTACCCTCTATTTGTTTTGTCAACTGATCTTTATAACCCTCTGCTAAATTCTCATAACCCTCTGCCATCTCACAGAAGCCTAAATATATGGCGACTGCCCTTTGTATTCTACTGCTGGACTGTAAAAGCTGAGCAGGCCCAGGCACCAACACTCCTTCTTGAGACCCCTCCCCCCTGCTGCGTGCCTTCCATTCTTGTAGCTAAGGCTTCGACACTGTGGAGGTTCCTGAAATCACCACATCTTGGGCTCTCTCTATTGATCTGTTGATTGACTGACACGAGTTCTTGCACACAAACGCGTCCCCGCTCCATACATTTTCCATGGTACTTTACACCTACCATCATCGCGCCCACAAGATTCAACACGACAATCAGGACGAGTACAGGCTTTACATCTCCTTTCCACGTTCCCAAGTAATTCTCGCATACTATCCTTCACAAATTCTCCTTACCACTTCTTTCTTCTCTCAACTGTACCTCAGGTTACTTCCAGGTTTGTCACTGCTACTGCCAAAGAGCCTGTGCCCATGCATGTGCTGACCAAGGGACGCACAGTATTGGCTAGCAACACAATGTCGTCAAATGTCGACTGTTCGCCCGACATGGCGTTGATCAAAGCCGCAGATCTCCCCCTACCAGAGAGCCCCTCAACCACTCCTATCATTGATAAGGCCAAAGTGAAAGCTGTCGAGTCACCGGACCAACAGGTTGAGCAGAAGTCGGGCCACGTCCGACGCGTTACTGAGATCCTCAAGCCTGTCGGCTTGTCCAGCGAGGATACCAAAGTCCCCGACAGTGCTTCTGACTCTGCTTCTGTTGGATCGACTCTCACGTGCTCTGACTGTATCGACACGACTGGTAATCACGCTGTTCCAACCATTAAAGTCACACAGGCCACAATTGACGAGGTTGCGGGAGGCCCCTATGACAAGGGAGAGACTCCCCTCCAAGAGGAGTCCACTGACGAGAAGCAAGACGAGCTTCACGCGGAGTTTGACCCATCGGCCCTTTCCGCTGACATCATCAAGGACAAGGCTCAGTCTACCAAGACCGTGGTCTACGGCTCTGAGAATATTGAGGATGACATGCAAACAGCTGCGGCTTGCGACTCTGGGCGTGATCAGTCAGGTGATGCCCAATGTGAGTTACCATACAAGGGCACAACCTCGGTCTCAACTCTAACTGAACCATTATAGGGGTCGACCCTTTTGACAAGAAGAACAACAATTCTGTGGTCGACTGCTACTTCACCGGTGGTGGTCAAATTCAAGCCCTTAGCCCAGTCGAAGAGGGCGGCTGCGTCAGCTTGAAGCTTTGTAGGACAAGCGATCTCTACATCAAGGCCAAGGGAAAGACCGGACAAGTCTACATCTTCGAGGTCGACGCCGTCGCCATTGCCGCCGGTTCTCCAGTTCTCAGCGAGATGGTGTTCAAGACGCACACGCGCGGCAACCAGCCCGAGTGGGTTTTCGAGCTCAACGACGACCCAGTCGCCCTCAAGTTCATATTCAGCATCTTCCATCTCAAGCTATGCGCACCCTTGTTCACTCAGGAACCCAAGCCTGAGCAGATCTACAGCGTCATGCAGGTTCTCTCCAAGTACCAGGTGAAGGACGAAGTCTTCCATGCCTGGGCCAAGACATGGGTTGCTGGCTTCCGCAAGGGTCTGCCCACTACAACGCTCAGCCCGCTCGAGTGCCTACATATTGCACACAGATTGGGTGACTTCAAATCATTCAAATCGTACATTCGAAAGGTCGCTCACGAGGTCGAGGTGGATGCCGACGGCGTCATGCGCCTTGGCAATGGCCAAGTCATTCAGGAAGCAGTGCCCATCTGCGGCGATCTTGCGAATAACATACAGGCCGTCCGCAACGCAGACCTCGTTGCCATCCTGGCATGCCTGCTAGAGGCTTATCTCTTCCTGACCAACCCGGCCAACCTCGACAAGCAGCACTTTTGCAAGTCGATGAGTCATCACAAGGATTGTAACCAGAAGCTTCTCGGTTCGTTGTTCATCAACTTAGTTCAACAGGACCTCTGGCCGATTCCCGATCCCAAGAGCTTCCGAGGAAAGGTCGGCGACCTGATCACAAAAGTTCGCTCTATGGAGATTCGAGGCCTTTATTTCCCTGGCCTGGCACCTCATGAGCAGCGCCACGGTCTTTGCAAGTTGGGTCAGGCCGAGATCGTCGATAAGATCGCCAGATACGAGGGCTGGCTACCTCTCTCCGGTGAGATGATCGTGGCAATGTATGTGACTGGCCGGCACATTGGTCTGCACAAGGATGAAAAGTCCGAGTTTGACGACTATAAGGCTGTCTATAATACCGCCATCGCTGATTACGAAGACGAGTTCCCACAGCAGCTGTGGAGTTGGGACGAGTGTGAGGGTCCCGTCGAGGCTTCGTCCATGTTCTTGGAGGAGGATTCCGGTGTTGCCGATGACAGTACCTCAACCAAAGACCAATCCTCTCTGACCTAGTCAAACTCTTGGGCATGCCTGAACCCGCACGTGCCCGCACGACATACCGTTGGGCAGCAGTTCGAGATCACAAATTCTGTAGAGGATATGAGTTTTGATGGACTGACATTGTAACAGCTAAGCTTTGCCGCGGGATGGAGTTTGGGACACCGGGTTCTAATATTTGATGGAGCAACAATTATGTGTTGTCATGCAAGATGGGGTCTATAGGAACCCAAGAGAATGATACAGTGGCCGCCTGCGAGAGCCCAGAAAATGAATATGATCCCGCTTTATCATGGCCATGATTCCTTGTTCAGCACCTTTTTTGATATGGGTGTAGATGAGTGAAGGTCGCTGTGAGAAAAGAGAAAGAATTAAGAAGAGGAAAATTGGTGCAGTCTCGTAGGGTCTGAAGCTCGCAAAGCAACCCTTCCTCATGCCTGACACAGATGAAGGGCGGTCCTGGTGAAATCATGCTGCTGGGTTTCCCCTCTCACAATCTGTACAGATATTTCTACGGCCGAGGTCTCGAGAGGAAATGCGGTTTTCGAAATGTCTATTCAGTCGGCATTCGAAAGGAGAAGCAACCTCGTCACCCTCTGCGCGAAGTTTGATAACAAAGTAACGCGGAGGTTCTCCGGCCAAGCATGTGAGCAATCCAGACCGCCAATGCATCCTTGAACTTGCCACATAGGATTAAGATCTGATTAATCTCCGGCTTTCCGTGAAGTGATAGCTTATATTAGTTACCGAACACGATCACGAGACCTTATCGTAGACCGACGTCAACGGAGTCTCGGTCATGGCTGGAAGGCCGTTCTCACCGCGACGGAGTGGCGCATGTTTGGCTGATGGGAGGGAGAGAAAGGGTTCGCAGAGCCGTGTCATCCGACAAGAGCTTTCCAAGCCAGATTATCCCGCCCATATCATTCGGTTGGCTTTGACCGGTGACCCGTCCCCGCTCCCAGCGCGAGTTCGGGATCCTGTCGGGGTGATAGGCCTGGCGTCCCTGTGCCATTACTAGTGACGAGCTACTACAGTATAGAAATTATTACATAGAATCAGACAACATGGATCTGGGAAAAGACCATGAATATTTCGAATGCCTTTGAAGCAACACCAAGTCGGGGCCTCTGACCCAGCTCAACACCAATTTGACATGAGAAGAGAAGGGAGCATATAGCGGTATCAAGACGTACTCGGGATTCTCACAGTACTTCCTTGTATAAAAATGAGTTGGGATATCATTGCCTTCCAAAAAAAGAAATCTAAGAGAGAGAAGAAAAAAACATGGGGGGGAGGGGGAAGGGTTTGTTCGATATTCATTATCACCCCTTCCCCCCTCTCCTTCGATCTAATCATGATGCTGAGGCTGGATCGATCTTGGTTATAACATCATGACGTATATATTGGATATGAAACATAGATGATGAAAAATCAATACTGCTCAGTGATTTCTTGATTCTTTTTTAACAAAGCTCCCGATACTTGCTATTCTCGGTCTCGAAGTGTTCGTTGTTACCTTTGGTCAGCGTTCAGGCAGCACGTTCAGGTTGTCCTTCTTCAATATGACTGACTGGCTGTAGTAGGATTATCGCTTGTTTTCTGTCAGCTGGACCAACGATTTCTTTCCTATTCCCCCTCCCCCTCCCCCCTCCACTGCTTGCACTTCTGCGTGTTCCTCGTATGCCAGCTGAAATCTCAAAGATATCTATTTACTGCCCCCTTTTTTCTTTCTTTCTTTTTTTGTTGCCTGGAGCCCGGCGAGCAAAGACGAACTTATGACGTGATCCGGCCCGCGAAGAGGCGCATGTCGGAAAAGTCTGGATAGCGTTGTGGAGCTACTTAATACTGAATTTTTGCCGTTCTTGATATCGGACTGGTGAGTTCGCACTCTGCTAGCCAAGTCGGTCTCCGTGATTGCCCCGGACTTGAATGGATTACTGTACGGCAGACGTGGCAACGCTCGGGATGTACATCCTACCCGCCGCGCAAAGGTATTCCAATTCTATCGGAGTCGTCAATGAGCCCGCGGATGGTTTTCACTATCTCGACTGAACCATGTGGGGGGGCATACGGTTTCTATCTAGTGAAGGAAGAACGGTGAGGGGCCTGAGCAGAGACAACTGGGTTCTGCACTGGTAGCCTGGACTCTGGGCGTAGCTTTCTCAGGGAAGGCACTGGCGGCCGAATTATCGGGACTTACAAAAGTTAATGCATGTGGTACGAGATACAGGGCTGAAGATGTACTCGCTGATGGCCACGGGTCCCTTAGTTATGGACGTATACGGGGTTGGCAGCAGGTACGCCAGGCTTGTGAGCGATTAAGACAAAGGATGCAATATATACTTTTCAGTACCATGGAGTATAGCATTATGCTATGTGAAAGTTCATGATTTACTCCTCATGCCGAGTGCCTAGTACTTACATGGTGGATGAGGTGGGAGAATACTGTCCAAATTAAGTATGGCACATGGTATAGTGCTTCCGCAACCTTGGGACGCCCACGCGACCGACACATACAAGCCGTTGGGCGGGGCATGTACATATTCAGTGGGCACGGACGACGATAGCTCGGAAAATTAAGAAAGTAACGAATCTCAAAGTAAAAGGAAGTGCCAGATGCTGCGATCGAGCAATTGAGATACCCTGTGAGGTCGGCTATGATTCCGTCCAGATTCAAGACCCACTCACGGCTACGCCGCCCAAGAAAGGGGCTTTCTGTGCCCATGCTGCCTGTACTGGGGTACAGTTCTAGAACATCAAGGACGTGTGGCGTGTGGGCATTACTGCGTGGAGCATTCCTCACCAGTATAGTGACACCAAGATAATTTTAATGTCTGTTCCATCAAAAAGAAGCTCGACTTGATGATAAAATCGGTGAGAACGTCTACGATTGAATGACGGCCAATCTTTGAAAGTCGACGTCATCATCAGCCGTACCCCTCACAGACTTAAAGTTTTTCTTTTTTCTGCTTTATCTTAGTTCTCTCGACACGCAGGTGAAGAAGACGTCTTACGGATTATCCTTTCCGTGGAGGAAAAGTCGGGTCCTCGGAGAGATGGAGCTCCCCGATGCGGGCCGGTATCTCGCGTGTGGCCACCAGGGAGAGCTGAACCCGCCAGACTTTGTCTCCTGCGGCAAGGGGGCAATCGAATTTAGGGGTGGGGCCAGTTTTGCAAATGCAAAATGTCTCCGGGCTCTCGCCAGGCAACGGCTCCTGTCAGCCAAAGGGTGCCTAGGTACCAAGTAGTCACGTAGCCAATTTGTCTCTTTCGTGGACCTGAGAACTTTTTGGAAGGGTTATCTTTGCTTCCACGAGATCCGCTCGGTCGCCCAAATTGGATGGCCTTGCGGACGTGGAAAGAGTTTTATTCCCTTCTCTTGTGTCTCTGTTTCTGGCCTGTGGCTTACCTAAGGTCTTGTTTAAGATTGCAACACAGCTACCAACCAAGGCCGCCGAGACTCAACTTGTGCCTCGATATGTTGTAGCACATGAGCCAACATTAAATGAGTCGAACCTTGCCATTATACTTTTACTCTATTATACTACTGGCACCTTGCATGCTTGGGAGCTTTTTAGACCGCTCTTCTCTGCTTATTCCATCAGGTGGGCCTTGAGATTGTTTGTGCGACAATGGTAGTTCAGAGTCAAGATCGTAGTAAGTAGTAATACATAGTTCAAGCGTTGAGGACAACACCGTAACTTGCGGGATGACTTCGATTTTGGGCCTATGGTGGCTCGGGTTGGGGCCTCTAGGAGGATCAAGGGTGGGCCGGATAGGTGTTCCTCCGTGCCACAGCACAACCCTTTTATCCACCTCTAACTGGGTTGGAGATGACCACCACAGGCTAGTGCCACAGTACCATGCAGTAGTAGTAGTAGCAGGCTGTGCCACTCAAAAACGGCTCCAGCAGTCTTTCTGGGTTGGGGTTTTGGCTCAACGCAACAATACCAATGGTCATGATACGTAGTACTACATAATTCAAGATTACGACTGTCAAGCGTGTGTGGCTTCAAATCTGCTGCGTGGGGGTGGACTAGAAAGCATTGATTGTATTCGCAGGTCCTCGTGTCTATGATGTGTTCTACATCATTTTTATTCAACCTGTCACATGTAGTGGTATGTATTGCATGTAGGGCGACATTCTCACCGTCGTAATATTGCAGTAGTGCGCAAACACACCGAATCGTCCGAGGAACGTCAGCCAGCATCTGCGTTATGTGCGATACTGCGCAATGCAGCTCTCGTCAGCGAACGTCCAAGGGTTTAGTGTCAGCATCTTCGACTTTCAGAGGGGTTACTGCCATGACGTCTGGAGATTGGGGCCTGCAGATGAGCCCGAGGTGGCCGTCTCGGGGTGTTCATAGCTCCCGCCTCTAAAGGCTTTAGGGCTATGCTTCCCGCAATGAGGCCGCAAAGCCCCCACAAATGAATTGTATAGCCCTGGGAGACCCTGTTCTGAGTTGTGTCAGTGGGGCACCATCTTCAGATTTGCTCACTGAAAGGGCCGGCGGTTTCAACGGGTACACCCTCCCAAGACCCCTCCAGTACCCCTCCACAGACACCCCCAGAGCGAGCTGAAATTCCCCCTCGGTAACCAACCAGAAGAGAGAGCACAGCGTGCAGGGGCTCCCTGTACAGACCCCACTCTATTGACAGGGATGACCTATTCAGATTGCGTCCTTAACATTGAATGTTTGGGTCCGCAAATGCGAATACGCCGCCGCCGCCAAACGGCTTCGCATTTGATAAAAGTCGTCGCCTGCCATCACGTAGCGGCCTCAGCCTAACCGTCCTATTCCTCTCTTTTTGCTGTTCCCTAAATAAATCGTCACCTCTCTCTTTACGAGTAGATGGACACACGACCAAAGCAGTAGCGACAACAGGACGGCTCGTACCAAACCCCTCTTTGTTTCTCTCTTGTGTCTCTCATTATTCCCACCCAACACACATAAAACAGCCACACAGATTAGACTGATCTGCGTGCCGTTGTCGAATCTCCTGCCGAGTCATCCCCTTCAATAGAGAGCCACGGCTCTCAATTCCACATGTGCGGCCTCCCCCCTCTTGTTCCCTGCGCCCTCTCTTGTACAACAAGAAATGAAGAGAAAGAAAAGGAAAAAAGAATGTTGCGTAGATGCTTTTGCTGACCTCGGCCTGTGGTGTCTTAAGAGCACATGAACTAGCGGCATCCTTTCCTCCCCGGCAAATCGTTTTTTTTTTCATTTTCCCCGCGACCAGCGACGCAAGCGGCGTTCCGGACGTGAGCTCACCACTGATTGAGCCTGTCCCACGCCGCACTGTCCACTATGTCCTTTGCCCTGAGCGCCTTTGGCAACTACGACCGCTCAGCCCAGACGGGTGGCGTACCAGCCCTCCACCGGACCACGTCGCGCGACGTCAACGAGGACTCGGAAATGGGTCTCGACCGCAGCCTCTCCGCCGAGGGCAAGATGGCAGCAGCAGATGCCGAGCACTCGGAAAAGAATGACGAAACCTCCAAGGCCCAGTCCCGGGGCAATGATACCGCCACCACCTTGTCCGCTGACGACGACACCCTCCCAAACACCAAGCGGGACACCACCGAGTCGGACAGCGATGGAGATGAAGTAGTCGAGGTCGCCCGCCGCGAGTCTATGGTCCAGACCCTGGCGCGCAAGTACTCCAACGTCTCGGGCGTCGTCCAGGGCGGTAACCCTTTCGCGATCGCCTCTGACGACCCAGACAGCCCGCTGAACCCCAACGGCGAGAAGTTCAGCGCCCGCGCCTGGGCCAAGACCGTGCTCGATCTCGTGTCCAAGGAGGGCAAGTCGTTCCGAACCAGCGGCATCGCCTTCCAGAATATGAATGTCTTCGGTTTCGGCGCCGGCACCGATTTTCAGAAGGACGTCGCCAACATATGGCTGGATGTGGCAGACGGCGTGCGCTCCATGTTTGGCGGGAGCAGGAAGAGGAGGATAGACATCTTGCGGCAGTTCGACGGCGTCGTCAACTCGGGCGAGATGCTGGTCGTGCTGGGCCCGCCCGGCTCAGGCTGCAGTACCTTCCTCAAGACCATTTCAGGCGAGATGAACGGCATTTACCTGGAGGACGAGGTCTACCTCAACTACCAGGGCGTCTCCGCGGCCGAGATGCACAAGGACCACCGTGGCGAGTGCATCTACACCGCAGAGGTCGACGTCCATTTCCCCATGTTGACGGTTGGCGACACCCTTACCTTCGCTGCCAGGGCACGCGCCCCCCGCCAGATCCCAGGCGGTGTGCCCAAGAACGTCTTCACCAATCACGTGCGCGACGTCGTCATGGCCATGTTTGGTATCTCTCACACCATCAACACCCGTGTCGGCAACGAGTACGTGCGCGGTGTGTCGGGCGGTGAGCGCAAGCGTGTAACCATCTCCGAGGCTGCTCTGTCGGGCGCCCCCCTGCAGTGTTGGGACAACTCGACTCGTGGCCTTGACTCTGCCAACGCCATCGAGTTCTGCAAGACCCTGCGCCTGCAGTCGGAGCTCTTCGGCAGCACCGCCTGCGTCTCCATCTACCAGGCACCACAGTCCGCGTACGACCTGTTCGACAAGGCTGCTGTGCTGTACGAGGGCCGGCAGATCTTCTTTGGCCGCGCCGACGCGGCGAAGCAGTACTTTATCAATCTGGGTTTCGAGTGCCCTGCCCGCCAGACCACGCCCGACTTTTTGACGTCCATGACGAGCCCGCAGGAGCGTATCGTCAGGCCTAATTTCGAGGGCAAGGCGCCGAGAACACCTGACGAATTTGCCGAGTGCTGGAAGAACAGTGCAGAGTACAAGCAGCTGCAGGCCGAGATCGAGGCGTATAAAACGGAACACCCCATCGACGGACCTGACGCGGAGGCGTTCCGTGCGCACAGGCGTGCTCACCAGTCCAAGAACAACCGCTCCAAGTCGCCATATACTCTGGACTACTGGCAGCAGGTCAAGCTATGTCTGTGGCGTGGCTGGAAGCGGCTGATGGGTGACCCGAGTCTGACGATCGGCGCCCTCATGGGAAACACCACCATGGCTCTCATCATCTCCAGCGTGTTTTTTAACCTCCAGATGACCACGTCGAGTTTCTTCCAGCGTGGAGCCCTGCTCTTCTTTGCCTGTCTTATGAATGCCTTTGCCTCTGCTCTCGAGGTAAGCCGGATGATCTGCCTCCCCATCCTTCCTCCCACACACCCTTCCTCTCAACCCACCTAGGCATCAGAAGCTGACCCAACATCCCAGATTCTTACGCTGTACGCGCAAAGACCGATTGTCGAGAAACATGCCCGCTACGCAATGTACCATCCGTCCGCCGAAGCCGTCGCCTCGATGTTGTGTGATTTGCCGTACAAGATAGGAAACACAATCGTGTTCAACCTGACACTGTACTTCATGGCAAATCTGCGCCGCGAACCGGGGGCTTTCTTCTTCTACTTGCTCACCTGTTTCCTCGCCACCATAGCCATGTCCATGATGTTCCGAACCATTGCGTCCTCTTCACGAACGTTGTCGCAGGCAATGGTGCCGGCAGCTATCATCATCCTGGGTCTGGTCATCTTCACAGGCTTCGTCATACCTATCGATTACATGCTTGACTGGTGCCGCTGGATGAACTACATCGATCCCTTGGCGTATGCTTTCGAGGCCGTCATGGTGAACGAGTTCCACAACCGCAACTACACCTGTACGGCATATGTGCCCAGCATCGAGTTCCCGGGTTACAATGACGTTGGACCGCTCAATCACGTCTGCTCGGCCGTCGGCTCGGTGGCGGGCCTGGACTTTGTCAACGGCGACGCCTACATTAACACTGCCTTCAGCTACTACCACTCCCACAAATGGCGCGACATTGGTATTCTGATTGGGTTCATCATTTTCTTCCTCTTCACCTACATGATCACCGCCGAGTTCGTTTCCGAGAAGAAGTCCAAGGGTGAGGTCCTGGTCTTCCGCCTGGGCCAGAAGCCTGCCTTCTTGAAGGAACAAAAGGGTGATGCTGAGGGAGGCAAGACACTCGGTGGACCCGTGGTTGCTGCCCGCGCCGACGATGGGACGGACTCTGACAAGCAACCTGGGTTCCTCGAGCAGCAAAGGAGCGTGTTCCACTGGAAGGATGTCTGCTATGAGGTCAAGATCAAGAACGAGACGAGACAGATTCTGGACCACGTGGACGGTTGGGTCAAGCCTGGCACCTTGACCGCCCTCATGGGAGTGAGTGGTGCCGGCAAAACGACACTGCTCGACTGCTTGGCCGACCGGACGTCTATGGGAGTCATCACTGGGCAGATGCTGGTCGACGGGCACCCGCGCGACGCCTCTTTCCAGCGCAAGACGGGCTACGTGCAACAGCAAGATCTCCATCTGCAGACCACCACCGTCCGCGAGGCCCTCAACTTCAGCGCCCTGCTGCGCCAGCCCCCACATGTTCCCCGCGAGGAGAAGCTTGCCTATGTCGACGAGGTCATCAAGCTGCTGGACATGCACGAGTACGCGGACGCCGTTGTTGGCGTGCCGGGTGAGGGTCTCAATGTCGAGCAGCGCAAGCGACTGACTATTGGTGTGGAGTTGGCTGCGAAGCCTCCTCTGCTACTCTTCGTGGATGAGCCTACCTCAGGCCTGGACTCACAGACCAGTTGGGCCATCTTGGACCTGCTCGAAAAGCTCACCAAGAGCGGCCAGGCTGTTCTTTGCACCATCCATCAGCCTTCGGCCATGCTCTTCCAGCGTTTCGACCGTCTGCTCTTCCTCGCGAGGGGTGGCAAGACAGTCTACTTTGGCGACATCGGCAAGAACTCCCAGACCATGAGCGCCTATTTCGAACGCAACGGCGCCCCTCCATGCCCGCCAGAGGCCAACCCCGCAGAGTGGATGCTCGAGGCGATCGGTGCCGCGCCTGGATCGGAATCGGATATTGACTGGTTCAAGACCTGGAGGGAGTCGCCTGAGTGTGCCAGTGTCCACCAGGAACTGCAGCGCCTCAAGGACGCCGGTGCCAAGACCGGGGCCGAGTCCAGCCCCGTCCACGACAAGTCCAGCTACCGTGAATTTGCCGCCCCGTTCAGCGCGCAGCTGCGCGAGGTCCTGACTCGAGTATTTTCGCAATACTGGCGCACGCCTTCGTACATCTATTCCAAGGCCGCTCTCTGCATCTCCATCTCCCTGTACATTGGTCTTGTCTTTCTCAACGCACCCAACTCGATCCAGGGTCTCCAGAACCAGATGTTCGCCATCTTCAACATCCTCACCGTCTTTGGCCAGCTCACGCAGCAGCAGATGCCCCACTTCGTCGTGCAGCGGGACCTCTACGAGGTTCGCGAGCGGCCTTCCAAGGTCTATAGCTGGAAGGTGTTCATGCTGTCCCAGATCATCGTCGAGCTCCCCTGGAACACGCTCATGGCGGTCTTCATGTTTGTGTGCTGGTACTACCCGGTCGGCCTCTACCGCAATGCGGAGGCGGCCGGCCAGGTGCACGAGCGCGGGGCGCTGATCTTCCTCTTCCTCTGGGCGTTCCTGCTCTTCACCTCGACGTTTACGGACTTTATCATCGCGGGCTTCGAGACGGCCGAGGCCGGCGGCAACATTGCCAACCTCATCTTCTCGCTGTGCCTGATTTTCTGCGGTGTGCTCGCTACGCCCTCGACCTTCCCGCGTTTCTGGATTTTCATGTACCGGGTATCGCCTTTCACGTACCTGGTGTCGGGCATGCTGTCGGCGGCCGTGGCCAACACGGACGTGGTGTGTGCGGCCAACGAGTACCTCACGTTCCAGCCGCTGTCGAACCTGACGTGCGGCGATTATATGGAGCCATACATTAATGTAACGGGCGGATATCTAACGAACGCGAACGCGACCAGCGACTGCCAGTTCTGCTCGATCAGCGAGTCTAACGTGTACCTGACCGGCATTTCGACGAGCTACGGCGAGCGATGGCGCAACTTTGGCATCATGTGGGCCTTCATCATCTTCAATATCTTTGCGGCCTTGGGACTGTACTGGTTGGCCAGAGTGCCCAAGGGAAGGAAGGTCAAGCAGGAGTAATTTCCAAGGGGGAGAAACGTCAAAGGAAGTTTTTTTTCTTTTTATTCAAAAGGCGGGCGGGGGGTGAAGATTCCGCCATGACATGCCCAGATCGAGTGAAGAGAGAAAGTCCTTCACGATCCATGATCCATATGAAGAAAAGAGAGGGAGAAACATTTTTATCTAATGAGGCAAATCATGAATTGAAGGGCCCTTCTGAACGATTGGGTTCTCTTGCTCTTCTTATCTCCCTTATATATCTATATAGTTTTTTTATTTTTGCTTGTTTCCAATGTAGCATAATGAGGTCCAAGGAAGCATGGACGTAGCATAGATGGGATGAAGTGGTATAGACTTGGGAAGTGGTTGCTTGGACTGGAGTTCAGGAAAATATCAATTCAATAATCGCCCATCATTGTTGTACTTGATGAATTCATTCAACATTACTACTTCAGAGTCTTGTTTCGTCTGTCTTGTGTGATGCGAGTTGTTCCGGTGAGAGCTGTTTGTTTGGCCCTCGTCAATGGTGCGTGTGTCCTTGTCTGGGCGCCGGAGTGGAGCGTCCAACACTGACTTTAACGTTACTCAACAAACGACGAGTGGCTTTAGTGTAATAAGCAAAATCGCTGTTAACCGTTTGTTTGGCTAGATCAATGTCTCAGAAAAAAAAAAGCTGCAAATGCTTTTGATCGGCCGCCATGGAGTGAAATCGCCAGGGTCAAACCCAAACCAGCCACGAGAAGTATCCTTGGACCAATCAACTTACATGGATTCAAGCACCCCCGTTTTGCACGGTACATGTAGAAAATCCAAAGATTTAATTTACTTATATGGCAGCACAGACCGTGGGGGCCGGGGTCCGTAGCCACGTCGGAACTTGGGACCATGTAGATTCCCTGCCCCATTGCGATGAAGACTTGACTCGTTCTTGATGGCCTTTTTATTTTTGGGTGGTGCTTATTTTTGGTTGCGAGGTGGAATTATGGTATCATCGTGATGGGGTTTCTCCGGACAGTGGGCGGCTTCTCGGATATGGGATCCGGCAATCGACCATGCAATCAATATGTTGCGCTTCGTTCTCTCAGTGGCGGTTTTTGTCTTTCTTTCTTCCTCCTTCTTTTTCTCTCTTTCCCTTTTCATCGATGGTTCTCTTCTTGGTCTTCCCGTCTCTAATTCCTTCAATTCATTTTAAATGTACTTGATTTGTCAAGTTACCTAGCTCTCTTTTGTTTTGTCCCCCTTCTTTGATCAGGCCAGTTAGGAATACTCACATTGAAGGTGGTGTCGTCATCAGATGCAGAGTCCCCGCACCGCTCAAGTCTCAAGTACTCAAGTACTTGCAAAGTACAACGAACCCCTCTGCTCCTTCCCCCCACGCTTTGGTTGTCACATCACAATATGGGGCCCAGCAATTTCCTCGCCTCGACACTCAACCCGATTGCTATAGATCGACGAGAGGGGAAGATCGCCCCCTCGTGGGGTAGATCTGGGGTAGCAATAGCCGAGCTCGCAACCTTTAGGATTATTATATATTGATTTTCGGTGATGGTATGTAGGTCTGGGCTAGCTGCTTGCGATGATATTGCATGACTCCTTCTTCCTCTTCCTCTTCCTCTTTTCTTCTTCGTCTTCTTCGCATGCGTTGACCAAGTCTCCCTCATCGTTATCATGGGCTTCTCTAACGCAATTCCTTCTTCTAGGAAGGCTGACGCCAACGCACAAGACCCGTCGTCTTCGCATTCCTCGCCTGTTCATCAGCTGGAAGGAAAAGATGACGAGCCGGCCGCTGTCCATCAAGAAGAGTCGGTGGACGCCAATAGGAAACGACCGCGCCCTTTTGGTCCAGTCGCGACAGGTGGCGGCGACACGGCGCAGGCCCTCTTCGACGGCGACGATGCCTCCCTAGAACCGTACACGGCCGACGAAGAGAAGCAGCTGGTCCGCAAGATCGACTTCATGATTATCCCGTACCTCGCCGTATGCTATGCCTTCTTCTACATTGACAAGACGACCCTGTCGTACGCGGCCATCTTTGGCATCCGCGAAGACCTAGACCTCGTCGGCACCGACTACAACTGGCTCTCGTCCATGTTTTACTTTGGCTTCTTGGCCTGGGCATTCCCAACCAACTTCCTCATGCAGCGCCTGCCCATCGCACGCTACCTGGGCGCCAACATCTTCCTCTGGGGCGTGCTCCTTATCGTCCAGGCCGGCGCCACCAACTTCGCCACCCTGGCCGTGCTGCGCGCTCTCTCCGGCGCGGCCGAGGCCTGCTCCGACCCGAGCTTCATGCTCATCACCTCTATGTGGTACACACGACGCCAGCAGCCCGTCCGCATCGGCCTCTGGTACACGGCAAACGGCTTCGGTATCGCGCTGGGTGGCCTCTTGGGCTTTGGCATCGGGCAGATCCGCGGCAGCCTGCCGAGCTGGAAGTACGAGTTCATCATCATCGGCAGCCTGTGCTGTGCCTGGGGCATCACCCTGTTCCTCCTGCTTCCCGACTCGCCCGTCACCGCGCCGCTGCTGTCGGTCCGCGAGCGCCGCATCGCCGTCGAGCGCCTGCGCGAGAACCAGACTGGGGTCGAGAACAAGCAGTTCAAGCCGTATCAGCTGCGCGAGGCCCTGCGCGACCCCAAGACCTACCTCTTCCTCCTCATGGGCGTGCTGCAGAACACGCCCAACGGCGGCATCAGCAACTTTGGCACCCTCATCATCGAAGGGTTCGGCTTCAGCACCCTCGTGACCGCCCTCATGCAGATTCCCTATGGATGTCTCATCGCCCTCTCCATCCTCAGCTGTGTGTTTCTGAACGACTACTTTTCTGTCAAGCTGCGCCGCCACACCCGCTGCTGGTTCGCCGTCCTGTACACGCTGCCCAATGTCGCCGGCGCCTTTGGGCTGCGTTTTGTCCCTACGGATCGCCATATCGCCAGGTTGTGGTGCTATTACCTGACAGGGCCTTATAATGCCTCTTTTGTGTTGATTCTGAGCCTTGCTACGGCTAACACGGCTGGGCACACAAAGAAGGTCGTGACCAACGCTTTTCTCTTCCTGGGATATTGTATTGGTAAGTGTATACTATAATTTATGATTTCTTGCCGTTTTAAGAAAGAGTGTGGGGGATGCTTCTTCTGCCGACTGAACTGACTGGACTCTTCTTTCGTTTTACCCATAACCAGGAAACATCATCGGCCCGTTCTTCTACAAGACCGACCAGGCCCCGACGTACCCCCTTGGGATTGACAGCATGATATTCTGCCACCTGACCGAGCTGGCGGTCATACTCGCCTTCCGGTGCCTTCTCAGCTGGGAGAACAAGCGGCGCGATCGGAAAATGAGGACGAGCACGGGCAGCGAGGAAGATGAGGCACCAAGGACGCAACCCAATCTGGACGAGACAGCGTTCAGGGATATGACAGATCGGGAGAATCCCAATTTTCGATATGTCTATTGATGAGGGTGGCTTTGGGGCTGCTGATGGGCTTGTTCTGTTTGTGCAGGCATGTTCTGTATGTCTGGAGGGGGTTTCCGCATCCGAAAGGCCTTTTTCATGCTAACTCTGCAGGGCTTGATTGTTATTGATTTCTATGGACACACTAGAGAAGGCATTGAAGTTAATCAGTATGATATTCACAGCAGACACATCGCTTGTAATCTTATATATGAGCTTGAATAATATACGATTGCATGCATGTTTCTTTCCCCCATCAACTTGACGAAGCGGCGTTGTGTTGTTTCGCGTCATGAAAACACGGTTCACGTTCAGACCATAGCGGTCAGTGAAATGTTTGGCTTGATAGTAAGACTTGTCATCTCTCTCACATGTACAATCCCATTGGCCAGCCAAACATCAAGAAGTATTGCCTGTCTGTTCACCACACAAACATTGAAGCTCACCGACGAGGGGATCTAAGGACAAGTCAAGAGGTGAAGGCGACCAAGAAGCTTTTGGTCTAGTCTCTTTTTTGTAAACTATCGTGTCATGATGCGTAAAAGGTCTGACGAGTACTTCCGAGGTACTGTACGCCGACGTATTAAAAGGGATAAAATGGTATCTAGTAGCGCTTACAATGCATGCCCGTCCTTTCCCTTTTCCAGTGGGACCAACTCCAGACATGTTCATTTTCATTCCTGTGTTTTTGTTCTTTTTTTTTTCTTCCTGTATTTTGTTTCCCTCTTTTCCTTTTTCTTCCGGCTTTCATGAACCTGTCGCACCAGACCATCCCATACTCAACCTAGCACTCGACCTATTGTTATTGCCGTCCTGCGCGGAAGGAGGTTTCGTCCCCCACAGGCCAGGGTTCCCACCCTTTGCCGTCTTGTTGTTCTCCTCCTCGCTGCTCAAGACAGCCGTCCGCATCTTGGTGATATCGTCCTCGTTGCTCTCGCCGTGGCTCCGGAACGACTCTCCGTCGCCGTCGATGTCCCGCGCCGACCGGATGGTGTGGAGGGTGAAGACGTCAATATGTCGCGAGCGGCGGCCGCCGATCGTCTGTAGGTGTGGCTCCAGGCGCTGCTGCCTGTGGTTTGCGAGCCGCACGGCGTCCGGGTTGGACGAGCCCACGGGGTAGAGCTCGCCGGAGCCTGTCAGGCCCAGCTGGTGCAGGAGGAGCTTGAAGAGCGGGCGGACGCAGGCGAGGCTGCCTGCTGTGATGGCGAGTCCTGCCTCTACGGTAGACCAGATTGCGATGTCGACCGTGTCGTCTGGGAAGAGAGAGTTGAAATTAGTGGAGTTCTTATGGGAGTATAAAGTTCAGAAGTCATATAGACAAGATACATGAGCTGGGAGAAAAGAGGATGGCTTACACAAAAAATCGGCATCTCGGAATCGTTCGACGTATGCCATCCTCACTACTGCACCACCGCTCGCGAGACATCCCATGCTCAGCAATGGGATGGTGGCCATCTTCATACGTTTAGGCATATCTATAAAGCGTTGGGCTATTAGCATGCAAGTCATCGCAGACGGACAAAGATCCTTCATTTTCTGGTTTTTCTTTTCCCTTCATTTTTCTTTTCTCTCTCCTTTTCTCGTAGGCGTTTGAATATAAATAGAAAGAGGCAGACTCACTCAAATTCCGGATAATAAAGATAGGCATAAGTGCAAATGAGAAATCGCATACGATGTTCAGGGCGGTATAGAGAAACGTCATATCGATGATGATGTCGACAGAGATGCAGCTGCCGGGCTGTGTCTTGTTCCAAAAGTACGAGACGGGCGTGCACTGGAGCACCGCGACGAAGAAGAATATGAGCCCCGTCACGACACTGAGGAACATGGCCAGGTAGATCACATGCAGTGTAATCTTCTTGACGATGATGCGGACCAGGAAAAGGCCAATCGATATCTTGGATAAGATCATAGTCCAGCAGTACCCGATATAACAGAAGAACCAGAACTAAAAGGTGAGCAGGAGAGTTAGTCTTAAGCCACAAGAGACATCATTCTCAAACTTCTTCCATTATTCTGCCCTGCCGTGCATTCATTCATTGCGGCGGGGTGAAGATAATTACCTCCATGGCTCGCTGGATCTCAGTCTCCGTCAGGGCAGCAAAATGTTGGCCGGTGCCGTAATGAACACCGCCCAGGACACAGCTGATGTAAAAGGTAAAGGTAATGGCAGCTGCGGTCATGAACCAGTCATCCCAACCGAAGCCTCGCATCATAAACACCCGGACATAGATGCGCAGGGCGTAGGATATGATGGCCACGATGAGGAAGCCGATGGCGACACCCCCGACCTCGGGCCCCCGGTTGTCAAGGGCCCGTGGGGCGACCTTGGCCAATTCTGAGAGGGGGGCCATGATCGTCGGCGTCCGTATTTTGTCGTCAGTTTTCAACTACCCGTCCGTCTGGGGCTGTACTTGTCGTATGAGGAGGGGATTCAGGTCAACTGCATGGTTGCACTGTCCCATCACACACACGCCAAAGGATTGGAGTGTGTTAGTCGATTAAGCGAGATGGAATTCGCGGACACGGTCCACGATATCGACGGAGAGATCCGTTACATATGTCGTCGAGAGTTAGTTGGTTGGGTTGGGGGGGAGGGGAAAGGAAGGAAAGAAATGAAATAAAACAAAAAAAGAAAGGTTGGGCTCAAGTAAGAGTAAAAAGAGTTTACAGAGTAGAGAGGAGAAGATCAAGGGCCATGTCATTTGCTAGCAGCATTTGCTCTTGTTTAGCTTGGGTTCACCCTTCTACTAGCGGCCGATCCAAAATCTCCTTTTGCTGGTTGGTGCACAGAAGCTATGTACCATAGTACGTACTACTGACTACTGTATGAGCCGGCGAGCCCCGGGTTCACTACGTCTAACGCAACTCGGTGACAGATCTTCGACACAACTGTGCACGTTTAAATCCCAATGCCCTGTAACGCTTTGACGGGGCGTGACGAGGACCCTCGAGATGGTCTTTTTTTCAGCCCTGACGAGCTCGCGTCGTTCGCGCCTTTCCAACAAGAGACCCACCTGCTGGAAGGAAAGAAGGGGGGAAAGAGGGGGGAGGACAAGGAAACAAGGGGTAGAGACAATGAGAGAGGCAGAGATGGTACTGTAGACAGACAGGCATTCATTTTCCAACCAGAAGAAAAGAAAAAGAAAAAAAGAACCACCCCGCTTCCTTGAATTGTGGACTATTCTCGTGGGCACGGGGATTTGAGGAGGGCGATGTGGCCCCTCTCCTCCCCCTCATTCAAGAAAATAAGGAACAGGAAACTCTTCACAAGTAGCGCCGAGGACTTGGGTGTGCTTTGAGACAACGGTCCGAGCGTGCAGAAGGGATACGACACGACCAACCGGGAAACTGTGGCCGGTGCCAGATAACTATGGGGACAGCTTGTGCTGACATGTTCTGTGCGCGTAGAGCCTGAACCTGGTTGCTCTGGACTTTTCCCCCCTCTCCTCTCCACCTTGACCTCCCCCGGTTCTTCAAGACCCAATTTTACACCGGGAGCCCAGTGTCGCATGGAAACAAGGTAAGCCTGGCTTGCCCCCTCTTCTGTGGGCATGGTTATAGTAGTAGTGTCTTCACACTACGAGTATGGCCTTGGTTACGGGTCTGATGTAACTTGTGGTGAATATTGGCTGAAGAATTACAGTGCCCAGTCATTACACGGTACACCACTGTGGCAGAGAGAAAGTAGGGCACGTTACTAGGGGTCATAGTGTATGGCGTAGTATGAGTCCGCTGGTTTTGGCCTGGGCGCAATACCTAGTGGTAGCCCATTGCCCTGGTCCGCACTGCTAGCTAGTATAAGTCTGGCTAGCCCTACCCAGGTTTCTCTGGCTCGCCCTACTGCACAGTACGGTATTATGTACGTGCGTCGTTTTAACTCAACTCCTAACTATTGCCATAGTCCAGTTGTCCATAGTAGTTAGTAGTTCCAGACTAAAAGTACCAGAGTAAATTCCCACTACAATACAGTACTTTACTCTTGTGGCTGATTCCACTTTGGACCCCCATCTTGTCTGTTCCACTGTGGCACTTTGGGGCTCTGAACGAAGCAGACACAGCGACCAATTGACACACCCACATCCCCAATTGAGAAGTACACACCGAAAAGAAAAGAAGGAAAGTAAAAAAAAAAAAATTAAAAAAAAAAGATCAAGCTGGGGGTAGTTTCATGACGTCTGCTGCATAAGTAAAAGGGCATGCACTTCAAGAGAGACAGAGGCCTCGGCTCGTGGTTTTGTTGCCATACCATGGTAGCCAGCGAGGACCCTGAACGAAGGATTCTTCAAAAAAAAAAAAAAAAAAAAATTACTCCCTGCTACATAGTACGTATACATTGATTCCACACAAACAAGCATGGGGAGTACGGTAGCACAAAGCATACGATCGGACAAATCGCTCGCCTATGCAACATCTGTAAGGAATAATGACGCTAGAGTTACCAGTCGCACGGTCAACCTCCACTCTCGTGATGCCGCGGTCCTTGCGCCCCTGGGCCCCCTTCCTCCGATGGCTGCTGCGAGCTCGTTGAAGGGCCAGCTGAAGAATTACTATCAAGTCATCTTGGGCATCAAGTGGCTTGAAATTCTCCATTGAATAATTATATAAAGCAATCCCAGCTGCCGATCAAGTCTCGATCTATGTCTTTCCCGCCCGCTCAACATGACTCTCAAGAGGCAAAACAGCTTGATGCCCAAGAATGCAGATCACCCAGGAGTCTGGTACGCTCAGAAAACCCGCATCCTGGACCTCTCTCTATCTCTCTCTCTTTTCAGGGCCTGTGGGGAAGTCTGGCAAATGTAACGTCTGTGGATACGGTGCGTCTTCTTCTCTCCCCGAGAGCGCCAAGCGTCTAGTCCCGGCCAATGTAGTGCCGGGAGGAAATTACTGCTTGGAGTACGAGGGCCGAGATTTCCTTCCCCCTCGTCTTGGAGTTCGCTCATTCGGAATCATACCCGGGGCTCACAGTCCATTTCATTCCCTGGAAAGCGTACCCACAGGACCAGCCTACCGGTATGGACAAAGAGATCGGTAGCTGGGAAACATTTCACAATCAGGGAAAGCAACTACTGATGTCGACATAGGGAACAGTAGTCTCTACTGCATATCTGTTCACTACGGCCTGTCAAAACAGAATGTATCCCCATCCAAAGCATAGATGCCAAAACCTCAAGAAGCAGAGGAATAAAAGGAGGGGAGGACCGCCACAATGATGAGCTTCAACCCCCCCCCCCCCAAACCCGGCCTTGCCCAGCCCAAGGGTCCCTTGAATTTTGTGCTGCGCCCGTTCCAGAGTTCTGGGCCTTCTACTCACGCCCGCCACGCAAGTGATTATTGCGACTCGGCCAAAGGCACTTGCTATTAGGAGACCTGCAGGTGATCGTTCCCAACTGACTCGCGAGAACCCGATTGACTTCCCATGATATCCGCTTAGCCGGACAACCAACATGAATGAATCTCACACAGGCACTTTTCAACGAACCATAGTAACGAGTCTATTAGGTGGGAGTGGGTTCGGAGTGTTTCCGGCTTGTTTCCGATGCATCGTCATGAATAAGACAAATAATAGGAGTTTGGGGAAGCACAGGTTCGTCTTCCGTACGGTCAGCTCGTCGGGTACTATCCTTCTCAGCTGAATGGCTTCCGAGTCGTCGCTATTTTCAAATTTCCGAAGTCCCGAGTTTTTCTTGTCTTTCTTCTTCCCCTTTAGACCAAACTATAGAAAGGTGTGGTCGAGAAAAAGTGTAACATTCCCCTGAGTGGCCTTCTTGGAGCGCGGCTTCCAACCTTAACAGAGATCAGCAGCAAGTGGATGAGACATGAGACAAATGATGAACTTTTGTAAGTCTGAAGAAGAAGGCGGTATGGTAATCCTTGAGACAACAACCAACATAATAATGATACATGTGACTGTGGCATGATGTCTTTTGGAGGAAAAAACAAAATCCCTTAGATCGTATCATACCATGCAGCGTTCAGATGGAGCTGAGACTCCACCAGACCCAACCCTCCCGGAAGCGTCGGCAGTCATGTGATGCGTGGGCGAGCTTATTGTTGCTGGGTTGCATCAGTACAGTTCACTACTAGGAATAGCTCAGGGCGCAGCTTTCGAGGATTTCACGTCGTGGCGAAAGTCAATCAGGATGAGGTGAAACTTATATTTTTTTGTTTGAAAGTATATTTTCCTTGCTTTCATTTTTCATTTTCTCCCTAAACCAACTGAACACAGACGTGATCAAAGAGGCCACCTAACTATGTTTGAGACCAAGACATTCGGCTCGTTCCGCTGCGGCAAGAATGGTGACCATACAAGCAGTGATCTACACGCCACATTGGTCAGCTCTGCATTCGGCGACGGATGAGCCCGCACCGCAGCAGCTCGTCACGAGAACGTGACGCCTTTAGTGAGCCAACCAGGTCTCACAGTCAGCAAGATGGTCAAGAAGAACGACAAATTTTCAGGGTTTTGCTGAAGCGAACGCGTGATGCGCTGACCCTCTGAGGTTTTGTCCCTCGGCTGCTCCTGACAATCACGGAAGCAATGCGTCCTGTATAATTGCAACTCACATATGGCTTAGGCAATCGGGTCCTCAAATGGATGTGATACCACTTAATGATGTGGCTTTCCCGAATCTCGACTTTTCAACAAACTCCTGACTGAGGGAGCACCGGTCTCATGAAAAGGGGGGGAAACGGCTACAAATGGCTCGGGCACCACTTTTGGAGAATAGAGTTCACTTAGGTCTGGCTCAGTCTAATCTTATCAGATATGAAAATGTTATATGACCTATAACCAACTAATTATGTGTAGCAGTGCAGTGCTCGAGAAACACTATGTAAAACACCACCAAGGTCAGGGCGGAGCTTATTGTCTGCTGCAGTGTGGTTGACGCTGAGGTCGCCAGAGCTATCAGATTATCACAGTCAGGAACAAACTTTGGTCAACAAGATAAAATCTTGATACGAGTACGACACTCTCAGCTTCCTCTATCGATCACCAACAAACCCTCGGACCCGGTGAGCCTTTGATACATGTGCGCTGAACTCTTAGCGAAAACTTGATGCGAATACCATGGCCTCAGGGGCAACATTTCAACCTCGCTAACACTGCTCAACCAAAGTAACAAGGCCTCAGTAAGTTGACAATGCCCATGCCCATGCCAAATAGCCACTGAACCTATCAAATGTCCGCGGGCAACCCATCGCGGTCCGCCAATGTAAGTGGGGACTCAAAAACGTTTGATAGCTTACGCCATCTAAACACTGGTCCAGTCCGTCCCACATGAACGACAATAAGGGGAACGCATCAAGGACTTTTTTCTCTCGAGAATCTTGGCCCTGTTATATTGAACCAGCTCGGGCGTCAATGTGTATCCTAGGCCAACTATAGTAGCCAAGTCTATTGCATTATGCCGGTAGACTTTTGGAAAGCTCGTGCTGCAGCTTCGAGTACCGAAGTCGGCAGTTCCTGGGCCAGTCATCTGCATTATCTTGTTGCTGGGGATGATACCAGATGACAATCATCTCGAGGGAATACGAAATATTGCATACTACAGACCAAGTTATAGCCATCTTGTACCCATGAAATGGTATTGCAGCACTTAGTGGTTCTCATTTCCTCTTCAGTTCTGATTGGATATCTTTGAGACCTTACTAGTTAGTCGCTGGTCCCCATCCAGTCTGGCCAATGCCCATCAACTCGAATCGAATCTCTTCATGCGTCCACATGATCTTGAACTCCCTTCAAAACGACATAATGCAGACATTTATCAATCTGCCGTTTCCACTACTGCATCTTGGAGATCACGGGATCCAGGGGCAACGTGCACCCAAGAGCAGAATGCCTAGCCGTTTCAATATCGTGAGGGTAATCCCATCCTTTTCGGGCTTAATTGTCTGCCAATGTCGCATCACCAATGGGGTCTGCCCCCTGCGCCTCAACCACATTCAAATCTGCTGCAAGTGGAGTTGAGCTTCCATTTCCGGCCTCTCCCCTCTTACCTGCGTATGCAAGATGTGCGACAGCGTGGTTCCAAGAGAATGCCCATGCTACACAGTATATCGCCGATCTGCAGTGAACATGTCAAATGATCCACTCGCCGTATTACCCCAAGAGCCACTGTTCTTATTCTTTTGATCATCAGGCACTGGCAGCAAGCTGTGCTGCACATCAGATCTGAGTGCTTGATCAGGGGATCCATACGTCCGCCCGCTCCACCCGGATTTGTCACAGCCCACCACACCGGACTGGACTGGAACACAATGAACTCAGTCGAGTTTACCTGCAAGGGAAGGGATGCCGTCGAAGCAACCACGGGGATTTCGGCTGGCCCATATCAAAACGATAGATTTTTTTTTCTGGATCGATGGGACGAGGCTCCTCTCAAGACTTCGTCATTCAGCTGAAAGGAGTTCAAGATGAGAAGCGGGAAGTTGGTCAGCCTCTTCTTGACCAACAGGCTATGTCACCTCTCGGCGTCTCGGCAAAATGTCTCTAGATTCTGCCGAACAATTGCGGGTCTACGGACTTTGCAGCTCAAACAGGTCGAGTCGGCCTCAATGGCATTTGACAGTTTCCCCAGCCTTGTATACTGTGGCTGACCACTCTAGAGCTCGAGACGGTTGCCTTGAGGTTCCAAGAGGGAGAAAGCGAGTTCTTGAAGTGCGGTTCGAGACTACTGTCCTCCTAGGTCTTGAAAGTCAGGCACACCCAGGCTTCTTTCTCCTCTCCAGCCGTCATTCGATTCAGTGCGTCAGTCTGGAGGTGTGTGATCCAACTTACAATCACATTTTGAGTCCGCAAACGGTCTTGAAAATCATGTCACCACAGGACCAGCTGGAGGTAGGCTGCGTTGCAAGGTGATACAGGCTGTCGAGCAACCTAAACATGTTGGTCACTGTAGTTGCTAGCGTTTTCGAATTCAATATGTGGCTCTTCCTGCCCAAGACGAAGTAATTATTCCCCTGTTGTGATGCTTGAGTCTTGACAACCGCCTCGGGATCATTTGCCCGCTACATAGTGCAAAGCCATACTATCGCAGGCTTTGTACGCCTTGGCTGCTGATATGTGCGCAGGAAAAAGTCAAGACACGCGCTCCATACAGCCTCGCGAGCTGGATGAGCTCTACATGCACCCTAGCCCAAACAGTGTCGCGATTGCTCGGAAACAAAGGGAAACAACGCCTGACTTGGGCGATGAGGCGCCTCACTGGCTAGAGGATCGTGCTCTTGTCACGAGGAAGGAGGCGAGACACCAAGACGGCAAGCCGACTGTGTTCTCCACGACGACGGTTGTCAGCAGCCTAACGACAACCGTCGGGGAGGGCACGACCTCAACAGCAACCGTCAACACGATCAAGATCGTGACAACCTTGAGTGTCAACACGAGCGTCCTCACCGAGCAAGTCAGACACGCTACGTCTGACCTGAGCTCACCACAGAAGCGCAACAGGCCTTCACGAGTTGAGGGGTTGGATACTTACTCATCCCTTCTGCTCACTAGTGACACCACTCTTTCCCGGCCGTTTGTGACGAACTCGGACGACAAATCAAGAGGGCTGTTGACACCAAAGCAAAGACAAATTCCAGACGCTGGCACAATTACATCCATGATCACAGTCATCTCGCGAGTTCTGGTTACATCAGCACCGTCACCAGCCCCAGTGACCGACACCGCTCGATCACTGTCGACAGTCACCATCACATCACCAATCATCCCAACTATTACTTCAACCCCGGTACCAACAACAACAACGACCCCTTTCTTTAGTGGACCTGCCGGGTCCTCATCCCCTACTGTTGGTCTTTCCGCCCCAACATCCACATCTTCCCTGACCTCTCCAGCGCACGCCTCGCCCCCGAGCATACGTGTCGTAGCAGGCCTCGTGGTCGGCGCAGTTCTCAGCGCTCTACTGCTCGTGTCGCTTATTGCCTTGTGCCTGAGACGCAGGCACAGGAATCGGTCCAGTCCTACGCACGTGGATACAAATGGCGATGAAATTGGCTTCCCGGCCACTGTTGAGGCCGTACAATTCGCTACTACTGAGCTTGTAAGAGAAGGCTTCGATACCAACCTGGCGCCACCGACGAGGGTAGTCCCGCATGGCACGGCTCAGGGGTTGTCAGGAGAAGTACGCTTGGTCGACAGTCCATTGTCTTCTCTAAGCCCGAGATGTAATGCCGAGCATGCCATCAAACATGGCAGCGCAGCTGTCAAGCCGAGCATGCCGTCGAGCAACAAGGTGTTCCAGGAGATATGGGAAGAACTGAGCCTGCACGAGACCGACACAGCGTCGCCTCGATCAAGCCATCCGTCCGCTCTTCCAGCGCCGCTGTCCTTGGCCCGGCCCCAGGATCATCACAGTGTACGCTTGTCTGGGCATAGCAACATCACCCAGGGCTGCAAGACAAGCGACCGTCAAAGCAGCATCGTCCACAGCCCAGAGGAGGCAGGACGGTCCGGCATGCTCGGCGGCGACGGCATCACGCCATCTACACGACACCATGGAGGGTGGAACAGCAGCAGCAGTAGCATTCTGGAACCAGCTGATAATATAGCAGTGGCAAGCAAGCTTCCCACCTTCAAGAAGCGATGGGGTCGCGTCTGGCCGGAATGGCTTGAGATCCAGGGGTGACGACCAGGGCCATACGGAGCTGTCTGTAGCGACTGCTGGAGGGTTTATGGCAGTCTGAGGGTGATGAGGATGAGGATATTACAACCTGAGAGCAGATTTCTGTGTTTCCCAGTCCAGCTAGGTCAAAGGCGTGGACGACCATAAGAGGCGGCGAACCAGGAAGGTTGAAGCCTGATTGTCTGCACTTTCTGTAGTGAGTAAAAGGGGCCTGCTCAGACGAGGGTTTGTGCGATGCACCTTATTCGCAGCATGATCGCAGTGGCCATATGCATTGCAGTGTTGGTTGAGGACTATAATAACACCTACTACGTGCGTCACTGCTTCTTCAGTCCCTTATTCTTGCTGTCACATTTGTCGTAGCTGGACTTCTTCTCAAGCCAACCTAATTCCTAATTTAGATGCACTCAGAAAACATCCGTCTTGCCTCCTATAGATAAATTCCCCGGTAGAGGCGTTTGATGTGATCGAGGAGCGCAGGATGCCTGTCTGCATGATTTCACCGTTCATGCAAAGTCGTGGCTCGCTTAATCCTCTGCAGACGGAACCAACAATCCTGCGCAGATGTGATGTGAAACGCTTGTTTATGTTTCGGCCTCAAGGTATCATGCAGGAGACTGCTAATGCTATGGACCAATACGGGCCTCCATCGTACGATGTGTGGCTTGGCGGAGAGCTTTTTTTTTTTTTTTTTTTCTTCTTTTTTTTTACGTGATAAGCCATACTAAGGAAAAGTGGCTCGGACTGCACTTTGGATGTGCGCGAAGAAGACCAGGCTCATAGCTGTGGATGGATAGCAACTGTGAGGGCAAGGTGCTATCATATCACTTTCATGCGCTATGACACGCATACCCGGGCCAGCACAACGCCATGCGACCTCATCATATCTTCAAAATGTTTCTTTTTTTTTTTTCCTTGTCCAAACTCCCGATATTGTACACACAGGCAAAACACACAGCCGGCGCGAGCCACCTTTAATTTCGCCCCCTCCCGGGCCCTGAAGAATCTCAAGAGCCGGCCAGCCCTCTCCGTACTGGAAGCTCCGTGGTCCGTGTCCAAAGAACGCCATGCCATGTCGAGTGAAGATGTATATAAATACGCCATATGCAGCGGGGAATATTTCGATGTCGAGGTCTTGCCGCCCAAATGTCCCTGTCCCTTCCTTCCTTGCTTTGTTCCTCCCCATCGTCGTCGGTGTGAAGGGGTAGCGTCGTTGCGGGATCGAAGTTCTGCCGTCGGGTTCTTGATCTGGAGTCTCTTGTAGCCTGTAAACCTCATCGGCGCCAGTCCTCATCCAGCCCCCCTCCCTCATCACCGATCTTTGTAGATATTCGGCTTCCACCCCTCCTTTGCCTCCTTCTCTTGCGCCATCTTCTCCTGCATGGGTCGCACCTCGGCCTCGATCCTCTCTCTTGCCCGCAATATCTTGCTCTGCAGGTAAAAGCTTCCCCCCTTCTGCGGATCATTAGCGTCGAATAGCCGCTTGAACCGCTCCATTACGTCCTCCATGTCTGCCTTGCCACCCTGCGGCGGCTTTACGTTCAGGATCTTGACAGCCTCGTCGAGCGTCATGCCGCTCGTGATGCTTGCGCGCCCAGATGCAGATGCACCGCCGGCTTTTTGCTGTGCACGCTGGTAGGAGGACGAGGCGGAGGCCTGCTTGTAGGCCTCGGCGAAGGCGCGGCCCACAACGCGGGTGCCAATGAGGACGACTTGGGTTATGAGGCGGTACGCCTAGAAGGATGCGGTAGTCAGTTTGCGAGTCCTCCTCGAGTAAGAGCATCCGCGCCAGACATCGCAAGAGGGAGGAAAGAAGAGATGCTCTGCGCCGTCTGTATCGGGCGAAAGGAAGCAAAGGAATGTCGAAGCTCGGGGCTCGGGTCTTCTTACCATTGTGAACGACCGGATGCGCTGGTCTGCACCTCACAATCTATTACGGTGCCCACAACTATGAGATTGAAATATAGTCGTGTCAAATGGACGATTGCGCCCTCGAGGAGACGTCTTGAGAGTATGAGGATGAGGAGGCCAGAGAGGTGGAATCGTAGTCCAGAAGCTGGCTGCCGGCGAGGATGGCGACATGAAATTTTGCCGAAGGAGAAAAAGACCCCGGCTCGACCTTTGTGCCTGCCAAAGCCGCTTGCTGTGGCACCAAAAGGTTTGCCTGCCGGGTGTCAAGAGCTCAGGCACCCGCAGGCACTTGGCACCCCGGCATAGACCCTCCTGCAAGGACAAGCTGCAGGACAAGCTGGCCCCCCTGAACATCCTGACATCAACCTGCGAACTGCGTCTTGCTGTCCAGAAATTCCTCTTTTGACATCTGAAATTCTGCATGGTCTGCATAACGAGCCTTCCACCACACCACCCACCATATTCTTCATTTGACCAATCATTTCTCCTTTGAACGCGTGTCCTCTCTGCACTGAAGCAAGGGCAAAAGCCACCAGACAACAGCGTCTGCCGTATCCTCAGAGCAGGCAACGAACACGCCCTTGACAGCCTAACCAATCCTCCTCCCTCACCACCACCACCCAAACAAGAAACGAAGACAGACAGCAAGGCCAACATGGCACAGTACGGCTATGGCGCGCAGCCCCAAGGCAATCCAGCCTACGCGCCCCAGTCCGCCCAGAATCTCCAGTTCTACCCATCTTCGTATGGCGCACCAAACGATGTCTCGGGCCACGCAGCATCCTCGCAGTCTTCCTATGGCTACGGCGCACCCTCGGGCACGATGGGCGGTGGAGGAGCAAACTTTGGCTTTGGACCCGCGGCTGGTGTCTCGGGGCGCATGGGCGAGCAGGGCGGACTGAGGACCGGCTGGCTCGCAGCTTTCTCGGCAGAGGGTTACGAGGGCGAGCCCTCGCTGCTGGAGGAGCTGGACATCAACTTTGGACACATCCAGGCAAAGGTAGGTTCTCTTCTCCTGCCTTGCCTGTTTCCCTCTCTCTGTCTCTCTCTTGCTACTGGACAATACAAATACTGACTGAGATCACCCTTCCCCGCTTAATAGACAATAGCAGTCCTGAACCCCTTCCGACGAATCGACCAGCACCTTATGGACGACAGCGACATCATAGGACCCCTGATCTTTCTCGTCTGCTTCGGCTTCCTGCTCGCCCTCTCCGGCACCCTCCATTTTGGCTACGTCTACGGCCTATCATTGATGGGCTCGACCTCCCTACACGTCATCATCAGCCTCATGACTCCCCAAGACGATGCTGACCCGGGCAACCCCTCCCCAGCCGGTGCAACCCCTTACGCCGGCGCGTCGTCTCCACAGCCGCCGTCCTCGCAGCACGGCCACCATCACCACGCCAACGAGCTGTCCGCGACGCTCACCTGGAGTCGGAGCGCCTCCGTGCTGGGCTACTGCATCATCCCGCTCCTAGCCATGAGCGTCGTCGGCGTCTTCATGCCCATGGATACCCCCATGGGCATCGTCATGACCTCCGCCGCCATCATGTGGTGTACCTACAGCGCCTCGGGTATGTTCTGCGCCGTGGGCCGGCTGCGGAGCATGAGAGGTTTGGTCGCCTACCCACTGGCGCTGTTCTACGTAGGGTTTGGCATAATGACCATCTTTTCATCGCGAGGATCGGGGAACATGGCAAAGATCGTGGGCAGTGCGGGCACTTCGTAGGCCGTGTGCCGTGGCTGGCAGTTTGGCGTAGCTCGAGGGAAAAAGGGACCCGTTCATCATAAGACGGGATGTGGGTATTTTTACGAGCAGGATACTAGATAGACACTTGCATGTGCGAATAGCATCATCAGTCAATCAAAAAGAAACTTGAAAAAAGAAAAGAGGAAATAAAAACATCTTGTATTGTGGTCATAAACTCCGTACGGCCCCCCCCCCCTTTAACAATATGCATTTTTTTCATAATAAAAAGAACAAGAACAGGAAATAAAACAAAGCCTGCCCTTCCCAAGGGCGGCACAAAGTTTCCCGCCCCCAAATCCTCTCTTTGGAGGAAGTAAAAAAAACATTGCCCCTGATGGGGAAACACAGGGCCTCCCAAACGCCGAAGAAAAAAAACTTTGGGCCCCGAAAAACACGAGAGCCGAAGAGACAGAGAAAAATTTTGCCCTCAGGCGGCGTCCTCGTGGACGCTGGCCAGCATGCTGAACTGGCCACCGGCGCCGGCCCAGACGACCGACGAGTCCCGCACCGCGCTGTTGTTAATCAGCGTGGGGACGAGGACGTCGCCGGCCGTCTCGCCGACGCCGCACTGGTAGTTGGAGTTGAACCCCCAACTGTAGGCTTTGCCCTCCCTGGTGACCACCAGGGAGGTGTCAGTGCCGGCGTCGGCACAGACGACCGCGCCGGGGATGTCCAGCACAGCCGGGACCACGAGGATCCGCGGCTGGCCGCAGCCGTCGTAGACGCAGTTCTCCTGGGAGAACGCGTCGCGAGGGACGCCGACCTGGCTGCCGTCGATGCGGCCAAAGGCCAGGGCCTTGCCGTCCTCGGTGACGGCCACCGAGTGGTGCTCGCCGCCCACGATGCCGGTGACGACGTGGCCGGCCAGAGCCTCCACCAGCGTGGGCTGGAGGAGGGTGGCGTCGTCCTCGCCGGCGTCGGCCTCCACGCCGAGCTGGCTGAAGTTGTTGAGCCCCCAGGCCCAGACGCGGCCCTCGCCGTCGATGGCGAAGGAGTGGTACGAGCCGCAGGCGATCTTGGTGATCTTGACGCCGCGCTTGAAGTTGAGGCCGGCGGGGCGCAGGGCGGAGGCCTTCATGTCGCGCTCGACAACGCGACGGCCCAGCTGGTTCTGCTCGGCGGCGCCCCAGGTCTGGATCTTGCCCTTGTTGTCAAGGGTCATGACGTGGTTGGAGCCGGTGGCGATGGCGACCACCTTGGTAGGCTCGGGGAGGAGGGCGGGGTACCACTGGATCTTTGTATCCTTGCTGAAGCCCAGGATGCCATCAGAGCACTGTATGTATTGTGTGTGTGTGTGTGTGGTCAGCAGGTGAAATAGGTTAGGGTGCGAAGAATGAGACCTTAGTTTCTAAGAAGTGTTTGTGAGTTGTAAGACTTACGCGGAATGTGCCCCAGGAGTAGACGCGACCATCCTCGGTGAGGGCGAAGGAGGCGCTGTCGGTGGCGGCGACCTGAACAAACTTGGTGCCAGGCGCGATGTTCTTCGTGTTCACCTCGGTAGGGGTGCTCTCACGAGGGTTGAGACCGGAATCGTCAGAGTCGGAATCGGAATCCTCCTCAGCAACGTCGACATTGCGCAGACCGCCATCCCACTGGGTGTCGCGACCCAGAGTGCCTTGATCGTTGACACCCCAGGTAAGGATCTTGTTGTCCTTGGTGAGGGCGATAGCATGCATGCCACCGCAGGCGACTTGGACGACACCGACAAGCTCGGCAGACAGGTTGACATTCTTGCGGGGGCGCTTCACGTCGATGGGCTTCTTACCATCGACTTTGGTGGCACCGAGGCCAAGCTCACCAGCACTGCCCTCGCCGAAGACGTAGACATCGAGAACCTGAGTGGGGGCAAAGTTGATCTGAACGCCAATCTTGACCTTGGGGGTAGGGGTAGCTTTCTTCTTGGGAGCAGCCTTGACGGTCTTCTCGCCGGTGACTTTGGCTTTCTTGGCAACGGGAGCATCGTTCTCCTTACCGTCATCGGCAGACTTGCGCTTTTGGGCAGGCTTCTTGGGAGCCGTGCTGGTCTTCTTGGAGGCCGTCTTGGTCTTCTTGGCGACAGGGCCCTCGTTCTCGCTCTCGTCCTCATCATCGACATCGGCAGACTTGCGCTTCTTGGTAGCAGTAGACTTCTTGATAGCAGACTTCTTGACAGCAGGCTTCTTGGCAGCAGCGGCCTTGGTCTTGCTGGCAGTGGTGGTAGAGGTAGACTTCTTAGCTGCGACAGACTTGGTCTTGGTGGCAGCGGGCTTCTCCTTGGGAGCCGTCTTGGCCTTCTTGGGGGCAGGGGCCTCGCTCTCATTCTCGTCCTCATCATCCTCATCCTCAGTAGCCTTACGCTTGCGCGACATGTTGGCGCGCAGAGAGGGAGCCTTGCCAGCAGACTTGGCAACGGGCTTCTTCTTGGTGCCTGCGGCTGGGTTGTTGTCGGCGGTGATGGCGCCTGACTTGGTATTGGTGGCCTTCTTTGAGGTAGCACGCGTCTTGGAGGGGGCGGTAGAGGAAGAAGTGGAGGTGGTAGTGGTCTTGGTCGCGCTCTTTCGAGAGACGCGCTGCTTGACGGACTGCGCAAGCGCAGCCACAGCCTTCTTGGGAGGCATTGTTGATTGATGACGGAGTGAGTGATGAGGGAACAAGATGAAAGTGTGAGAAACGCGTACTTGCTGGTCGTAGCGTTCAGGCGTGGGAAGAGAGGGAATTGAATGTGGTGATGAATGCGGTGATGATGAGAGCTGTTGTTGCGTGTCAAAACGAAACGCGGATGAGGTTCTGTGATGAAGGAGAGAATGGATAATGATCTGGAGATCGAATTGGTAAACGAACTTCAAAGTTTGATTGTTATTGGTTATGTTTGATTCAAACTTCGAGAGCGCGTTCGAGGTAAGAAGGAAATTTCCCAAAGGTGCAACCAAAAACCCCACGACTATATAGCAATGGATGGAGGTCGAAGATCACAGATGCAGTCAAGTTGCAGGGGTGTGGCCCCGCTTTTCAAGCAGCAGTACAATAGCACAAAGAATCAATACAGCAAAAGTCCGTGCACGATGAAACAAACCTTGGAGGGAGCCTCATTATTGTCTGCAGGTTGGCAAGATCAGCCGCAGGACAATGCGTTCAAGTACCTATTGGAAGGTTGAGGTTTCTATTGAAGAGGATATGGCTCATTTTCATTGGTCGAGCCAAGCTTAAGTAGTTCTATAAGGCTGGCTAAGTCATGTAAAGACAGGGGGATAAGGCCGCAATGGGGACGATCAATACTACTATGCATATACTCGCCCTTGCTTGCCAGTGGAACGGTGGAAAACAGAAAGATATTTTCGCATTTGGAAATCAGCTGGCTAATTCTAGAACGCGCACATTTCAAGTATGGGAATTCTATTGATATCCGCCTTGCGTTTGGACAAGTCCTTGTGGCCGTAGCCCTTGATTACGTCCACTAATAATCAGCCAAATCAGTCATCTGGTTGACCGCTCGCTCGATTTTCATATCAACTCTCCTCCTAGATATGTTCTGATCGTAATTGGAACCGCCCCTCTCGAAAAGTCCCCAGACCAGCCTCTCGTAGACGACCATTGCAGCACATTCCTTTCGAAGTACTGTTGCCGCGGGGCTTTATTCAAAATATATGATACTACCAGCGGGACGGCGTCGCTATGCTTGGCATGACACGTTCACCTGGCGCGGCCAGACACCTCGGCCCTGTCGCTTAATCACTTTTTACTCCCAATACAAGTAGTAGAGGGCCATAAATGAGACCTAAGGCCTATTCACGGCGATTTGGGACAAGACACGAGAACTTGGCGGCCGTGTAAGCTTACACCGTTTTAAGCCAGGCTTGCTGAGTATGCGACCATATCTGATTGACCTGCCTCCATGCCCTATGATTGAAGAAATAAATTACACCCTGCCCAAGTCGATTCTCTTCGTCTTTGTTTCTGATTTCTTGTCTACTGCACGTTTACTGCTACCTTCATAGATACGCTCAATAATTGTTCAAGCTTCGAGTCCGTCATCTTGAGTCCCCCCAGCTGCGTACCCCTGTCGCACGCTCACCCCGAACCCTGGACCATCATGACACGCTCCACCGCGCCTACGATATTTCTCTCCCTGACGATCCTCCTGCTCGCCATTACACGACCGTCCAGTGGCCTTATGACTTATCCGGCGTGCCGCATACGTTGCACCGCCGTCTATGAATTGTGTATGATGGACTACGGCAACCACGACACATGCAGTACCGACTCGAGGGCGTGCGTGAGAAAATGCATGCCCTCCAGGATAGCGCGCGCCGAGGAGAGGCTGAAGGGCGGAAGGGGTGAATACGACATCTAAGACGTCCCAGTGAACTGTGACAGCCGGTCTAAAAGACAGCGATCCCGACCAGATATCAAACCATGCCTCCCATCACATGATCGAAGCTTCTCTAATTTGGGCAGGGCACAGACCGCATGGGCAGAGCAAAATTGAAAGGCATTCTGTATGACGGACAAAAACAGCCAGCTAAACAACAGGCTGCATTGGGCACATCCCAGGGGCAAAGAGAGCCAAGACAGGCCCCTCTATTACATTCACCTTGGAGACCCTAGGAATTCTGGGCGGCATGACGGTAGGGAACATCACTTTGGGAATGCGAGTGGCAGTCAAAATGGATAGGACTGGGTGCATCATAGCGAAATCTTTGTTTTTGTTTTGCAATTTGGGTATCTCAATTTTCCTCCCGTTCAACCATGCGCCTCAAATTCCATCATGTGCTCCAAATAGTTGCCGTGTTGGCCTGGTTGTTGTGATCCCTGTCTGGACACTTGGACAAAGCCTGAGCTCTGATTCGGCCTGTCGTACGGTGACAGTGCTCAAGTAGATGCTCGCTCAATCCACCAAAGTAATATATGGCCCTTTCTTGCCCAGTGAGCCGCTCGTTGATACTTGCTGTGGGCCGTTGACGCCATCTCGATGTGACTCTGCAAAAGCTGATATCGCTGCCGTGTTGCCACTCTCTCCGTTTCCGCTTCACCAAACATCCAAGACTTCTGGGTCGTAGGTATGTATGGTTGACAAAGCATATAAACTTGAATATTCTTGTTTATTTCTTCGTCGTGAAGTCAATCTCGTTGGGGTTGCTGCTGCCCACAGCCCCGTTCTTCTCGCATGTGCAAGCCCCAGCAGCCCGGAGACCGCAGGCACAGGAGGCGGAGGAGGCAGGCTTGACGTTCTCCGTGGCGGCCTTGTCACAGGAGCACTGGAGGGCGGGCTTGGCGCCGCAGGAGCAGGTGGCCTTCTGGGCTGGAAAGAGGGGTACAAATATCAGCAACGGAACAATCGGCAAGAAGCAGAGGGAGGAAGTTGTTATATTGCGTGAGCCGGAAGAGCTTACCGCAGACGCAGGAGTCACCACCCTTGCCGCAGCAGGTGGAGGGCTTCGCAATAGTGGCCATTGTGGTAGTGATGCTGGTATTGAAAGGTTTGGGAGGCGATGAGACAGGAGACTGATAGCCGTAAAGAGCAGGTGGCAGGAGATCTTGTTGGTGTTGAGAAGGTAGAGTTGATCTGAGATGATTGTCTGGAATCGATGTGTGCAAGATTGAGAGGGGAGGGAAGACGGTCGCTTTTATAGCTGGGCGAAGCTGCGCTGGCGGTGGGTGGAGGCATGGTCGTGGCAGCTGAATCCAGGTCAGTGTTGAGCTAGGCAGTAAGGCACTAGAGGAACTTGACAGCCAGTGGCGTTGCGGGTGGGCCGATATGTTGGGTAACGTCGGCAGGAGCGGGAGCAAGGATAGGGCCTGCCAAAGGGTGTCAGCATGCAATTGAAACGTCTTTGATTCGCTACAGATAATCTCTGGCGAATCGGCAACGCTCCATTTCGACGAGTGTGCATGCCGTTCAATGTGTCATTGCTCTGGGCTTGACCTGTGCCCAGAGCCTCATCCTTTTTCTCTCTCGTCTCATTCGTTGGTCAAGGGTTCGGCAGGGGTTCACTGGGACCTCTATCGTCTCCATGTGGAAACGGAATTGTACGTCATCCTCTACGAAGCACGGCATTGTCAGGACGGGAATACCACAATAATCCGTCCAGATCTTGGGGTCGATGAATGCTATCTGGTATGCTATCGTTGTCGGCCTTGCGATGGAATTTAGCCAATTTCACTGGAGTAGATGCAGTCTGTCGATCCGACCTACGTAAGGAATCTCTTTGTGCAACGATACCTCGAGATCATCCTGTCTGTCAAATAATTAAAATTTGGCCGAGCACAAGATTTCCAAACCATCTGTACATGGGTTGCTAGGCTAGGTGTAAATATCAATACTATTCCTGAATTGGGCCATCTTACATGCGGCTTAAGATTGATTCTGAGAAGCTACTGTTGTCGAGAAAACAGTCATTGGCCTCAAGCTTGCAAGGGGAGTCGAGGGAAGCAGGCGGAGAGCAAAACCCGGAGCCGGAGGGAGGAGGAAGAGGAGGAGGGGTAAAGGAGGGGAGGGAGAGAGGGAGATTTCAAGTTCTTTAGCTCATGCCTACCACAAGGGTATTAGACTTTATTGTAATCAATTGCCAGTATGCTCTTCGTTACATCACGGCTGATATTGGAAGGAATTTTGTCGGCCATGTGCCTGAATTCCCAAAACCCCTCCCCAAGGTATTTCACAACCTCAGATTCACGACAACAATCAGCTGAGCCCGGACTTCTTTCTCTTTCTTTCTTTCCTGTTCCAGCCCTGTCCAGTCTGGTTAGAACAACCCAAATTGTTCTTTTGACAAGTGGAATTTCTTTCACTGAAAAAAGACCCCATCTTTGAAAGGGTGTTACGGACAAACCCGCACGAACCTTGCACAAAGAAATGCCGGACGGAAACGGTCTGTGAAGGGAACCACCCAGTATGAAGACAATGGGACAACATCATATGTCTTTTGAAAAAGCTGTCCTTCTTGTCTAATCTTCAGAACATTAGCTCTTTTGTTTCATTTTTATGCAACATCGGTCGTGGGCTGCTTCGCTAATTCTCTACATCCGGGTGCTTCTTCTCTCTCAGTATTTTGGCCCAGTAAGCTGAAGCTTCTCAGAAAAGACCAACGCCATTTCCAGGAATCAACCAGCATAGAGCAGTAAGGGGAGAGGCTTCAATTAATTATGTTCCACGCACAAGACTGACCGCAGACAGGTAATCGATCTGTCACAACTGAAGCCATGCATGCCTACCACACCCGCCGGTCCCCATCTTCAAGAGGGGGCAGATTCCACGCCATGTCCTCCAGCGCGAGGCGTAACATTCACAAGGTCTCTCCCTTTGAGACTGCTGAACCACTCGGCGCCAAACTCCCTGATCAGCGCCAGAGAGCAGCAGCGAGTGAGAAGACTGCCCAGACGTGGTTCTCACCTGCTCAGCCGCCCGCAAGCGAACTGCCCAAACTAGGCACCTTTTCCGATGACGAAGACGAAGACACAGCAGCGACGACCAGCACCCACCACGAAAAACCGTACCCTGAGCCGTTCCTTCCACCCTTCTCCCGCCAACCCCACCCTATCAGCTTGCGCACAACCGAGGAAAACTCTTTCGACTGGCAGCGTCTAAGAACAACCTATAACCCCCTGAGCCCACCCCCCGACGACGCCACCACAGCCGAAGGCGTAAGACTCGGCGTTGTAGCTGATGCCTCGGACCGCAGATGGCGCGAGCAGGTCATGCGCCTCGGCCGCTGGACCGCCTCGGGCCACACGGCGTATATTTCAGGTCACTGGGGCCCTCCCGAGCCCTGTGACCTGGACGAGCTGCGGGCTGTGGAGCGCCGAGCTCTGGATATTGAGTTTCGGCGGGCGCCTGTCATTGCGCGTCGGCCGGTCAAGGGGGGTAAAGGAAGGAGATGTACGGGGGCGTATTGGGCGGGAAGGAATCGAGTTTTGCCTTGGCAGGTTGAGAACCGGCGGACTTCACAGAAGGTGGCCGGGGTAGTTCGCAGGCATGTTGAGGTCGCCACAGAGGATGTGGTGATGGCGGATGACGACGATTTGTTTGTCGATGACGAGCATGAGGATCTAACGTTGTCTCGTCCTCTCCGCAGTGAGCTGAAGCGTGCACCGAAGCCCCGAGTGTTGTCTAGCCAGGACAAGATTAATACACGTACACGAACGCAGACGACTCCTCAGACAGCTCAGAGCCGCAAGAGAGAACGACCTGGGTCGTTTTCTGCCGCTGTGGACCAGCTGTCCCCGTTCGGCACGTCAAGAAGTAATGAGGATCACGACACACCCATGGCCAAAACCATTACCCAGCCAGCACCCAGTGGCGGGACCATAGGTGATGGATTGTCGGCCTCGAGCCCGTCGACGCCGGCCTCTCGACGTGCACAGATGGGTACTGTACTAGGCACGAAAACCTCCGCGGCCGATAGTGCACAACAGCAGCGTGAGTCTACCTTGAGCTTCTGAACCTTCGTTCGCCCCCTCCCATACAATAATGTGGCCTTCCAAACGAACAAGATATCGCTGACTCCCGTTGCCGTCTTTCAGCTTCAGGTGCTGCTGTTACTACCAGGCCCATCTTTAATCGCGGACTGTTTAGCCCAGAAAGCATGAGTAAAGGAGTGGCCACGAGCGGAATCTTTAGTCCAAGCACCACAAAAACGGATCAGGGCTTGACAACTGCAGCATCTTGGTCTCAGCCACCTCTCTCGAGCGGAGGCGAGACGGGCGCAGGTGGACCATTCAAGAACACCACCACCACAGGGGGGAGAACAGGGGAAGACGTACTATCTCAGAAGTTGTCTCCTGTGTTCTCCAGGCCCAACCTTGCAGGAGTGCACTTGCGGCCATCAGCAGGCCACTCTACCGTCACCGTCGTCGGCGCCAGCGCAGCAAGCGAGCACAGCCGCGTTCCCGTCCAGAGCCCGGTCGGACGGGACAGCCGTACTGTCTTGGAGCAGGAACCGCGTCCTCGCACGCAGGCCAGGATCGACCTGGAGTTTAATCCTGTCCGAGCCAGTATGGTAGACAAGCAGTCACAGAGACAGCGGCAGCACCGAGACCAGCAACAGCCTCTGCTACCGGTCGCCCAGCAGAGTGATCACCCAACAAAGGGAGAGAAAGGGGGAAGACGAGGTGACCAGACCTGGAACCCATCGCACGGCATCATCTTCGGTGCACCACCCAAGCGCGGCCGACGAACCACCACCAACACCCTTGCCCAAGTAGCTAGCCCTATCCCACCCAATATCACCTCCATGAACGATCCAAATACCAGCGATGATGACGATAACGACGGATACGTCACCGCCGCCACAACTAGCTCTCGGACTCAGCCTCCAGCAGTAGCACCACTCATCCCCCGCCCAGGCTCCCCCCTCTATACCGCCACCGCCAACAACCTCAGCCACCTCTTTGAAGAGCAAATCCGCCATGCTGGTGAAGCTCTTCCCAGCACATTGACTCACCCAGGAGGCGATCCGACTCGCCCCCTCACACGGGATGTAACGGGCCTCCCCTCGCTCGGTGTCGATGGCATCCAGAGCTTTAGCGATAGCTGGGAAGAGGAGGACGAAGGCTGGTCGCGAGGCGGTATCGCTGCTGCTGGTGGTGGTCCTGGTGCTAATCTGACGGTGGCGGCACCTCAAAGCCCAAGCGGCCGGTCTGTGCACAGTAGTGATGCCGAGGGGACGGACCGCAGCTGGCCCAACGAGCAGGCTGACGCTGACGGGCTCGAGTGGTTCGCACCAGAGTACATCTTGCCCACCCACCGGCCTGTGGGCGCTGGTCCTGCGAGTGGCCGTCGTGTGGCTGTGCTCGAAAACGCTCTGGACAGGAAGAAGGGTGGTCAGGGGAGCTCCTTGAGCACGCAGGACAAAACGAGCACCCGAGGCGGCTCACGAGGGAGGTATGGTGGCAACAGCAAGTCTTCCCGGCCAACGGTTGCTGCAAAGGCGGCACTTGTTGGGGGTTCTGGTGCCGAGGTGATGGCGAGGGAGAAGAGGAACGTAAGCTGGGCGCCACTGCCAACCCAGGAAGAGGTCGGCAGGGCTGCTGGGGGATTGAGGACGCGGAGTGGGACTGTGTATACGCGGCGCTCCGGGAGAAAAGGTTCGGGCAGAGGGCAATAGAGGTACCCAGGTGAGAATGAGGTCTGGTCTAAGAGGCGAGGGCTTCTAAGCTTCTGTTCGTCTTTGTAACGAGCGAAGTTAGTGTATTATTTCCCCTTCAAACCCCTAGGGGATTTGCGTTGTTTCTTGTCTGTTGTCTGTTTTTGATATAAAATTGGTGATTACTTAAATACCGAGTAACACAGACAGTATCCCGAATCATTGTTGACTTTGTTACCTTGGCTGTTATTCTCCTACATATTGCTGTCGTTAGTCTCTTCCGTCGTTCACATCTCGTCTCTGGGATAGTGCAATCATGCTGTGTTAGAAATGTTTAGCTTTGAGGAACAAAAGCGAGCCTCCTCCATTGTTTCAAAGCCCCCCCCCCCCTCCCCCCTAAACCTCAAGACGGAAACTTGACAGGAGCTCTGCCTGCTAAGGATCGTCGCCCAAAGCTTTTTGACTGAGCCTTAGGACATTTGTTAGGATTAAAGAATGGGTGGAAGGAATAAAGGAAGCGGAAAAATAAAAAATCAGATGGCTCGTTTTGATCGGAAGGGAGAATGTGCCGCAGTCATGCTGGGCTGTCTTTTCTGTTGTTCGTTTTGTTTGGTTCGCTAAAAAGAAAAAGGAACGGCCTCCCTGAGCCTCTAGCAACGCCACTCAACAGGCTTGCCAGGAAATGAGGAGATCTGGACCTCCGAAAATATAATACCACCTGAATGGGTATCCGAAAGAAGAAGAAAAAGAAAACAGTGCTTGCCGGCCCAATCTTCTATAAATTGCGCGTTTCTCACGCATAACCTGAGCATGCATTCCAAGCGTCCGGAACCGGAGTTTATCTGGGCTCGCAAAGGAAGGTGAACCCCCGACAAATGGACACCGTATGTGTATACGACACTGGCCAGGGCGCGTCGCTACCCAGGTGTTCAATGGTATGACCACTCTGTGCAAAGCGGAGCCCTCCGTGAAGCCAAAACTTGTTGTTACCGTGTTGGTTAAGGGGCCACCACGATCGTAAGCAAGATGACGGTGGTGGCGCAAGTCTCGAATCGCACTAGTTGCGCAATGACGATGGCGATATTCCAATGGTTCTCCCCAGCCGCTTGCTTAATCCCTCTTCGTCCCATGTGTAATACAGAAGCGCTGTAAAGCAATGGTATCTTCATCTAGAAATAACTGTGGTCGCTGGCCCGCCTAAGAGGGGGTCTTCTTTATTCTTGATAGAGGTTGTTTTGTTGGATGTATTCGATGACCGGTTCTGGTACGATATACCGGAGAGACAGGTCCCTTTTCCTCATCAGCCGCACCTTTGTGCTAGATACGTCGTTCTGCTCGTGTTGTTAGTCATAAGAAAACAGAAAATTGCTACTCCACAATATGACCAGATCCGAAAGGCCACTTACCACAATAACCTGTGGGATAACATGTATCTTCTCCTGATACTGCTTGAGGCCTGCCAATGCCTCGTCGATATCCGTGCCAGTTCTTTCAATAATGAAGGCTCCAAAATTGCCCAGGATATGGTCCAGATCCTTCTCGGACCACACTCCGGGGGTGCTCATGGTCTGGATGAGGTCTGCGCCAGCCAGCAGGGCGATCCGGACTGGCTGCTTGTTGCCGTGGACATCCTCGCATCCGCCGATGACGGTGTTTATCTCGTGGTCGAAGTGATCCAGCACTTGAGCGGTGGGGACGTACTCGGGTTGGATAGCCTCCCAGGGGTCGCAAGTCACCCAGTCAGACGTCTTCTCTGCAGCGAGGGTGCACATGTGTATTCGGTGCTTGGCGGCCGCCAGGCCCAGCTTCTTATAGGCAGAGGACACGGGGGAAAGGAAACCGCCAATGATTTCGAACTTGGTGTTGGTCTTGGCATAGTCGGATGCCATCTCGAACATGCGCAGGTGGAGGAAGGTCAGAGGGCTGCAATGGGAATAAACAGATTAGTAAGAGGGTGTCTTCAACGGGCAGAGGGTGAAAAGACGAGGACTGACCTGAACGAACCGCAGGCAACGAGGACGAGAGGAATTCTGTCCGCGTGCATCTGCCTCCGCCGCAGCCTTTCTGCGGGAAACTGATACGTCTCGGTGTGTAGTTGTGTCTCGGGTACGATGCTTGCCAGAGCGGCGGCCGCTTCTTCTTGTGCGGCGGCCTGCATGTGCTCGTGATCGAGGGAATCCATGGCGGAGGAGGACGAGGCGTGTACGCCGGCAGGTGCGGAAGTGGGTGCGGTAGTCATGTCTGCGGCTTCTATAGTGGTTGAGGGTTGTGCGACCTGCTCTGTCCGAGATCTTTCGTGATCAGGGCTTTTTTCGCTTTTTTTTGTAGTACCAGCGGGACGGTTAACCCACAGGTCTTGAATCTTGCAAGAGGCCTGGACGAGCGACCACCTATATTTCGCTCTCGACTGACGATGACTCAGCGAGCTGAGCACGGCCGGGCCACCGAAAGTAAAATGAAACCAGGCGATGGTGGTGAAGTCGAGTGACGACGTGTGAAAGTGTGTGTGTTTATGGCGTAGTGAAGAATCGATGGTCGGATCTTGGCTTGTGTGTGTGTGTGACTCGGTATTATAAGACTCGGACCGGAAGTGCAGTGCCGTAATCTGCAAGTGGATTGCGTCGTCACCTGCAGCGGAGGACGACAAGGCTGGCGTTGTCGGTCGTTACCCCTCTTTTTTTGTTGCCCTGCCTGATTGATGAGCCAGCCGATTTGGTCTGGTCGAGGCCGGAGAGAAAACGGAGAACTGCGAGAGATATAATCGTGTACAGCTATACTATAAAGGATTTTCTGAAAGAGCGGTTGAAACGGGCAAGAATTGTTTTTGACGAGAGCAAAAACAGGTCCGTTGTCGGTGGTGCTGAAAGAAGACTGGACTGGCCGGGTCTGGATTCAGACGACGATTTAAGAAAGAATTGGTCATCGCAAGCGGCGGGGGGACCACGATCCTGGACCTTGGCTTCTTCTGAGGCTTGGTGGGTAAGCCTTCAAAATCCCCCTGACAATTGCCTATGTGTTAAGGAATGACGCCTAAAGCATACGGGATCGTTAACATGCGTAAAAGGCCGTTTGGCGGGGTGGGGTTGGGGGGTGGTCACATTGCTTAACCGAGGGCCTCCCACAGCCCCTCTTGACCTTGTGCGCACCCCTCACCTGGGGAGGGTGGGGGGTTACAGGGCGCACAGGCGACCACCTTCTGTTACTCTAGTGGGCCGTGCACTGTCGAGGGATTGTTTCTACATAGGCTTGGGGGTCACGACCCCACCATGAGGGCGTACTGCGTTACAGGGGTCAGCCTGTGTGCTTCCAGGAAACGTGTCTTTGAAAATGGGATAAGAGAAGAAAACAATTGGGAAGATAGAAATTTCCGTTTCGTGATTGTTTCTCTTCATCTTCTTTTTGAGAATATGTGCACCACATTTTGCGGGAGAAAAATATACTGTGGCCGACCTTTTCACATCCACGTTGACTCCATTGCAAGTTCACCTGCGTTTTACGATCAGGGCCGACCGCCCCGATAAACATGCACTGCAGCCGATCGCGTGCATGGCGTTGCTTGGTAATATTGTCGTAGGATAGTATGAACCTTATTACATAGTGCTATACAGTGCATTGTAATACGCACTATGGTAGATAGATCAGAGTGCTGTCTCACCCCAGGGTTCGTGGATGGATCTTCGAAACACAACAGCAAGGTCTCTTTCCACTCGCCCGACTGCCACGAGCACGACCCCTCAGACTCGTGAAACCAGCGTACTCAGCCCCACCACTCGAGAGTTAGATCGAACCTGCTGTTCTTGTATTGTGACCCTGGACGTTGTGGTACATACTAAGTACTCAAGGTCATGGTTCTACCTAAGGAACCAGGAACCATGATCAAAACCCAACTATTGTACAACACCAAGCAACTATCTGTAAGCCATGATACCAGCATCCTTCTGCATTGCTGTCTGGGACACTCTCATCTATGAAGTGCTTCTTCTAGTCTTCATACTCAGCATCAAAGCCTTTAGAGGCAATGGAAGACAGTGACTTTGAATCAGGTCAGCTCTGATATTTCTCGGGGCAAACTGTCTTCCAGGCCAACGACACTAAATGATCCAGAAACACTTTTGGACAATTTGTGGAAACTATTCGAACTATCGGGCTCATCACTTAGAGTCCATTTACCCAGCTGCTCCTTAATACCATTATCCTACTCCTAGTAAATAGTAGCTTTGTTTCTGATCTGGCTCACCAAGTTGTTCATGACCAGCAGACAAATGCCTACAAGTGTACAACACAATTAACATTTTCTCGGTCTTCTACAACGAAGTGCTTTGACATTGTCTGCCTTCCCAGGAACTCAAAGTAAGACTCACTGATTGAATGCCATTGCATGTGAGTAGTCATGTAACTTTGCATGGCTGGCCCAGCCAAGAACGTCAACGCTCCTACCGAGTACATAATACCTCTTTCTATTAGTCCATCTGGGATGAAATGTAGAGTTGATTATTCTGATACAGCATCTGGACTGAAGCTGAGATAAAGCCATAATTTTCATTTACGACAAGCAACATGTATCTGTCATTTCTATCCCAAGATGAAGATGATCTCCAAAGCTGCATGCTCCCTCCCTCATCCATCATCTTAGCCGCTATGACGTGCTCTCCTGATTAAAGACTGCCACACGGACTGCACCCTGATGTGCCATCCAGACGTCACCCCGCGTTGCCGAGCCCACATGTAACGGGATGCTGTACGCCTTTGCACCGCCGGGAATATCTCTCAATGCTAATACGTCTTGCCCGCATTTAAAACAGCCTTCCCAGAGTCGCAGGTGTGTCGGACTTGCACGAACATGGTGTCTGTCATACAGACTCGTTATACGCAACTAGCATTGTCCACAAACCGACTATGCCTATCGCACTAGACCCAGTTGAAGTATTGCCCTTGCCTAAGTGGCAGCGGCCTCAGAAGACGAAACACGATTTACCATGGGCCGAGATCAAAGTCCTCGACCTGTCGACCTTTGATTCGCCTGGTGGTAAACAGAGACTTGCCGAAGAGTTGCGAGATGCTGTAATGACGCTTTCTTCTTTCTTCTCCAGGGTGGACTCATGTAATCACGCATCTTGCTAATCATCCTTAATTTGTGATTCCAGGTCCACAACACAGGCTTCTTCAGCGTGATTGGAACAGGTCTCCCCGATGAGGAAATCCAGCGGCAGTACGATATCGGTCAGGCCTTCTTCGCGCTCCCACACGCGGAAAAGAGCCAGCCCCAATACAAATGTGACTTTGCAAATGGCAACTATTTCGGGTATCGAGAGCTGGGCGAGAGGACTATCAAGGGGACGGAAGTGAGAGACAACGTCGAGTCCTTCAACCACGCCAAGTTCACCAAATACTATGAACATGAACCGCGTCATCCGTTCTTTGAGCCTTACAAGCCAGAGATTGAGGCCTTCTCTCGGGTGAGCTCTCAAAATCATCTTCTTATCATTTCACATTTCCCAGCTAGGCCTGCCAGACACTCTTTATCAATGAGCTGCACATTTCTTGTAGTTCTCCTAATTAACACACCTACTTCGAAAAGAAAGCCCTAGCCGTAGCCCAAAAGATCTTCCAGCTGTTCGCCCTCATCCTCGAGCTTCCGGAGGACTTCTTCGCCTCCCGCCACAACTACGACGACCCCTCGGACGACCACCTCCGCTACATGTGCTACCACCCCCGTGCCCGCGCCGACGACGCCCGCGTAGACAACACGTGGGCCCGCGCCCACACCGACTTCGGCTCGCTGACGCTGCTCTGGAGCCAGGACGTGGCGGGCCTGCAGATCCGGACGGCCACAGGCGAGTGGCGATACGTGCCGCCCGTTGACGGCGGGATCGTGTGTAACGTCGGGGACACGCTGGATTTCTGGTCGGCGTCGTATCTGCGGTCGACGACGCACCGCGTGGTGCGCCCGCCGGAGGACCAGGCTGAGGGCGACAGGCTGGGGTTGTTTTACTTTGTGCGGCCGGGGGATGAGGTGGATATCAAGCCGGCGCCGTCGCCGCTGCTGAAGAGGCTGGGGCTGGTGGGGGAGGCGCAGGAGGACGCTGCGCCGGTGAAGGGGTTGGAGTATGTGCGGGCGAGGGTGAAGGACTATCATAATAGCACCGACTATGAGGATCGTAGGGGCAAGACGTTTAAGGTTGGGAATCTAGAGATTGTGGATGAGGCTACGTGAAGAATACAGCTTTAGAGGCACAGATTGTATCTTGAGGAATGCATTCACTTTACGAGTTCTACTCAATACGCTACAAACCATATAAACGGTAACCCTACCCTGTCTTAAAAGTCTCCTGTGTTGCCCACTTCTCACGAAGTGGTACCCCGAATCCTGTGAGAGGCGGAAGGGTGGTTTTTCGGGTCGTCCAAACAACCGGAGTTGTTGTCCTCAGAACCTCGACGGTTGTGGTAGCCGTGAGACTCATAACAGGCAGCGCCGTGCTTGTCTTGGTCTTCACAACAATCACCGTCGTCGTGTTCGTGGGGATTACCACGCCAGGATGGGTTGTGCTGTACTCTGGATTGACACCCAGACAGGCGATCCCGTTGAACATTCGAAGGTACCCCGACTGGCACGCCGCTATGAGCCTTAGCTCGATCTCAGTGACGCACTCAAAGATGCTCCTCAGAGCTAAGGCCAGGTAGTTTTGGTCGCCGACGTCGAGCCCTGTTCTCACGGCATCCTGTATCTCGCCGGTGATTTCGACAGCGTAGTTGCTATTGATATCGCGCAACTCCACACCTCCGTAAATTCCCTTCGGGATACAGTAGCTGGTCTCGTTCAGCGGCGGTGTGATTGGCGAGGGAGCGGCCTGGGTTGTCGTCTGGGTCCTTGTGAGGTACAGTGTTGTCGTGATGATAGCTGTGACTGACGTCGTCTCAGCCTGACCATGGATGGTCTCTATGCTTACCGTTGTGGAGGTTTCTGTCTCTTTCTCTGTGTGGGTAGTCGACTTTGTGCTGGTCGCGGCAGTCGTGAACACCGAGGTGAGGACTCGGGTTCTCGACGCTGTAGTGGTCAGGACCTGGACCGCTGGAGCCTCACCCGCTTGCAGACCGTACAGTGTACCGAATGCTGTCGTAGCGATCAGCAACAAGACCGCGAGGGTGACGATTGTTATGATAGTACAGCGAGTTCTCTTGCGCTGATATTCTTTGGCATGGTAGACTTCAGCTCCGATGGACAACGGGTTCGGGTGGCTCAAGGGGATCTGGCTGAAGCGGCTACCGGATCCAAGGCTTTGTAGCTCGACATCAATTCCTCTTGGAGGCGTGTCATGGCTCATGCTAGCAATGGTGGTGTTGCTGTGAAAGGGGAAAAAGATGAAAGTTTGTCGTTTCCGGGACTCTGAACACCATCGAGAGAGTGAAGGACATAAGAAGACCTCGGGCATTTGTTCTCCTCGCGCAATCAACAGCTCGAGGTTTGTGACTATTGCCTAGTCATCACGAACATCATTGACGAGTTCCGACTCAAGGGAGGGTTCGAGGACACATACCACGAGCTTCTTCAGTCACCCGCAACAGCTATTACCTGCAGCCTGTGATTTGCAGAGGCTCTTTCCATATAGTCACGACTGGCCCAGTTCGGCCATCGAGGATCTTTGGCTTGACTCAAGGATCCCTTTGAATCTCGGACAAATCCCAAAAAAGACGTAGGTAGTTCCCTCAAACCATGACTGTAGATGTAACCACTGACCCAAAGAAGCGACGTCATGGGAAGATTTGACAGAGGGGTGGTGATCGTGTAGATTGAAGGAGCTTTTCATGTCTGTGGACGCAGGCCACTCGTGGTTGACAGACACTCATGTATAGAGTGTGTGAATGTATACACATTTATTTGTGTGTGTATGTGTAGAGACGAAGAAAAAGAGAGGACTCAAAGGTAATGTGAGGCAAGTATCTCTGATGACATGCACACTCAACTTCTCCCATCACAACGTGTCTGTTGATGGGTTGTGGTCTCGGTTTGGAACCTCGAAGTGGGGTGCTGAACAACAGGGGACCCCCAGGCCTGCTGGCGATCCATCAGCCTGTACCTGACGTGACGTAGAGGTTGGTTAGGGCCAGCAGGGGTCCAAAGCTCCAGTCAGTGATGTCGACTCTAGTTCTCAAGGTCTCTCTTTTTCATCTTCTGTAACAACCAAGTTTTCCAGCATAAAGAAACGAACAAGTTTTGGGTGTGTCAAGCATCAGCAATGGAGAACCCACCACCAGTGGCCAAGCTTGCCTTCCTCCTTTGAAGCCTGAGGCTGGCATCTGCTCAAGGGCTTGACGGGTCATGGTGCCAGGTCAGCCCAAACTAGCCTAGCGCATGAAGCTGGTGGTTGGGGAGCGGCGGGACGATCCATGAGGCGGGGGACCTGCTTCCCCAGCCCTGCGATTTATTGACTTATCCTATCAATCCTGCTTACCACCAAGGTAAAGTCGGTGGCGGGGCAACAAAACATCACAGGCCATCTCGTCCAGGTCTGCTGTTACCGCGTGGGAACCTCTCTCCTGGTCTTTCTTGTTTTTTGTTTTCTTTCGCTCTTCACTCCCACCACCTCTTTGAGCCCGCCACGCCTCGAGTCTTTGGTCTGCCTCCAGCTACGACGAGACCTGCATCAAGTCTTTTCTGCCGACTGTGCCTGTGCCTACCAACACCATCTCTCTATCCCTATCTGGAAGCTCAGAACCTTCATTCTTTGAAAGACGGACTGAGACTCCTGTCTCGTCTCGGCACCTCCCTCGCGGTAGCTCTCGAAGGCTGTTCGCATTCCAGGGCCCTTGCTTGCATTCCAAGCAGCTCTTCTACCCGACAGCATCCCCCTCAAGCCCAATCAACTTCTTCCAACCTGGCGAGACCAACACCGTCAAAATGGTCAAGGCAAACGATACCATCGCTATCATCATCATTGTGCTGTTCCTGGTCCTTGCTCTGATCGGGTTCGGCATCTACAGATTAGTCTCTATCGCGAGGAGAGATTCGACCGCGTCGTCAGGCTCGAGTAGCAGCGGCACGCATTCGATAGTCGACGACTGATCTGGAAGCTTTGTCTCTGGATCAACCCGGGGAGCTGGCTCTGTCTTCGGGCTACATCCCCGGCGCGGGTCATCTCTTGCCACTGTTCAACGATGCGACGAAAGCGTTCCTGCCTACACATCATGGCTCTAGCTTTGGGCTCGTCCAATGGCATGTCTCGGGGGCATATTGCATAAATGGCACATGGGGGCCATCTGCACATACGAACATATGACAGACGGAGAGAGGAGAGATATATGATGATATATGGAAATCCGCGACCATGAATGTCGTTGGTATATCGCTGCATTGTTTTTGGGATCTCGGCGCCATCAAGAGGCTGGATATTTTTTGGGTTTGGCTCATTACAACGATTCGATGAGGAGAGATGTGGATGGTAATGAGCATCATGGATAATTTGTTTTGGATACCAATGCGGTGTGTTGTTGTGTGTGTGGAAAACCATAGATGAGGTAGCTTGGATGTTGAATACCAGCGAAATCAAGATATTCACACCTTGCCTGTGTCCTCTCTTCTAGAAACCTGCTCCTTGACCCACGCTCGCGATGCAACGTGGGAATTATCAGTCATCCTTTGCGTGAGGTGGGGTACGAGGAGATGACTTACAAACCAGAACAAGGCCATCAAGTCATGTTGCTCTCTGACCGTCACTCGAACTCACCGTTCCAAGGGTGCGGTCAAGGAATCCCCGTGCGCGCTGACATCGAAGCGGCCGAACTGGGACCGCAAACAAGGATGGACAGAGTAACAATTGGCTTATGCCGACCGCCGACGTGGACATTACAGCCTTACAATGCAGTAAGTACGGTATGCCATAGTAGCATGTACACAGACGCGCCCTTTCTCTTGCCGCTTTCAATTGAATTGATTCCGATGTGCGGACAATGGAGTCATCGCAAAACCCCAATTGAGCTGTCTGAACCAGCCCCGGCAAGCCGCCGAGCCTTGTTCGTGCTTTCAGAAAGTAGGACCTGGAGGTCGACTGTCGACCTTTTCCTTCTTCCCCCCCCGGCCTTCGCTTTGTTCCTGGGTTGTCAATCTTGGTGAGAGAGCCGATTTCTAAAACATTATTGTTGAATTGATCTTTTCTATGATTTTTTAATTTGTTTCATTCTCGTTCGCCTGTTAATTTGTAGGTCAACGTCATGACTCATTTTGCGATGACGTCTCTGTCGGGTCACGATGTCGCCCGCGGAGGAGATACGGGCGAATCATGGTAGACAAGCGATTCATGATCTACTGAGCCTTTACAATTTGTCTGGCCTTATAAATACGAAGAAAGACGACTGGTAAAAACTCACTTTGGACTTGTCGTCTTTGCGCCACCCAAAGTCTCCCAATCATCACCACTGCCAGCCCAAATTTACATCCCAAGAATAACAACAGCAACGAACCACAAATCAGCACGCTCTAAAGAAAGAGAGAGAGAGAGAGAGAGAAATTAAAAAAAGTAGAAACGGAAATCACCCAGCCATGTCCATCACCGTATACCTCGTCCGCCACGCTCAAGGCTACCACAATCTCTCCCACGAAAACGAAAAGCTCTCAGATCCCCTCCTCACCCCGCTCGGCGAGTCGCAGTGTGAGGCCCTGCGCGCCTCCTTCCCCCACCATGACAAACTCACCCACCTCGTCGCCAGCCCCATGCGCCGCGCCCTGCTGACGTGCCGCCTGAGCTTTGCGCCAGACGGCATCCTGAGCACCAGCCAAGGCCACAAGAGCCACGCGTCGGTCGTCGCGCAGCCCTTGATTCAGGAGGTGTCGGCGCTCCCCTGCGACACAGGCTCGGACCCGGATGTGCTGGCGAGCGAGTTCGGGTCGTGGGCAGACCTCGGCTTGGTGCATGACGGGTGGAACGACAAGAAGCCGGGGTCGCGGTTTGCGCCCACCGTCGCCAACCTTGAGGCACGCGCGGCGGCGGCGCGGCGCTGGTTTCGGACGCTGGGCAAGGAGGGCCAGGACGTGCACGTCGCCGCGGTCTCGCACGGTGCCTTCCTTCACTTCCTTACGGAGGACTGGGACGGGATGGACCTGTCGCGGGGCACGGGCTGGTCCAACGCCGAGTGGCGGTCCTACGAGTTTGTGGAGGGGCCGACCGGCGGGGATGAGAGGGCGAGCATCCGGGAGACGAAGGAAAGCTGGACGAGGCGCAAGGGCACAGCGGTGCCGCTGACCGAGACGGAGCAGAAGGAGGCCCGTGAGGTCATCCTGGAGGGGATGCGGCGGCAATTTGGGGAGAGCGTCGACGATCAAGAGCCTGGAAGATCATAGTACTCTGTGCATGGAGAGGAGAAATGGTGTGTCATGATTCTCGCGCTGAGAAGACTTGCATGGAAAGACTTACCGGTTTGGTGGTTTTGCTTTCTTTTGGACATGTGATAGACAGTGGAGGCACTAGATTGGGTCATACAGCATACATGAAAGACACATAGACTAGAAATGATGTCAATATCTTGGATGGGGCCACGAGATACGAGAGAGAGACCAGATAGACTAGGAGAGCGAACTTGTTCACAGAGACGGCCAGAACCAAGGCTGTTGACCACCACCTGTAGACCGAGTCACAGTTTGCACATTGTAGCAATGCTTACTAACACCTTTCTCTTACCTTTGGTCTCGGAGACGAGGAAAGAGACTGGCATATAATTTTGGAATCGAAACATGAGTAGCCCCTTCAGCTGAGCCTCGCCGGGGTTTCGCATCGTCCCAAGTCCATCGAGCGTGTGAAGCTGGTTTGACGTGGTACGAATCGCGGCATGGACATTCTGTGATGGAGAGTTTGCAGTACGTTCGAGGCACAGCAGTGATTCGTGTCACGCCTCAGGGCCTGTCGTATCTTGGTGAATGTGGACACTCACATCTGCCATGCTACGTTGTCGCCCAAAAATAGGACCCTTAGAAGCGGTGTCTTGGGCTTTTCCGCAGACTAGCGACCACAACGTTTCGTATGGCGGGAAACCAAGACTACCGTTACACTCGTCAGTCGCAGGCATCGGAAGGTCGGAGAACGGTAGGGCGCCATCATCCCATGATGTCGGTATCGTACTCGTTCGCTGTCAATCGTCAATTTGCAGTATGCGCCCCTCCCGATGACCTCGTCTGCAATTGTGGGGACAGACGCCGTGGATGGAGCCGCGCGAGTAGACTCGAACTTTGACAGATCGAGAGTGGACTGGGGGGGGTTGCTGGCTATCCCTTGGATGAGGGACACAGAAAGGCTCCTGCAGGTGAAGTGGAGAGTTGAGACCACAGAGAGGTCATTAGAACATGACGATATACAGCGAGATCTGGACCTCGACAAGCGACGAACCGCTGCTGGGCCGCCAAAGTTGGCCTTCCCCCTTCCCCCCTCTCCACCACTATGTCTCTCTTCGGACCCCTCCACCCACCAAAGATCGTCCCGTCCCGCCAGAACAGAACGTCAAACGTAGAAGATGATCCAATGGCGAAGGGACTGGAGCGCAATCTCTGAAACGGGACATGTGAGTGGTGTTTATTGTCGGCCTCGAGCACCGCGACCTGGCCCACCACCCCGCGGGTACTGTGGGTGTGGCGGCCATGGCGGCCACCATGGCCGTGGCGCCCACAATTTCCCATTTAACGCAGTCCATTCACGAGCAGAAAAGGAGAATGGAAAAAGCAAGAATGATATTATGCTTAGTAAAAAGGAGAAAAAGACCTTGCATAGACGCCGAGTGGGTAGAAAAAAGTGGATGGATTGTTTTGTTTCAGCTCTCGGTAGAACAGAGTGGCGTTGGAAGCGCGAGACACCTCGAGGCTTCTGTCCCAGTGGGCGCTTGTGTAGGGCCATGGTGAGGACGTGGGTGGAGGTGTGCGCGGTTCTGCTTGCTCCGTCTGGCCTCCTCCCTCCCCCTCTCCACGCAGCAGCAAGGTAGGGCTGTAGACGTTCGTCAATCTGAGATCTGCGAGGTGTCTCGTCTTGACAGCAACACTAAACCTGAGGAGGAAGTCTTCCTTGTAGAGGGAGGAGGTGGTGGAGGTAAAGGAGCGAGGGCTGCCTCCCTCTGCCCAACACCACCAATACCATACAGAATACAAGAGCTCAACCCATTGAGAAAAGAGGCAGGAATCAGGAGCTACAAATCCAGGGGCGGGGGGTGGGTGGCTCCGCAGGGATGCCCTGAGCACAAGGGTGAGAGAATGAAGCAGGAGGGACGCCTGGGCCAATCAAGAGACTGTGGGAGGATGAGATGGAGTTTGACGCTAGCGGCGAACGGAGTTAGCTCTATCGTGGTTGGCGAAGGGTTCCTGCATGAGACAGGGGCTCTCTCTGGGGGCTAAGGGCACTTTAACCCCACGGTTAATCAACGTGTAGATGTATCGGGGGATAGATGGCGTAGAAGATGATTTGCATGGGCTGTTAGTTCCAGAAGCACAGACAATATTGAAGACTTTAACAGAAATCCATGCCGATTTACCAAGGATTCTATCCACAGTTACTTCCCCGTCACCTCCCTCAATCCACTCCAAAACCCAGTAGCCCACTAAAAACTGGGGGGTCAGGGCTCCCTCAGACACTTCTCTTCCCATGCAGCGCGCGCAGCTTACCGACAGCAAGGGCGTCTCTCCGTCTGCATGGGACTGCTCTCTGCAAGTTTTCGTTGGCCCTCGTTTCTCCTCTCTGGTCGTGACACCAACGTTGCTTCGTCTCTCTCTCGCGCTCTTTGTCTTCTTCTTCCCCAGGAAAGCTGAGACAGAAACTCAAAAGGGCCACCCTCATTAATGGCCCGGCTGCGGAGATCGAACTGACCTCGTGAGATCGACACTCATTAAACTCAAATTGGCCTTCTTCTGTTGTTCTTGAAGAACAATAATAGGCCCCACGCTCACTCAATTCAATTCTTCGGCGTCGCGCGACATTCGTCGGCCCCTTCAAGCTAAGGAGACGGCAGCAAGAAAGGATCAAACACCCAACACACCAGCCCGATACCTCGTTGTTATACTTAATACCCACCGCATTGTCCATCTCTACTGCCCTTGGGTATTCAGTGTCCACGCCACACGTCACCTGGCTGGAGAGCTCTGACACCGTGCCTGGCAATACTTCGGACGGACGCGAAGACGATCAAACCTGAGAATCCCGGGTGACGCTCGACCGACTTCAACGACTCTCAGGCACTGTGTTTTCTTGTCCTGCCGGCGCCTCAGCACGGCTACAAGACCTGTTCGACACGACGACATCGAAGTCTTGAACTGGATGTTCCGTGCTCATCATTCAGAACGCTCATGCCACTTCTCTCTCACGGTCAAGGCCAAAGCAACAACAAGCGGAAGCGAAACATCGCGGCTGTGTATAAAAGTCAAATTCCCTTGCCGATCCATCCTCCCCAAAATAGCAGGCTCGGCTGTGTCAGTATGACCTGCGGTCCATAGCTGGAGACATCGCCCACTTATCCTGTCTCACCCCCTTCCCTAGGGATTCGACAGTGTCTCTCCCTACCAGAGATTATAGAGACACGGCTATCCTATTTTCCCGAACAGGTTCCACTCTGCTCGGTGCTGGCGGTCGAGTCCTTCTCTCGCCGAGGAACCACACACGGGTTCTTACCTTTTTCTTCCTTTCATCCACAGACATCTTAGTCGGAGGGTTCGCAGGCGAAACTACGACTGGCTCATGAAGGGTACTACGACGCTTCCTTAGGCAGTCCTTTTTTTTCTTCCTTCCACAGGGTACGGGCGGCAGGATTCCCCAACGCCCTCGTGTGTCCTCCATTCTGCTTCTTCTCGACTCTCATTCCAGCCTCGACAGCGTCGACGGCTTCACTTACCCTCGAAGAAGAGGGCAGGATCATTTTGTTCGGCGTGGACTGAATCGGTAATTTTGAGATGGGTTTCTTTAGCCACCAGAGGGGTCAGGTGCGTCAGGAGGCCAAGTGGGATTACATTGTGAGTTTGGCCAAGCCCTCCCCTCACCCCTCCAAAGAGAGGGAAGACCGTGCGAGGAGGCGAAGAGTGGTGATGTGCTAATCGTCTGTGCGGTTAGCAACTTGATGACTTCAAAGCCGACGGCCCATTAACATACCTTGCCTATGGATACCTGTTCGTCTCGCTCACGATATCGACTGCTGTCTACGCCGTTGATACCTTTACTGCTGTCAACCTGCTCGCCTTCAACAAGTGGTCCTCCGAGATCCAACCGGCCATCTCCTTCAGCATCACGAAATGGATCTTCTCCGTGTGCATCATCCTATCCTTTATTAACCTCGTGTACGAGCACCTTCGCGCGCAGATGATTATTCGGAGGGGCAGCGTTGCCGAGTCGTATCTGGACAATCTGGCCGTGCGCCTGCAGAGTGTTCGAATCTGGAATGGCAAGGGATGGAGAAGGTTCCTGGTATTTGCCGAGTTGACCAAGAGTAAGAAGGGGGCCGAGTACATCGCCCTCTTCACCTACTTCAGTTTTCAAGGTCCGTATCACCACCAACCTGGATGATTTGCTCTCTCGGTCACTGACATGGAATAACAGCGTGGATTCGCGTCATTTTCTGTTCGGGACCGCGGCAGGTAGTCAATGCCGTCACCTTGTATTCGGTGTACACTGCAAAGCTCCAGATCGACGGCGAGGATTTCGAAACGAGCATCGAGAGTCTCTTTGATAAAATCAAGGCTTTCGCCCAGCAGGACTACCAACAGGCCCTCATCTTGTCTGGCATGCTCTTCACCCTGGTCATCTGGGTCTTCTCGGCACTGTCCTTTCTTCTTGCGATCCTGTTTTTCGTCTGCTTCCTATGGGGTTGGATCCCCAAGGAAGACGGCGGTCTATCTGGATACTGCGAGCGCAAGATTAACAAGAGGCTCATGAAGATTGTGTCGGCCAAGGTCGATGCTGCCCTCGCCGACCAGGAAAGGCAGAGGAAGAAGGCAGACTTGAAAGCCGCCAAGAAAGCAGGTGCCCTGCCGCCAGAGGAACGCAAGGCGACGCTCCCGAACCTCATGCCAGAGAATAGCGAGAAGAAATCAGACATGCCTCCGCTGTTCAGGAACGACACTGTAGCCACACTGCCGGTGTACACCTCGCGACCGGGCACACCAGGCCAGGAATTCGAGTTGAATAAGATGCCGCGGCCTATGCCGGGCAGGACAGACACCACATCGACTGCTTCGAGCCGGGCGCCACTTCTCACAGCGGGTGCGGAAATGGGCATGTCATCCCCCGGCATGCCTTCCCCCAGCTATGGACCGGTTCGGAGTGGCACCATGGGCTCGGCAAGGCCCCCTTACGGCCCGTCGGCCCTCAGACGTACGCAGACTAACAACTCTAGCTTCAGCGGGTCGACCATGGGTCCGCCGCCACAGCTCAGCCGGATCCAGACCGGCGACTCCAGCTTCAGCGGTGCTACGATGGGTGGGCCACCTCAGCTCAGCCGTACGCAAACCAACAACTCTGGATTCCACCAACCCTACACGCAGACGCCCTCTTCATATTCGCCCGATGACGCCCTGCCTCCCATGCCGCAGCCCGTTCGGTCTCCAACGTCTGCATCGAATGGTTCTTATGGCATGCCGCCGAGGTCAACACCGGCTCCCATGGGTTCTTACGACGAGTATTTTGGTGGTCGGTCGGCTAGCCCAGCTCCATCTCGGCCGATGAATTCGCGCCCGACCTTTGATGACTACTCGTCCACGGGTCGTGCCAGCCCAGCCCCGTCGAGGCCAATGAACTCGCGTCCGGCGTACGACGACTTCTCGTCCACAGGCCGCGCCAGCCCGGCTCCATCAATGCAATCTCGCCCAGCCTACAACAACGGCTATGCTCCGTCGCCCGGGCCTATGAACCAAGGTGGCTATCCCAGTCGAAGCCAGACTGGCCCAGTGCCGTACCGTGGACCCCTGGGCCCTCCACAGCCACAGCCACAGCGGAACATGACTGCACCAGTACAACAACACTCTGACTATCAAAGTCCGCTAGATGACTATTTCGATCGTCCTGGCACTGCCCAGAGCCAGCGGAGCTTCACGGGTGCGCCACCACGGCAGCCTGCGCAGCCACAGTACCAGGCGTACGGCAATACGTACTCAGATTTGGAGTCGCAGAGGGGCACGCCGGGTCCTCGGTGACGGGGCGAGTGATTGTTGATCTTCTTGCCTATCCACCTTCTATGATACCTCACACCACCATCTTGCATCACGCTCTCGGTCACCAAGACAAGACACGCACCTGGGAAGCAATTCAACCGCGACTCTCTAGATCTTGGGCGCGAGGGAAGAAAAAACAAAGCTATGAGTTTGCATCTTGACTACCAAGGATCTATTGGTAGACATTTGGCTGGTCAACTTTGTCATGGCCTATGTATTTATGTGGCTTTTTTTTTTTTTTTTTTTTTTTGGTACTATGATTTTGTGGAGCGCAAGAGAGCATTTGATACCAGCGATTTGAAGCGACTTTTGTTTTCTTCTTCTTTTATTTCTAGAGACAAGTTTTTTTATATTCTTATTTCACATTAACTTTGATGATATCAAACCAGGGGAAGGATGATAAAATACCATGAGATACTATTTATTCAGCATGAGAGAAAGACCCTGGACTCTGCAGCCCACCGGGCCTTGTCGATCCGGATTCAGTGATTACTGATCACAGCAGTGACAGCAACCCGTGTTCAACAATCAGCTTTATGCTAATCATTTTGTCTAGCCATTTGCTGCTTTTGCGCCCTTTTGTATTAGTGAAGCACGCATGCCATGTCACTGTGCATACAAGCCCATCACGCTTTGCTTCACTTTTGTCATCTTGACTACTGGTTTAGGATGTTGCAAGGCGTGAGTGGAGAAGTCGCACGTGGAGGGATGTCCAACTGGCCCATGCGAAGCTTGAGATATAATAATCAATCAGCACGATCTATCAACCCCGATTGACAACTCTGGTTTATGGACCAATGATTTCTGTCTGTAGGGTGATGTTACTGAGGAATGCTGCTTGTCCATTGCTCCGGAGATTTTAACCATATCAACATATATGTCTCGTATTTCCCCGAAACTTCTCTCAAGCAGTATGCGATAATTATCAGCCTCATAAATATCTACATTCAATTGTTTCTTTGGGGTTTCCCCTACCACACAAGTGAGCAGTTGCCTACTCGATTACTTTTGTTTTACATAACACACACACGCCCACCCCCATCAACCAGAGACAAATACAATGGCCGTTCACATGGAGAGAACGCCCTTCCACCCCGGCGAGCAGGCCATCCACAAGCTCCTCCGGATTCCCCCGCGCGACAACCCCACCTGGGCCGGCCTGCCGCCCGCCCTCGCCTACCGCGTTGCCGCGTCGCCCCTGGTAGCTTTTGGCGCGCTCGACAAGCAAGGCCGGCCGTGGACGACCGTCTGGGGTGGCGAGGAGGGCTTCGCGGGGCCACTGGGAAGCGGAGTCATCGGGGCCAGGAGTCTTGTGGATGGGAGGCATGATCCGGTGCTGGAGGCGCTGCTGCTGCTGGACGACGGCAGGATGGATGATGATGGGAAGGGGAAGAAGGAGGAGGGAAACGAGGGCTATCAGATCACGCGGGAGGAGCTGGAATCTGGACGAGGGAGGCTCATGGCGGGTCTGAGTATCGACCTCGCGACTAGAGACCGGGTGAAGCTTGCGGGCCGGCTCGTGGCTGGCAGGGTGGACAGGGCAGGCGAAGACGAAGCTGGACATGACGATGGGGTGGCTGACGTGCAGGTCGCCATGCTCGTCGAGGAGAGCCTGGGGAACTGCCCCAAGTACCTAAACAGGAAAGCTATCCACCCCCAGGTGCCGGCACCACAGCTCGTCTCCGACACTTTACCACTCCCACCACAGGCCCTGGACCTGCTCGCCCGCGCCGACATGTTCTTCCTCTCTTCCACAGACGGCCGCAGCATGGACACCAACCACCGAGGCGGGCCCCCAGGCTTCGTGCGCGTGCTGAGCAACACCGACACCACCGACGACGGCGGAGTCTGCCTCGTCTACCCAGAGTACTCGGGCAACAGGCTGTACCACACCCTGGGAAACCTCCACACCCGCCCCCTGACAGGCCTCTGCATTCCCGATTTTGTCACAGGCGACGTGCTTTATTTGACCGGCGAAACCGCCATCCTCGCCGGCGCAGACGCAGCGCGGCTCCTCCCCCGCACAAAGCTTGCCGTCCGCATCCGGGTCACGGCCGCGCGATTTGTGCGCCGGGGCTTGTCGTTCCGCGGGGATGTGGTCGACTATAGTCCCTACAACCCACCTGTGCGACGACTCGCGGCTGAGATGGCAACGGCGGGGGACGCCGCCACTGGTGACGACGGGCAGACGGGGTCAGAGGACAAGGCGGTGGCGACGGCCGTGCTGGTGGGCAGGGAGATCATCACGCCCACGGTGGCCTGTTTCACGTTCCGGTTGCTGGTTCCACGGCGGCGGCAGCGGTGGTGGCGGCCTGGGCAGCATATTACGCTTGATTTCTCAGGAGAGCTGGATGTGGGCTGGAGTCATATGCGTGATGATGACCCGGGGAGTTTGAATGATGACTTTGTGCGGACATTTACCGTGTCCAGCGTGCCTGGTGGCGGAGGAGACAAGAGTGATGAGGAGGAGCTGAGGGATGGGGCGGAGATGCAGATTACGGTTCGGAGACATGGCCCTGCGACGGGGTTGTTGTGGCGGTGGAACATGAAGGTGCCTCTTGAGGTGCCTGTGTTGGGATTTGGAGGGCAGGAGGGATTCCTGATAGGAGGTGATGGGGCCCATCAGAATGGAGGGCGCAACAAGAAGAAGGTATTTGTTGCGGCTGGCGTGGGAATCACACCTTTACTGGCGCAGGCACCGGGGTTGCTCGCCAAGGGGGAAGAAGATGTTACTCTTCTCTGGAGTCTGAGAGGTGAAGACGTTGCGTTTGCTGTTGACGTGTTTGAGAGAATTGAAGGCTTGGCAGGGAGGACCAAGGTGTTTCTGACCGGCGATAGTGTGGATGCTGCCATTGTGAACAAGATGGAGGCGCTTGGAGGCCAGGTGATCAGGGGGAGAATAGATCCCGAGGAGGTCTTGCGTGAAGGAGGTGGTGGGGGCACGAAGACGACAAGGTATTATCTTTGTACCGGGTCTGAGATGATGAAGGTGCTCTTGGGCTGGTTGGAGGGCGAGGACGTCGTGTATGAGAGTTTTGAGTATTAAGCGCCTGCGAAGCAAGTTCTTCGAGACAAGGCCTATGAAAGCAGTTTCTATCAGCTTCATGGAGAACGTGGACGTCCACTCCTTCTCAACACGGTGCCACTCACTCAGCCTCGCCAAAACCAACACCCGGCCCTGATCTCGACTCTCTCAGAGTTTCGTATGCATATATTTGCTGGCCCAGCAAGCCCAGTAGACGTGCTGCCACGTTGCAGTCTTCAGCTCCGCCAGATCAGGACCACTTTGCTACAAGGGCGAGAGAAACAGGCTGGCTCACTCTGACCCCAGCTTCGAAGAGCTGCCAGCGCCGACCCCATGGTCGCTCGTTCGCTTGGACAGGCGCCCGCTGGCAGACCTCAAAGGTTTGATTTCACTGGATGATGTCAAAGCTAGAACTCCATGATCAACAACTCCTTTGATACCGCCTAGAAAGGACGACCAGTTGCTGCCTCGATACCTACTCCTTGGTAGAATCAAATCAGCTCTTCCAAAAGACGCTCCAGCCTGCCTAATTGCCGAGGATTGCTAGCCTTGGCGCGACAATCAGATATATAAATAAAAAGAAGAAACGCATATCACTCAAACCAGCCCCGCCCTACGGGTGTGAAGCGTAGCAAAAAAAGGCCTAGCGCAACCAAGATCAAAAGAATCGCAATGCCGTAGTCAAGCATAAAACCCACCAGGGTTCTGCGGTCGCTGTCCGAAAGGGGGGGAGACGTCTGCGACGAGGCACTCATGGCGTCTGATTGTCGTTGCTCCCAAAACTGTGATTCTGGATAATCGTCGCTCGTCATAGGACCGTGCGAGCGGTGGTGAGGGCCCCTCACCAAGGTCCTGCTTCGCCCGCCCTACTGGGTCATGCTTCCGATGGGGACGGGGTCCCCGCCGTCTCTCGATATGCGAATGTGTCGCTCGTAGAACCGGAGCATCTGCGGCTATATCAGCAACCTATGGGTGCCGGCTATGCCTTCACGGCGCACTGATGTATCCTCTCGTGGGTGTACTCATCCGACGCACCTTCTGCGGACATCTGCGGTACACGACCTCCTTAGGATGCTGCGTCTTCTTGCCATTCTTCCACGTCAAGTAAACGATGAAGTTCCCGTTTTCCTCATCCTGGCACATGTCCACAGACTCGACGTGGTCCTCCCAGCTGCCGCTCGGCGGTTTCCACTCCACCAGCTTGGCGCTCGCGGGCGGTGTCGAGTCTAAAGGGTGGCCGTTTGTCTTTTTCGTACGCTTCGCCGACTCGGCAGGTGTGGTGGATCCGGACTGGCGGCCGCGCTTTCTGCTCGCGAGCGCCTTCTTTGTAGCTTCAAATATCTTCTCGCGGCCGCCGATGCTGTCGAAGTACTCCTGTAGAACCTGAGCTGCATTCTCCCTACCATAAAACAACAAGACCGAGAGAACGTTAGCGACATGATTGCGTAAGCCCAGACACGCGAGGAAGGCGGATGAACCATACTTGAGATTGTCCTCCTCCTCCCAGGTACGGTCAGACTTTTTGGGCCACCCCTCCCACTTGACCTCAAAGCGAGGCAGGCCCTACCTTAGCCGTTAGCCATTCTCTCCGTCCTCGACACCGTTTGTTTGGAAGCTGGGATGGCCTCGAGGCGAAACACACGTCGTCGGCAATGTAATGCGAGAAGATCTTTTCGACCACAAATTCGTCCTCTTCGAGCTCGTCATCGTCGCCGTCGTCCTCATTATCCCCGCCGGTACCATTGGTATCCTTAGCATCAACAAACTCGTCCTCGTCCCCTGACTCGTCCTCGGGTTCCTCGTACGACTTTCGGGGGTTTTTGGGGACGACATCGCCAACGATGCCATCGGACATCTCGTCATCGCTTATTGCTGTAGGGAAGCCATCAATACAAGCTACGTAGCGCGGCTAACATATTTTTTATTTTTTTTTAAAGCTGCATCACGCTCCGACGCGTTGTTTCCGGACCACGCGAAGCACGCGACGGCAATGTCTAGGGGCTCAAGCGGCACGTACCTGGAGGCATGGTTGATTTGAGTCTGAGGGGATGGGGGGTTGGGGGTTGAGGAGGCGAGGGTGTTGCAGATGATAGAAATGAGGCTGCGGATGCACCTCAATTGATGCTTATGGGTGGAAAATGGGTATTGCGACAGGATGTTAGCTTGGAGATACAAGTCAAGTGCGGAAGTGCTGACGATGCTTCCTTCCCTAGTTTTGGCTCAATCCAGAGAGAGCTTTCTTGGGTAGGCTAGGGGGGGGGGGGGTTGGATGTTTGGACCCCAGCTCCCAGCTCCCAGCTCCTAGCTCCGAGGTAGACCCTTGGGAATGCGGCAGCCACAAGTGGTGAGGGGCAAGCCACCTTGTGGCTAGGCTCATCATCAACTTTCAACATCCACCGTCCTTGAAATATTACACGGCCTATCAGAGTGTACGAATCAGTCAATCACACTTCATTAAACTTCAGAGCATCTCCTTCTAGTTGGCGCTCTGTATCGAGAGGTGGAGGACGATGAATCTCTGAAGACGGCAAGTGTCATGTGCTTGTCTTCAGATTTCCAGGTGGTCTTCTTTTCTCCTTCTTCATTGGAAGCCTGCGCATCTGACGCAACGCTCTGTCATTGTTGCGAGTGCGTTCTGGATAACAGAATCATTCACAATTGTTTTGGTCCAAGATTCTCTGTCCATCTGTCGGATCTTCTTTCGTCTAAATCAGTCAGCACTCTAACCTAGTGTCTATGCCCATTACCTTTGCCGCCTTGCCGACCGGTGATGATCAGCCTGGCCGGTCCTAAGCGCTCAACGGTAGATTATTATGACATGACCAATACACTTGCACTGCACTGCACAGCGCTGCACGGTCCACGTAGCTTGCATCAGGAGGCTTATCCACAAGCCCGTGGGGTGTGTGCTTTTCTCTCTCCTTCCCGCCTCGACATGGGAGTCCCGCGTTCTTGATCGATCACCCAAGAAAAATAGGAAATTATTATGACGGGTGACAAGTCACAGCCGGCCTCTCCGAAGGGCGAGACGATGTGACCTGATCATTGGCGCCACAGAACTAAGCCCCTATCCCGGCATGCCTGAGGGAAGTCCCTCCTCTCGGAACCATGTATAATAATGTTCTGCGAGGCAGAATCTCTCCGAGGCCTCAAGGGATCCAGGACTGGAGGCCAAAGTGGAAAAATAGAGGGGGAGGGGAGGATCAATGAAAGGGGAGCCCTTCGTTGGCAGGGGGTTGTGCCGGTCCAGGATTCTCACCTAGAGGTGAAGAAGGGCACACTGTCCAGCTCCTTGCCTTTGGCGGTCTAGCATGCCCCAGGGCGAGCATCATGCATAAAAATACGCATAGGAATTTTCGCGTTATTCAGCCTCACCGGTACGTACCGGATCTACGAATGACCGTGAAGAAGAGAGACCAAAGGGAGGGGGAGGGAAGAAGAGAGGGGGCAAGAGGGTCCAGAGCAGAGCAGCCCGGATTCCCAAGATGTCTGTGCCTGCTTGTGGGTGGGTAAGAGGAGGGAGGATGAGCAGCTTCAGTTCGATCATATGACATGTGGGCCAGCCGTTGCCAGAGGGCAGCAGTGGGATGGATGTACATACAGCAGTAAGTTTGCCCTTGGAGCGGATGGGTGGGGAGCGACTGAACTCTGAAGCCTGCCCACAAGAACGTCTGTGTGCACGGAGGCAGGAAATCACATGCAAGAGAGCCAGCGAGGAGGAATCTTCTCTGTTCACGCTTGGACACGACTCACGAGGTGCTCCAAGGTAAAGTCAGATGGGTGGGTGACACCGACACACAGTCCAGCCTCCCCAATCTCCAAGCCTCACCGTTTGCCTATTTACCGGGGTCCACTCATTTCCAGCGGCAGATTTCCATTTTCAAAGAGAGGACGAACCCGAGGATACTCATCTCCCGATCTCCTCACCCGCGGCTAGCTGCCGCGATCCGACTGGTGTTCTTCCATCTCTCCTGCCGCCGACCCTCTCTGTCCAATGCGACGGAGCTTCCTCCTGCAAGTGGTTACTCACAATGCAAACGGTCGTCACCCAGTCATCTCAAGATGGCGCCTAGGTTCATCCTCCCGAGAAGGGAGAGAAGATGGTCTTTGCGGCCGAGATTGAGGAGGCTGTGGCGGGGGTGGAACCTCCAGACATACAGAATGAATGTATGGTAGTGTGACGGCCAGCTCAGCTGCCCTGGCCTTCGTCGATCTTGTTGGGGAGTCGGTCGGACAAAGAACCCAAGGGCCTCACCCGGAACTCTCGCCTACACACGAGCGGTGCTGCCGTCGACCACCTCCATGGCTCAGAACCGACTTATTTTTGGACCAGGACCTTCCTGTCAAACGCAGGGCCATCCCAATATTTGAAAAAGTGAGATACGAGGATCTTCTGCTCAAAGAATCTTCGCTACCAGGCACTTGCATGCCATAGCTAGACCAAAGCATAGGAACTTTTGTGCCAACAGCACAATATTGTTTTTCCCTGATGCATATGATATGTGAACGATAGGATGAGTTGGTGGGATGGAGCAGCGCTGGCCAGTAGTGACCAGGAGAAGATTTTAAGCCGTAATGACAGCTGTCAGCAGGCTTGCTCCCGAACATGGGGGATCCTTGTCTGAGGCCCACTCTCGCGGCAACGATCTGTACTCCTACAGCCGTCATGGGAGATGTTTCGGGTCGCCGTCCGACTGGAGAGTCACAGTGATTGAGAAGGGCATTTTAAAGAGGAGGGCAGGAGCTTGTGCCCCCCCCCCCCGCCCGCGCCTCCTCGCTGGAAGGCATCGCTCAGCCTTCAGGAGTGGTCCTGGAGGAAAAAGGTCGGGAGCAGGCCAGGCGGCGGCCAAGATCGGGGTCAGGTCCCGGGAGGCGGAACTATGCATACATAATAGCCTTCCTGGGCCCGCCAGCCAAAACGATTCCATTCGAGGAGGCTCCAAGAAGTCTGGAGGGACAAAACTGTGTGGAGATGCGGACAAGCGCATTATGTCCAAAACCCCTTTCACCGCTCTGCATGATAGGATCGAGAGGGGCCGAGTCTCCATCCATTGGGCGGGACAGTGGGCGACTTGTGGGCGACCATGACCATGAGCATGATGCTGCTTAAAAAGACCGGGCGACGGGCGACGGGATCCGGCTCACACGGGAAAGATTGGCGGTTGATATGGTCGAGTAGATTGTAGTACTGTAGTTACAGCGTTGTCCTGTGAAAGAGAAGCTTCCAGGTCTCTCCAGGGGGCTCTCATAGATAGGCTCATTGATCTCATCTCGTGCTGACCCTGCCGCTCCCACCACCTGCAGCCAGCCACAGCCCCAGCACATTATAGTACTCTCACTGCATGCAGCTGGTGGGTGTGTGATATCATTCCCGCCTGCAAAGGAGCAACTGCATCCATCCTTGCCCTCCTCCTTCACACTAGCACCCTCCTCTGGGCTCCGTGTCTTGCAGCACCGTTGCGGAGAGGGAAGAGGGGGGCATTGCGCCAGCGGCCCGCCTCCCGTACCTGGATGAGTTGGTCAGGAAGATCCTGTTGACGACGGATTGAAGGCCCGACCACGGTGGCGAGTGGTTTGAGAAAATGGCGGTGATGACCCGTAATTGTCTTGGCCTGCTTTGAATAGTTGAAAAGATGCGATCTTCAGTCAAATGCGAGGGCGTGTTTGGCAGCGCTAGATACTAACAAATCGACCTTGAAAGGTTGGACCTAGGCACAGCCGCTACTGGTCCGGGTGAACGAACGAGACGTCAGCAGCGTCGGGAGGGAGAATTAGTCTTCGACATATTGCTTGCTTCTTTTCCCCGGTTTGTAAGACAGACAATAAACAACCCTCCATAAAAAATAAAATAAAAATCAAAGAAGGAAGGGAAGGAGAAATAAAAGAATGGACAAAGATCTCACCTGGGGGTGAGGAGCACTTTCCTTCATGGTGACGAATGACGAGGGCTGTTGTAGGAAGCTACGCGTGCTGATCCATAGTTTGAGCCAACAGGGAAGGCGCAGTGGAAAATGTGACAGGTCAAGACGGGGGTCTGAGAAGGGGCTGAGAGATCACTCCCACTCTCCGGTTGCTGCACATCGTCCACTAGCCAAGACGCAAATAAATTTAGTTCAACTAAGTAGCATATTTCACTGCACTAAATATCTGGCGCAAGTCATTTCGAGGTGGCAGGAACTTTTCTCTCTTCTTCTCTTTCTCGAAATGAACGGGGGTATAGCGTTGATCATCTCCAAGGCTCAGAGACTCCCCAAGTAAGAATGAGAGTGGTGTACCGCGCTCTACGGTACTGTGGTACCTTTAGGGACGGTACGTATTGGCCCTGCAATGGGTACCGCCAGTGACTCTGTAGCATGGACGGCCCCCACCAGTGCTGCTTGGGTACCTAAACAAATACCTGAAGCTACTGCGTCATGGGGGGGAAGGGTACGGCACGCTCAGGTACCTGCCAGGGCACTGGCCCACGGTCTAGGGCCTCTTCAGGGTTCACACCCATACTATGTGCCATCGCAGTAAGATTGAATTTCTCCTCCGCTGCCCCCCGGTTTCCGTTCTCCCAAAACCCTGACACTGGAAATCTCATTTGCCTGAACTATAGTATCTCAAATTTGAAGTATCGTGAAGTCTATTGTCATTGTAGCCTTTACGAAGTGATCATCACACTGCTCTTCTCGGTCGTGGGAATAAATAGAAACATTCTTGCGAAATGACAATGTCTGTTGTACACGGTAGGCTTCCCACCTTGATGATTAGGGTACCCATAATCTGGCAGGGGTGGGGGGTTCTGTGTCAAGTTACAGCACTGCCAAGTACCTGCTGGGTAGCTACAGTAAGTACTGCCTTTGGTAGCTTCCCAAGGAACCCCCCCCCCCCCTTCCTCTCCAGCCCGGCCCTGCCCTTGCCATATGTTTTGACTTCACTGATGTCGTTTCGTCCTTCTTTTCCCCCCCCTCCCCCTCCCTCCCTCCCAGACCACCACGTCCTCCTGCAGCTGCCCCCCTCCTCGTCCACAACGTAACCTTTCTTTTCAGTGATATTTTTATTTTGTTCGTTACGGGGCACGTCACCATGTGAAGGTTATTGGCCCAGATATCCTACACATGCAGCATCATGGCTCCACAGGGCGATGCGCCGCCTTCACCAGCAAATACACTCGGTCGGAGAATTCTCGACTTGCTCATTGGCATCACCTTTGGCTCCTCTCTTCCTCATCCGGGATGAATCGTTATATCACATTTATTGAGAGAAGAAGGGGGGGGAGGGGAAGGAGGGTGTAGCTCGTGCATGGCATGCCTTGGCCTCGTATAGTACAGTACATTCAATACCTGCTGTTGTCATCCCGCACAGCAGTCGGACCCCGTGCACACGCCACCACTATCCTCACATCAGGCTTTCTCCACGCCGTTGGGCTCTTTTTCTTGTGCAGATCTACACAGGCTGTACCCATTCTCAGGCAGTCTTTTCCCCTTGCCATTGGGAACGGGAAACCTGGACAGTGTCCGTGACAGAATCTTGGACATGATCATCCTCTCGTACCCAGCGGTCCCCCCCCCCCTCCCTTCTTCGAGGATCTGGTCTTCTTCCTGGCCCCGTTCCTCGTCCAGGTCTCCGTCCTCGTCCATGTCCCCCGTCCCCGACCCCGCCTGGCCCTGGCCCTGGCCCCCGGCCCATGGACGGGAAATAAGGGACAGGAGGTACATGGCACCCATCCTGCAAGGCCCAGGCCTCTCGTTGAATACCAGCTCTCTAGCCTGATTCTATCACGACTTTCATTAAATCATCACCTATCCCAGCCAGCCGTGGCTGAATGAATTGCATTTCCTACCAGTTTTCCTTGTCTAGAAATCGTCACAGACATCAGTTCTTCGTATCCAGTCAGACCATCTCTTTTCTTTTCCTTCCTTTTTCTTCTTCAACCCTCCCATCGTCTATACACACGAACATCTATCATAGCTCCTCGCGTCTCCGTCCTTGTCCCGGTTCTGGCTTCGTTTTTACTTTGTTTTATTTATTTATTCATTTTTTTCTTTGGCTTGTTGTATGTGCTTATTCACAATCAATCTCTGTGTTCTCTGCTCACCGTGTGCCTCGAATCAGAGACGTGAACAGTAGCCTGCAGGCCCTGTATTTATTATTTCTTTCACTGTTTCTTTTCACTTTGTTTTCTGACTGGTTGCCCGGTTTCGACCGTCCCACAAGCCGTCACCTGTGTGCGTCTAGGTACTCAGCTTCCACTGGCAGATCAACAAATCCCCAGTAGTTGCAATATCCCGACATTCAACCTAGCCTCGTCAACACACCGACCGGCTGAGACCATGAATAACGAGAGCACAACCAAGGCCCCCAAGGATAAAATCTGCGCCTATTGCCGACAGGCTTTCACATCATCCTCTCTTGGCAGACATCTTGATCTCTACATCAAAGAGAAAAATCCCAAGGCGCCTGACGGCATCCATAACGTCGACGAGATCCGGAAGCTCCGGGGCAGCATCACACGTCGCCAGCCTAGGGGCGGTGGCCGGAGGGACACCACGGCCTCGGCAGCCACCGGCAGTCAGACCGGCGCCAGAGCCAGTTCTACAGTCTCTGACCTTGACTCGGGCACTGCCAGATCCCCAGGTACGCGCAGAGATTCCGTGAAGCCCGCCGAGGCTTTAGTCAAGAAACAGGCATCTCCCGCGCTTCATGCATAGAGAGAGGGGGCGAGGGACAACCAGGGTTTTTACTGACAAGGATGTTTGCGACACAGAAGAGGGCAATGATGGAACGACCGCCCTTCACAAGGGAAATCCGCAACGGGCTGCCAACCGACAGACGATGAAATCTTCCCTGGAGGTCAGACAGAAATTTCAAGATGCTCTCGACACGGCAAAGGCTGCGGAATTGGCACTGCGTGAAATGATCAGCTCGTGGAGGGCTGCCAAGTGAGACCCTCTGCCGTCCTTGCCACTGTCCGTACCCGTTGCTGACAGAGAAATGCAGGCACCAGTTTGACTTTGAATCCATGCCTTTTGACTTCAATCCGCTTTCTTTAGACTTTCCTGGGCTTTGTCTTCAATGTTTGAAGCCACCGCCGACGCTACACTCCTCCACACCATACTCTACCTTGACTTCCTGGTCTCTTGATCCTCCAGGGCAGAAACAACATGCCGCCCTCTCCACTTATTTCCGGGAGGAATTTCGACAGTGGAAAGCCTCCTGCACCGCTGTCACGATGGCCATGGCGGAGGAACTGACGTACCCGCCCTCCCAGGCCACAACACGACAGGAGGATGCTAGAGAGCTGGTCCAGAAGGCCGAAATGGCAGCAGAGTCGCTCGAGGCGCAGGTAGCAGAACATTTGTCGACCGTCTTCTATGCCTGGGAGCAATTGCCAGCCCCAAGGCAGCAGGAACTATGGAGTCTGGAGATGGCAAGGAGTGTTGGGAGGAAACAGGAACAGCTCGAGGCCCTGAAAGAGACGCAGCATTCCCTTAGGCAGGAGAACACGAACCTCAAGGCCCAGATCGACAGCCTCAACCAACAGCAGCAGCCCAAGGAGTTCAGACTTGTCCCACCGATGACGCTAAGGGTAGATCCGAAGCTGGTGGATCTATGGACCGAAGGAGGCGTCGGTGGCCAGCGCTCGGCTATGATGGAAGACCGCCACGCAGACCTTGGTACAGTGGTGTCAGGTGCCATCGAGAGATGGAAGAACGTGGTCGTGACCTCAAGGGTCACGAGCAGCATGATCTCGCAGAGAAATTTCGATGCATCCGCCACGACACCTCTGCAGACCCCCACGTCAGCTACTTACCCCGTAACGCCGGATGTTCCGAAGGCGACACGGCAACAGCCGGGGTTTGAAACCCGGCAGTCCCGGTATCCACAGTCCTCGCCGAACGTTCAGTCATCTGTGGCTCGGAATGTGTCCGTCAGTTCTGTCGGCCCAATGATGGGATCGACGAGCGAGACGAAGCCATCCGCCGCTAGCACACCGTCGGAGTCACAAATGGACTCAGATGAGGACGCTGATGCTGATGCTGATGAGGATGAGGATGCGGACGCGGACGCCGATGAGGACATCGATGCCGATGCCGATATCGAAATGGGGGAGGATGGTTTTGTCTCTTGTGCCAACATGCAGGTTCAGCACGGCATCCCCCAGATGCCACAGCAGCAGGGGTCTCCTCAGGTACAACACTCGATGCGCCCCGCTACACGATCGCAAGACCAACAGCATCCATCCACTCTTCGACCGAACACGTACCCCCAGAGAGCCAGTAACTACGCCGACCCCGGCGTCCTTGCCGCCCAACAACAACAACAACAACAACAACAACAGGTCCACATGAGCCAACAAGCCTTCGATCACCAAATGCAGAACCTGACCCATCACCTCAACCAGGGGGGACATGGAGGACACAATATGGGTTGGGATAATCAATGACTATGCAGTGTCCCGCTGGCGACCACTAGTGCAGTGAAGTGTCGACCAGTGCCTGGTTGGGAAGCAACTGCACAACTGGAATGGGATATATTGCGCGCTGTCGATATGCTCTTGTCAGAGTCATAGGGCCTCCGCAGCCTAGCCAACCTGCCAGCTAACGGAACTTGCCATCAGGGTTCCGCTCAGAGCCTCGGTCGAGTCCGACTGAAGCATCACCGAAAGGGCGGTGTCAAAAGACCCCTTGAGAACCCATCGACAGCAGCGCAGAACCAGTCCAATGGTCGAGGGCCCCTCGGAAAATCGTGAGACGGAGTTTAAAAGTTTTATCAAAATATGTTACACACTGCTACATACCAAGAGGCGATAGCAACCCAGTAGACATATCGGAAAAGGCGCATCGGGATGTATCGGACAACGGAATCTGTACCCATCAAAATCAAGAATAGAGGTCTATAATTAATCATACTCAAAATCAAATAATCCTCAACCCTTGAAGATGCCCTCGACTTTCGCACCACCGAAACAAGTGACATATCATGCTATTTGCTTTTACCTCTTTGCCGGACTCGCTAATATCAATCAGCACTCACACTCGGCAACACCTCTGAAAATGTTCTTGTCGTTATTACATCTCATCCCTCTCTTTGGGTTCATTTCCTGCTCCTCCTCACGGTAATGCATTCCATGTCCTACTTTCCTGCGTGCCCTGTCTCGCCTCTCTCTTGTAAGACCAGATCTACACTTCGCATACGAGCAATAAATCGTCGGCGATCCCGACGACCCGCCTTCTCGAAGGGGGATATTTACATGCCAGCAGACACGGATGCTCGAAAGCACGTTTTACCAAGGAGCCTGGGGAATCTATTTTGGGAGTGATCATTGCCGACGAGAGAAAGAGAAAAACAGAGAGACATAAACACAGAGACAATGATTACAAAAAAAAATAAAAAAAAATAAAGACCCCTGTCTCATATACGATATGTCTCAGAGCTAGGGGAGCTGAGGCTGCACGACATTTCGCCCTATGGAGACCCCTGCGGCTGAAACATACAAAAAGCGCCTCGACGATCCGGGGAGGCCTTCTCTGGCAAATTCTAGAAGCAAACGTCTACGTAGTGCAACTCGTTCGTCTCCACATAAAAGTGCCATACAAGCCCATCCAGGTCTGCGCCATCGACCAGTGGGAAGCTACCTGGGTGTTCTTCATTCGTCATCGGTCAGACATACTCTCTTGCGAAAAGTACGTAGCAGAACGTCCCACCAAGAAGGAGGGGTGGGGAGAGGGGTTGGCAATTACAAAGGGCTCCGCGGCACTTACACCTCCGCTGACCCGGGCGACCTGTCGGATAGCGAACCCCACTGTTGCTCAAGGAAGTTTTGATGAACACACACACACACACACACACACAGGCTGGCCCCCCCCCCCCAGGGAGAGCAAGAGACAGTCTCGGCGACAAGGCCTTCTTTCACCAGGTGCGTGTCCGAGATTGACACATGGCCGACCGGAGGGATGCTTGTGTTTCAGATGGGACACGAAATGAGATTAAAATTCACAGTTCCACTCCGGGTGCGATCCCCATGGCTACTTGCTGTTGGCGAGGGCCGGCGTTGCACACATTTTCATAAGGCTCCGTCATCTACGGCCTCTGTTTTTTCTTCTTTTCTTCTTTTCACTTGTACTATGGTACGGCGGGCGGCCGGGCCCTGTCACGACAAGGATGCTTGAGCAGCTTGTCATAAAGTACTACTCCTGCCCTCTCCCATCCCTTGTCGATACTTGCACATCATAAGGGGACAGGCCCCAACTCAAAGCCCTTGTCGTTCGTAACTCTGTTCGAGTCAGCACAGACTACCCGTGCCTGACAGCTTGGGATTGGATCGCCCTGGCTATGGCCCTTGCCATGTCAACGTTTTTGTGCTTACTCTCCGCCCATGCTGCCATTATATTTTGACCTACGTGAATAGTACATAGTGCTAAGTACCTGTATACTGCAGTCATTGTACACATATGCACGACGGGTAAGGGAGGGTCAGCACTGCGCCGTACATACATGGCCGTACGAGCTCAGAAAAGGTCCTAAATATCCCAGACGTGGTCGAATTTTCAATCATAGATTGCCTTTCTAAAGGTCTTAGTGGGGTACTTTGCCTCCGACCGCAGAGGCAATCCCAGATGGCCAAAGACTCAAGACTGGGTTCGAACATCTGGCTATTACATATCTGCAAGCAAGCAGAAGCACCAACTGCAGGGATTTGGACTGAAGTCTCCCTCGGAACTGCTGCCTTCATTGAGTGGTGTTTAGCGAAGGGGAGGGGGGGGGGGCAAGAGAGAAGGAGGGGTGGTATGTGTGCATATGTGCTCACGTAGACTCAGAACCATGTACGATGCATGTCATGGTACATGGTGACAGCCAACGATCTTCACAACCAGGTGGGTCGCAACGGACGGAATCCACCCACAATTTCGCGGATCCCGCAGCCTTGCAGCAAGCGATCTCGTCTGGCCCTGGAAGCCGTTCGTCCCCGCGACTCGTCCGTGCAACCCTGCGACCATCCCTAGTCCAGGACAATCTCCAAGTTGAACTCCTTCTGCTCCAGTCTGTACTGCGGCAGGGTCTGAGGCCCACAACTCCCTGTGCCCAGCCCGTGGTGCATCCAGTCCAGATGTACCCACGTCACCTGCCCCTCCTCCTCCTCCTTCTTTTCCCCCTCCTCCCGTGCTCTGGCCAGAGCCCGCAGCTCGTAAGGGTGCCTCGCTCTGTCTAGCTCCTGAGTGGTGTACCTCGAAGCAGAGAAGCTAGCTCCTTCCAATTCCCCGAACCGCGCTCTCAGCAGTCGGTAACCCCTGTCGTCATCGTCATCACCATCATCACCGTCGACCTCTTCGTTGTCGTTAGGGTGCTGCCCCGCCATCTTGGCCTTGGCGCCTCGGAATTCCACCCACCGCACGTCGGTGCGGTTGCCGTTGTCCTGCGGGACCTCGTAATCTGTGGCGAGGTCCGCAGTCGCGCAGGTGTACGTCCCGAAGAGCTGCGACTCCTTTTTGTCGCGGTACGACTCGCCAGGCCCCCGCCCGAACCAGCTCGCACCGAGACATCCGCGCAGGGCCGCCACGAGGCCGAAGCGCGGGAGCGATGGCGGTGTCCAGGGCCCAGACATCCTGGCGTCGATCTGGATGTGCAGCGCGGCCCTTGAGCGGCGTCGGCCGCCTCCGCCTTCTGAGCCCCCGCCCGTTGCGGCAGTGAACCGGTAGGTGGTCGTGACGTCGATGCCCCAGCCCAGCACAGGCGGCGCGATGCGCGACGTGACTCGCAAGAGGACCACATCTGCCCCTTCCGGCGTGCGAGTTCTCTTCCAGAATGCACCCGCCGTCGCCTGTGTCGCGATGTGGTGGTCGCGCACGAGATGAACACGGGCGTCGCGCCACTGGCGGCCCTGCGACCCCGGTGTGCCGTTCGGGTCGTCCCCACCGGCGTCATTGTTCGTGAGGGCGCGGTAGAGCTCGAAGGTCAGCGGGGAGGCGAGGATGCTGCGGCGCTGGCGGCCGCGCTCCCAGGCGGCGAGGTGCCCACGGGCGAGATCAAAGGTCCAGACAATTTGCGTGGGCGAGCGGGCTGTGATTTGGAGTAGCTCAGGCGAGGTCTGCGCGACGGTGAGCGCTTCTCTGCTGATGGGCGACGGCTGGCGGGCCAAGAGCTGGGCGATGCTCCTGGGAGGTGCGAGCTGCAGCTGGCCTGTGGCGACGATATGCCCTGCCTCTGCCCAGAGTGTGCTCTCGCGAAGGGAGAAGAAGAGAGTGAGGTAGAGTTCCTTGTTGGGCGGCGGGGTGGCCTTTGGATCGAGTGAGACGATGGCCTCTGTGTGAGGTTGAATGCCTGGACGTGGTGTTTGTGTATGTGAGCGCTCGCTCGCCGAGACAATTACCACCTGCAGAGAGTTTCAAATGCATGACATTACCTTTGGGAATCACCGCATTGCCTTCTTCGATGGTTCTGTCCTCAGATATGATGGTGTATCGGCAAGAGAGGTGATCAAGGGTGAGGAAGTCATACCGGTTGACGACCCTCACGCCTTTCCCCTCGACCTTGAGCGTCTGGACGGGCTCGATGGCTTTCTTGTACTCGACGAGACCAGGCGTCGGGTTGTGGCTCGAGTCCACCAGTCCATCCATGACAAAACAGCCGTCGTTGGGCTCATCTCCAAAGTCACCGCCATATCCCATAAACCCGACACCACCGCCGGTTTGCGTCCTTAGCCCATGGTTTGCCCACTCCCACACAAATCCACCTATCAGTCTCGGGTACTTGTAGAAGGCCTCGATATACTCCCTAATGGCGCCTGGCCCGTTTCCCATTGCATGTGCATACTCGCAGAGCACGTACGGCTTCTCCCATCTCTCTTCCTTTGCGGCGATGATCAAGGCGTCCACGGGCATATACATCCTCGAGAACAAATCCGCCGTCTCAGCATTCTGGTCCCCCTCATAGTGCACCGGCCGTGACCCGTCCACACCCTTGATATAACGATACATGGCCTCATGATTCTGCCCATAAAAGGACTCGTTGCCCAGGCTCCAACAGATGACGCACGCATGGTTCTTATCCCGCTGCACCAACTGCACCGCTCTGTCGAGGTACGCCGCCTCCCACCGCGGGTTATCCGACAGCAGAGCTGCGGGATCGGTGCCTTGGACGGCGATCTGGCACCCATGGCACTCGAGGTCCGCCTCGTCCAGTACATACAGACCCAGCTCGTCCGCGAGGTCGTACAGACGTGGGTCATTGGGCTGGTGCGAGGTGCGGATAGCGTTGATGTTGTGTGTCTTCATGAGCAAGAGGTCGCGGCGCAGGAAGGGCAAGGGCACGGCTCGGCCGGTGTCTGGGTGGTGCTCGTGACGATTTACACCGCGGAGCTTGATTGGGTGGCCATTGATATGGAGACCGGCATTGGGGATGAGGTGAATGTTACGGAGACCTATACGCTGGCAGATATAGGCGGTGGTTCCCGAGACGTGGAGGGTGAGGGAGTAGAGTTTGGGGGTCTCGGCTGTCCATAGCTGGGGCTTGTCGATGGCCAGGATGAGTGGTGAGTTGGCGGTGGAGGCTGCTGTGGTGTTGTTGTATATAGCCTCGGTGCCGTCGGGATTGTAGAGGGTGACCTCGACAGGTAAGGAAGGGTCACTCCCTTCCAGGCGGACTCGGACCTCTGCAGACCCGTTTTGGTCGCCTAAAAGGGTTTCGATGCTATAGTCTTTGAGGTGGTCTCTGGGGAAGAAGAGGAGGTAGACATCGCGGAAGATGCCCGACAGCCACCACTGGTCCTGGTCCTCGATGTAGCTACCGTCGCATCGCTGGTAAACCTCCACCGCCAAGGTATTCACCTGGCCCTCTTCTCTCCTCACCAAACCCGTGATGTCAAACTCGGACGGGTTCCTCGAGCCCTGCGAATAACCTACATCAATCCCATTCACCCACACGCTAAAAGCAGAGTCCACCCCTTCAAAACGGAGCCGGATTTGATCATCCCCTAGAGTCTCTTGACTCCCGATAGTAAAAGTCCGCACATAGCGCCCACACTCGTTCTCATCCAGTGGCACATACGGCGGATCACAGGGGAAAGGGTACGGCACATTGGTGTACTGCGGGCCCTGACCGAAGCCCTGTAGCTGCCACATTCCTGGGACCTCGATATCACGCCAGTCCGAAACATCATAGTCGTCCTCGAAGAAACTTTTTGGGCCGCTGAGTGGACTGGCGCTGAGGTGGAACTTCCAGGTCCCGGAGAGGAGCTGGGATTTGGAGTGGCTTGTGTCGTGGGTCAGGGCGGCGTCAAGGGCTTCTTGCTCGGTAGGGTAGAGGAAGAAATGACTGCGAGGGGAGAGTGTGTTGCGATGGAGGACTTCCAGATTGTTCCAGTCGTACTTTGATCGAGCATCTCTTCTGCTCATGGCGATTTTCCCAGATGGGGTTTCCATAGTCGGCGGTGCCGGGGGCTGGCTGGTGAGGCCAGGGCGTGTCTTCATCCTGTGATAATGGCGATGATAATGATGATGATTTGCTGGGCAGCCTGCAGCTGGACACGAGCGAGGCAGAGACGAAATACAGTAAGATTGATGCGAAGCTACAGCAATCAGGCAGTCTGCGTTGGTGGGAGGAAGGAACCAGCGGGTTAGGCACGGCATTGGCAGCTGCGGGGTTGTGGCATGTGTCTTGTCTTACTGAGCGTGCCTGCTGCCTGTAAGCCCGACGCGCCCCTCCTTCCTCCAAGCAGACATAAAGAGATCCCATTGCAAATCTTAGTATTTGCGGGACAAGGCAGCACTAAAGAGGGCGATTCATGAGAAAAGAGAGAGTGATTAGAAAGGAGAGAAACATTAGGATAGATCAGAGGGACGGAAGGGAAACAAAAGAAGAACAGTCCAGCAATTGGAAGTGTGTTGTTTCATCTGCTACTCGTGAATGGAACGGTGCAACATCGGACTCATAACCAATAATAACACAGCATCCCAATTATTTTCTCTTTTTTTCCTCAGTTTTCTCAATCATCCTTTCTTTCTACTTGAGCAGGCCACTGTGCCTATTTAAATACCCAAGTACTTAATTACTGAGGGTTACGTGCTTTCTTAACCGTCGCCTCCAAATTGAACTACTCTGAGGTATAATCATTTGTAACTTGATTAGGCAAAAGGTTACACCACGGTTCATGAGCAATATGTCCGAGAGACAGGCATCGCATGGTCCGCAGTATCTGATGTAAGGAACCTTTTTCCAATTCTTTTGAAGAAAAAAAAAAGAAGAAAAAAAAAAAAGGAAAGAAGAAGAAGAACAAGAGAAGAAAATTAGCCTTACTACAATTTCTGAGTTTTTAAGTGAAACTTTGCAGCAGCCAACACTGAAAGCCAGCGAGCACGCTTGGATTATCACCTATCAACTTTCTATTGAGGCGAATAACGTATGATTACTTGTATATCAATCAACCCGTGGTTCTTGTCTCTCTGTATCTCTTTTTTCTTTTTCTATTCATCAACTTTTCGTGTCAGGAACTCTTCCAGTGTAGCATTGTAGCCCAAAAGCCACAAAGCTGGAGCCACAACTTGACGAGAATTGCAAGCAAATAAGCCGGAGACCCAGCATCCTCTCTATCTTAGGCAGGAGAGATCAGATGAGCCATGACGACCAGCCTCGTGCACCATATTCTCATTGCAGAACCTGGAGAGGGTTGTGCTGCGATGCGGAAGTCAAATATTGAACTTGGCCCACCGGCTACTTGACTCCGGAACTATTGTGTCGCGGAAGGGTTGCATCTCAAAACGGGCGAATGTAGAAGCTAGGATATTGGTAATAATAACTCACATGCAGTAAGTAGTCGCACTTGCTTTGGCCTTTCTACGTGGGCACCTGAATGCGTTTGGTGAAAGGGGGTCAAGAGCAATTACGTGAAAACACAAAACCTGTCTCTATTTATTACCGTTCATCTTCGTCCTTGCCATTTCCATCGCTTTTACTTGCCCTTTCTTCATCCCCCCTAGAAAAAGAAAAGATTTAAAAAATAAAGAAAAAAAGTATCAGAAAAGTAAGAATCACAGTTGGGGTGGGCGGAATAAACCTAATTAAAGTCATGTCGCACCAGCAAAGCCAAGTAACGACCAGGGACTTCCCAAAAAATGCCAACGGAAGACGACCCTCCATGCATGGCGGAAAACCGGGAAGGGCCACGGCAGGCCGCCCGCCACGTGCATCCTAAAGAGGCGGCTTTGTATGAAGATCATTTGTGGGAAATTCTTCGTAGTTGCTTTCTCTCACTCGTACGTTCCTTTTGTGTTTCCCTTGCTATCTAATCTCCGACTTCTACTCTTCTTCCTACACTTCCCTTCCGTCGTGTACTGATCATCCATATTTGGTCACGGACGTGTAACGAGAGCACCCCATCTTGGCACATGGAATAGTAGTCAGGTCCCACTACTAGGTTCGGACTACCGGTGCCAACGAACCGATGTCGTCGCGATTTTCTTGTACAATAATGATGAGTCTCTCAAGGATACTATTAAAGAAGGACGCCAGAACCCCGATCAGATGAAAAGCTAGGGCTTCCAGGTGTTCGTTGAGGCTTGCGAGGTTGCCACCATCCAGACTCCAGCATACCCACCATGAAGTATCTTCAGTCGCTGCCGCTGCTGTCCGCAGTGGTTGCTCCAGCCAGCGCAGCCTTCTCGTCATGGACCAACGTCAACATCAACGGAGGAGGCGGCTTCATCGATGGAATCCTCTTTCACCCGACCACCCAGGGGTTGGTGTATGCCCGCACCGATATTGGTGGGCTCTACCGCATGAATTCGGATTATTCTTGGACGCCTATGACAGATAGTATCATCACCGATGCCAATTGGTATGTGGCTTACCCTTTGGTTCATTAGAAGTATCTAAAGCAACACGCTGACTCTTCATTCAAGGGACAGAGCAGGCGTAGATGCCATGGCAGTGGATCCTCAAGATGACACCAAGATCTACCTTGCCCTTGGAGAATACACCAACAGGTAAGAGCTGTGTGTCGCATTCATGTTGAAGAATTCCATACCTAAAAACCTGTAAATGACTCTTGATATAGCTGGGATCCAGATGATGGCGTTATTGCCAGGAGTTCCGACCAGGGAGAGACATGGAGCTTCACCAACCTGACGTTCAAGGTTGGTGGAAACATGCCTGGCCGAGGAAGTAAGCAAAATTTTCCTTGGATATCCCGCGACAAGCTTTCGACCCCTCTGATATATCTTTCCTATTTTTCTTCTTTACTTCCCTCTTCTGTCATGAAAACACACAGACTCGATGATATGGGCTAACGTAATCTGGTGGAATTCACAAGTGGGCGAGAGGCTGGCGGTCGACCCAGCCAACTCAGACATCATCTACTTTGGCGCCCGCAGCGGAAATGGCCTCTGGAAGTCAACCGACGGAGGCGAGAGCTTCAGCAAGGTTTCGTCCTTCACGGCCGTGGGCAACTACGCTCCAGACCCGAGCGACTCCACAGGCTACGAGAGCGACCTGCAGGGCCTGGCGTGGGTGACCTTTGACCCCACCTCTTCCACCACCAACGGAGCCACCTCGCGCATCTTTGTCGGGTCTGCCAGCAACGGCAGCGTCGAGGCCGTCTGGGTCTCGACAGATGCGGGATCGACCTGGACAGCGGTCGAGGGCCAGCCCGGAACATACTTCCCGCACAAGGGCAAGATCCAGCCAGACGAGGGCGCCCTGTATATTACGTATTCCGACGGAACTGGACCCTACGATGGTACTCTGGGTGCCGTTTGGCGCTACGATATTAGTAATGCGACGTGGACCGATATCACCCCCGTGTCAGGCTCTGACCTCTACTTCGGGTTCGGCGGCCTGGGCCTCGACATGCAGAGCCCAGGGACGCTGGTGGTGGCCGCGCTTAACAGCTGGTGGCCCGAGGCGCAGCTCTGGCGGTCCACAGACTCGGGTGCGACCTGGTCGCCCATCTGGGAGTGGACAAGCTACCCGGACATGGACCGCTACTACAGCATCTCGACACCCGTCGCGCCCTGGATCTACAATAGTTTTATTTCTGTCTCTGGTGCCGAGCAGCTCGGCTGGATGATCGAGTCCCTCGAAATCGACCCTTTCAATAGTGATTTTTGGGCTTACGGAACCGGTTTGACAATGTACGGCGGGCATGACCTGACGGACTGGGACACTGCCCACAACATCTCGATCGTGTCGCTGGCGGATGGTATCAACGAGTTTGCCACGCAGTGGCTTAACTCTGTGCCTGGCGGGTCGGAACTGCTGGTGGCTGTGGGAGATGACTGCGGCTTCACGTTTGAGAGCGCATCGGACTTGGGGACCAGCCCGCAGACGACGTGGATGACGCCCTTCTGGGCCACCTCGACCAGTGTTGGTAAGTTAATTCTACGTAGTATTGGTCGTTTATTCTATATGTATGCACTTTTCTTCATTTCAACTAACATTACGTCTTGCAGACTACGCTGGAAACGATCCCGCCAATATTGTCCGTGTTGGCGACGCAACCGGTGCTCAGATGATCGCCATCAGCACCGACGGAGGCGCCTCCTGGAACATCGACTACGGCTCCAGCACCACAGACTACGGCGGTGAGGTCGCCTATTCCGCCAACGCAGATACCATCCTCTGGTCCAGCGCCACATCCGGCGTCATGCGCTCCCAGTATCAAAGTACTTTCGCGACCGTCAGCACCTTATCCTCGGGCGCCGTCATCGCCAGCGACAAGCGCAACGGTACTGTCTTTTACGGCGCCGTGTCTGGTGCCTTCTACGTCTCCACAGACACCGGCTCGACCTTTACCAAGGGTGGCGCTCTTGGTAGTGCCTCCTCGGTTGTCCAGATTGTCGCGCACCCGACCACGGCCGGCACCGTCTACGTCTCCACCAATCTGGGCATCTTCAAGTCCACCAACTATGGCGCCAGCTTTTCCCAGCTGTCGACCACCATCACAGCCACCCAGCAGATTTCCCTTGGCCTTCCCGCCTCGGGGTCCACCTGGTACCTGTATGCCTTTGGCGACGGGCCCGACGGGAACAAGCTGTACGCCTCTGCCGACGACGGGTCCACCTGGACTGATATCCAGGGCAGTCAGGGTTTTGGTGCCATCTCGGGCGCCAAGCTTGTTGGTAGCGGTAACCAGGCTGGCCAGGTCTATGTCGGCTCCGGCGTGGGACGTGGTGTCTACTATGCCTCTGGCTCGCTCACGGGCTCGAGCGTGACCACCACGAGCTCGTCTGCCAAGTCGACGACCACCTCCACCTCAAGCGTGAAGACCTCCACTACAACTAGCACTGCCATCAGCACAACCTCCAGCGTAAAGACCACGAGCACTGTCAGTACTAGTAGTAGCACCACGCTGAAGACGAGCACCACGTCGACATCTACGGCCCCGGCTAGTACTTGTACGGCAGCGCAGTATGCCCAGTGCGGTGGGACTGGGTTTACGGGATGCACGACTTGTGCTAGTGGCTCGACTTGTACGTATGAGAATGACTACTACTCTCAGTGCATCTGAGTTTGAGGAGGGAGGATAGAATGTTGAGAGCATTTATGGGTAGCTTTTATTATGTAGTATATGTCTGTTGGTAGATGATCCTGTTTCAGATCATCTCTGTACATATGCAATACACATGCTAGGGTTTTGGCCTGTGATTTAGTTCTATACAATCATTTTAAAATGAAGTTCTTCTCTAGTGTCACCTTTAATTATTGTTTTGACTCTCTTCAGATAGATTCGAGTCGGCCGAGAAATAGTATTCACAATCATCGCCGACTACTTCTTGAAATTACTTATTTAGATAGGATTACTAGAAGAACTGGTATTCTCCACCACAAGTCGTCATCATGCTGTCTTGGACTCCTTTCCACGCCCATGCCATGTCATCTTCCACCTGTCCTGCACCGTTCTCGGTGTGAATTCTGCCCGAACAGACGGAATACCGAATACAAACGCCACCAGATAAGCGATCAAAAGCACAAAGTGCGAGACAAACCAGTCCACCCCCCAGAGCAAGCCGTAGCCCAAAGTGCCCCTAGCAAAAGGAAACCCCCTCGTCGAGAAGGCCCGAGGGACATCCAGAAACACCGGAAAATTATCCAGTTCGCGAAAGACCACAAACAGGCCCAGGGTCACCCACGCGTCCACCAGCACACCATGCACCCACGCCGACATGTACGGCGGACAGACAAACCCCGCGCCTCGAAGGATCACCCCGTTCAGGTTCCAGAAGAAGACCGCCTTGAGCCCGTCCTCTGGCTCCGTCCTCTCGACCACCACGACCTCTTGGTCCGCATAAGTGTCGGCGCGGCCCCACTCGTGCCAGACGTTGCGGTCGACTTTGACTTGTGCCACCTCATCGCCGTCTCCTTCTCCCTCTGCTGAGATGGTGAGGGTTTGATCGCCGATGGTGACGCGCACGCTGCCCTTGAGGACGCGGAGGTACTCGACGTGGTCCTCGTGCCAGTGGAGCCCGCTGGTCCAGGTTGAGCCGACGGGGAGTGTGATGGTGACCTGGCCTTCCTCGGACAGGTCATAGACCACTGCGTTTGGAAGACCTCTTTTGATTATTGGGTTGTCGGTGGAGAAGTTGTTTTCCATCGTCGTGGTGGCAATGATTAATATTAAGTGGGCCGGTCAACAAAGCGGAAGCGCGAAGAAAAAGGAGGGGAAAAGATGAAAACAAACATAAGATGATTGTTTGAGTTGACTAGGGTGTTTGTGTATTAATTGAAAGTCGATGCGAGTTCAGTTTTCCTACGGGGGAATGAATTTTCCTGTGAGTTCGTAGACGTTCAAGTCTCGATATTGATGCTTTAACACCGATGCCTCTGTACGATGCAAGTCACAGGCCCGCATTTGCTGTCAGCCGCGCGTGGTCCACGTGTTATCAGGGTCGACTTAGCGGTTACTCATTTCGGCATCGCCTCTGGTCTCATTGGGTGGTGACACTTGGGGGATGGGGGCCAAAAGGTAGAGTGACCCCGCCCCTGCAAGTCACACTGAGCTTCGTGATGGTGCAGCTGATCAGTCTTGTTGTAGTACTCTCTGTGGTCTCACTTGCAATCATGTTGCGATGCTAAACACTGAAGGGATGTTGTTAAATTCAGGCACTTGATTAGTAAACATTGTGACTAATGGAGAGGTGGGATTACGATCGAAACCTGGCACATATAGGCTCAGCACTGATAGGTACTATTAAGTACGCACCTCACAGTTGCTGATTGCAATGTTAATCTTGTTCTGGCTCAGTCGATACTCTACGTGTTTTGGCCTTCCATCACTGAGAAACAATGACTTCTCTGTACTTTGTAATTCACTGAGTTGAGCATAGGGTATTGCCTTGCTGGATCTCACTGTTACTGAAATGAAAAGATGAAAAGATTCAAGCTGGATCTTTAATAGTTCGTAGATGATTTTTATGGTTAGTAGAAACAGGGTTAGGAAGAGGCTTGAACCCCTCCCCCCCCCACTAGAGCCGATATCCGAGGACCAGAGATACTCGCAAAGACGTACTGCTCAATCATCTCATAGACCGAGAGTGTAGTTTCGATAAAGATGAAAGTGGATGTTGAGGTGAAACTGCGCCAAGACGCCGACCTCAGCCGACTTTTGCGAGACAAAGCGGTTATCACCGTCCGATCTCAACATGCTCAACCTCTCCTTCGGATGTGACCGCCAATCGTAAGTCTCGTCAGTCAAGAAACTTCCGCTTCAATGCTCATAAATTCCAGATAAAGGAGTGATATTCCCTGCTATAAAATGTCATCTGCTTCCGGGATCGCACGATGTAGCCAAGCAATACTAATGCACCAGCCCAACATAGGGCTTGGGAGGAACAGGTCGGATCAACACTATACCAGACTGATTCACTGCACCAACAGGATTTCCATGCTAGTTATCATTTTGAAGCATCGTATGACATATTCCATGCGCTACGAGAAATTCTCCGAGGTAGTCGTATGTTCAAGTGTATCATCAGCTCGAAAACGAGGTGGTTGCTGGTGCTGACAGCATGTAATCAGCCCGAAAAGGCAGTACCGGCAGATAGTAAAAGAACGACTGTTAAGAAATCTTATGAGTATATACTTGTGTGAAAATTGTACGAGAGGAGGCGACAATTCGCTTGAGTTGCTTCAGAGTGTGCAAATACCCCACACATTGAAACAACTGTCCCTGACCGCATCCTCAGGTTCAGTGTAGGGAATCATCTGTGCCAAGTAATGTCCAAGTATTGTCCACTTTTCAGCAGTGTAAGAGGCACTCGGATCTTGCCTGGTAAGGAGCTCCCGCGGTTGATTCAGAAAGCAGGTGATGAATCACAGCAAGATATCATGTCCTACATTCATTTGCAATTCGCAACAAGACAGCTGACTAGAAACTTGAAATCATGAGGCTGTGGTGTAATGACCCCGGACTGTGCGGCATCTTGTCGTCATCTGCGAGTGCCTCTAACCGAGAATGTGGATCGCTAATCTGGTTTTGGCCAACTGAGACTGCACTGAATATTGCCCCAAACTCAGAACCCGGCCGCACGGCCTCGTCTCAATGATGTATCATGAAGAAATTCTTTTGACTCTCTCTGCACTGAATATTTTCCTTGCCAAAACAGAAAAAAAGAAAAAAGTTCAACACTCCAGTATCTGCATGATGCATCGACAGGCCCGAACAAAAGTCTGCAATAACTGTAAAGCTAATATTCAGGCTGAAGGATAAAGATACATCACATAGGCCCCAGGTCAGTCAATGTAGGTAACCCCAGCGATCCCCAGCCTGATGCAATTATGCCTCCGTGATCTGAAGCATCACATATTGATCCGAATCCTACTATACCCCACGAGGCTAAGCGGACTATGCCGCGCTCCATGCGTTCGACATGCCCAGAGGTTTCCCGGTTTTAGGCTGGCACAAGGGCCCGGAGCATACTCGTCTGATGATGTTGATCTGGTCGTTGGCATCGGCGTGTTTTTATCCTTACCAAAGTAACATCCCACTTTTTGACTCTGCCTTGCGTATTCGGGTCTACGCTCAAAGTGTGATAGAGAATATCAGTGCCATCCCTCTCTTTTTACACTTTTGTCATGGAAACGCGGGTACCAACTCAGCCGGTGCCTGGAAGATCTTCAACGTCCCCTTTGTGTCGCCCGGCTCGGCTGACTGGCATTCTTTTAATATTCCCAGCCTGCCGGTTCTAGACGGCACGCATATCTCCTTTTGCCTTGTCATCATCTTTTTAGCCAAATGACACCGAGTCGACCATGCCAATTCCCTTGACGTACAAGAGGAAGAGGCTCGCAGCCGAGCAAGATGAGTTTTCGCTTCTCCAGAAGCAAGCAGCAATGATGGAGCCCGTGGAGCCAGCGCCGTATGGACCGATAAATCGCGTTTTTGGGAGGATGCATCCGACGTTCCGAGGACACTTGGTGGCCATGATAGCTGAACTCCTAGGAACTATCATGTTCCTATTCTTCTCATACGCCGCCGCCCAGATCGGAAACGAAAAGGCTGATACTCTACGCCCAGTGCTGGAGGAGACAGGGCTCAGTCTCCTACAAATTTCGTACATCAGTGCTGTGTTTGGCGTCAGCCTGGGGGTGAACGTCTGGATATTCTATCGTGTCAGCGGAGGCATGTTCAACCCTGCGGTAAGAGGCTCAATGGACTCGATTGGAAATGGTGCGTGTCTTGAGCCGTGGACTGACTAGACGCAGGTTTCCCTGGCCCTTTGGATCGCGGGAGCTTTCGATTGGGTACGCCTGATCTGCGTGGTACCGATGCAATTCGGCGGAGCCATCGCCGCCGCCGGTTTGGTCTCCTTGCTATTGCCAGGACCTCTCCAGGCCGAAAACGCCCTGGCGTCAGGCGCCACGTTTGTGCAGGGTTTGTTTCTGGAGACCATCCTGACCGCGCAGCTGGTCATGACCGTCCTCATGCTGGCTGTCGAAAAGAGCCGGACATCCTTCATCGCACCACTTGCTATTGGCCTGGCTCTATTCATTGCCCACCTCATCGGTAAATGCGGCCTGCAAATCTGTTTTCATTTTGTCTTTCTCTTCAATAATGAATGGCGATATGAGCAGAGAGCTGACTCGTCTTGAAACACCAGGTATCAATTACACCGGCACGTCCGTCAACCCAGCCAGAACTCTCGGCCCGGCGGTCATCAACGGGAATTTTGTCAGTTACATCTGGATCTTCTTCGTCGGACCAGGTCTTGGGGCCATTCTGGCGGCAGGTCTCTACCATCTGCTCAAAGCAATGGGCTATGAAACTGCGAACCCCGGCCAGGATGACGACGGACTGGAGACCTATCGCCTTGTGCGAGCATCGACGCGGCCGACCGTGACGCGAGGAAGCAGCAGTGATGGCGCCTATTATAAAGCATATTTCCAGGATCTCACCTCGCCACCGCCAATGGGAAAGCCACCAAGAAAAGTTACGTATTGATATGGAGGAATGACCCCGGTACGAATGAAAGAAGGATGTATAATGTTTTTTTAATGTAATGATACAAAGCCCAGAGCAATCTGCCCTAGTATAATAAAGATTTAACAATTGACGAATTCCTTGATCTATTTCATCTTACATTCATCTTCGTTCTCTCAAGCCACACCCGGTGAGAATGAGGGGAATGCAACGGCTTGATGCCTGTCCATGTCTGAATGGTTATGAACGACCCTTGGCAACCTCTTGCTCAAGCAGAACATCCTCGCTCGGTCAGTTGACTTTCACGTTGGCACTAGTTGTCAATCTAGTGATCGCCATACCACCTTAAGCCAGAGTGTTTTGCCTGATGGTGAGCAATAACCGTCTCTCAAGCCTCCAACTATTGGCGGTGTACTGATAATTACTCTCAGGTGTGGGGTTTCTTTCCACGAACCCCATACCGAGGAGGGCGGTAGTTCTGCGGTGACCTTTGAGTCCGACGTAATATTTTTGCTCCAGACCAGGGGACAGATGAATAGTATGATGTCTGCATCAAGAGCTGCGTGAAATTTAGATAGGCATGATAATGAAATTTCCTTACCCGTCATTGACTGTTCGTAAGGTTTGTTTCCCCTCAGCTAATGGTCACACTGACATACTCCCTCTCACCTTTTCAAGACTGAGAGTGTATGTTTATTAATGCCATTACTCCAAAGTCTGTTTTGACCTGAATTACTCCAGAATCACATGATGAGGTTTGAGTAACACCTTCAGCTATATGGCATCCACAATCTTCTGCAGGCACTGGTAACGGCCATCTTTTAAAGCACACAATCAGGTCGATCCTCCATGCTTGTCATGACACAACAAGCCCGGAAAATTACCATGCAACAAGCTCTTAAAGTTAAGAGCTCCTACAACCTCACACCATTAATCAGGGCCCCCAATAATCCCCAACCAAACAAGCATTATACCAAGCCAACCCCCCCAACAGGGCACAGGTACCAAAATATCCAAGAGGTCTCCCGACGGACATCGACCCGGGCCTGAACAGCCCGAGCTCGGCATGCAGCACGCGTAATATGAAGAGCCCTCCCAGGACCACGGAGAGGGCAGTGCGGTTTGCCCCGTTTAGCTCAGCCGTGCCGGCAAGGACGAGCGCCAGAGGCACGTTCTCGACAAAATTGGCGTGCGCGCGCGTCGCGACTTGGAGATCGTTGTACCCATTGGACTGCTCGGTCTTCTTAGCCGCCCTCGCTCCCCCGCTGAAGGCGTCGCTGCTGTTCTTTGAGGAGTCGTCGCCGATCCAGTGCTTGTCGCGGACCCGGATCCATACACAGCGGGCAGACAGCCACAGGAGATAGACGGTGAAGGGTAGGGCGAAGCCGCCCGTGACAGCTGTGCGGCATGTCTGTGTTAACCTGTGCCACGAAATCCGGTGAAGGTCTTCTTACTTACGCAGGAGTTTAGCTTGTCCAAGACCGACGGATGAGTTGTAGGAGGCCATTTTCCCGTTGGAGCACTTTATACTGTGGGTCGTCTCATTCATAATTGACTCGGTTGCGACGAAGTTAGGGAGGTAATATACTTAATAGTTGATTACTAGTCTGCTCCGACGGACGACGACTCGCACATGTACCACTACTAGTTGAGGCATACATTTTCAGGTAAGAACTGACATCATCGATCGCCGAGTCTACATGCCCATTGGAAATAGTACCGAAACTAAGAACACACCTGAGAACATCTCACATAGCATTTGCTTCTCCATCCTGACACTGCCGATGCAGGGCAACGTTCATGTGGCGTCTGGGGGCGGCACATCAAGACCATTCTCCCTCTCGGCGACGGGAGCGCAAGGTGTGGTGGTCAAGTACTCCTATTGGACGTGTTTTGTGCCGCGCGACGTTTGGAAGAGGGCGGAATAGGTACAGTAGCGCTCTGCTGGTCTCACGAGCCCACTCTATACTAATATGCGCGAGGCCACATTTAGTCGACATGGAAAAGTGGGAGATGCTATGCGTGGCTTGATGACTCTGTCGCAAATGGGAAGTTTGCTCCGCTCAGGGATGTTGCAGGTGTGCTCATCTGGTCTCACAAGTCATCCTACACAGGTATATACTCCGCTGCTCAGCTCGAACGTCACTCAATATCTAGACTGAGTGCATCATTCAGCCGCAACAACATTGGTCGGAGAAGGTGAGTGTACCGTCTCAGAAAGGAAAAGTTGCTTCCACAGAGCCTTGCAACACATCAGCATTCAATGTATTCAGCTATACGATGGACCGAAGGGAATCAACTAGTCTCACGAGTCGCTAAATAGTGCCATGATGATTTTGTTCTGTCGGGTTGGAATAGGTGAAGGGCGGTAAACGATTCCACAAAGCCCTTATAAGACACTAGAATTTACAGCAGTCAGCGCCAAAATGGCGGTCCCAGGCGCCGACTCAAGATGGGAATACATCTTTCGATTTCAGAATTCTGGATAAAGGAAATGCTCACTCGAAGAAATTATGGAATTGAAGCATTGTGAAGTCAGTCGATTTGATTGAGAGTTCAATAAAGGTACGAAATTAAATAAGGCGTCCTACTCTGATTCCCAGTGCCTTCTCTTAAGCCTTCCATGTTTGGTTGTATTGAGCAACCTGATGCTCCTGAAATTCCATCAAACCATCCCAATCTATGCAGCTGTGCACCACGCCCCAACTCAGCCCATCCTCCCAGTACTCCCTTGGACTTCCTGGTGGCGAGTCACTCTCTAGTGTCATGAAATCGCCACACGTAATGCTCAGCCGAAGATACTCAAAGCAGTGTTCCAAGTGGTCGATCCAATCTCTGTCGATGGGTGTATCGGCAAGGGGTTGCGTGTTCTCTGCGTCGTAGACCAGAGAGTTGTATCTCATGCGGATCATGTGCACGCAGTGCAACTCGTGCAGGTTGTTCAGCACATAAAAGTTGTTGAGATTTTCGAGATCCTGGGCTGCTGATGCAGGGGGTTCGTTGAAAATGAAGAACGGCGCATGAATACCAGGATCTTGGAGGCCATACGATACTGGTCTTGGTACGTAGATTGAGTCTGAAGCTGTGTTGGTGCATTGATTTGTTAGTTCTTATAAGTACCGCGATTTTACAGGGCTTCACTACATATTCTCACCTCTCGTAAGACTCGCCCACCTCGCAGCTGTTTCCTTGGACGGACCCATGTATTCGCGATACGGTATAAAGGGAACATTTCTTCTGTTCGTAAATATCGACATAGGAAGCGGGGTGTTGGACTTGATGCCGAAGTCTTCCAGGCTCGGCCCATTTTTAAGAGTGAATCTGCCGCAAAGATAGCCAAAGACGAGACCAACTCCTAATGCCGAGACCACAGTGAGGACGACAGCTCTCATAGATCTTCTAGGACCAGCGCTAGACAGAAGCGGCGCGTCCATAGGAGAATCATTTTCTTCTGAGGCTCGTAATGGCACTGGGTCATACTCGGCTTTGTTCACGCTGGCCGTCTCCATGACGATGCTACTGCCTTCACAAGTGCTATGGTGAAAGCCTTGAGTTTGAAGGAATGACGAGAAGGAGAAAAGGTGTGCAGCAGATGTCCTGGACGACTCACAAACAGAAAAGCAGCGAAGGCTTGCTGTTGGAATTACCAGAAAATCATTTCACGTACTTACGTGCTTGAGTGCTCATGTCTTCATGAACTTGGACCAGCTCCTTTGCCGCCTTCAACCGTTCACCAACCCTGGCTACCACTATGCCTGGGTCCTTATTTCCCGGTTGATGTGGGATTTTGATACCTTGACAGCCGACTCATGCAGCTTGAGCTTATTAGCGAGGCGTTACCCACTCATCAAGGCACAGCAAGCGAGGCCATGGTCGAGTTGGTGAAATAGTCGGTCAGGGTTGTCTACAGCCTTACATGCACGATGCCATCATGCAGGTACGCTAAGTACACAGTGCTATCGCATGGATCTCAATAAACTTCCGCTCGGCTGGGTGCTCGCCCGCACCGACATCATAGTACCAAGGAATTAAGGTCTTCAAGGGTCATTCACCGCTCCGAAACTATAATATGATCCTATTGATTGGCTGAAGACTGGGGTTTCGAATTATCCTATAAGTGCATATGCACGATGGTTGTGATCATCGGTATTTGATCCTGAGGACTAGATCCTTCTGCGGCCCGGCCGTTGGATTCACTACCTGGGCGCCTCCACTTGAAAAGTAGTTTAGTAGGAGTTGTCTGCCTGATGTCGAGTGGGGACCCTTTTCTTTTGACTCGCTTTGAATTTTAGGTTGTCGCAGTCGAGTGGGGTTCCATCATCACCCTGGTTCGTTCGAACGCCAGACCGGAACTTCAATGGCCTCGGGTTGTGATCGACATTCATAGATAGTCAGGAATCCTAATGGAGTGGACTGGAGCGGAATGGGCCTTCGAAGTTTACAAGTCATGTGGTATCATCGTGGTGCACGAGGATTTCCAAAGCCCTCCCAGCTCAATTAGGCTGATACGGTCGATGGTCTTCACAATCACCTTCACTTGTCCCATTGTTCAAACTACGCGTCAATGGTGCGTCAGTAACGGTATTCATCCAACCAACTCACTGTGCTTCAATCTACACACAACAATAGGCAAGAATCAGAATGGCCCAGGCAGACACGAAATATCAGCCAATCTCTTCAGCAGATCTTGAAGGGGACCAGCCCGTCGGAGAGCCTCCAAGGGCTCGAAAGCGCCTTGTAGAGAGCTGGAAGACAGTGGTCATTGCCATCTTGTCTTTGGGCTGGCTGGCAACTGCAACGGGCTGGTATCGGGCTACGCCTTCAACAGAAGGGCCCCTTCACGTTTACACAAACTCCCCCATCCCGAAGGATGTCTTCAAACCAGTCAAGAAAGTATTCCAGCTGGACGAAAGATATGTTGGCGGAACACCAGAGGCCGAGGTCATGTGGGACAAGCTCGTCGCTGGTGAGTCGATCATACCGCCACCTACAGTTGAGCCAAGAACGAGCATTAACAAGACACAAACTTGTGTAATCTAGGTCACGATGCTGTCTGGCTCGAGAATCCTGCTCAGTGGGGTTTAGGCGAGGGTATTGTGGCGCCCTATGACCACCCCAATACGCCGGATCCCAAACCTCAGGACTTCTACGTCATATCGCTTCTTCATCAGTTGCACTGTCTGGTCTGTGATTCTCCACGACGCATCGTTCACAAGGAACTCGCAGCTAATGAGTAAATTGTAGAATATGATCAGGTTCCAGTACTACCAGGAAAGGAACCGTGTCGACACTTCTGCGGACCCGCAGGCTTTCATGTGGAAAGTACACGTTGAACACTGCTTCGAATACCTGCGTCAAGGCATCTCTTGTGGTGGCGATCTCATCATCGAGGGAAACAGCCCAATTAACGTCGGCAAAGGGCACGCAACCTCGGTGACTGGGTGGGGTGTTGAGCACGATTGTATTGATATTGACCTCCTGTGGCAATTTCAAATCGAGCAAGAGGCCAAGTATAACTTGACTTGGCAAAATGCGTAGAGTCATTGCCAGTTGACAAGTGTGCTCTTGCCAAAGCCTAATGACCGAGAAATTGGTCGAAGGTCATGAAGTTGAGCAACCTAGGGGATAATTAGCGGGGCATTATAGAAGCTTTCGTAACTAAACATGTCAATTCAAGTAAATCCATTGTTGATACCGTGTACGCAAATTTTCGATCAACATTTGATGCAAAGAATTCCCAACACTCTGAGATTTTGGGATCTGTTCAGGCCCGATCAATCCAGATGATGTTCGATTACAATAACGATACTTGGGCCCAATTGTGTTGAAATTTGTATTTTCTAATTGAATTTGGACTGAAAAAAAAATAACCTTCTGTTCGATGCTTTCATAGAACGAGTCTACAGGCCGTATACTCCCAGATCCTGGTCCATTCCAGGCTTCGCAAATGCTTGTCCAGTTATACCGCCAAAAATCTTCAAAACTTTCTGACCGCGGTCCTCGAAACCCAGCCTGCGGAATACTGCCTTGGAACCCTCATTATTAGGGTCGCATAGCCCGAGGACATCCTTCACGCCCTTCTCGCGCTCGACGTAATCCATAAGTGTCTGAGCAGCCTCGGTCGCAAGGCCGCGTCGCATGTACTCGGGGAGGATAGCGAATCCAATATCAGGCGCCGTGTAGCAGTTTGGCGGTTCGCCTCGCATCAAGGAGACAGTGCCGATGGGGGTCCCGCCAGCAGGAGGAGCCACAGCGGCCGTCTCGGGTTTGAGACCGACAAGATAGGTGCCGTAGCCGTTGCGAGCATGCTCTGCTTGAAAACGTCCTGCCAGCTGCTGACGTGCGGCCTCGCGGGTCGTGACAGATGTTGGTTTCCCGCCGATGGATGCGATGAACTCAGGTGTATTCCAGAGCTTGACGAGGAAATCGCAGTGAGCGTCGTTATCGGGGAGGAGGTACGAGAGATAGAGCCTTTCCGACTCGATGAAAAAGTTGGGGTCCGACATAATCAATGTGTAAAGCAAAGCAAGCCTTTCCCGTTGTTGCGAAAGTGTATTTGTGCTTCAATTTCTTGGGAACAAGGTATTTCGTATCTAAGTTGTAGAGGAATGCGAGTTCTTCAGCTGCTGCTGAGATCCTAAATACTCATGGGACCCAGTTATTATGGATATTGCTTAATTGCATATGTGTAATCGAGGATTAGGTGTCATTATGTATTTAGCAAGGACGCCAGGTTGTGCTGTGCTTAGGTATTTGAAGTGGATCTGATCTGGTTTCAGCCGATGGAGGACCAAGGGTTGCACTCGCTTTCTTTTCTGTTTGTACATGATTTGGAGGTCGTGATATCTAAGAAACGTGGCAACACCAGCCACCCTCCTTTTTCCTGGAAACACAAAATTACAAGCAAAGAGGAAAAGAACGGGAAAAGGACAGAGGAAATCGAAGGTTCCCACTGGTAATACTGGAGGCTTCTATTCTTATATTACCAGACGTTCTCTTATCTCACCCGTCCACGAATTCCAGTCTGCTCACTTGTCATCCTCCATGCCGTCGCCGAAGGAGTTTCTGTGACCCGGTGTATGCGTGACCACTCCGCCCTTATACCCAGAGCCATTGACTTTGTCTGACCGATGGTCGTATGCCCAGCTGAAAATCCTCTCAAAATTGCGGCACTGGTGTATCGCGCCCATTCCGTTGATGCCAACAGCAGTCAGCGGCTCAAACGTTGAGTCTCCATTGCACATGATAGCCTGTCGAATAAAGTCCAGACAGTGGTCGCGATGCGCAACGACCTCCCATGGCTGCATGCCCTCCACGGAATCAGGGTAATAGGCGAATCGTAGGAAGTTGAGGCAATGCAGTTGGTGAAACATGGAGACACCATACACTTTGTGCGTGGATGGGTTGTGTGGGCTGGGCAATGAGGCCGGGAGATGAGCGGTGAACTCGTTTGGCAACTCGACGATGCCGTCGCCAGGAGGTGAGAGACGCGTCCACATCTCGTTTGTCTCATTCGATGGCGGCCCGCCGTAGAACTTGTGTGGTTGGAACGTGACTAGCGAGTCATATACCACTGATGATACAGTTTGAGCTTTTGTCTCGACAGGATCGTAACCAAGAATTTTGGTCTATGGGAAACTTACAATCTGGTTCGAAGTGGTCCTGTCTTGGCCCAGAATCACAGCTGAAGTTCTCTAACAGCTTATGCGCGTGCGCCCAAACTGTCAATGCAGAAATAAGAAGTATGATGTTGAAGCACAGCATCAAACAGCCACGACTGATCCAAGACGTCCGTTTCCTCAGTGTCGCCATAGAGACGGCGGAGGAAGGTTCATCTTTCTCGAGAAGATAATGATTGGCCTCATCCATGGTCAAAGAGCTTTGGGAAGAAAGACTTTCTCGACTCATGACCGCGTCCTGTAACGAGAGATAGAAAAGAAGGAAAAATGGTTGGGGGTGGAAGAGCACTGCACAGTGATTAGCAGCGAGATGATGAAGACCAACGAGTGCAAATGCTCTTGATAAGTTATGCACTCAAGCACGCACGGACGAGCTTCGCATTCAAATGTTCTACGATCTGCTCCTTATCGTGGCGCAACAAGTTCTCTTCATCAAACTCTTCATCACTCACGATTACGCCTCGTGATGATTCCGACTTTGCCTGCCAGAACCTAGTTCCATGACTCGTCACTTTGCGACTGGGTAATTTAGTCTAGAGTAGCACTTCACCGCCGGGAACACACACCGCGGTCCCTTTGGATTTGACTTTGCAAGCTTAGGATGGATTGTAATCATGGTCACTTGACCATGTACCCTGATGTCTTAAGAAATCCTGGCGACGTACACAGGCAGACCTAATGTTGGTGTGGATACAGATAGAAGGGGGCATATTGTAGTCTTTGCATCCCTGTCCCTACAACAGAAAACATCTGAGAGCATCCTGAAGCTTAATGGTGCTATTGTAATTACCATTAATGGACTAGTTGCCACTTTTGCAAGGTGAAGGATTGGACCCACCTAGACAAGAGCAGACGTGCACTCGGTTACCCATAGTGCCCAGGTATCATCGTTCTGACTGGGATCAAACAGAGGAGCCTCAAGAAACCCATGTTTCCCTGCTCGTGCCCCTTTTGCTACAGAGTTCAGTGATCCCTCGCATCCTGCTGCTGAATCATGGACAACTTAGGCTTTTTCCCTATATACCGAGTAATTAATAGCAAGAAGCTGCAGCGAAACAGTGCAGCCAATCAAAGCAACGCAATGGTTGCAGGTTAGTGTCTGTGCACCACCGTGTTATCTTTTGCAGTAACACAGTAGCTGGGCTTTTAGGAGCTGATCCTATGCACTGCCCATGAGGCTGGTCCTACCCTGACCTTACGGGAAAGACAAAGAAGGAAAAAGTGGAATGAATTACCTAGTCTGTCTGGTAAGACTGGACTTGGAATATGGTGTTGAAGATCGGGAGGCTTCCTCCTGTTTTTGAAAAAGCCGATATCCCTTTCTGATAGCTGTCGCGGCCTTTGCTCAATCTTGGGACCACCTCATCATTCCTAATCTCTCTAACGAACCATCCAAGATCTTCGAGAACATGGCCGCCAAAGCTGAAGCTCCCAAGTCTCCTAGCAACCTCAGATCTTTGGGGCCTCTATTCATTGTCTCTTGTGTGGTTCCTGTCCTGTTGAAATGGGGAAGCAAGCATTTGTCCGTTCCGTTGAGCACGGGAACCGATGATTTCAACAATGCAACAACAACCATTATACCAAGTGTTCAGTCTGGACAGTTCCTTCAGCCTGGCTCTATGAGCAAGCATGACCAGCTGCGGGCTCAATACGCGGAGTCTTGTCCCGATCACCGGTTCAAGACCAAGATATTTTCATCGGACCCTGTCATTATGTACCTCGAGGACTATCTGTCTCAGCCAGAAATCGAGTACCTCATTGCCACGGCAGATCCATACTACCAGCAGTCGCCTGTGTCCAAAGGACATCAACTGATGGCCTACGACTATGAGATCCGCTCTTCCATGTCAGCTGTCCTCCCGGACGACCCTGTGGTACGCTGTATTGAGAAGCGATCTGTCGACTTTCAAGGCTTCATGTCAGTCAAGCATCTTGAGGATATTCAGGTTGTTAAGTATGAAGTTGGGGACCACTTCCGGCCGCACTTTGATGTGAGTTAAATCAGTCTCATCCTCATCCTGATCTCACCCAGCTTAGCATTAATCGTTTTCATGCGAAACTAGTGGTTCGCTGGCATGGACAACCCTCGGCACTCTACCATCTTCGTCTATCTTTCCTGTGACTCTGGTAGACCGGAGGAGACGGAGCGCGACAACATTGGGCAGTGCAAGGGCGGAGCCACTCAATTCCCTCATTACGAAGGCCGTTTCCCGTCTGGCTGGTGTGGTCTCATTGATTGTCACGACAACAGCGGCGCTGGAGGGGTGGGCTTCAAGCCCATTCCTGGCAATGCAGTCTTCTGGGAGAATTATTATTCCAACGGCACAGGACATCCTGGAGTTTGGCATGCTGGGATGCCTGTTACAGAGGGCAGAAAGCTTGGGCTCAATATCTTCACGAGGAAGAATCCGCTATATTAGTTATTTACTTGTCACTGGGGATAGTGTTTCGTAGAGTCTCTTGAACTTCGAGAAATTGCTTTTCACTCTGTTTTTTTCTACTATCAAAAATAACACAACCATAGGAAACGCGGTTCATGAATGTTGTCTGAATGACATGCGTAGATCTTGCATGATCTAGCATAAAGCTTAACATTACCAAATTACCCTGTGCCAGTATACTCGATGACAAGGCTTGGCACCTTGGTAGAAAGATTAGATGCTGACGAGCGATGCAATACGACAGTACTTTTCGATTCACTGAAGGAGTATTATCTGTCAATGGCTCCACTTTGACGGTTTCTCTGACAAGTGGAGTCCTTGCAATTCCCCAGACTATCATATCCAAAATGCCGCACCGGTCTCGTAATCGCTTGGCTGCTGCGCCCCCCGCAGGGGGTCGCTGATACTCAAGCCGTGGGTTCTAAGGGTGTGAATGGAGCCACGTGGTCCACCTGGGCGTGACGGATGCCGACTGCGATCTGCAGAGGAAGATTTCCTGAATCCTATGAATCGTACCAAGACCCCTAGCGATGCCCAGCTTGAGATCCTACGCCCCCGGCCCTTCCCCACCGTACTGGGTACCGATTACTCGGGATTTCTTCACTAGTCGTCTTTTACAGAGGCTCAAGAGCTACGCAAGCGAGGGCATGTACCGTAATAGGATTTGGGCCCCGGTAGATGGGTGTGCACAGGTTTTTTAGTATGGGGCTCTCCACTTGATCTCACAGTGCTTGCATGCGGCTGAAGTATGCATTATTGCTGCCTTGAACTCACTTTTCAGAACTTGCGACCTCTACACATGAACTCCCATCCTCAGCCCCCCCCCCCGGTTCCCCTTTTTTTTATTAATTGGAAAATCAGCTTCGTAGCGCAGCTGGCTACTCAACCATTCTGTATACCGATGCGACTTAGTGCTGATTTGATAGCATGCGCTCGAGCTTTGGTGCCGGCTTTGCGGACAACTCTGGGGCTGGGCCTGGTACGCTGATGTGGAATGATCTTCACAGCCCTGGAGTTCAGTTCTTCTGACGAATCGATCCTACGCTACTCAGTTTTGCAAAAGCTTGTATCAATTGACCACGGTGAGCGCTGCATGGCCGGATCGGCTGTTAGCCAAAGCTTATATTAGTGGGCTACGGCGAGTCCTGAATAGCGACGTCGGCGATAAGTCCAAGGAATAGTCACTGAGGTCAAGGATAACCATGAATCAATCACTGTCTTGACGTGCACGCTGAGAACAATATTGGAGTTCTAATGCGCTCCGTCTAATCATGGACCATGTCAAACCAACACACCGCTTCAAGTACAGGTCAGCTGTAAATTGAGGGAAGGTCCCCGATCCACATTGCAGTTGACGTTCTGGCTTTGATCTAGGCAAGATCTTCACGATCCGTCCGACTTGAATAGGTGGTTAGATATGGAATTTGATCCCACGCGTCGTCTGGCTTTGAACGATTGGGCCACTTGGATGATAACGACGGTAATTTCGGACCCACCACCGGTCAGCATATCGTCCTTGCCCAAACAGGCAGATGGGCGCCTCCTCCTTGTAGAGCGAAGTAGAATGTTTCGAAGATAGCTGCACGGTAATTTGTGTAAGACTCACGACAGCAGCGTCACTGAGTCGTGGTGACCGTGCGCGATTGTGTCCATGGAGAATACGAGAGGGATCATGACGGCTGTCTCCTGTGGAGGATTGTATCCTAGGTGAAGACTCAGGGCAGATGGCAACAAAGGAAATCAGCTTCATGCCGAGAAAAGGTATAAAGAGCGCGTTCATTGCTGTCCAAAACATCTCTCTCGCTAACAACCCACATCAACACTCTTCTCAGCATCTCGAATCGAATTCTCTTGCTCAAGCCTCTCTGCTCAGCTCCAAACTGCACGTTTCTAGTCTCGTGAGTTATAACCCAGATACAAACCCAAACTCCATGAGCTATGCTGACCTTTTGAAATACCTAGACCACGACTTTTCCAATCAGTGAAAATGAAGACCACTCTCATTACCATTGGCGGTATGCTGCTGCCTGCTCTGGTGGCCGGTGCTGCTATCGATGTCCAGAAGCGTGAAGAGGATGCCCCAGCCTATGTTTGGTATGTCCTTATTTCGTAACTTTGTCAGTAATTACGCAACTCTCTGACAATCACTCTTTACCTTCAATAGGGCCAGCGTCAACAAGGACAAGCGCGAGGAGGCTGCTCCCGCCTACGTCTGGGCTAGTGTGAACAAGGAGAAGCGCGAGGAGGAGGCTCCGGCCTACGTCTGGGCTAGCGTTAATAAGGAGAAGCGTGAGGAGGATGCACCCGCCTACGTCTGGGCCAGTGTCAACAAGGACAAGCGCGAGGAGGCTGCTCCCGCCTACGTCTGGGCTAGTGTTAACAAGGAGAAGCGTGAGGAGGAGGCACCTGCCTACGTCTGGGCCAGCGTTAATAAGGAGAAGCGCGAGGAGGAGGCACCTGCCTACGTCTGGGCCAGTGTGAACAAGGAGAAGCGCGAGGAGGAGGCCCCGGCTTATGTCTGGGCGAGCGTTAATAAGGAGAAGCGTGAGGAGGAGGCACCGGCCTATGTCTGGGCCAGTGTCAACAAGGAGAAGCGTGAGGAGGAGGCGCCTGCCTACGTCTGGGCTAGTGTCAACAAGGAGAAGCGCGAGGAGGAGGCACCGGCCTATGTCTGGGCCAGTGTCAACAAGGATAAGCGTGAGGAGGAGGCCCCGGCTTATGTTTGGGCGAGCGTCAACAAGGAGAAGCGTGCGGATCAGACTGAGCAGTAAATTGTGATGAGGGCCTGTTAAGACCGGAACCTGTCCTTTTCATGCTGACCATACTATAATTCAGTTGTCAATTTCGTTATTGGTATAGATGACTGGGAATACGATGACCTCCAGATTCAATACCATTAGGAAAGTCATTCCTTGTATACTCGATCCATTTGATTATCTTATATTTCAGCTCCTCAAACAGCTCTATCAAAATGCCACAACATGCCTTGGATGACACTGAGCCGCTAAAATTGCCATTCGGGTGCTGTTGATCGCCGACCATGCTAATTACAGGCTTGAAACTTAAGATGGCGACCCTTTCCATTCAATATTACTTTAAATGCTACATTACAAAGTTTGGTGTTCGTTGCGCTCAAGCCAAGTCCGGGAGTTACCGTATGAGTATCACTTATCAACCAAGGGTAGTGGTGCCGGGCCAATACAAACAATTTCACTATATAGATTATGCCATAACTACTCGGAGAGTGTTATTGCATATCTGGACAGTATTGAGCTTGGAAAACAAAATAGATGTAACGTGTTAATCCTGATTCACAATTGTGCTATAGCTACCCCACAGTCAAGTCGCACATTGCTGTTTCTGACTGCACTCTTATTTACATCCATCTAGGCAATTCAAGGTTATGCTACCGAGGCTCTCCTAGCACTGCCGATTGATCTTGGCCCAGGTCTCTACATCATGCAGCTCGCAGATTCTATCCATATTAGTGAGAAACCCCAACTCCTCCAACCGCTCGCAGATCCCAATCAGATCCCTCGATTTCGAGACCCAGGGCACGTGCTGCAAAAGTCTTACGTCTTTCTCCCTTTCTGCGTGGTCTTTTTCATCCCATAAAGGATCGTACTGAGTCCAAGATACAATGATTTCTTCCAACTCGTCCCTCAAATCATTGCCGATGTGGTCCAGTTGCTCTCTTGCGGCTTCAAACCATTCTGGCTCTCTCTCGTAACTCATGAAGTTAACTTTGCCTAGCACACGAATAGTCCTGTTGTTGCACCCCTTGGCCGGTATACCGGCAAGAGACTCTGGGATGGCTCCACATCCCGTCTCTTCGCTGAACCGCGGGTACCTGTGATGCACGATAGACAGGAGCATGTCCACGACTGTGTGTGCTGGGACACAAGCAAGCAGGGCAGAATCATAAGTGGAGAAATCTTTCCGAATGGAAAATCGGGAATTAACGAACATTCTCGTAGCCGAGCGAGAATGACCTTCATAGGTTGTGCTGAAATTGAGGGGGACCATATCGTCGAGTCGCGCACCGCTGAAGACGAAAACATAGACAGTGCCCAACATGTTCGCAAGCTTTTGCGGTCCTGGATTAAGGTTCCATGCCACTTGCATCACGTTCGCCAAATAACATGCGAATGGTGTCTCGACTTGGGCGTACTGCCGAATCCACCTTGCTGGTGAAAATAGGCTTCCACGCCAATTGGGGTCAGCACCCTCTTTCAGCAGGAATTTGATCGATTCCAGCTGCTCGGCCAGGGGTGTTCCATATTTACCGACGAAGTAACAAGCATTGAGGAGAATCTCGGATTTCCCATCGTTGCTGACTTTCTGCCCTTCGACTCGATGAAGAAGGTAGTCCTTCCCACAAAATTCGGCAACGGTCTTAAGAAAATTCGATCCACCACAGATTCGTGCGTAAGAGGTATTTCCAGTGACGAGCCGACCTGAGTCGCAGCGCTTCTTCCAATAGTCGAGGGTTCGGAACCACTCTGCCGAAAGCACATCGTTGATGCCGCCACGAATTTCGGGCGACACACGCAGTCCCAGCACTTCTTGATCCAGGATTGACCTTCCGGTGTGTTTCATACAATAGAGCTGACCCTCTGCCAAATCTGCCCGGAACAGTCGAACAAGGAGAGACATGTCTGAACTCGAGTCGTAGCTCCTTATCTCCTTACCCTCAACTGTATCCAGAAGGAAGTCCCGAGCAGTTCTATGGATGAACCGTATGTATTTGGTGCTGAAAGGCAATAGTCTGTCATATTTAGTCCCATACCAGCTCCAAAGGACATCGCGAGCAGAGTCTTTGGGGGAGATCTCAACAAGCCCGAAACAATAAGCAACAAGTGTTCTTTCGACTTCCCTGCACTTCTGCAGCAGGATGTTTTCCGAGACTAAGTTCTGAGGCTTGTCGATGGCACCCAAGATTGGGTCCGCCAAAGAATTTGAAGCGAACATCATACGGAGTAAGCTCAAGTCCTGAAGGCGGAGGACGGATACGTATCTTCCGTCTTGATTTAGCTGTAGCAGCCGAAGATAGAGTGCAGCAGTCCGACGATATCGTTGCGGTTCGTCTTGGCAGGATCTGTTCCACATATCCACGTACATTTTCTTGAGATCTCCTGGTAAATGTCCGATTCTTTCCCGGATAGTGGCCATGTTGTCTCCGTACTCGAAGCCCCTGTTGATGTTCCTGACGGCAAGGACTAGCCATAAGAAAACGCCTTCGGCCTTGCTCACGAGTGAAGCAATCAATTCAGGTTCGTCTAGGGACCCGTCGTCTTCCTGCTTGTTATCAACAAAGTCCGCTGGAAACTGAATATGATCTTTGGCATACTGTGTCAGATCGTTATGAGTGAGATCCTGGAGCCGAAGCTGGGGATGAGCAGCCAGCCGTCTTTTTAGCAGGGGCTCCGGTCGGCTAGCGACGCAGGTTTTTGTGTTCCTGCTCTCGGATATTTGCTCAACCAAGTCAATCAACTGTGCAGGCCCATCCTGGGGATCCAGTTCATCGAGCCCGTCAAGAAAAATACACATTGGACGGTGATAAGACTTGATGACTCGCATTATAATAGAGCCGAGTTCAGAACGAGACCAGTCTGTATCTGCATCCTTGGTTTCTGACCCAGGGACATGCGAGAACACATGTTGAAGGGCCGCATCGCTGTTCTGTAACAGCTGGTATAGCAGTGAGCAGAGTAAGCCTTTGATGTTTTGCTGCATAGCGGTGCCTGGACGCCAGAAGTAGTGTGAGATAATCAATGGCTCTGGGGACCAGATGCTGAGATATTCTCGCGTTTTCTTGTGTCCCATAATGTATTTCATGAATGTCGTTTTCCCCGAGCCAGGCTTTCCAATGATCCAATACATGTTGTCGGTAGAACGTAGCCAGTTCGAAAAGCTGTCCCACTTGATCGCCGGTAAGCTTGTGAGATCGGCCTGCATCTCCTCTGATGAAGCACCTGTGCTGTAACTTTCATCATCCGAATCCGAAATAACTTCTTCAGATTCACTGCTGTCGGATTCGGACTCATCTCCATCACCCACAAAGACCCACTCAAAAGTGTTCTTGTATGCTTCCGTTACTTGATTTCGGCGCTCGTTAAATCCTGGGTATTTCAGACTTTGGAGCAGACGCTCGCGCTTGACGTCATTCATCTGAATGTCTGCCTTGAGAGCCAGTCCGTCTAAAGTCTGCTGGGCGTTTTGAATAGCTGTGTTCGTAAATTTGGATGTAGTGGAGGTGTGTTCCCTCGTAATCAGAGCTTCTCTGGAAACTAGCTGGTCGGTATTATGATTTCCTCTCTGGTACTCCTCGACGAATGAACGCAGGTCTCTCTTGACGTTGCTTAGGTTCAGCTCGGCTGCGTGTGTGCTCGACCTGTATAAAATAAAGGGTATTTAGAGTCAGTGAGGTGAAACGAGACTAATGACGAGTGCAAGCATAACGTCTTACCATATCTGGGCAAGTAGACCAGTCTGCATCAACTTCTCTGTACCATCCAAGGTTGTCTGCAACCTTTCCAAGCGTCGTCGACGCCAGTTCGTCTTGGCCACGACCTTCAGAGTAGAAGCAAGGGTTCCCTGCTTCGCGTTGCCGACCAAGAAACGAATCTCTTCCCTCAGATCTCGTGCGGCGGAGAAGCACTTGTCGACAGCGCCAAGCAGCTGCTCTTCGAGCTTCGAGCATTTGGCAGGGCGCATGCACGTTTTAACCTCTTGTGATATTGACTCTAGGGCCGCTGCCTTCCCATCGAGTGCCTTGTCCGGTGATTTACCTTGATACACAGTCTTGGCGAGGTCGATTGTGTCGCGACCGACTTCAATGAGTTGCAGGATGTTGCACACCAGGCCCAAGGCCACCAGTGGCTCCATGCCTGACATGCTGTGCACGTATATGCCAGATCCAGTAGCAGTTGAAATGGTGCCGTGTAATTATGTCACGCTTATGCCGTCAAGTTGAGCAGCGTGGCCGTTCAATTTTTGAGTTAGAAGCGCGCAGGAGTGGTAAGTTGCCATTTGGCATTCGAAGACGGAAAGAGGGGCATAAATCTGACAGCACTGGCAAAACGACGATCCAATCCTACTGCTTACTTAAGTATGCAAGTCAGCCGCCATTAGCGCTACCAACAGTAGCAGTTACCGTGGCTGTGTTTGCAAGTGAGCTGCATACAACCCTCATTTAGACGTGGGCGCGCGAAGTGGCACAGCCTGTCAACAGATGCAGCCAAAATTTTGGCGCGTTTGAGTCATCGAATGTAAGTGAATATATAATTATACTATTAGCCTCAAGCCCTCTCAGGGTTGGCCAAGTCTGTCTCATTTTCATGAACAGATGACAACTAGCTCCTGATAGCCTTAGTGATTTCATCTAGGTGCTGCCTGCTTCTAATATTGTTTTGTTCCTGTGACCTTCTTAATGGGCAAGCTCTTGCTTGGAGAGAGCCCTCACCCGAATAGCATCAAGGATAAGACTAACCGTATGTTATAAAATTTGCTGAGTTAATAGTCCTCTCTCCGAAAACTAGGCAGTATGAGCTGAAAGACACAGAGCTCGTCCCAATAAGCACAACCAAAACTGCAGAATAAGTCGCAGTCGCCACCAAAATATCAACGTCAGATGTCTTCATCGCAAAGGACAGCGCACAAGCAAACACAATCATACATACAGACGAAGTGATCAGGCTCTTAGTTGGCGAGGGGTTTACCGGGTGATACACATCGGCGGCACCAGGACAGCGACAGTGATCAGGAAAATGAGGAGCCGGACGAGATTGTCTACCAGTGGCGAGACCTCAGCGGGTGGTTTTCCGTCCCCGAACTCCTTGCTACGGTACAGGCGTTCCTGTGCTGAGCACGAGAGCCGACGGGGGAGGCAGTGCATGAGCTTGTCCCGAACGATGTCTGTCACAGGATTCTTGGCGTTATCGTGCAGATAGTAATAGTGTGGTTCAAACGGCTGGTTGGACCTGTATGATGTGGTGATGGAGCTAAACTCGAGCTTAAGCCGTTTTTTCCGAGCCTTGGTGGTGTGAGGATCCATGCGTTGGGAAGAGTGGACGTAATTACATTTGCGCGGCGCATTTGCGAGGGTCTAGGTCAGGGCAAGTGATACTAGAAGCCGGAAGGCTGTCTGCGGAGAAGCCGCTGAAGGTCTTCGTTGAGAAGCTTGCTCAAGTTTTGTCCGTTGAGGACTCGACCTTGTTTGCGGTGGATGACTTCTCTCATTACTACGATTTTATTTTGAATCCGGACAATGTTTAGGCGGTGGAGAAACTCGAAGCCAAAGCAGTGAAATATCTCCTGTTGGCGTACCTAGGTAGGGAGTAGTTGACACAATTGAGCAGTTCGGTATCGTGGAGAGACTGAATTTAGGCTTAATTTCAAGCTCGACTTCAAATATGACTAAGTTAGGAACAAGCAGTCCTGCTATCCACGTCATGGACATGTGTAGCGGATGTCAGTCTCAAGCTGAACGCTCAGTGTGACATACTTGAAGCATGTTTTGCGTGTTTTTGAGCAGCCTGAAAAGAACAAAAAGAAGGAAGGCACTCTGGGCTTCATAATGGGTCTGAACCATGTGCCAGATTCGGAGTCCCGTGACAAACATTGTCGCTTGCCGGAGTGGAAATCTTGGCACGGCCACCTGGAGTTGGCATCGGTCATGAACGAGATAAGAGAGAAAATCCAGGAGGTACTTGAAGGGGCAGTCAAGGCTCGAGATTCCCATCTTAAGGCAGCCTGCAACATGATGGATGAAGTCGTACTTACCTACTTCTTAGGATGGAACCATCCAAGTGACTGACAAAGATGAAGGCGATATCCTTGTGCAGAGGATGTTCAGAGGTCCCAATGAATATGAGGAAGATGATATCTCTGTTCTCACAGGCTGGCAAAAGTAGTGTACTGAAGGCATCCTGTGAAGGATGATGGTTAATTAGCAAACCTAGCACCGAAGAGAATGGGTGTGCTCAAATCAACCCTTGTCCCTTTTACCATATTATTGTGGAAAATGCCTGGCTCTATCGTGTCTGATGCGTTGTCTATTTGTACGTGTCTAATCATTAGGTACGAAGTATCCAATCTCGATCGAGTTCTGAATGGCAGAGGAGCCATTTCAGGCCCACCACTTCGAAGTGGACCAAGACTCGTCGAGTTCAAAGGATACATCAAGTGTATTCCAATCCATTTGTTGTGCGTGTGCTCAAGTCTTGGTAGAACCTACATTTCGCTCAAGATCTGTATCATCTCTCATATCCTTCTTGGCGATGAATATCTCAAGAGAGCTTCGAGCAGTGGCGCATGTGGTATATGGATGTGGTTCCGTGCCAGGTACGAACTGGTCAGTTGAGCTGCTGGTTGCTTGTTTCGCTAGTGATTCCCCCCCCCCCCCCCCCACAAGTCATGGTCTTAAAGAAGACTCTTGACTTGAGACGAAAGCACATTCGTCCTAGAGCCTGAGAGTTCATACACCCGGGTGCGGGCTGGTGCTCGTAAATCCTGCAGGTGTGAAAGGACTTGGCAGCGGGAGGCTCGCAGGTTTCCGTCCGTAAATGATATATGCTGTGACGATGTGTCAGGGAAAACGATGACCTGAAGAGCTGATGCTGAGGCCAGCACATCGGGATATATTGTGGTCGACTTACAAGGCGAGTAGACGCGCATTGTCTTTTGCGTCAGACACTGACAACACTGATCCTGAAAGCCGGGTATCTCCTCCAGCGGCATCCCCCCGGCATGAAGAAGCTTCGTCGTGGCCCGCACAAGCTTGATGAGGTCCAGGCAGACCCAAGTTCCCATCATCCGATCGTGAGGGTCAAGCGGCCATGCATTGATGGGCGCCAGGACTTGTCTTTCCACGACATCAGTGAAACCTAGCTCGGTCATCCAGCGCTTATACTTGCGAGGGGCCCGGAAATCCCGTCCGGTCGCGGCTCCACCAGCTATGAGCGTCTCTATGAATCTACCCAGGACTGAAGCCTGCAGATTCTCCTCGGCACGGCCATCCGCGCCGAGGAATTCACACGACCACTCTTGAAACTCTGCCCACCCGCCCGGGACGAGGTTGTCGTATACTTTCTGGAGCATCTCTTTGTGGTCATGGAAACAGGATACCATTAGCCTCCAGTGGATGAAATCGAATTTGATGTCGAAGATCCACTCTTCCTCGCTGTCCTCGCGGATAAATAAGCAGTTTGGCGGAAGATTATGTCTGGGCTGAATCATGCTGATATCGGTTCCAATCACATTCGACGTGGGATGCTCTGCTGCGAATTGCAGAGCCCATATACCTGTGCCAGTTCCTATATCGAGGACCTGGGAAGGGTGTCCAACAGGGGCGAGGTAGAGTCTTCCACCCAGCCGCAGCCTCCACATATTGTGTTGCATGTCCAGACGGTCTTGCTCGTCCTGACGCCATAGTCAGCCCGCTGCCCAAGTTTGCTATGCTGTAGGTTAATGGGGATCTGTAAGTACCCCGTCGTTAGGTAGGAGGTATTCTGTAGGGCAAGTCAGTCATTTGAGACAGCAGATATGTCGTGATCCAATGCCCCCAAACAAAAATTGAGAGAAGGAAGAGGGAAACAGAATAAAAAAAATGACTTGAAAACAGACAAGCACAGCGATCAATTACTTACTTCCTTCTCGATATGCATTCCACTGTCTTCCATGCTCTTCAACTGACAGTGCGTCAGGTATAGTTTCTCCCCTGGACAGGTTGTTAAGTGTGGAGCCCCATGGGATTGCCAGATTGAAAACGGTCAAGGGGTTTCCTCACGTGGATTGCCTCCCGGTGCTCCCGCTCTCGCTCCCAGAAACTGATTTGCGGCTGGATGATGGCGATGCCATTCTGGGTGACACACTGTGCGAGGCCGCGCGCAGTAGATTTGGCCAACTCTTTCGAAACCTGTGAGAGTGAATTGAGTGAATAAGTAGAGGACAGAAGAAAGTCCGTCGGCCGAGTGGCCAGGGCCTGAAGGCGGACCTCCTCGACCAACAAGCGAGACTTGGGCGTACGCAAGCCTGACAGCTTTTTTTCTTTTTTTTTCTTTTCTTGAAACTAATGCCGGCAAATGAGGTGTCCCCGCGGTCCACCCGTTGAGTTCGGCGCGTTGCCCTTCAGGGTATACTGGGCCCTAGATGCCGCTGCTGAGTGGCTGGCATGGGCAAGATTAGTGGGAATAACGTTTGCGTTAAGTCGTATTACCCATTAGATGTACCAGAATGGTATGCAAGTCGCTTATGCCGCGGACCTCACTAACAAGCCTCTGGTTTCCCGTCTCTACACATGCCTAGCCGAATGGGTAGGCCCAGTCCGAATTGGTAACCATCGTACGATATCATCTGCCTATTAGAAGAAGTTAATGGCCAACAATCCCCGCAACATTTCCCCACGTCTTGTCCCGGAGATATGGATCGGAAGATTCCCATAGCAGCTTTACTGTACTGAGATCTTCCATTCCAGTGGCCACCATCCAGTCTAAGATTCTCGGAGCATTCATCCAACGCCCCACTAGCCACCAATCATACTCACTATGGGTTGGAGTACATACTTACGTAGTGATAATAAGTGCCTGTCAAGGTTCAAGAATCTGTGTAAGATCGTTACGGAATGTTCCATTCACATGACGAAGGGGTGAGACCTTACCTACAGGCTCACATAGAGAAGGTGAAGAATGGAGAGAAAAGAAGAGGAGAAAAAGATTTGAAGAAGAAAATTGGGGGGGGGGGGGGGCAGAAAGAGAGGTGGGGAGAGTTAATTACCATATGAGTCGAATAAAGAGTGCCAGAAAAAGTATGATCGTTGATCGTTGTACACATGAGATCTGATATTTAAATGTAGGGCCCTGTCCACGTCATGACTTATCACTGTCCTTGTAGGAAGCCCTTTAGCTGTTGGTCTATCAGCCCTACCAACCCGATTCGTTGGGGCTGGGAATTGAGGAGGTGTGGACGGGTACAGGGGGTTTAGGGGTCCTGGATGAGCTAGAGCCAGGCCTGATTTTGTCGCTAACACTCGTCAATATGCAGAACGTACTTGCTACGTGAATTACGTACGCGACTAATTGAGCACTTAGGTACTTTGAAGTACTTGACCCCAACCCGCGCGGATGCCTAGAACGAAGCACTTGGATTCTTTAAATTATCTTCCTCCATACAGTCTTTTGCATCAGAGTCATCATCCTCGTGACCCTTTGCTTTTTTGCAATAAAACATGAATTACAGTCTTTCGACGCGTCACTGCTCGCGCATACCAATCTGAAGTGAGCAGTTAATTCAGCCCACCGGGAACCTACTACGAGCGCTGAAGACCGCTTTTTACCATATCAAGTTCCACTTCTTCGATTTCTGATCGCAGACACACCTTCCTTGAGGAAATGTCGACTTTTGACGGAGTCATAAGGGAATTTCCTGGAGTCAGAGGTACTCTCTTGGTCCAGTTCTTGTGGGTTTGACCTGTTCACCTCGCTAACTAGGACTTAATTCCTGCACAGTGGACTTCTTTCGTGGCATTGCGGGCAATGCCCCTCTGGTGTGTTTCCTCAGTCACATCCATAGTGACCACCTGGCAGGGCTGGACACATATAAGGGCCGACCGTATGTCCACAGCGCGCGCGGCGCATGCCCCAATGTAGTGAAGTCCAGGTGATGACATCAGAACACAGCGTTTACTGCTCAGCCGCCACCCGAGCCATGCTCCTGAAGCTTCAGAGATACTCATCTCGGATCAACTTCCATCAAGGACGGCTTGAGAAGGAGGAGATCACATACAAGCACCAAAAGAGGAGGCTGGTATGGAGACTTCTGGGAAAGCTGCCGCTAGATTGCCCGAGCTAATGACGATTCAGAAATCGTTGCCTCTCGATACACCCACAGAGATCGAGCTAGAACCTGGTAACATCATATGTGTTACCCTCTTCGATGCTAATCACTGCCCCGGTGCTGTCATGTTCCGTAAGCTCACACCCCCACCCCCTTCATCTTCCATGTCCCTGTAATCATTGATTGACTTGTCAGTCTTTGAGGGAAATGGCAAAGCAGTGGTCTACACGGGAGATATCCGGAGTGAGCCGTGGCACGTAAACGCCATTGGACGAAGTCCCTGCATGGTTGAGTATTCCTCCGGCCTCAAGTCACTTGACAGAGTTTATCTAGACACGAGTTTTACCGAGGACCTAGTCTTTCAGACGAAAGCCGAAGGACTCCGCGAGCTTATCGAAAAGGTGGCACAGTATCCCAAGACAACCAAATTCTATTTCTCGGCCTGGACTTACGGCTATGAAGAGGTCTGGATCGCACTAGCCAAGGCTCTGGATACTCGGGTGCGCTGTCTCTTTCCATCGCTCTATCAAAATTTCCTACTAAACTGGATTCACTCATAGATTCACGTTGATGACTACAAGCTCAACGTCTATAAGTCTCTCCAGGTCCCACTTCAGGATGGCCAATACATGCACCTGAGTCCTGAAGCTCCGGCGCTAACTGGATTCACATGCGGGAATCGATTTCAGCCTGGACTTTTGACAAGCGACGACGCTGTTCGATTGCACAGCTGCGAGAAGGGCACGCGTTGTTCGACCATGGCTGATGGGAGAATAGTCTACATCACCCCGATTGTTGCCCATCTGACCAGCACCAGTGATATGGCCGAGATTGGCATCGGCGGTGGGGCTGGTGATCTTGAGCAAAACGAAGAGTTGGTTCTGAGCCCCGAAGACGCTCGTATTCTCCTTCAGAGGTATGCATCATGCGATTTGTCAATTTAGCCGAGCTAACAAGAGCAGCGTCGATACGAGCAAAAACCTATCCCCAGATCTCAAGTCGTCACTGCCGAATTTCCTCCTGAGTGCGGCATCGGGACAGCGCCCGGTCACTCTTAGCCTTCCTCGATCAAATACCGAGGAAGTTGAGAGTGATGAGACAGACCTGCAAAGGGCGCTGGCATCACTCACCAAGGCTTCAGATGAAGGCCGGGGAAGAGAAGCAGCCAGCGCTCTTCCCAACAGGATCAGGTTTCCTTATGCGCGTCACTCCTCCTACCGCGAGCTTTGTCATCTGCTCCAGGTCTTCAGACCTAGGGACGTCTGGCCCTGTTCTGTGAACTCTGTGCGCTGGATCAAAGAAGGTAAATTGATGTGCTAATGATCCCAACCGACCTCGTTTCCTGCTAAATAATTGTCATGATAGGGATCACCATCCAAAGACTCTTCGGTGACTACTGCACAGGCGAAGTCTTTCATCATGACGAGTACATGGCCGAACTGGCCGCGACATTGGATATAGGAGAGCCAGAGCATTCTAGTCAAACAACGACTGATTCTGGGGCGGGTCAAGAGACCGTACCTGGCCATGCAGGGCCCAAGGATAAGTATCACAGTCAAGAGACTAGTTCCCCGCATCCGAGCGCAGTCGACCTGACTGAGCAGAGAACGCGAGCACCTGGGTTTACTCAAAGCCAACCGCAGGTCATAGACCTGACACACTCAGACGAAAGCCAGGGTGCAGAGACGCAGCAGCGAGGCTCGACTCCAGCCAAGAGGTCCTTTGAAGAGTGTGGCGAGGACCCTGGCCAAGAAGCAGGCTTACAAGAAAGTTTCGGGGATTCCAGGCATCTCCTTGACTCCCAAGAAAGCTCCATCTCCACTCAGACGTTGGAGACTCGACAGGTCGCCTTTAACTCCATGCTTGGTCTTTCGGCTGATTGCGACTGGCCTGGTTTGCTCTCGACAACGGACAATCACATTCACGCCGAAGCCGAGCTCGGTGACCCACCGTGAAACAGCCTTCCAAAAGCTTAGCAGTCATGCCCACCGCCCATAACGGTGCCGCTCATCATGGGATATCCATATCTACAGTACACTATGCTATCCCCGCAAGCTTGGCACATGTCAATCCAGTTGGTACCCTCTGCCAAGCGCGCACCAGGCCAAGATTGAACTTCACTGATAGGGCCGCTAAAAGGAAATTCTGGGGAAGGGGAGCCGAATCCACTCTGGAGTTATTCATGCCGAGGAGGACGACTAACGACGGCTAAGTTTGATTCTGGGTCTTGCTGCGGCCAATATCTGCATAGTACCAACCCTGGCTAAAGGATGATCTCGTATACATAAATAAAGGTGCAGATGAGGGACCCGATCTGGGCTTTCTCTTGTCCAATACCAGAGATTAGACTTGTGATCTGCAGTCACACAGTTTCGCTATACCACAGCATCAAATAAGGTTCCCAAAGGGTGTTTGTCGTCGATCACTTATTAGAACCTCGTTGCCGCAATTCTTCCCATCCGACTACCTGAATCTCCTTTCTGTTCGGTGTCATTGCTTCAAACTAAAAAGAAAAAGACGGGATTTGACAAAGCTCATTCTGCATGATGGCTTCGCAATGGAAGGTTGCTACGGCAGCATTGCTCTTGGCTGGTTCAAGTCTCACTGTTGCTCTGCCCAGCCTACCTGACCTCGGCTCGTCGCCGTCAAGGAGGGCAGATTCAAGCTTGACAGGGTATCTGGGCGCTTTCTTCCTAGGGGATGACCCCTATGTCTACTTCTATCTCAGCCAGGACAACAATGCTGTCTCGCTGTCGGCACTGAATGGTGGGAACCCTATCCTCGTCCCAACCTTGGGGACGGGTGGCGTGCGCGATCCTGCTATCGTCTCGGGCGGAGGAGATGAGGCTGGGAACAAATGGTATATCGTGGGCACGGATCTCGACATCAGCAAGGTGTGTATAGTGATAATCCCAACGCCTGATGCTCCTGGTGGTCGAATTATGAAGCTGATTATGCTGTAGACAACTTGGGACGCATCTGAGAGAACAGGCTCACGAGGCATTTTCGTATGGGAGAGCACGAACCTCGTGGATTGGACCAACGAACGGCTGGTGACGGTAGAGGACGAGACAGCCGGGATGGTCTGGGCTCCTGAAGCAGTCTGGGACCCAAGCAAAGGTGCGTGTCTCAAGAGTATTGTCATGAACAACAGCATCAAGCTAACGTTTCTCATCACAGGCCAATACTTGACACACTGGGCGTCCAAGTTTGTAGGTTCAATGTGCCTACTGGAGATCTGGGCTTATGCAGGGAGGATGTATCAGAGTTGGCTGACATGGCATCAGTATGATGAAAGCGACACCAATCACACCGGCAATGCGACAAACATAATGATCCGCTATTCCTATACGAGCGACTTCCAGACCTTCACCGCACCGCAGACATACATCGACTACTCGCCCACAGACATCATCGACCTGACGATCCTTCCATACCCAGACTCATCCGACACGTTCCTGCGCTTCCTGAAGGACGAGACGCTGAAGGACGTGTTTGTGGAGTACTCGACCACAGGCCTCTTTGGCACCTGGACGCGGCCTGGAGGCAGCAGTGCGTACATCCGTGCAGAGACCGAAGGCCCCGCCGCGTACTGGGACAATGTAGCCAGCGGAGAAGTGCACCTGCTTGTGGATTACTACGGGGGGAATGGGTATTTCCCGCTGGTGAGCTCGGACCCGATGAGCAACAGCGGCTGGGCGAACAGTAGCACGGTAGACTTTCCGACGGGACTGAGGCATGGCAGCGTGCTGCCTATCAACGAGACGATAGTGGGGGCCTTGAGCGCTGCTTGGCAATGAGGTAGGGTGAGGGGTGGGGTACGGGAGGCAGCTTCACGAAACTTGGTCTTGCATTGCACAGCAGGTGGTGTTGTGAGGTTGGTAGAATTATTTCGAGGACGCTAGCGCTATAACATGCAAAAGTAATATATGCGACACTGAAATCATCCCTCCGTCATGGGACGGGCAAGGGTCCTTTCTTTTCTTTTCGTCCCCCGTTCAGATTTAGTTGCCGCCAGGGATGTCGTTGTTGACCTTGTCATCGACAAATTCGTTGATGGTGCTATCATCCTGCTGAGGAACGCCAGCATCGCCGGCCAGCTTATCGACCTCTGAGGACAGATGGTTAGCATGAGAAAGAGGTCCCAAAGAGCAGAACCCCCCAAAAGAGAATAATGAAGTGGCCAACATACCTGAGTTGACACCGTTGTCGGCGGCGGACTCGACGCTGTTGCCGGGCTGGGCGTCCTTGTTCAACTTGTTCTCGACCTGGTCCTTGACGAAATCCATGACTGATGATTTTTTTATATATAAGAAAATGATGGGTGTTGCTGAGCAAGCGTTGAAAGTTTAGAGTCGGACTTGAATTTTGAGATGTTACTCGGAAAGTTGAAAAAGATGAGGGAACTCTGGCAATATTTGTACTCGCTCTCGCAATGCTGTGGGCTTGAAAAGTAGTTGCGCTTGTGTCACACACACACACACACACACACATAAACAACAGATTCATTCAGCCTTCGTCATGCATCCTCGCCTCTTCCGTCACAGGTGTCATACACGAAACAAGCGCGCCGGGTTTCTGCCTTGATTCACTACTATGCACTCACTAGGTTTTGCTGTCATTGAGATCAGGTTCTCCAACAAGACGTCAGATTACTATGTAAATGCTATATCTAGAGACACAATGGGTAAGGGGTTCGCGCGTGCGTCTGTCTACTGTAAGGTGACATCAGTCAGTCAGATCGGCGTTTCGCAGGTGTCTATAGGGCGGAATGAAGTCATTGTGGAGCACAGGACAACCAACTCTCTTGTCTTAACGACAAGCCCCCCTCGAGAACAGAGGAGGTGGCTGTGCTATTATTTTAGGTTGTGCATGAGCCAGAAAGGATAAGTTGGAATAATATGCATAATTTGCTGGGAGTGGGAAAAGGCAAAGCTTGAACGATAAGTTGTTGCGTGGCTCGAGGAAGTGACCATACTATGTACAACTCGAACTTACTCAGACTGTGCACAGATTTCACCGCGCTCGGATCTTCACATGGATACAATGCACAGAAACGTCTAACCAATAACTTGGGTCCATTTAGACTTTACGAATTCCCTATAAGTTGTCCGTAGCCAAATATAACCACAGCGACGTGAATGCTGTCGACGATCAAGGCGTGTGTGCTCTACACTACAAGGGTCTAACACATGATCAGTTCTGCATGAATGGGCTTCTGGGGAATGGCGCCAAATTGGGGCATCAGAGCCGAGGTGGGCATACAGCGCTCTATATGATAGCCGCAAGTGCGCCTCCTTAATGAGGAGACCAGTCTGCCAAAGCTCTTTTCGAGTCGAAGGAATCTCAAGCTGTCCTCAGTGTGCGTTTGTTCTGCCTCCTGGGGACAACATGCAAGGGGCTGAATTCCCAGCTACGAGCTGCATGCTGGTATCAAAGACCCCAGGCCACTGCAAGGTAAGATCCGCTAGACGAGAAGCTGCCCGAATTACCGCATGGTGTGGTAACCTACAGCTTGTCTCGATCGATGACCACGCTGGGTAGCAGCAGCAGCGACAGCGACCGTGGCCTTGGCCCAGTCCAAGCGCCGGCAGGGAAAATGGTAGGATGGCGTTACAAGTCCCAGGCTGCAGGAAGAAACAATTCAGACAGATCCTGCAGGCATGAATGGCTGGCGGCTCACTCCCGCCCTGCACTCCTAAACAGTGATGGTGCGAGATAAAAGGCTGATGGATGATGATGATTCTTGTTTGTCTGCAGCGCTATTTCTGCAGCGTCCGCCCTGGAGTGGTGCGAGATCCAAACAACCAGGGTGGGCCTGCTTCTCCTCCTTCTCCGTTCGCAGACCAGAAACAATGTTAGGATATTTGTAGGGCACACGTCTTAAGAACTAACATTCCTCCTCCAGGAGGGTGCTTGGAAGCACTCCTCGAGCAGGGTTGCCTGTCGAGGGCGGCTCATCCCCCACCCCCTGTGGCCTGGGATAGTTTCGGCGCATGCTACTGTAAGGATGGTACCAGGGTGTGGACTGTACTGTACAAATGACCCCCTTTGGCTCCTCCTCCTTGCAGCCCAGCCGCTGTCCTTCATTTCGCGCCCTGCTACAAGCGATCACCAAAGCGTCCACGGCTTGTTTTCACTAGACCCCGCCACATCCTGGACAATCTACACCATCATGCCCCTATCACATTATCATTACTACAGGGCCGCCCTCGGGCTTCCAAGGCGGTTTAATTGAACTGGGGGTTCCACCTGTCTCCTACAGCAGATGGGAGACGAGGGAAAGCGGTTTGAGGAAGGAGATGAAGAATCGATCTGTGCCATAAAAGGGAGATGACGACTCGTATACACAAAGCCCTCTCTGTTTGCTGTCATCGAACATAAGGCTTCAAGATTGAGCTCCCGCCTAATACATAGTATGTAGGTTACTTGCTTTCAGCCTCAGGCCGACTCCAGCTCGGCCCACGGCGTCGTCATTGGCTCGCATCGTTGCGGCGGCTCCCCGCCATCCTGGACACCTGCATTATACTTTGGGCGCCTACTGTATGTTATGATCAGTCGACCTGGTTCTCCGGCCTGCGTTCCGAGATCAGGGCAGTAACGGCTCCTCAAGCTCTTCTTGGCGCCAGAATAGTCTCCATACCCTCGATTTGCCTATTCTGTATGCTTTTAAACCATCGCCAAGACTTCTTCCAAGATCTGACAGGTCTCGGCGTCCTGTCTTGTCCTCGTCCAAGTTGAAGTCGTGAAGGCGGACGGGCATTGTGCCCATGTATTCGTCCCATGGAGGGAAAGGATGACTCCTTGGTCATCTTCGGCCCCCCTTTCCCCTGGGTTCGCGAGTGGGCTGGGCTCATAAAGATTCATTTCACTGAAACAGAACACGCAGGTGAAAATATTCCGACTGGATGTCCCTCGTCAAATGAGCAGGGACCCTGGAGGGGGCCAGGCGGGGTCCAGGCGGGAACAAAACCTCGTCCCACCTCTCATCAACCGGGTGTGCCGAGCATACCGTCCCAAAGGGGATGATGGCAACCGCACAGCATATGGGCTGTTGGTATGGCCACGCCTTGTATAAAGCCTCCCCCTCTTGTGGCCTGTCTTGGCCATGTTGTTGATGTTTCTCTTCTCTCGCTAACCTTTCCTCAGGCTACCAGTCCGGAGATCAACCTTCCTTTCGTTCACATTTCGAGATATTCTCGTTGACATTCATTTGCTTCATTGACTGAAGACAACCCACTTTCTTTTCTCTTTGCTCATTCTGCCATCCACTCCCTTCCAAAGAAGCCGGTCTATCGAACCATTCAACCTCCGCAAACTACAACCCCCACAAAGTACAGTAAAATGTCTTCCACTGCTTTCAAGATCGCGGCTGCGGCTGCTGCTGGTGCTGCTGTCGTGTCTGCCCACGGCCACACCTACGGTATCAACGTTGCTGGTGTGTGGTATGATGGATATGACCCCACGGTCTACCCATACGAGAGCGACCCGCCCACTGTCGTCGGATGGTATGTGGATGCCAATTACACCCTTTTCTCACCATGGTTCCTTTCATGACTCTGACAAGGTGTGATTTAGGACTGCCTCTGACACAGACAATGGCTACGTTGCTCCGAGTGCCTATGCCTCTGGCGATATCATCTGCCATGTGGACGCCACCCCCGCCGGTGGATACGCCAGCGTCCAGGCTGGTGACGAGATCGAGGTCTACTGGACAGCGTGGCCTTCCTCTCACCATGGTCCTGTAATTGATTACCTTGCAAATTGCAATGGAGACTGTACGTCAGTTACAAAGACGGACCTGGAGTTTTTCAAGATCGCCGCCGTCGGTCTGGTGGACGACTCCACCCTCCCCGGCACCTGGGGCTCCGACAACCTGATCGCCAACAACAACTCGTGGGTCGTCAAGATCCCCGAGGACCTTGCGACCGGCAACTACGTCTGGCGACACGAGATTATTGCCCTGCACTCGGCCGAGGAATCTGACGGCGCCCAGAACTACCCCCAGTGCTTCAACCTGGCTGTCACCGGCACCGGCACCCTCGCCCCCACCGGAACTCTGGGTGAGGCCCTCTACTCCGAGAGCGACGCTGGTATCCTCGTCGACATCTACGAGACCCTCACCACCTACGACATCCCAGGCCCCACCCAGATCGCCGCCGGTACCAACCTGGTCCAGTCTGAGGTCTCCATCACCGGCAGCTCCGCCGCCATCACCACTGGCGTCTCAGACTCCGGCTCTGGCTCCTCTGCTGCCACTACCACTGCTGCTGCCGTTTCCTCGGCTGCGGCCACTTCTTCTGCCGCCGTTGCCGCTACCTCTTCTGTGGCTGCCACCTCCTCTGCTGCTGCTGTCGCTACCACTTCTGCGAGCGCCGTCGCTGTGGAGAGCGCCACCAGCTCCTCTGTTGCCGCCGCGGCCACGACGTCTTCTGCTGCTGCTGCTTCCAAGAGCTGCAAGAAGCGTCGCCACGCCCGTCAGCTCGCTCTGTAAATGACGCCTGATGGACAACCAAGATGGTATGCGAAATGCACTGTACATTTGTTTGATTCTCGTGGCGGAAACCCAGGGCTATGAAGGGAAGGTTGTTAGTCCGAGTGACTGTTAGATACTGAGAGCGAAAGATTCGATTCATTCTGTATATGAATTCACAAACAAAAAGACAAGGATATCTTTTTTTTCAAGACCACATATTTTTGACTATTACTGTGCATCCTTGTCCCGAGTGACCATCCGACTTTCCCCTCTGCCAGAAAACCCTCCAATCGTGTTTCCCACACCATGTTTGTCTAGATGTTTCTTCACCCAAAGGAGATTGCAGGAGGCTTATCGAAGCAAGCGAAAGACCCTGGCTCGTTTCTAACTTGCAGTCCTCGAAACTTAAGCTTTGCCTAATGCAGGACAGTTTCCCGCAAACCCCTTGTCGCGCACAGCTAAGACTACGGTACTAACCGTGATCAAGGCTCTTGTTGGGATCTTCCAGGATCCACACAGCATCTACCTAAACGCCCCGGAAGCTGCCGAGATGGGCGGATACTGCCGGGGTTTGTAGTGCTTGGAGAAAGCTTGTGTGTGAAGGTGAGGTGATATACGGTTGAGCTTTGAAGATGGGACCTTTCTTTCTTTCAATATCTTTTCTCTGATTGGGGGGGGAATAGTAAGGAGAGGGGGGAAAGAGGGGGGGGGGGGGAGCAGGGCTATCTAATGAGACTGGGCAGCGTGGGTACAATAGCTTCTTGTGCCTTCTTGAAAGGCAGTTCGAGAATGTGCGTGATAGAGACATGATCATCCTCATTATCTACCCTATCAGAACTGGAAATGGTCTGTCCTTTCGAGCTGTGTATTAATACAAGAATTTGATTTCACAGCCTCTCTTCTTCCTCTTCTCTCTTCCTGTCCCTCTTCGAGTGGTTGGCAATAATGTGAGTGTAACATCTCAGGCAGAAATTTAAATCATTGGACTAACGAGCCGGGTTCGACTTGCTCTTCAGGGACCTCACGCTTCTTCTACACGCTTGACAATTCCATAGTACGGCTGATTCGAACTGCAGCGATTGGACATCACGTTATCGTGAACAAGGCGGCTTTGGAGACTAATAGCAGCTCACCGTTTGCTATTGATCCGCAAACGACATTGCTAGTTGCATTTTTAACTCTTTTAAGTTGAATATGCACGAGACGCTGCATCAATCAAAGCAAATCACATTCATCCTTGGAGCCCTTCACCTCACTGCTGCGTTTTGTAGAGACTTCCTACTCCACTTGACATGATGCACGTTATAAATGCGCGGCAATCACACATCAGGATCATGTGCATGCTAGATATTGCCATCAACACTCCGCCATTGCGAGCTGACCCATCGGGGCAAACAAATCAATCTCATTACTATATTATCTTCCCATCATACCCCCATAAATGCTTCTGTCAACGGTTCATCAGTGGGCCCCCACTATACCATTTCAGTCGCCTCAAAATCCACTCGTACGTGAGAAGATCAAGAACCAATGGTGATCAGATGCGGGTGAGAACACTTCCCAACTTCGAAGTCCTCATCCTCATCTTGATCGTCGCCGTCTTCCCGTTCATGACTGTCATGTGCCAGTCCATGAGCACATACGTGAAGAGTCGAAAGGGGGTTTCTGGCGAGACATCAAGAACTTTCTTTATTAATAAGAAAAGAGAGGTCTGGTTGTCACTATCGGCTTCTTGCCCATAGATTCTTGATGGCTGTGAAGTTGTGAAAGCCACCCGGTAGAGTTCAAAAACCATGAAGCGGTCATGGGCCACGATATAGGGTAGACTTATTTTCTCTGTGAAAATCCCTATGCAGCGGTTGATGTTGGCTTCAGTGATTAGGACGTAGGTAGTTGTTGCAGCGCCGTCCCTGGCGTACCAGCAGGCATTTTCGCCGGTGCAGTGGTAGTCTAGGGAAATATCTTGGATTCGGATATACGTCCCGCCCGGTTTGGTGCCGAAGGAGCAGCGACATTATGTCCCAGCAGTGCATCTTGAGCCCTCGTCTTTTTCATGGCGATATCAAATTCCAGCACGATATTTCAACAAAAAAATAAAAATAAAAATATGTATACCTACTCAAATTTAGCAATAGATTGGGTATCACTTATCCTTGGGGTACACACCCGGCTGTTGCATCTCTTGAGTGATTTGCTTCCTAAGCTCGTATTATGACTGCTCAACCTTATGTCTTTGAAAGGTGGCACCCTGAGAGGTCAATATTAAGTACAAAAGAAGTTAGCTGAAACGGCCTGAGTAGCACATGATTAGATGACTGAATTGCGAGGTTATGGGCGTTTGGGCAGCCATGCATGCTGACACCATCCTTCTATATAGTGACCCAACCCCTGATGATGAGCTAACGAAAGTTTATTGCTTTATGTTCACCGTACCGAGAGGTCAGTGCCTGAACATAATCAAATACTTCCATGTAGCGAAACTTTCACACCTTATCTTAGTGAACAGATCTGATCGTTGTCGTTGTATATTGAAATGCCAAAACATATCTGTTGTTTGATAAACTTCTAGGTTGTTTCTGAAGTTGTTTGCATAACGCATCAAAGGGGGAAAGCGGACAAGTTAAAGGGTAGACCAGACTAGTGGTTCAGAAGGGAAGAGAAACGAGAACAAAAACCAAGATGATGAAAATAGAAGGGAAATTCCAAACAAGACAAGACGCTGTGATCGTTCCTCCCGTCATCAAGTGTCGCTCATATGCTGTGCTGTCAATCTCTGTTGTTGACACGAAACCATGACGAAGTCGTTCATGAGTTCCGAGTAAAAGAAAATGAGGAAAAGAAAAAGAAATTCGTAGTCGCATGCCTATCAACGCCAACACATGAAGCCAAGAATCATCCTGCACATGTCATCGTCGTCATTTCCTTGATCTTCTGGATGACGAGAACGAATCGGACCGCCCGACCATGGCCAAAGACCGCAAGGATAGCGTATCATCATGGTCGTCACCACCAGGCAGACCCTGCCTCAGGCTGCGCAGACTGCTCAGCCCGGCCTTATCCATACCAGGCCTGACCGCGGTGACGTTGTCCAGGGTTCGACTGCGAGAGAAACCCCTGTGAGGGCGGCGGTCATCCGACGGCCGCGGCGAGTACGCAGTCGACTGCACGCTGCCCGCGTCCCAGTCGTCCTCCTCCCGCGTCGTGTCGCTGAAGAAATCTTCCATGTCTTTCTCCATGGGCGTTTCGAGCGGGATCTGCTCCTCTCCATCGTGTAGTTGTAATGGCTGCTGCTGGTGGTGCTTCACGATGCTGCCCTCGGCCTCTCCCTCGCCCTGGTGCCCGCCGGCCTGCTCGAGCCCATGGTCCCCGTCTGTAGTCGACGGCGCCTTGACCAGCGCCACGGCGCTATTCCCCCACCCTCGGACACCTGCTGCGGCAGATTCGCTCTTCTTGCGCTGGCAATATGGGCCTAGAGCCTCTCGTAGCATCTGTCGCATGAAAGCCTTGTTGACATTCTTCCGAACGCGGTCAAAGTAGCGGGCGACATCGCCAATCACCATGACCTGGGCCTCATGGTCCACCTCGACAATGTCTGAAGTACGAATGAAGAGAGTGATCAGTAAAAATGTGAGAATATGTAAGTATGTATATGATTGCATTGTGGCTATTCTCACCACAGACGCGCGAGCGCACACATACATACACACACACACACACACACACACACACACACACACACACAAGACATAGGCAATGGATGGAAAATTGGGGAGGGCAGGGCACGTAGAAGAGATGGAATCATTATTTACCGGCATAATTGGCCCTCGAGTCATCCTTGACCCGGTGTCGACCGCTGCGAAGGCTCAGGCCTACGGAGGAGTAAGGGAGCTGGGGCAGGTTCCTCTGCTGCTGGTGGTTGTTCGTCTGCGGGTCTGTCCCCGCCCCGTCACGGTCGCGGTCCTTTTCGCCAGATGCGTAGACGTACCCCTGCTGGAGGTTATCAATGCCTGGCTTGGCGAAGTCACGTTTGTTTCCCACGGATATCGGCCTGTGAGGAGAGGAAGGACGGGTTCGGTCGTTCAGCACGTGGACTCTTGCGAATATGAGGGTAGAAAACGGGAAAGAAAGAGACAAGATTGGGAATGGGTAATACGTACACACACGCGCAGTAATGAGGAAAGCTGTCACTATGTCGCAGGACGATGAACCGCGAGTAGCCCAGACATTTCCATTCCCATTCAAACTCTGGGCAATCAGCCCAAAGGAACTCAAATACCTGTTTGAGTTTGAGATTCTCAGCTGGGAGAACATTCCTATTTTTCTCTCACTTTTCACTTCTCTCCTCCTTCCTCTCCTTCTTTGTCTGAATTTCTCATACACACACACACACACACACACACACACACAATCTCTCTTTGTCTCTCTCAAAGGAAGGGAAAAGAGAAAAGAAAGATCACACATACGTCTCCTATTTGCAACTTCGAAGCCGGACCGATCTCATATCCTTTGCGAGCTGAGTGATTCAACGACATTGTCAGCTGGCGCTAAGCGCGGCCTGAGGAGAGAAAAGATGACTTGAGCGCCGATCGACGCACCTAGAGGGTGCAGCTGGGATGAGGAGGAAGCTTTTTCGCTTGCGTCGTCCCCGTAGCCCGAGTCGCTTCCCGTCAGAGTTCGAGAGAAATCGCCTTTTCCCATCCTTTGTGAGGCATCTCCTGAGGGTGTCTCCAAAAAGAAAGAACCCCTGTTAAAATGGGGAAAAAGAAAGAAGGAAGAAAAAGGAAGAAAAGGGGGAGACAAGAAGAGAAGGTTGGGCGCGTGGGTTAATGGGGATGGGAATGATTGGGAACAGAAAGAAAACCCACTCAAATGCCACGACGCCCGGGGTACATTAGCACAGCAATCATGAGAGGAGCCAGAAATGTGCCTCTTTGTGTGACACGAGAGCGAAAGAGAGAGAGAGAGACAGACAGACAGGGAACCTGGAGCAGCCCAGAGATGCAGGGCGAGAGGAGAAGTGGGATCCACTTGCGGGGTGGGAGCCACCAGGAAGACTATCGTCGCCCTGCTTCTTCGAACTGGCGCCCAATGCGCGCGCCAGACAGGTACGCTGACAGGAAAAAAGAGACCTCATTTGACGGCCCGCCGGCCGGTGTACAAGAGCATCTCCACCAGAAACCAATCACGGACCCATGATGGATTTTGCTTCGTGCAAGGAAGCTCGGCGCCCGAGGCCGGATGTTGCGCCCCGTTCCTCCACTCCTTTCCCCCTTCTGCCCAAGGCACACCCAAAACATCCGACCGCCTGAACCGCCGGACAATCTTTCTAGAATTAGGCTTCGACAGTACATAGTCAATAGTAGTAAGAGAGACGTCTGCGAGGGGGCAAATAAAAGTGGGCCGTATCGACCACGTCAGAGTTCCCACACCGCTTCGGTGGGTGCCCTCGTCGTTGATTGCGTGACGTCCCGAGCCGGGGTTGGGCGATTTAGTCCGCAGGTGACAAGTGCTTTCTGTGGTGGAACGGTGCTCCGGAAATTATGATTTGGGAATGCTGCACACAGATAGTAGTTGCAGAATCCCGTGGATATTTTTAGACGGCTATCGTGTCTGTCTGCTAATCTCTTGAGAGGGGTTATGGCGGGTTTCCACCAATTTGTCATGTTACATTGTTACGGCCAGTATCTCTAAGTTCGATATGGTCTTGTTGCATGTTGAACTGCCCATGTCGATATCCAGGACTCTGAATTCTGCGTATCAGAATTCAATATCCAGAATGTTACATTGCTTACTTACCTTACCAAGTATTCGGGTTATGGATAGATGGGGATTGCTCATCGATCACTCGCACGGCGACTCTGAGAATGCAGTCTGGAGAGCTGGATATGTAAACATACACTCCTTGCTAGTAAATAGATCACTGTACAACTACTCAGTCGTGGATCTAAGTTTTAATATTGGTATTGAGTAGCCTCACCGCTAATGGAGGCAATGCTCTTTGCAGCGCATCTTTTCATCCTCTTTGGCAGAGTCTGTGGAAATCAGAAGTACACGTAAAGTCACTTTCTCCTGGATGCAATGAGGACTATCTCGACCTCGAAATTTCGTATAATCCGGCTATATTAATAACCGCGCTAACATAAAAGGCAAAGAAAGAATGAGCACGAGAGCATCAATCGAGGACCGTGCCTGCGGTACTGATATGAGCTCCGTGTAGAATGTCCCACTTATAAGCAAGGGATCCACATCTCAGACCTAGCCAAAGCTACACATGTGTGTAGTCTGCGTCTTACCTAGGTCAAGTATCTAACCCAGAGGTATTTAACCCAGATGAAACTCTAGCTGAGGCCCTTCTCCAGACAAAGTAAAAGACTCGACTGTCTTGCCTGTACTGTAAAGGCCGTTGAGTTTCTGAACATTTGAGCCAAACTTTGTGTGGTCAAGCAGCTCAGTGAATGCCTCTTTTTCTTTGGCATCTGTTGCTGTTGAGGTGATAGTGATCGTTGTATCATCTCCTTTGACCTTCCCCAAGCTCGTGTACACCTCGTTGATGGCCTTTATCGTAGTCGGTTCAACCACCGTTTCACCAAAGCGGACGATGCTTAAATCCTTAGGCTTCATCTTGCCCTCTTCAACAAATAGGCCCATCATAATCGCCGCGAGTGACAGTTTTTCAGCTGCGGGTGTCTTGTCGTCGTCATTGTTTGCATCTTTAACTGTGATCGACTTGTCTTTCGGGTTGATTGCAATCAGGTCCAGAGTTCCGGTGTAATGCGGCGTCGTAATTTTGTAAACATTGCCATATTTCCTGTCCGGTATCCATTGTTTGGAGTTTTTGTACCCATGGGTGCTGTCGAAGGGATTCGGTACTGCTACTGGGGTGTATGTTTTGGCTCTCTAAGAGGTGAATTAGTTTTTTTTTTTCTTCTTTGTTTTTTGGCTCATCAATTATTCCCGTACCCAGAAAAAGGTTTATTGGGCAATTATATCAATGATCCTCTATAAGATGGCCACTCGCCTTGTAGTCAGTAAACCTTGCCTCAACAGAGTCTGAGACACATGATGGGCCGTCCAATGCACCGTCAGATACGCAGAGATGCTGATTGCCAGTATCCTATTAAGGAACATTATTAGTACTATGGCAGGACTGCAGCTGTCCGCGGTCCACTTACAGCACGAGCTGGTAGGACCCTGGGTGGTGCGCCTTCGACGCCTAGCAAGAAGCTGCCAAATCCGAGAAGAACAAGACCTGCAACTCTAGCCAGAGAGGAATGCATCATGAATATAATATAAATGTAACAGGCGTTGAATACAGAGAATTTGAAAGATTTGAAAGCTGATGCACGGTGAAATGGGAATGAGCTGGTTGTAGATTGACACTGATTCTTGGCTTGACTGACCGAGGACACATGCTGGATTTATAGACACCATGTGAAGAGCCCAGCATTGATATATCAATATATATATATATATAGAGAGAGAGAGAGAGTACTTGTGGCCGGGTAGATTGAACATTCGGAATAGAAACATTGACGATGTTGGTCGCATGTTGGGTGTCTACTCAGTCTCCGTCCGAGCCGCCCCCATCAATCAAGCTGCTGTCCGAGCAACATCAACACCTGGTCTCCAAAAACTGCACGACTACTCTAGTAGACCAGGAATAACTAACTGGACTACTGTGTCCTTGAGCAAAAGGCTCTTATGCTTCAGGTATGAGCAACCAGTTCCCGAAGCTCGATACCGTAATCATGTGGCTTGAAACGTGTGTCATGGTCATTATTTCAGAAGGAAATATGCTACAAATCTATTTAAGTACATAATGCTGGTAGAAAAAGAATGAAGAAGTCCCCAAGATACTCTACATGTGTCTAGTAACTAGATTATTCCAGCCCGTGACATCATGATATATAAGTGAGCTGTACGAGGTGTATACAAAATTCACCTGCATGAAAGATATGAAGTTCAAAGCCTGACAGTAAGGCTATCCAATGTTTCCTCCTTATCCAGGCCACTAATTAGCGGACTGATTCACTAATGTATTGCCCGTACAAAGATCTGCTTGTGGCACAATCGTCCAGAAATAGGTATCCTCGGTTTTTCTCTAGAGCGGCTAGAATTCCCGGTCCGAAGGCTGAAACTAGAACTCTGAAGCGAACCGATGGCGGTGTATCGGCTAATAAAGCTCTATCGCTTTACTTCTCGGACCGCACCTATGGCCCGGCAGTGCTCAGTACATCCGTACATCTTTAGGTAATTATGAATATATTTAGCCAGTATGAATTGAATAAATAATATTTTTATCATCATCAGGTACCCATTTGAACTACTATAGGACTGGAGGTACATATCGAATCAAGTGGCTTCGAAAAAATTAAACTTATCTCACTGTCAGAGTTTTGAAATTTTGACTCCTGCAGCCGCTGCGATAATTATATGCATGGGTGTGTGACACGGGCCCCCAATTGCTGACGGTGCTTACGAGGGAGAGATGTAGTTGAGCATAAAGCATCGTCGCAACCTTTGCTTTTGCTGGAGCTTTGCGAAGCCTACAATTACCTCCCGAACTTTTACTGCCATTGACTGATCAATCACCTCGAAACTCACATCTTCCAGCCACTAAAGGAAAAAGAAGAAAGAAAGAGACGAAAGAGGGGTTGAAGAAGAAGAAGAAGAAGAAGAAGAAGAAAAAATCGGTAGTCAAGATGCACATTCTGGACTTCCCACCCGAAATCATTCACCAAATCCTGATATTCGGCATTTTTTCCCGCGCTACGCCATATTCTTGTGCGAGAGCACTGAGACTAAAGCTCGTATGCAGTAAGTTTCCACGTGGCGATCGTTGTCTTTCATAAGCCCTGGCCCGAATAACACATTTCAGGACAGTTCTATGTGGCTTTTCAGCCGGCTCTTTTTGAATCGCAACTGCTGGACAATTTTGTGGCAAAGGAGCATCTGGAGTATTGGTACATCCGGAATTGCCATGGTGCTGACAAACTGTGGCAGTCCTATCTTGTCCACAGGGTCCGCAACGAGAAAGACGCAGCAGTAGGTCGCTTCGTCGAGATCCGGGAGATTGCGAAGAGCATAGAGGCTCAGGTACCAGGGGCTGATTACGACGCAACCATCGATGCTCTCTGCTGGCTGGCTCTGGAGCGAGGATCCAATGCACCAGGCTATCGAAGCGGTTGGGCAAGCCATGGTGGGCGAGAAGACGAAACACTAAATGAGGATCTGAATCTCTTGAGCGCGGCGGCTTACTTCGGCTACACCAGCTTGGTTGAACAGTTGATACAAGCTGGTCACTCTCCCACGGATGACAATGGGTTGTTTCCTTGCGCTATGCAGCTGGCTGCTTGGGCTGGCAACGCGGACGTGCTGAGCCTCCTCCAGGAGCATCTGCTCGATTCCGAGGACCACCAATCTGACCACCATACCGGGCAATGGCGAGGCAAAACCGCTGGTGCCATTATTGGTGCCGCTCACCGTGGAGACTTGGACATGGTCCGTATGGCTATATACCCGGCCTCTTGCGGCACACCGGACAGCACAGATTACGGTGGTCAGCCGTTCGGGCAAGTCGACCACCTCACTGGACCAGGCTCATGCCTCTATAAAGCGCTGTGGAATACTCGATCCTGGGAGGTGTTTCAGTACATCAGGGCCTTTTTCAAAGACGATCCTGTCACCCGAGAGGGTGTTCGTCTTCTCGCCCACCACGCGGAGCTCGGCAGTTTGGACATGGTGCGTGGGTTCCTAGACGCAGGCGTGGATATCCATGGAGGCGACAAGCACAACTGCAACCCTTTGATTATTGCCGCTCGGTACTGTCACGAGGTTGTGGTCGACTTCATCATGGAACGCGGTGCCGATCCGAACGACTGTCAAGGGCAGCAGAGAGGCTCGGCGTTGTGCTCGGCTGCCGCTGGTGGAAGTTTGGCCATCATGCGCAAGCTCATTGACCGCGGCGCAAGGCCGACGGGCTGGGCGGGCACTATGCTCAAACATGCTGTGCTGTTGGAGCATGAGGCCATGTTGCAACTGCTTTGGGAACGGGGCCTTATCGAGCCGAGTAATAGGCCGAATGCTTTGCGCGCCGCATCAGACGAAGGCTTGGAGTCCATGGTCAAGCTTCTGCACCAATGCGGCGTGGGAAATTCATCTAATTGAAAGTGGATATCATGTTCGTTGCTGCAGTAGTAGATCGTACAAGCAGACAGACTGGTCACGAGTGATTCAGGCGTTTGAGAACTAGCAAATAGTTTCTCTCCAATTCTCTATATCCGTAACTACACAGATGCAGCGTGAATACCATTGGGGTTCCAAGGTCGAAAATAGTATGGTGCTCTTGCCGCCAATCGCATAACCAATGACGATGGAAGAATCGTGGCCAAATTCTTTCTCATGGTGATCCGGAAAGCCCAGTCTCCAAACTTCAGGCTCTTCCTCTACTATCAGTATCCTAGAAGATGCTATGCTGCCTCGACTCAAAAATGAAGAAGCGTTTGAGGATTCCGGGGTAAGGTGGTCCAACAGAGAAGATGCCGACGACAATTCCGAGTCTGAAAAACCAACTCCACTCACTGCCTCCAGTAGGGCGACAGTATTTTGTCACCCACTATTTCTCGCCCAGCCCAGCGGCCACATCGATTTCTGGATGCAAGATGTGGTCTTCGGCGGCGGCCATGGTGGCCAAGACAAACCCGTTGACTTGTCGGGATACCGTGTCCAGGTGAGCCCAACTGCCGTGGGCAGTCTCTCGGGACTCGAGGAACAGCTGATCCTGAGGGTCAGAGTGACTGAGAAGGGCGCCCCCATTGCGCAGGCTCCGGTGTCTGCGATTTTGAGCAAAGCCTTTTCCATCGTTCCAAGGCGCAGGCGTAGGGAGTGGAGGGGCTTTGCTGTTGGATGAGGTAAGAAATGAGATCAGAGAGAAAACAGCCAATGGAAGTTCAAAAACACAAGTGGGTGTTTGAGCGCGTCGGCTTCACATATGGATAGATGGCTGAGGCATGGAGCCATGAGAGAGATTAAAAAAAGCTCACCATGTATCTGGTGCAGGGAAGAGCTGGAGCATAGCACTTGTCAGAAAGACGGTTGAAGTCATCGCCAGTCCGAGGACTCTGAAACACGGTGGTTGCTATCTGCTTGGATACAGTGTGAAGTCGGTATATAACCGCATCCTACAGTTCAAAGATGCTTATTATCTGGCATCTTCAATATAAATGCTATCGACCTTCAACTGTCATGCCAGAATATACTTGTTGATATTGACTCCGTCTCCAGCTCGAAAATAAAGCATCGGGCACATCGGGCAGCCAGCCTCCCAGCTGTGCAGCACTTGATCTGAGCTTCAAAATCTGTGCCCAAGTTAGCTTCTGTCACTCTCGTTGGCACATATAATTTGAGGTACTGGCATGGCTCACTATGAATTAGCAGGTGAGCAGCGTTATTTCCCATGGATGACTTCCTGTTCCAGGTATCTGATTTTGTCGTCTTCACCAACTCAGGTGGCAGGAGAAATTGACTGTGGGTAGTAGAACACCTCTGTCGGATCGTATCTCTTCTTGAGTTCTTTGAGTCGCTTCAGATTCTCCCCCCAGTACAATTTTCCCGCTGTGTGGCGATCAAGTTCTGAGTCGACATAATTAATGTACATGCCCCAATCGCCATCCTTCAGGGTTTGTGTAGCGGCTTTGATCCAACCCTGCATCAGAGAAATCCCCTCGTGAGGGTAGCATTTCTCGTTGTCAACATAATGGTAGAGTTGGACCAGGAAGGCTTTGTCGCGGTGAGCGTAGGCTGAGGCTGAGTTGGGTATGGCAGAGATGGCAGACGCGGGTCCTCCGTGTAGGTCGAACAGGATGAACCAGCTGCCCGACTTGAAACCGATGGCTTGTGTGTGCCAAAAATTCACAAAATCCTTCAAGGACTCACCAGAGAGATCCTTCAGAGTGAGACTTGTCGCATAGAAGTTTCCGTGCTCTTTGTATGGCTCGGAAATAGCAAGAGAATTGCCTTCGGCGTAGTACTCAAGGCCTTCGAGCCAGGTACCTTGGGTCGCGGTGAGCTCTCCTCCTGTATTCTCCAGCAGTGGAGTCATAACCTTGGACAAGTCATCGGTGCTGCCATAGTAAATACCTTCGAAGTTTTGGCCTCCGGAAGCAAATGCACCCACTGGTGAGGATTTATTCAGCCAGGAGTTCCAAATTATTTCATATAGACGTGAAGATTATGGCTGCAGACCAATTGGAACCACAGTCTTCGTCGGCGGTGGCGGAGAAAGCTTGTCTCTCAGCTAGAAAGGGGGAAGAGGGTTGGTAAATACGTACGTCGCATGTTCAGCTCAGGCGGAGCCGTACGAGAGAAGTTGACAAGTGCCTGGAGGCCATTGATCTTCTCTTCTTTGGTATGCCACTTCAGAGACACCTTGAATGGTGTTGAAACGGATGGCACTGGAAAGGTATTCAGGGTGTAAGAGACAACGATGCCAAAGTTCGAGCCAGCTCCTCGAAGCGCCCAGAAGAGATCAGGATTCTCCGTCTCGGAGCAGTAGACCTGGGTACCGTTTGCGAGAACAACACTGGCGCCCATCATCCAGTCCAACGCGAGACCTTTATTGTGCGAAGCCCAGCCGTATCCACCATGCAGGATGTGACCGGAAATGCCCACACCTGGGCAGCTACCGTGGGAGATGGCCCGGCCGCCTTGTTTGTAGAGCTCGGTGGCAACGTGGCCCAGTCGAGCCCCAGCTCCGACGGTCGCGATGTGGGTGGCGGGGTCAACTGTGACGCTGTTGATGGCCGCCAGGTCGACGACCAGGTGATTGTCTTCCCCGCCATGTCCCAAAGACGCGTAGCTATGACCGCCGCAACGGGCATTGACCTTCATGCCAGCAGCAACACCACTCACGACAGCATCGCGAACATGCTGGTCTGTTTCTGCAAGAACGATTACGATAGGTATGGATGGCACACGGAGATTGTAGGCTGTGGCGTTGGATGTCCACTGGTTGCTATTGGCGTCGAGGAATGGCACCGAGAGACTCTCCAGGGACTGAACTGCAATCTCCTTCTTGGTACTGACTTTGGCAGCCGTGCAGCCATGAAATGACGTCTGGGAGTGCATGTCGAGTAGTAACATAGTTAATTGAGGGATGCGTGTTTGCCTGAACATCGGCAGATGGCAGAGATTGAATATCGTCGAGCTGGATAGAAAAGCTCTGGGTCGATGGGTTGGCAGATCAGCAGGCTTTTGTTGGGGAAATCAGGGATGGCAGGAAAGTTTGCATTCAAGAAGATAAAGGAGAATAAGGTCCTTCTTGTTTGTGGCAGTCGCGTCTGGGTTTCATGACATGCAACTGTCGTGCAGCCAGGCAGACAACACTCTGCTTCCCAACAACCAAGTACATGGGGAGTCATGTAGCCAGGTTTGCATTGAAGTGACTGCACCTGAAATACTTGAGTATGGACTTACTTAGTAGGCTGTCAAACTTAGTCCTTCAGGGCTCGTCACTGGTATGCATTCATTATGTCTTGATCCTCAGATCCCTGAAAACATAAGATGCACTAGCTAGACTCAGACATGTTCTTTCAACCTGGAGTTGAGTTACTGAGGAAGACTGGATTTGACCAACTATGTGTTAAGTGTCTCAAGCTCGACTACCACTGTCATGTGGCCTTTGTCTCTCCTGCCTGGAGGCAGCAGAGAGACATAGGTAAGGAGTGTTCAAAGCGTCTCATCGACCCCTCCCAGAAAGCCATATCATGCAGACACAAGTTAGTATACAGCACATTCTGCCTCAAAACATGGCTGTTGCTTGTAAGTCATAGAGTCTTGTATGGAAGACCACCCTTGCTGTAGAAGATGATGCAAACGACATGATACATTTGACGTGATGTGTCTGCATTTCGACGCCTTACCTGAGTAAGTGTCAAGACTGAAAACACGGAACAGAACAAATGCAAGGTCCAAAATTGAGAATAGAATGAGGATGACTCCAAGAGTCTAGCAAAATATGAATTTCCACATGCCACTTAGCTTCTCCCAAACACCAGACCTCTTTACACTGCCCAGGTCAAGTCGAATGTCATCCCACTCCCCCAAGATGGCCAAAACGCCGAGCAGAATAAATGTCAATCCAACGCATACGAGTACAAGTCCCCCACCCCAATCAGAGCCCAGAACTTTTCTCATGTAGCCTCAACAGCCATTGCATCCCCATCCCCATTCCCGTCGCCGCCCTCTTCCTCCTCGACCGTGAGGCCCAGGACGCGGGAGTACTGCACCGTAAGACGTTGCAGCTCCCTGAATTTGCCTGTTGATACGGAGTTGTCAGCATTAACCGTTGTGAGCACTTCATCAACTGAAAGACAAAGAGGTTGGACTTACCCAGGATCATGACAACTCCCTTCAGCAACTCCCTCCGGTCCCAACCACAAATCTCATCCCCCTTGGCGAACCATCCGAATGGCTTCCCTTCAATATCTTCGGCTTTCTTCTCGCCATCCTCCTTATCATGCAGTATACCGCCCAAGAGTCCATTCAACAGCTCCTCAACCTTGCCCCTCAATCCCTCGGCACCAATACGCTTGGCGTACATCAACAGGTACAGCCTGAACTCCTCCCTGGCCCCAAGTACCATTGCGCCCGCCATGCGATTCTCTAGATGTGCGATCGACACGGAACTCTCAAAGGACTCGAACCCCTCTTTGGACAGCAGCGTCTTGATGAGGCGTTGCAGGGTGTAGGCACGGCCCTTGAGCAGAAACTCGGTTGTTGTGTGGCGCTCCAGGTAGGGAATGATACCCGCCGAAACATCCACGCTGTCGTCCTTCTTGGCGTCTTTGGGTTTCGTGACGGGGCCCACGGCCGTTGACTGAAGGGCGCTTACGGAGGAGTCATTGCTGTTCCAGTACTGACTGCCTACAGCGAACCAGGTCTCGGACAGCCGTTGCCAGGTGTACATCTCCCGCGCATAATAATACCCGTCGCCGTTGGAGAGCGTGACCACGATGTGGCCTGTCGAGTTGAGGTGTGCGGAAGTGACGCCAGGGCCAGGCGTCGCGGAGTGTGGATTGAGAGAGGTGATGGCGAGATCGATGATGGGACCGAGGGAAACGGGAGGGTGTGGCGAGGTCATGGACCGAATATTCCAGACATAGGCAAGGCCGCAGGCTGTTATGCATAGCAGCCAATGGTTTCGACACTCGAGGATGACTGGCTGTGACTCCAAAATCATCGCATTGACAATTCTCCGACCCGCTGGCGTCCACACGTATAGGCTGCCGTCCTCGCAGGCTGCCGACCAGAAATGCTTGTTGCCAGTGACCAGTATCACCGCCCGTGGTAAAAAGTCCTCCCATAACAGTGTCCCTCTCTTTGAGCAGGTAACGTGTGAAGGATCCCTGATCTGAGCAGGATTCTTGGCCTCCAAGATGATGTTCTCTGGTATCTTGGATGCTTCCTCCGCGGTGCTCTGTCCCTGCAATACGCCTCGCTCTAGGGGTCTCAGGATGTGAGATCTGATCTTGGGCACTGCCAGCCTGACTTGAGATACAGTCAAAGCCGAGCTCATGACCGCTGGCCGCAAGAACTCCGGTGTTGGCACTACCCCATGTACAGGTGGCTGAAGGGTAGCCGGTTCCAGACCGTCCACGCCATTCGTCATGACTGGTGTAGGCAGACCCAACGCAGGTCGTTTCGGCGCGGGCTCGTCCTCGTCTTCGCCATCAATAACTGCGGCCTTCCGTTTGTTCCCAAGCAGCATGGACGCAATGCCTCCCTGGGGCAGTCCATCGAAAGGTTTGTTTAGGTCGAGGATCGCTTGTGGCGTGTCATCGCGAGTGGTGACTGTTTTCGATCCTATGAGTTGTGTCTGTGGTAATGACGAGGTGCCAGTTCCAGAAGACGAGATCAGTAGAGGTGCGACCCGCTTCTTTCCGTCTTTAGTGATCGTGACTCTGGACTTGAGCTCCTTGATCCTCTCCGCTGTCTTGTCGGCATTTTCCTCCTTTTCCTTGTCCTTGTCCTTTTCCCTCGAATTATCGCCAGTCTTTTCCGCAGTTCCGTTCGTACTTGTGCCATTCGTAGCGGCTGCCGGCTCCCGGGCTGGAACAGGTTGAAAGTCGCCCATCAGCGCACCCATTCTTGACTCGGCCCCTCGAAGTTCGCCAGCTTTGCTCTGGTTTTCCAGGGCAAGCCCATCTACGTCCTCAGCAACACCCATACCCTTGCGACCGCCTCCGTACTTCTGCAGAGCCTTGTCGTTCTCTTCCGCTGTGGCCACATATCCCAGATCGTTACTCTGAAATATGGCACAGAGAATGCTTCCATCCAGGCTGCAAGCAAATAGAGTCTGGCCGTCGGGAGTCCAGGAGAGGTCGGAGATCGACTTTGATGCGATATCCTGCAGGATGACCAATGGTCGCGAGGTGTTGGTGTTCCAGATGCTCAATGTCCTGTCTTGGCCCGCCGAAGCGATGACCGTGACAAGATTACCAGCCCCTTGGGCGTCCGCGCCGCCCTTCTCGGCGGGCGGCCTTGTGTAGAAAAGACGCGGCGAGAACATGCAAACTTCCGTTGGCGCTTCGTGCCCGATCAGGTTGATCTCGCTGTCCCATCTCGTCCGCTCAATGATGGCAACGGAGCTCACAGGACCGTTTACCGCGTTCGCAGCCGCAATGTGATTGCCGTCTGGTGACCAGGAACACCGCCTGAAGTACGTCGTCAAGGGCGAGCTCTTGAACGGTGCCGAGATCGTCGTCTCCAGAACAAAGTTATTAACCATGTCATGCTGGGTGGCGTTCGGGCCCGGTGATGTAAAGCGGAAGATTTTAATGGTGCGGTCGTCGCTCGCCGTCGCAAAGTACTTGTTGGCCGGGTCGAATGTGATGCCCTTGACGTGACTCTGGTGCACCGCGAGCGTCTTCAGCTTCTCGAATGTGTGTCCCGACCAGACTACCACCTTGGAGTCCAGGCCCACGGAGACCAGCAGCGAGTTGTCGTCTGACCAGGCGAGGTCTTGCACGTCGTTGTCGTGTCCCACGAGCCGCTTGTAGGTCTTCCAGTTCTCGACAGGCGGGGGCTCGTTGGTACCTATTCACCTCCAAAAGTCAGCTCTTGCGGCAGCCATCCAGCCATGCTCCCATGGTGTGTGCGTGTGTGCGTGTGTGCGTGCCTACCGAACGTGGCAGTTTGCGACGGAGGGCTGCTGTCCAGATGGTATATGCATATGATCTTGTCGTCTGCGCCGGATGCAAGGTATCGGCCGTTGGGAGAGAATCGCACGGAGTGGATGGTGCCGAGATGGTGGCTCATATGACAGAGCTGGCGCGGTTTCGTGTAGGACTTGTCGTTGGAATTGTAAATTGATTCAGTCGACCAGACTCGGACGTGCCCATCTAAAAAGTGCCCCGTCAGATTGTGTTTCCAGCTCTAGAAGAGGGTGGGAAGAGGTGATGGGGGCGTGCATACCACCGCCAGCAGTTGCCAGCCTCGAGCCATCGGGCGAGACATGGCAGCTGTAGACCTCGAAATCTTTCTGCTCGCCTATCGCATTACACCAAACATCAGCACGTCGTCTGAAGTCTCACAAGTCCGCAGGTTTGATCCTACCACTATGGCTCAGCCAGGAAGGTTTGATGAGTTGCATGATGTCGTATGCGATGAGGCAGCAGGACCATCATCGATTACGGCTGGAGGGGGGGTGGGATGGAATAGCTGCTTTGTCGAGCTCGGGAAGTGGTTGTCGCGGCTTGTCAACCGCGCCGCGCTTGGATCGCGACTCTTAACAAAAGTTCCAGGGCGGCACTGAGACGCTGCCTGCCCCTTGTCTAGTACTGTAGACATGGTCCGTCTTCAGCTGTTAAGGGGGGGGGGGGGCAATTGGTCAGCCCAGAACAAGCTATCCCCGTCATCTTATCACCGTAGCGTATGCTTGTGAACCCGCGGTCCCGGAACGTACATGTGAGCAGCCGAACCTGCATCTGGCTGACACCAACATCGATATATATGGCATCAGGCCAATCTAGAGATCTTGATGGGTATAAATGTGATTTCCCATGACGGAAACCATCTCTAGAGGAGGGCAGACTGTTGTGAGCCGGTGGATATTGCGCTTGGAGGGAAGACCAGCGGCCGTCATATGTAAAACGCAATGGATCACGCATCGCCCTAGTCATATGATAACGATGCAAATACCCCATTGAACCATAATAACCCTACTATCAAGGAATCCCATACAAGACCATTCACGATATGTTGTTCAGACCCAAGAAACGACCCGCAAGAACCTATCCAGATGACCCAGACCCTTCGTGAACGAACCCAAATACGAGACAGACCCTAAGATTTCCAGACCCAAGGAAAAAAGGAGATAACACCCAGAATGAAGACACATTCCTTCCAAGGCAAAGCCAAAAGCAGAACGCTGTACACATAGTAGTACAAGTTCGGTGAACGGCATTTAGACACGGAGCGGGGCCCTTCCACTCTGGTCTTTCAAGTCTGATGCCATTCTCTTACTCGGCAGGCGCAGCCTTTTTGGCCTTGGGCTTCTTCTGTCATGGCTTGTTAGCAAAGTGTCGTGAAATTGAGGAAGAGTCCCGAGCAGTGCTTACCGCGGTGACCTTCTTCACCTTAGCCTCGACCTTCTTGACCGCAGCCTTGGCCTGTGTTGCGCATGTCAGTCTGTAGCTCACGCATCCCAGGAACCTCTTCAAGTATTTGCCCAGAGGCAGCACACACACACACGCGCGCGCGCGCGCATACGGAATCCATCCTGCCTTGGAAAGGAGGTATGTACGGTATGTGTTCGCAGCGCAGTGGTGCTCAAGAAATATTTTGTCCCAACACCATCCGGCCCTCCTGCGCCAGGGAGCTGAACTAGAATAGAAGCGTACCTTGTTGGCGACGCCATTGCTCTTGACAGGACCTTTCTTCTTCGTGACGCCAGCGGGCTTCGCGCCCTCCTTCTTGGTCGATGTCTGAGCTCTGGGCTTGCGGCTAATGGTTGGCGCGGTGTCGACCGTTGGGAAGACGCGCGGCTTGGAGTTGCCGGTCGCGGATCGGGTACCCTCCCGCGCCATTGTTCTCGGTATAGTATAGAAACTTGATACGCAACACTCATCAGCAACTGTCATTCCTTCAAGTAGCGTAGAAAAGCGAAAATTCTCCAGACCATCATTCATGCGACAATCTGGTCATGTTGTTGACACAAGCGCAACTCCCAGATGGCGTGACTGGGAATGCGACCAGAGGAAGAGAACATTGTCACCAAGTCGCGTGTATATCTGAGACGTGCTATAGGAGAGCTTACCTGGAGATGAATTCGGGTAAGATCACAAAAGAAATTGAGTCGGTCGGAAAACTGAGTGATTCGCGATAGAGAACACAAGCTTCGCGATGGAAAATACTGGCGATTTGATTGAGGGGAGATGGGAGAAATAAGAAGTTTGGAAAAAGAGGAGGGGTATGGGAAGGCGGAGGGTGGGAGGGAGGAGTCGCGATGCGAAACAAGAAAAACAAAGTCCAGATCTGGAAGCGCGGTGGCAGACTGGCAGGGCAGTACCGGAACCAGTCAGATTCCAACAACACCTTCTGTCTAAACGGGCGAGATCAGTCAAGGGGCGGGGGTATTGGTCACAACATGAGAGACCCGGGGGAGGAGCAACAGTTGCTACAGAGCAGACGCCCTAGCAATCGCTGTCACCCACCCACACCTCATATCCCATATCTCATCCAGTTGGTGTATCTCTTTGCACTTCTCCATTTCGCCCCGTCTCCCACTCCGAACCCCAGTCCTATGTAATTCTTTTTCTTTCTTTTTTCCTCTCCCCCCTTGTTAGACCAGATAGCATATGCTGTGCATTGCGTTGGCTTAAAGTACACCAGACCAGGCTCGCGGAGCTGGATTGATCAGTTTATTGCCTGCGTCTGCGTCTAGACTGGTTTGTAGGGGGGGCGCCCTTGCCGAACTTCATGCACAAGTCTCGAGGCCTTTTCTTTGGTAGCGCGCTGTCCTGCATGACGTGGCTGGCATGTTTGTTTTTCCGCCGAGTACTTTCTCTTAGGTCAATAATGGTCTTACGAAGATAGGCCTCTTTTTTTTTTCCTTTTTTTTTTTTTTTTTTTCTGGCATCGCGTGTAGCGCACATGATACATTGTAGATGAGGAAAGGGGACAAGCAGTGAAGCTTGATTTGACTTATTGTTCAGCCGAGTTATTATAAATGATTGATCCAGGGCGGTCCTGCGCCACGTGGGCGCTTGGGCTAATTTAGAAGCAACGAGACCGGCGCACCCGCTGATCTGGGACACCGCTGCCAGCTAGGCTTGCCACTGACGACTGGGTCCCGCGCCAAACAAGCTCCCCCCACATACTGTCAGCGCTTGACGGCTGAGGCTATTCAGACTACCCACGCTATGCCACAGGAGATGGGAGGGTCATGGCCAGAACAGCTTAAAACTCAAAAAAAAAACTTGCCCTGTGCAGCTGACGTGAGGCTAGCCTTCTTCTATCTTTTGCAGCCAAGCCTGGAAGGATCCTGGTCCTCTCCTCTCCATTTATCCGCAAAGACTCGTTAAGAAGATTATTAGGTAACCTTATAAAGGTTTATATCCAGGTGAGACGGCGGAATAGATTCCTTTCTCCTCGGAATGGATCTTCGCCAAGCACTCAATGATCCATTTATCATCAAGGCAACCACAAAAACCCCCTTGCTGTGTCTTCGTCCATTCAGCTCTGCCCCTCCTTCATTCATTATAAACACCACTTCACCCCCTGAACGCCAATCACCCATTCTTCCTCTGATCCTATAAGAGCAGTAACGAAGATCCCAAGTCTGTATGGGCAGGAGCAACAAGAAAAGTAATTGACTGCTTAATTAACTAAATCATGTTTTACCGCCCTTCCCCATCCTAATCTTTCCTTCTCGGGGAACAAAAAGAAAGAGAAAGAAAGAAGGAAAAAAACTCAAAACCACGACCGCAAAAGATTCTTCTCCTTCGCCGTCGCCCATGAAAAGAAGAGGAAGAAGAAGAAGAAGAAGAAACAGCCAGGAGACTGACCACCGTAAGTGAGCCTGTCTCTCCCGAACCTCAGGCGCCCAGGCTTCTGTCATGTCCAACAAAGAGATAAGGGTCCGTTATGACGGAAGCAATGACGACCTCGGACTACAGCACCAGCGCAGCTCGGACGAAAGTGGTGAGTGGGCGTTGCACCGCTTGGCGGCGAAGTAAGCACAAATCAGTGAGACACAATAGGCTATGTATGTACTTATGCATGCCGCATTTCGCGTCGGTTTTTCTCTTTTAATTTGAAACTAGTTCTTTTCGTACAAAAAGAACCATTAATCCTCCTTAAATTGCCAGGTCTTCTCTTTCGACCTGTAGCGTGTAGCAAGGTACGGCATCAAAACCCAAAAGACCCGCCCGCCAACAATCATTTCCCATGATCAACTTCAATATTTCTTCCTGTTACCCCGCCTTGATCCTTTATTAACACCTGCTCGCCCTCCCGCGTCGTATCACCTTTCCTTTCTAACACCACCCTTGAGCATGCATCTCTATTTCCCCCCTTCAACGCCCTGGAAGTCCAGCTCCAAAATAGACAAACAAACGTGCATTATATGGCATTCCTCGCGCACACACATACTGGCCGACCCAGTCCAACCCTCCCAGCGGTCCTAAGTAGGGAAGTCGAGCTGCTGGCCAGGCGGCATGGGCCAGTTCATCCAGTTCTTGTCCCCCGTCCTCGCCTCCTGGATGATAAGTTGCATCTCCCGCACGGCACAGAACATGCCACTCCTGCCTGTTCTGTTGACCAGTTCCCAGTGGTCCTCCTGCCAGACCTCCTCGACAAAGGGCTGGCCCTCTTGTACCTCGCGGTAGGGGTTGTTTCGCGGCAGGCCGGCGAGCCAGGAGACGACGCGGTGGGGGATGATAAAGAGGCGCTCCCAGCGCTTCACACGGTGCAGCCACGTGAGCACCGAGTCCTCGTACGCAACGCGCACGTAGGGGTTAACAAAAGTGCCCTGTTCCGCGGCGTTGTCTTTCTTCGCGGCGGTTGACACGTCCGCCAGGAAGAGACAGCACTCACACGCGTCGAAGAAGATCTCGGGCTCGTATCGGAACCGCACGGGCGCCTCGATGGGGGTCGGGCGGGCAGGATCGACGACGTGGGCGCCGATGTCCTGGAAGGTCGGTGTGGGCAGGTCGGCGCGCAGGTTCTGCACGTACTTGGCCTGCATCGCAACCATGCCGCTCCAGCAGCCCGAGACCCTCACGGCGTCCCTCTGCATGATCATGTCCTCGCGTGAGTACCCGTTCCCGGCCGTCGAGAAGATGGGAAAGATGGGCACCCCGTTCGAGTACCCCTCGGCGTCCCTCTGGGCGTAGAGGTCGTAGAACTTGAACGGGTTCTCGTAGTCGAGTGCGCAGGCACTCAGGTAGTGCGCGCGGCCGTCTTCGCCGGTGTTGGTACTGAAGAGCAGCTGGGTGGCGTCGACGGTGCGGAAGAGGACGTCGTTGAGAAAGAGGACCTTGTCGAACCTGACAACACCAGTGTCGGTCCGAAAGCGGTCGAGAGGCCGCAGGGCGCGGTTGCGGACCTCGGAGAGGTAGGACAGGCGCTTCATGCGCTCAGTCCCGTCGGGTAGGGTCACGTTGTCGAACTCGCTGAGGGAGACATCGCGGTCGAAGACTATCTCGTGGTTACAGGGGACGCGCTGCTTGAAGTCCTCCAGCGCCGTCTCGCCCAGCGGGCTGTCATTCTCATAGATGGAAAGGAAGGTGTTCTCCGGCCCCAGCATCTGTATGAGCTCCAGCACCTGTTCGCCCCATCTCCCGCTGGCCAAGTGGCCCCCCTTGTCATACAAGCTCACGGATATGAAGATTTTCTCTTGGAACGGGTTGGCACAGCCGGGGGCGGCGTCGGGTCCCTTGCATGCAGCCTCGCGCTCACGGTAGTGGGGTGGTAATCGCGTGTAGGAGGGGATAAGAATCGGCGTCGCGATGAGCACGAAGGCCAGAGATAATATGATGTATTTGACGGCGACCAAGATGGTCACCAAGGGGTTTCGAAGGACATTGCGCCGTAGGATGCGGGGTCTGGAGCAGAGCCATGACCGTAACCGCCCTGGCAGTGGGAGTCTTTCATGCTTGTTGTTTGTCTTGACGATGTACTCGTCGAAGTCATCGTCGCCGCTAGATCGGCCGTCGAGGGCGAGGAAGGCGACCCGCTCCTCGTCTGAGAGGCGGGGGCTCATGGTTCCTGTCTTGTTGTGCGCAGTAGAGAAGATGGGCGAATGGAGGGAAGGCAAAGCGGATCGAACATGACGGTCGGGGTTGGAACAGACGGCGAGGTGGTCAAGAAGGAGGGTCGACGAAGCGTCTGTGCGATGGTGGCACGGCGACGGGAAGAAGGTCTGGGTAAGGAGATTGGATCAATCAGTCGAGATGTGTCTGACCAACAGCAGGCAGTGCAGTCTTGAAACGGTAACACTGCTTTTTCTATTATGTTCGCGAGAAGGGGCAACCTGCCAGTGGCAGAGAGGTTTTGGGGGGGGGGGGGGGAAGGTTTGACATACGCGGCAGATGATGGAAAGCCTCGAGGGCTACCCCAGAATGGGCTGGTTCCCGTCGGGGCAGGGGGGGGGCCAAATGCGCACAGGCGTGACGACTGAAAACGGGCAAGAAGGGGGAAGGGATGGATTGATCGAGAGAGGCGAATGATGGATGGTGGATGATGGATGATGGATGGATGGCCTGCCTCTCAATTCCGAAATCAATGGCCCGTGGATTGCCTGCTTCTTGTTCGTCTCCTTCTCTCCTCCCTCCCTCTCAACCCATCATCCCATCGTCCTTCTCCTGTCCACTGACCATGGCCCCTATCTAAAATTATTTGTCTCTCAATCTCCCCCGAGACGACCTGTGGAGCACTTATTGGGTCGTCGTAATGGACGTGGGGGGAAGGGGGGGGCCACCAACGGCCAGGGGCAAGGCGATGACGAGTCCTGCAGCGCAGCATCTCGTTGTGTACTAGTACGGTACGTACCCATCAGTTGGCAGCACGTGCGGGTAGTGTGCGCGTTGGTCTATGCTTTTTTGGGAAATTGTATATGCCGTTTCATTGGGACAGCGTGAGCAGGTCTCCAGCAAGCAGGCACAGTCCCGCAGCTTCCCTGTCATGATATGTTGCATTTTTACTCACCTCTTCATTTTCACCGACATTAACGTGGCAGACTTTCGTTAGGGTTTTTGAATCTCAACATTATGGTAGCAGCACTGTTCAGTTCCCTGACAACTTTCTTCCACATGCCAATTCAATCATTCTCGGCAGAAGGAAACAAACGAAGAAGAGAAAAATGAGTTAAAAAAAACCACCATCAGACCCACACGGCCGGGTAAGCGGCACGGACGCTACCAAACCTGGTTGTGCCCAAGGAATGCATCGGCAGCAGGATTACGGTGCAGCGATTGACCATGCACATGCCTGTATGAAACCTGACTTCCCGGCACTTTTTGTCACAGGCAATGCTCATCACATCTTTTCGATTCATGTTGCGGGTTACGCGTCTTGGTGCTGCCCATGAAAATGCCTTGAGCCACACCTGATTAGCTACCATATGCCACACTCATAACTCGCTTACTGTTTCTCGTGACGATCGTCAAAGCTACACCTATACTACAATTCTACATACCGAACGCCGTCACATTGGAAGACGGAGAAAAAGAGGCTACAGGGAGAGGGCAAGGCATGGGGACAATGGTTCACCAGCAACCACCCCTAGACAGCAGCAGCTTAGTCGCTGCAAGGTGTCAGACAGGCTGGTTGGTAGTGTGTCACGTAGCCAAGCCGGGAGAAGACAATCATGACGTTGTACTGCATGGATGGCTGGGCCGCAGCCACGTTTGGGCAACCCCCGACTCCCGACCTCACATCCCGTTCTAGGTAGTTGATTCGAGAGGGAGCCAAAGGTGGTGGCTGTTTGGACTGAGGGTGTCATGTCTCGGTATCCGGCAAGCTCTCCAATTAATTATTCACTCATTCACTGATACACTCATTCATTTACTCATTCACTCACTCACTCACTTTCCGTTATAAGCTCAGCACACAGCAAATCTCTTTCAGATAACGATGATGTCAGTTACTCTCTATCAAGGATGCAAGAAATAGTCCGCTTTTACTCGGTGTACTTGTTTCTTCTTCTTTTCTTTTCAATGCCACCCCACTCGCATCTTCGTCAAATCAAGATCCAGTCCTGCTAAATGCATATCGTCCAACAAGAGGCGTGCTTCCTATAGGAAAATTACCATTAGCACGGCACTTGCCATCGGGGCCTGAACAACTGGTTGCTTGATCAGATGATATGTCTGGAACAGATAAGAAATAAATGTCGAGTCTAAATACAATCTCCAAAAGCAAGGGCTCAATCGACGGTGCTCTAGTGCAGCTGCCGAATTATCTTGCGATGTCCAACATTGCACGGTGCGAGGTGGTTGTCTCAGATGCTGTCACATCGGCAAGTGATGGACGAGCATGGCGAGCATACTGACTGTATGAGCAGCACTCTGAGATTTTTGGAGCTTGGAGGGGGAAACACAAGTCTTTGGCCCAGCCTAGCCCTTCAAGGAGAGGCCTCGTCTTTCGGGGCCCTCGTCACCACAGCTCCAAGGGCTATATGTTCGCGATCTTGAGATTATTGAGCATGGCGGCTGACAGAATATCGATACCTTCTAATGTATTGGCTACAACAACCCTGTGGAACGGTGTTGCTTGTCCTTGTTTTCCGGTATGAGTCAGCCCAAGTCCTGCACACAGACTGTCACCATTCCTCACTCCTCTAGCTCCACGCTATCGCCAAAGCACCTATCCATCATTGCTTCCGGGTAGCGTGCTCCCTTAGATCCGCCTACGCTCTCAATAGCCTTGCGAATCTTGGCCTCGTCCTCCTTTGATAGCTGGACATTGACGGCGTTCGCGTTCTCCTCGAGATACTTGACCCTCTTTGTGCCTGGAATCGGGATGACATCTTCAATCGGCAACAGCACCACCAAAAAGTCAGTCACCGTCTCATTGTCTGCTTGTTCAGGTTCCGTTTGCGGGGAAACCAAGGGGGAAAAGAAGACCTACCCTCTCCTTGCGCCATCACCCAGGCAATCGATAGCTGGCCCGGCGTGCACCCTTTCTCTTTGGCAATGGCAGCCAATGTTTCGACCAGCTTCAGATTTCCAGGAAAGTTCTCCTGGTTGAACCGAGGGTGGGCCCTGCGCCCGTCCTTCTCGTCAAGGTCCGCAGGGCTCCGGATTGACCCTGTCAGGAACCCACGGCCGAGCGGTGAGTAGGCGATCAGCTTGACGCCGTGCGCCCTGGCTGTCTTGAGGAGGTTGGTCTGCTCCGACTCAATCTCCAGCGCGAAGGGCGAGTACTCCATCTGCACCGCCGCGATTGGGTGCACCTTGTAGGCCCGCTCGAGGGTACGCGACGAGCACTCCGACAGCCCCAGGTAGCGGATCTTGCCCTCGGCCTTGAGCTCTGCCATGGCCTGCAGCGGGAGGAAAAGAAGTCAGCAATGGGGAGTGCTTGAAGCGCCCGTCAAACGATGGGATGCACGCTCGAGGAAGGAAATGAATAGACTCTACCTGCACGGTCTTCTCGACTGGCGTGTTGGGGTCGATGCGGTGTTGGTAGTACAGATCGATGCGGTCCGTCCCCAGGCGCTTCAAGCTGGCAGCGCACGCCTCTTTGACGTACTCAGGCGAGCCATCGACGACCATCTTGCCATCGACGAACTTGTTTGCAAACTTAGTCGCCAAGAAGATCTCATCGCGGCGGCCTGTCTCTTTGAACCAGCGCCCGAGCAGCTCCTCGTTCTTGAAAGGACCGTACACGTCGGAAGTGTCCCAGAACGTGACACCAATGTCGGCCGCCCGTGTCAGCACGCGCAGTGACTCCTCGTCGTCCTGGCCGCCGAAGGAGGTGTAGGCGAAGGACATGCCCATACAGCCCAGACCTTGAGCCGAGACTAGGTCGTCGCCGAGCTTACGCTTGGGATAGTCGGGTGCCATGGTTGGTTGATTAGTCGGTGGCCCTCGATAAGTGTCTCAAAAGCCCGTTATAGAGGGAGATAAGTGAGAAGTATTTTCCAATCCTGGTGGCGATGATAAATATGAAGCGATCTTGAGGGATAGTTGAACCTCCAAAAGATGTAAATGTTGCGCAGCTTTTATATCTTGTTTCTGAATCATTGACTCATTGACCCCCTCTGTGTTGGCTCCATGAAACTTTCAAGGTTGTATCTCCCGAGTGAGGGGAGGCGCTATGGAGTTACTACTATGCAGGATCTTAAGTCCGACGCCCGATTCTTGAATCCCCGCCCATAATGACGTTGAGACGTTCTTTGGACCGGCAGTCGCGGTTGATGCCACGGATGAGACACACATCACAGTCAACACATGTGCGCGCCCAGTGATATAGCCAATCATAAACTGTTACCCCAACCAGCACTTCGGATCTAAGAGTGCTTGCCCCCGTAATTGACGTTGCTTGCGATGCAGGCCTGCGCACGTTACGGTCGGAAGTAGAGCCGGGCTCTGCAGGATATTTTGAGAAGCCAATTATGGTTTGCTCTACGACAGGGTCTAAATGATCTCAGGCCTACTAAGCTTAGAAATTGAAGTGAGCAATGATTGTTACATTATATCTTAGTCGATGTGAAGTCTTATACATGAGCGGATCGTGAGGGAGCATGGCAAAGTATGATGAGGCATCGCTTTTCCCTGGGACCCACTATAAGTTACCAAGCCTGACACCTGCTCTTCACCCGACAATTTCAATTAACAAGGCTTTTTAGAAGCATCATACCTGATCTGATGTTCTATCAGTGTGCCAGTTACCGAGAATGTATCTGGGCCTCGCTGTTCGCCATCGGTCTTCGATGTCTCATGCGGTTTCTGATGGGTGGCTGATGTCGGCACGAAGCGCTTTAATTCGGCATTCTAATAGCTCTTGGACGCTTGATGATTAGATAAGTACTTCAAGCATACTCTTCCTCAATTCATTCTCTCGGGGTGCGATAGCCTGCACCGATATGTGCCTGGTTTGTCGCGTCGTTGGCCCAAGCGGGGGAGATTCGAGAAGTCGTTCTCCTTTGAAAAACCCAAGCTTTGGTCCTGCGTCATATCAACTATGGGCTTCTTCGTCTTCTTCCTCTTCCTCTTCTTCTTTTGGGGAGGGAGGGGCGGGGCGGGGGTGGTTTATTTCCATCAGAATAGGCCTGAGCCGCGGGGCTCAATTGTTGGGTATTCAATTTTTATAAAGATATGTAAAGACGGTTACATGATTGATCAGCGGGGTTCCCGAAAGCCATATATTCTGTTGACCTACCAACGTCCGGCTCTCAGAGCTTTTTGACGCTTTCACCAGCCTGTGCTCGTGATTGCATATCTCTTGATAAGGAAATGATGCAATGTTCTCGCACCATTAGCGTGACTCATGCAGCAATTGTGCGTGCATGTGGTGCTGCAAAAGGGATGCCATTATTACCGGTCACAGTCATCCACGCTGCTTCCAAAGACATTGGGATATTGCAGCCTGAGGAGTCATCTCAACGGGTACCAGGCCATCTCTCCTGACAAAAGCAACCTTAAAAAGGCCAGACTTCTCGAAAGTTCATCATGTCAGAGCAACAAGTATCAGCGCTCCTTCAAGCCCGCTATGGAGCCTATCTCCCATCGCCCTCCTCCTCCTCATCCTCTACCACTTCCTCGCCCTCGGACCCCACCATAGCGACCCTCCTCGCCCACCGCTCTGTCCGCGAGTTCCTACCTTCCAAACCCCTCCCAGAGAACACAATCGACCTCCTGGTGGCCGCGGGCCAGTCGGCCCCAACTAGCTCCAACCTGCAAACGTGGTCCGTCATCGCCCTAACGGATCCATCCGTCAAGGACCGCGCCGCGCGACTGGCGGCGGATCAGGACTTCATACGGGAAGCGCCGCTGTTCCTGGTATTCTGCGCTGACTTGCAACGTCTGACTGCCGTGAGCCGTCTCCGTGGTACTGCAGGTCTCGGCCTCGAGTATACGGACACATTCCTAATGGTAGGACGCCCGGCTTCTTTTTTTTCCCCCTCCTTCTCAGATCTGTATGCTTGACATACCTGTTTTCTCCGAGTTTACTGCTCTCAAGACCCTTTTTTTCTTTTTTTTCTTTTTTCTTTCGGAATCTTACCTCCAAGCTGGCTCAATCCGATATCACCTCCCCCTTAGCATCACATTCTACACTAGACAGGAGCAGACAAGCTAATCAAAAGTCATTTCACAAATCTCCAGGCGGCCATGGACGCAGCCCTGGCATCGCAGAACGTAGTTGTCGCAGCCGAAGCCCTGGGTCTAGGCGCCTGCCACGTCGGCGCCGTGCGTAACCGCCCGCACGAGATGGCCGAACTACTAGGCCTGCCTCACCGGGTCATCGCCCTCGTGGGGCTAGCCATAGGATGGCCCAAACACGAGAGCACGGGGCAGGTCAAGCCCAGGCTTGGCGCCGACGAGGTCTTGCACCGGGAGAGATGGGGCGGCCCTGGTGGCGATGACAGGAGCAACGGATCGGCGCAGCAGGAGGCAAGGTTTAGCAGGTACGACGACGTCCTGGCCACGTTCAATGCTGGAGAGAAGAGGGAGGGGGTCCCGGCTTGGACGGAAAGATCTGCGAAGAGGATGGAGGGGCCGGCTACTCTGAGTGGACGACATATCTGGAGAGAAGCGTTGAAGGAGAGAGGGTTTGATATGAAATAATGAAGTAATGATTTTGTGCGACGCTGGTCGATTTCTTTTGAGCTCAAAACGTTGAAGCTTTATCCAGCTCGTTCACCGCAGTAGGAAGGAAGCCTTGAGTCGAGCAACAGACAAGCGTTCTGGATGTGGCCTCCTTACTTGCCCTTGAAGCTGATATATATGCCAAGGCATGAAAGGCCTCTGTTTTCTCAAGATCGGTACACATCAGGTCCTTCTTTTTTTTGTGTCATTACCCATTTTAATTCCTTTGATACCAAGACACGAATATTGTTTTACGACTTGGAATATCGACAGGGTTAGGGTAAGGCGCGGCTAAGGCGCGGCTAATCCAGCCAGCGCCTTAGCCGCCGCTATCGCAACCGCGCCCCAAAAATTAACCCCAAGGTCTCCCGGTGGGCTTGATCGCGCGTCACCCTCCTTCACTGCCCACGCCCCTTCGACAACCCCCCCTCCAGCAGCAGCAGTCATGGCCAAGAAAGGTACGCTTCCACCCCTTCCCCTTCTATCTCAAAACCCCTCTCATGAACAGGCACACGCTAACCTCCAGATCTCCGCAGCAAAATCTCGCATCGTCTCGGTGCGCCTCATCTCCATGGCCATGACGGGCTTTTTCTACCAGTTCCGGCGTCCGCGTACCTCGCCGCCAATGAGCATGCTCAAATACGACCCCGTCGGTACGTCCATTGCAAATCGAAGCCCCGTCCTCTCCCTCTCTCTTGTACCTTCAGCTCTGCGCGACCGTCCGTGTGGGAGGCACAGAGGGAAAAATGCTGGGACGGACGAAAGAAGGCAGTCCGTTGGCTACGTTGAATCTTGAGAAAGAAGGGGGAAACAATGACGTGTAGGGTATGGTTGCTGACTCTCAAACGGGAAATAGTACGCAGGAAAGTGCTCTTCCTGGAAGCGAAACGACGAGGTAACAAATAATCTCGACATGCAATAACGCGATCACATCGAATTGGCTCGCAGGCGCGATATCTCATTGCAGCCAATTGTACGGGGCAGTTGCACGACGGGCCGAGGCGTTGGAACCCCCTCGAAATAACAACCTACACACTTACAATTAGGCCGCTACGAGGCCCAAAGAATAGAATGGTGGAAACAGTGACTGCAGGAGCTTTACTGCCGTATCTAGATGGTCGGAGGGGCTTACAACGGATCTGGTCAGGACCGCCAGACTTAGTGGCAGGATGAACCACTGGAACTGTCATGTATACGACGATTGTTGGTTCCCCAGGTTTGGGATGAGGCCAACAAGGTATAGACACCGCATCGGGACTCACCTCGCTTATTTAGAAGCTTCATGAGAGCGAAAATGGTGGTTGATTATGAGCTACATACCAAAACAAATCTCAAATACTCCCGGACGTACTGCCACATTGGTGCAACCTCGATTCGACAGGCTCAAAGCAAAACACAGACATATCCCACGCTCGCAGTTGAGGTCGGCCCTCCTTGGCCGATTCCGCCTCGTGTATCGGGAAATTTGGAGTTGAAAGTGCTGTTCATTTTTTTTCTCCCTTCAAATATTTGTATTCGTGTGGCAGTGTTCTTTGTAATCTCGCCGCATTCCAGAAATCTAAGCGGACCAAAGTGGGTGCCTCCCGGGGGGGGGGGGGGGTTTTGGCGTAGACTTTGTGTGGTAAGAAACGATATTTTAGCCCTTGAACGCGGACAATACGTGCCTGGCTCCAGGCCTGTGCGTCCCAATACGTTTTCTCAGTCTTGGAAAGCCTCAGCTCCATGCGACGACTGTCGCTGCTGGTAGAACAGAGACGAGCAATGCTGCGCGGCGTTCAGAAAATGGACATTGCGACTGCTCAAAGCTGTCCTGCACTTGCACTGCCTTTGATTTCATCAGCATTGTCCGTGCCTGTGTGGTGTTGGCGCACATCTTGCAAAACATGCGATGCCTGGGTCGAAAGATCTTGCAGATCCTCGTTTGCTGGGTGAGGTACATGGCTGGTTAAATGGGCATCTGATGCTTGAAGGCACTCCACGGAAGACGAATAGACCGTTAAGAAGGCTGGATCGACACTCTGCAGGGTGTGTTTCGCCTTTTTCTTCGGTGTCTCCGTTTCCTGGGTGGATTGTTCTGAGCTGGTCGATCCCTTGCGCTTTCTGGTCTCCAAGGCCATAGTCAAATGCATATCGCCAAGCTCTACCACGCCTATGCGACTGGTGTTGACATTCAAGAGCGATCTTCTGCTCGACGCGCCTACCGGATGCGGAGGACCAGGCTTGCTTCCAGCAACGAGCCTATTGTAGGGTCCACGATGGAGGGCACCGTTGCGCCTTGTCGTGCCTGCATCCAAAGTCTTGTCTGGTGTTGCATCATGTGGGCCTTGATGCTCGCTTCGAGCACAGCCTTCGTGGCCGAGAGCCTCAAGTGGAGATTTCTTGTCCTCGACAGTGAACTGCAGACTAGGAGGCACATTAGGTTTCATGATGGATCTTCGCGGTTCTGCAACTCGCCGACGCTCTTGTTCCGTTTGGACTGAAGGTGGGTCAGGTGAGGGCGCGTCACTTGATGGGCTCCTAACAGTAACTCGCCGAACATCCATCAAGTTGTCGAGAAAGAATCTTGATCGACGGCCCTGATCGTCCATCACTGGTAGGCTCGATCGTCCTGGTGTCAGGCAATACTGCACAACTGCCTTCTGCAAGAGCTGTAATTGTATCAGTGGCTTGAATCTTGGATCAATGTGATCAAAACCTCGGTCCTTGGTTTGAGAAAGCTCAGATGCCATTTTCTGGATGGCTGCGCACTTTTGTGTCCACTGCTTCAGGTTCCGGAGTACTACCTTTGCCGCTGTGTCGTAAGCTTTGGCATTGTCTGCCAAATTCGTGAATCTCTGATCAGCCATGATCAGCTGAGCCTGGAGTTTCAGTAGCTGCTGTCTGACAACGTTCTTCTCTTTGCCGTCGTGGTTGGTCTCCTCCTTGTTTCTAGTCGCTTCCTTTCGTGCAGTCTGAAGCTCCGCTTCTAGGTCGGCAATCTTTTCGGAGTCCTTCGCGGCACCCTCGGTCAATTCCTTGATCTTCTGTTGCATGCCACTGATTTCAATGTTCAGCACCCTTTGCTCCTCCAGAGCCTGACCAAGCTGTTTCTCGAGGTCTGCCTTGAGCTGATCCAACCGGATCATTGCTTCATGCTGCGCAGTTTCAACGACCTGTTTCTGCATGGCTTTGGATTCCGCGACGTGCTGCTCCAGAAGGCTGCGCAGTCGCTCGGCCTCCTCCTCATGCTTCTTGCCGTTCGCGAGGCTGGTGGCATGCTCCTTCTGGAGCTCGGACACCAGACAAGCTTTGACCGCAGCCTCATCCTTCAGTTGGTTGCATCTCTCGCGGAGCAGGTTCGTATTTTCGGAATGCTGTAAGCTTGTGGCCTGAGCACGCTCTAAGTCGTCGATCTCGCTTCGGAGCTGGATAATGAGATCTTCATGTTGCCGGGCGTTCGCTTCGGATTCAAGAAGCAGCCGCGACTGGTTGGCACAGTCGCTCTCCCTCTCATGTACTTCCACCTCCAGGGCCTCGATTCGCCGCTGCACATCTTCATCCTGCCTCTGCAGGGCGTACTGCTCAATTGCGTGTTGACGCTCATCGATAGCCTCCCAAAGATCGCCGACATACTCGTCCAGCCCAGAGCACATTGAAGACATGTTCTCCTTGGTCTCGAGTTGTGATGCCACTATGGCCTCGAGGCTGCCGGTAATCCTTTTGTCTCGGTCAGCTATGCACTAGGCTGAGTTCATGTCGCTACTCACGAGGTTACCGCCTTCTCATGAAGCTCCCGCAACTGGCCGAGGATGTCAGCTTCAGAACGCGCTCGTTCATCTTGAGATCGAAGATGTTTCACGACCATGTCGAGTCTAAATAATTAGCCCTTTGTTTCACCTGTACGAAGGTACTAGGAACTTACTTATCATGCATCTCACTTGCTGTTTGGCTGTCTTCCTGCGGTTGACGGGAGGCGAAGTCGTTAATTTTGGATATAACGTCCTCAATCTGTGTCTCAAATCTGTGCAGGATATCCTCCACAGTGGAGATGCTCGCTGTTTGCTGAAGGAGAGATGTAGACGTCTTTCTCTCGCGTAAGAGATCCGCCTCTCGCTCCTGGACTTTCTGCTCAAGAGACGCAACGACATCATTGTCTGCATAGATCAGCACACGAGGCCCTTTGGAATTGGACAAGCACTTTGCTTACACTCTTTCTCCTTTCGACTGCATTCAGCCACAGTCGATTTGACCAGCTGGTTCAACTGGATACGAACGGCTTCAGCTTTCTGAAACTTCCGTTCCCGCTCAATATTCCGCTGGCTTTCTTCAGCGCGCATCTGGAGAATTGTTCCATCGCACCTCTCCTGGGTAGCCTTGTACAATCCTTGCTGTTCCTCCAGGGCCTTATTTAGGAACTTCATGAAACCGGCGCTCTTCTCCTTGAGTTGTAAAACTTTATCAGATTGAGCCTGCCGCTCTTGCTCCGCACAGTCCAGTTTCTCACGCAGGCGCTGCTGTTCATCTTGAAGCTCTCGGATAAGTACATCTTTATCCGACGTCTCCTTTTTGTACCGAGACACCTCTTCTTTCTGCTGCCTGATAGTGCGTTTGAGTTTGGCAATTTTTTCGAAGTGCTGATTGACATCGTGCTTGATATCCCCGAACTTGTCGTTGAGACAGCCAGCAAGGTCGCCCATGGTTGTCTCCAACTTCGAGTGAAAGTGTCTCAAAGGGCTGCGTGGTGTCCGCTTCCGACTCTGGATCAACGACACTGCATCACCGTCGTACAACCTTGGGTGGTTTGGAGAGCAGTGTGAAGACGATGTGGATGGCTTCGTTTCACGCCTCTTCTTTGTGTTTGAGCCCACCACAATCGATGAAGCCTTGCATCTCGAGGAAGGAGTATCAAGGTCGAAAGACTGGCCTCGCCCATCACGGAAGGGACGGCTGGCCACTGGACGACGGGGAGACACATTCTGAGAGAGACGACGAGGCGGATGAGCCAACGTTATTGAGATATCGTTCGGGAGGGAAGTGCGTGGCTTCTGCGCGGAGGTCAGAACAGCATGCTTCTCCGGTAACTGACGCTGAACCTGCCGCTGATCGAGCTGGTGCTGACCGGAGAGCGCATGCAAGTGGACGGATGGTATCTCTTGGGTCTGACTTTGCGATGACAGATTAGGATGAGCTTTTGCCTTTGGTCTGACCGTAGAAACCTGCGTGTTGCTACAAAGGGCATGAGGTGCAGAAGACTTGCTCAGTGGGGGAGACTGCCCGTCATTCGCTTGACGACACAATGGTTGGTAGTCTGCGAATGGGGGTCTGTTGTGGGAAATGTGTGCTCGGCCAGACTCTGCAGGGGCATCGACCACCCCTTCAATCTGGTGCTTGTCTGCGTCCAGGGCTTTCTGCTGAGCTAGGGCTGATGCGAGCTTCAGGTATCCGGGATCTCGAGATGACTGCCGATCCTGGACGCGTTCTCTTTGTAGACTGGGTTGAGATGTCAAGTGCGCATTGACAAGTTGGGTATCAGGAGCGACTATGAGATCATTCGACTGCTTCTTGTTGGCCTTGATGTGACTGCCTGCCGAAGTGCCTCCCTGGACCTCCTCCACCATCTGAGATGACTTGGCAGGTTTGGGCCGGCTGAGCTGGCCAGGAGTGAATTTGATTGGCAGTCCGTAAGAAAAGCCCTCGTTGAAATCAAGGTCATCTAGGAGTGGAGGTCGGGCAATGAGTTCAAGCTGCGGGATCTGGGGAGCGTCGTAATTCTTAGGGGACGAATGAGCCAGACCCAGACCGTCAGATAAAAGGATATCAGACAGTGGACTGAGAGCATTCTGAGTCATCGTGAACTCTCCGGAGTCCTCACCCGACTTGACAAGGCAAGCAGAGCTCTCATTGGGTCGTGGATCCATCTTCAGCAAGGCAAGCGATGATGATAAATACAGATTGCGTCCCCGAGCAATCGCAAAGACGGTTCTGACAGTTGACAAAAACAACCAATCAAAAGCAGATGACAGGAGCTTTGAAAATTTAGGATGACGATAGAAGAGAATTGCTGGGTCTGGGGAGACTTGGGAAGGCAATTGGCTGCCTGAAGGCCAAGTGATTCAAGGAAGGTACGTTTTTCTTGATCTAGAGAGAGGGTAGCATCAGTAATGACGGCTTGATGCAGGAACTGGGAGCAGCACTATCGTGACTTCCGTACAGAGGCCAAGTACAGGACCAAGGCCTAGTGAACAGAGAGCCGCGGGAAATGTCGAGATCCATGGTGATTGCTTGTCCGTCCCTTCGACTGTCGTTTTAAGGTGTTACGGCTTAGTCTGCCGCTCCAAACGAACGCGCGATCTATAGCCAAGTGCAATTCATACTTCGTACAAAACAAATGAGTATGGACTTGTATTGCATGCCAGTCTCGTACTTGTGCACTGGTATGGTCCCAAGTATGGTAAACCCTACTATTCTTGTCCTCTTTTTCATTACTCTTCTTTATTATTGCAGCATGGCCAACGAGACCCTCGTTCTCAACAAAGAACCTTGCCTTGGGTCGAATGACTTGCTTACACACCTACCTGCGTACTGACGAGTACGACGCTGATTCGAGAGGGATTGAGAATGGCTGAGACGAGTCTATATATTCTTGACTGTTCGAAGTCTCTCATGCAGAATGCCATCTTCATTAGTCGTAATCTTACCTTACTTCGCAGCGTGTTTCCCAAAGGTTGTAGAGTCTAGGGAAGTGTAAAGCATTCATAAGAACAAGCCACTTCAAAAGAGAGGTCCGACAGCTGAGTATAGAAGATAAGCAATGGGTATAGGATAAGACATTGGATGACAGCGAATGGCGCCTACCAAACAACATGCCAAGGGCGCCAGAACAGGCAAGGGACGTGTGTGACTTGGGCATCAAATCCGACCCCGCATACGCTGTGGTCTGGCACTTTGGCCGTTGATAGTGGCAGTACCCCTCTCATCTTGCCATTCCCATTTCCCCATCTGAGCTGTCCCACCTATTAATATTCTATTCCGATCGAATTGGACAGTAGCTGAACTGGTTAGAGACCTGTCCCAATGATTTAGGAGAAGGAGAAGAAGAAGAAGAAAGGGCGGGTAGGAAAGGGGAAGAAAGAAAAGAAAGACAAGGCCAAGCACCGCCTGGTATGGTATAGAAGACATAATTAGGTTGACATGGAGGAACCAGTAAAGTTCCCTGGCGCTTAGCTAGCAACCCCCATCCTAGACGCCCGACTCTCATTGGCCGACGTACCCCAGGGGCATGTGTGAACCACGCCTCAAGCACGGCGCGTATGGCAACGTCTCACACCAATTGTAATGTGATGAACCACGACAAGACCGATGCGAATTCTTGGTTGGCCAATGGGGACCCCTTTGGAACGGATCTGGAAGTCGGATGCGTTCAAGTGCCGAGTGCAGGATGCGAGGAATCTGCATTGGAAACAGTGATGAAATTGGTATCAGCAGTCTGCTTTTTCTTTTAAGGTTCCTTAAAACAATGTTTGGTATCATGGATTGCTTGTTCTGAAGGCCAAGGTATCTAAATAGTATGCTGCTCATCCTTGCTGTCAAGGTGTAACGACTCTCGTCTACCACATTTCTTCTTCTGGACCGCTCCCGACGCTTATCAACGCCCAACGCAAACAGTAAAACTCTCCAGTTCCTGAACCATCAGGTGGATTCGAGGACTCTCCACGAACTTCAACAGTCTTCAACGATGGCGTCGACCACAAGCTCGGCGTTTCCTCTGTCCACGCTGGACCCTTGCACCACTGATTGCGGTAACAGCGCCGGAACTGCGAATTCGGACGGCAGCATCGACAGCGATGCCGGTGCCGGATCTAGCAGTGATGCCACCTTCAAGCTCTCCGAAGGTGGAATGATAGCCATCATAGTCGTGGTTGTACTTGTCTCTCTTATGGGCAGTAAGCCGTACCCGCTCCTTTCTTCACCGTGGCCGTGTAGGATTATGTCGATAATAGAGACGCTGACATTGCATGTAGTCGGCACTGGCACACTCTTCTATCTCGCCAAGAAGAGGGAGTGGAAGGTCAGAGAGACCATCCGCAGATCTGCAAAGAAAGTCGTCACCGCTTTGACTCCGCGACGATCCGAATTTCCAAAGTCCGTGAAAGACGGCCCAGCCAAGTCGCGGAGAGGTCATGCCAGGATCGATGATGTCCCGCCCACGCCACGACTCCGGCCGGAGGATATCGAGAAGGGCCTTGGCACAAAGACGAATGTGAAGCGGTTTTTTCACCAGAAGTAGGATGCAGAGATGACGCAACGCATGTAAATGCGTTGGTCGTTGGGAACCCACGGGGCGGTGCATGGTAATGTGTGTGGCAGGTGTCCACTGGAAGCATGTCGTTGGCCCCTCCGTTGTACTATAGCTTTCTGAAGGTGTTCGTGCTGGCGCTACGTCTTGCTGCCGAGCGTTTGTTGTCCACAGCAGGCTGTTCCGGCCTGTTCTTCTTCTTCTTCTCAGGCATAAATGAAACTGATCGCTCACCAACCACATCGCCTTGTCGTGCCTTGCCGGTACGGCCAGACTTCTGCACTCGCGAGCCGAGTACTGTGTCTCTGGCAGTCCCACCTTGTCCGGATGTCGAGACCCTCATGGAAACCCCTGTCGAAGATTTTCGGATCGGCTCGTCCCCGTCGCTCGCATCGTCCTGTTCCAATTCTGAATCGTCTTCGAAAGGCTTCTGGTTGGGAGTGATCTCAGCAGCCTCCGTAGGAGCCTCAACATTTGTGCTGGGGTTGATAATCTTGAACTCTCTGCTCGTCTCATCCACAACAAACTCCTCATCTTCGAAGAGTTTGGCAAAACGGTTGTCGCCGAGCACGCCGGCGTTGACATCGACCTTGTCCCTCCTCTCTTGTCGTGCCAGGATCTTGTCTGCCAGTCTTTGATTGACCTTGACCTTCTTCATGCCACGTATCCTGCTTGCGCGCTCTTTCTCGACCTTCTCTTGGACTCTCTTCTGGCGCTCATCTTCGTAGACGTAAGGATTGGCAACCAACCGAGCCTGCTCGTACAGCTTGGTGTCGACAAAGTAGCCATGCATGTAAGGGCGAAGCATAGCGGTCCCAACAAGGTGGTCCAGACTGAGCGATTTGAGCTCTGGTTTCGTCAAAAACTTGTAGTTGTCGTACGTATCGGTGCGGACCTCCTCGGTCATTTCTTCGACCATGTTGTCGAGGAAGCCGCACCATTTCGGGGCTGAGCCCAGCGCTGGTATGTGAAACACATGCTGCTGCTTGCCCTCGTTTGCCGTCACCAAAGTACCGGTGTCTTTCACCCACTGAACAAAGTTGAGATCCGTGATGGGTTCAATCGACGTCCAAGCCTCGCCGGTTGTATCATCCCAAATTTTGATGATTTTCTTGTCTGCCGACAGAATTTTCCTCTCCTGTGATGCCGTCTTGAGGTGAATGATATTTTTGATGCCAAAGCCAAATCCTTGTTCCTTTCTCAGCAGCGGCACTGGTCGTCGCAGATCAAACACTGAGCATACACCCTGGCTCGTGCCTGTAACTAGAGATAGGCCAGTGTAGGGGTTGAAGTCGAGCGACGTCACTTCTCCTTCCAGACCCTCCAAAACGGCGACTCGTGACCTGACGCGCGGGTCGATGAGTTCGACAGAGCCTTTGCTTGTACCGAATGCGAGGAGATTGTGTGTGTTCTCGGCAATAGCGGCCGCGTTGACACAACCCGCCTCGATGCTGCCCTGCAACCCCGTCTCTAGACCATCGTCACCTCCAACATCCACCTCGTAAGATTTCATGAATCTGCCGTGTTCGAGGTTGAGGCGGAAGACCTCTCCCGTGCGATTTGGCCCCACCCCGGCCGCTGCAACAAGAGCCTCAGTCGAGTTGCGATCGTATATCAGGTCTCGACCATAGCGTGGTAAGCGGATCTCGTGATGACATCCTCCAAGGGTATGGAACTCGAGTTTTCGGTCGGTCTGGAGGTGGAGGGACTTGGAGGCATCCGGGCTCAGGATGACGAAAGACTGATTGAGGCTCGTGGTGTGTCGCGCCCAGCTGAGCGAGAGCTGGTTGAGATCGTGGACGTGTATCTGCGGTTTGTATGTCCCTGTGCTCATGATCCATTGGCCATCCCCAGAGACTCTGACACAGGCGCTCGCTTCTTCGAATTCGAAATCCTGCAAGAGCTCGACTCGGTTCGAATACTCGGGATCGTTCTTCAAACTCCTCTTTCTTCGCCTGGCGAGCCAGTCAGGTAGAGGTCTGGCGGTGGACGCACCGGACACCGTGTACACCGGCACAAGGCCGGGGGTGGTGACCTTCATGCTCGTTGTGTGAGTTTGAGGTTGTTGTTGTGTGTTATGGGATAAATGCTAGTCGTCTTCGCAGGAAAGCAAAGGATCAGCCGTGGGAAACTTTTTGGGCGATAAGGAAGTTTTGGTTCCTTATCGGGAGCCTCCGCTCTCGTATACAACGGATCCTATATGCTGCGGGCAGGGCCTTGCTTGCTGGAGACGCTACCCGGACCCCCTTGCAGCGAGTACTCTCTAGGCCAAGTCTGTACTGGACTGCAGGGCCGTGGGGCCAACACCCTGTCCAGCAGCTCCAACGACGACGGCGTGTACGCCTGAGATCAGCCTCCTTGCGATTCGAGTGCCCGCCCGACCTTGAATACCTGTCCTACCCATCGTCCTATCGTGACATCTTACTTGGTCGAGACGCCTTGGATTTGTCAACACAAGGGCCTTTTGTTATAGCACATGCATTCTATCTCGACAAATTCGAGCCAATTCACTATAATTCATCTGCATTTCTCGAAGTAATTACAAGGGTCCGACAATCGTTAGCTCTTCTGTCCTCGAGTACGCTGCCTTGCGCCACTCGCTGCTGGCCGTTCATCTCCAGCCTCCGAGCGTTGTCGCGATGGGGATCCGGCCCTTCGAGGGCTACGAAGGAAGAATATTCGATTCATGATCTCTTCAATTCTCGGAACTCGCGTGTGCAAGACCAGCAACCTTGGCCCGCGGATGGGATCTATTTGCGCGCGAAGTATGCGGTAGACCTCACAGCCGATATTCATGCACGGTCGCAGGCTGCCCTTTACGGCGTCTGATCCTCCGAGATGGACCCTGGTGAATATGAGACTAATACCTTGTTGATTGTAAGTCTTCTTCATCGTCAACCTAGTCGTTCAGTGTATGGGAACCTGACAGTCTTGCTCGTCCCAGAACAATGTCTCCTCCGTGGCCTTCAAGATCTACGAACCAGCACCGCCAAGCTCCTCCCCATATACGTTCGCCGCCTCCGATGTCGAGAGTGCATTAAGGAATGAAGGTCATTTGGTCTACGCTGATCCGCTACGCCGCGCAATATGGTGCTTCTGGCTTGGACGGGGCGATGAGTCGCCTCTCGGGGATTTGTCGCCTGGAGCGAACCTCCACGCCTGCGGTCACAACCTCGCCATGGTCGAAGAAGGCATGCTTGAACCTGTCAGCCTGTTCAAGAATCGTATCATGACTCCCAATGCAATGAGCACGCCGAGCAGCTCTTCACCAAGCGGATCCGGTGTGGATATGGGGCTGCGACCTCCAACTACCCCTGGAGGCATTATGACCTCGGGTGGCCTCGCCTCAGAGGCAGACGTGAAGTCCAGTTTTGGATATACAGTGGACCTGAAGAGCTATGGCGCTATATCTCCGAAGGACATCCACGAATACTTTGTTGCCTCGGTTCTTGGGAGCTTGTCACACAGATTTTGTTCCAAAACTGGTGCGATCCCCCTTGACTCCAAGTCGTTCATCCTTCCTTCTGAAGGGGGCTTTGCAGATCACGAGTCTTCTCAGACCCCGGCTCCTTCAATCTTCGCATCTCTCCGTGTACACCTCACAACGACCGGATCGCTCCTCATTGGCATCTCTTTAACTGTTGTTGAAGGCATTTGGGCTGGCAGTGATGGTCTGAGTGCACCTCCACATATGAGCGGCAGCACTGTGCTAGCTGCACCTTTAGGGATGTTTGGGACCCTACCGGCTTCGAGCGACGTCGACCAATACTCAGTCGACGGCAGCATTGCGCAATCTCCCGATACGCAAGTCACGCGATACAGGGCAGATGTGGATGGTAGATCCAGCCATTGGCGAAGCACTTGCTGCAAGTTGCTCGAGATGCGAGGCATATCGTCAGCAACATTGAGCAAATCCTCCTGGATCAATATACAATTCCTTCGACGGAAGCCAAACGAGTTGAGGACAGACGGCAAGCGAACGCCCATGGTTAACCCGCACGCACAACTCATGTGGCCGGCGGCGCTGTGCTATAGAAAACGGACGAGAAAGCCCGTCATCATACAAAACAGCTTCGAGTTGGGCCATGCCAGCGCCAAAGATGAGTTCGACGCATTGAAGAGCGCTCAGCATTGGTTCCTGAACAACACGGAGAGAGAAGACCTCTTGTCCACCAGGAAGAAGGAGAGAGAAGCAGCAACCTCTTCGAAGGAATCAGGCGAGACAGACTCCCGTCTGCTCCATAGCGGGCTGTCCCCCAACGCTCCGCGCCGGACCAGCAATCCAGGCGCGGCAGGCGGTACGATGTATCCTACCCCTCCTGATGGTGTGCAAAATGCCACGGGCATCACCCCTACCATTGATGGCACTACATCAAGCCCTGGAAATCCGGTTCCTTCAACTGCCATGGTTGACATTGATACATCTATGACAGTGCCCGGGGGTTTGACGGATGCATTCGGTGACGCTTGGGAGGGAAGCGAGATCAAACGCGAGCAGTCCTTCAACCAGGAGAACTGGGACTTGAATAACGATGTATTTGTTGACAACGACATTACGGACGCCGACTTTAATTTCTTCGACGACGAAAATCCCACCGGCATGGATGCCAACATCTCAGAACTGCCCGACATGGACACTGGACCATCAAACATCGACTCTTCCCAACCGCCTAGTATACCTGAGCCCCAGCAACCTCCTCCACAACAAGATCCAATCAAGATAGAGCCCCCGTCAGCTCAACCCGTCTTTGCAAAGCCGGAGTTGAAGCATGCCAGAAGCATTCTGGAGCGAAACCGGGATCATGCCAAGGCAGGCCCTTCGAATGGCATCAAGAGACATCCAAGTCCCTTCGACCCTGCAACTGTTTACAAAAAGCTGAAACTATCCCTCGCCCCCAGTATAAGCCCTATCACGTCTTCGACGCGTCGAGGAAGTGCCTTCGACAAACTCGATTTCGACAGGTCTTTTGCTGCGGTCAACAAGAAATACGAGCATAATGGGCGGTTCGATTTTCGAGAGGAAGAACAGACAAGCGACACGCCTCCCAGAACGGGATCACCTCCTACGACCGGCTACTTGCAGCGGCATGGCAAAGCTCGGACGACACTCAAAGAACTACCGGCGAACCTTGGTTCTCAAGTAGCAGGGATGGCAGCGGCTGTGAATAGTCGTATGACTGCATCGGAAGCTGCTCACGCCGACGAGTCGACTTCTGACGCCGATGACATTAGTCTCGTATCCGATCAAGACGATATGAGTGACTTCTCGGATGAACCATCTTCTCCCACCAAAGCTAGCATTCAGCGCCGACGATTCGCGGATGACAACGAGTCCGTGGCTGCTTCGACGAGAGACTTTGAGGCTATGGATGAGCTTGCGTTCAATGCGGATCTCTCCAAGCTCTCGATCAGTAATTCCCCGGAAAGTACAGTTGCGCGCTACTTTGCAGACCCAGAACCTATCATGCCACGAGTACCACTCTCTGACGAGGAATACATTATGGTTGCCCAGATTCTCACAGAGCAGGCCGTTTCTGGTTGTCTGAACTACGCGTTGAATGGGCTGATGCATACTGGTCTTGATCTATCAAGGCCGCAACGTAAGATGATGCGAGGTCTACGCAGCTCAGTGCACGCACTTCAAACGATACTGCCACCCTGCCTGCAAAGTGCAACAACATGTCAGCTCCGTCAGCTTGTCGATACGCAAGACGTGCCATTGTTGGCCGCACCTAGTCGCATACAGCCTCGACCACCGGGCGGTGGGCCAGAACAACGTCCAAGCCTGGTGCAGATAGCTCCGCCGCACCTCGAACTCCGCAGGTACGAGACCAAGCTCTCCGTCTTACCCTCCGCGGTGAACTTCTGGGAAAGCCTTGGCCTTGGCCCATCTCAAGGTTCCAAGGACGTTCACTCGGTCTGCGTCTTCCCAAACTTGGATGGTATGGCAGACAGCGCAGGCATCTTTCTGGATCGCCTCAGCAATGTCTACGAGTCGTTAAAGCTAGGAAGCTTTGACCGTATGCCCTCATCACCCAACGTACCGAATGGGCTTTTGCCCTTTGAGGTCGACAAGACGACCAACGCCCCGACTACCTCACAAGGCTCACGATCTGGTCAGCCACTTGTGGATGATATGGCCAAACTCGCAGTTGCCATATTCAACACGACGTCTGTGTCCAAGAACTTTGTTGTGTTCTTTGTGTACACGCCCGAGAACCCTGGCACGATCGTCGAGTCCTGTCTGGCTTTTCAGCGGATGTTTGAACTGTACAGACGAGCCTTGACGGAACGGAAGAAGCCGGCACAAAACGAGTTGGTGCTGCAGCTGGTTCCCTTGAATTTTGTTGGTACACCGACGTCAATGGTGGTTTTGTCACCAGGTGACTGTATACGGATATGTCTTGAGGTGTATGATCGATGCACTTTGTTTGGAGGGCCGATGCCCTCGCCTGCCATCGTTCTTGAGCAGCAGCCGGTCACCTCAGGCATAAGCTTTCAACTGAGGAACCCCCCATCCCCCAATGTGCTGCAAGAGAACTCAGTCATGCATATCGCGTATGCACAAAGTGTCGATGATAGGTGGATAACTACAGCATGGACGGACAACCGCGGCTGCAAGCAGATGACAGCATCATACTGCCTGGGGCGGAAAGGCAGACCACTCTCAAGATCCTTTGCTGACATTGCTCACGAGATCTGGGCAACAACCCATGATCTTACATCCATATGGAAAGTTCACTGGCGCATCGTCATCACCAAAATAGGCGTCATGGATCCAGCAGAGATCAACGAGTGGATCACACTGGCACAGAAAGAATCAAAGTCCTCGTTTAGCCTCGTGCTACTGACGGTCGACACGAACCCGTCGTTGCAGCTGGTACCCAGCGTCCCCAAGACATCTATGGCAGGACAGGCTACCTTTTACTCAACACCAGTCTCCACGCCTCAGCCTGCAACGATGTCTCCAGAAGCAGTCGGCAATCCGTCGACACCCAAAGGCGCCCCGACCTCTACCAACGTCTCTACTCCTGTAGCAGACAACAACGCAGTCGAGGCCGATACTGACGCCACTCTTGTGGATGTGTCGGACACGACCTGGGGTGCGGTGCTCTCGCACCGTCTGAATACGTCCTGCTCGCTCACAGACCCAACCCCAGCGCTCATCAGTGGCTACCTGATCAGGCGCGGCGGATTGCGTGCAGACGACCCACCTACAGTTATGGAGGTCAATGTGATCCACTGCGAGGGTAACCCGCGTGTTCTCGAGTTGCTGCTGCGGGAGATGCTGTCTGTCTTCCGGGGCCTGGGAACGATCGCGCGGGCCAGGTCTGTGACGGAGAAGGAGGGCGATGTCCGACCGTGGCATGTGGCTGCGGTAGAGAAGGGACTCAGGGCATTGTATCAGCTGATGTGAGATAGCTGTGCAAGCGACCTGTACGATAAACGGATAGACTGGTGGGCTTCGCTCTACTTTAAGAATGAATTTGATTACATCGCTCTTCGCCGCTCAGCAGTGGGCCATGGTATCGGCTTGTTGGCGTATGGCATAGGATGGCATGGCATGGCATGGTTGGCGCTAAGCATTAAAGTATATTTGGGTGTTTGAATACCATTAGGACGAAATATACAGATGATACTAAAAGGTTCAGATATGCAACCAATTTTTTCTGTGCTGTCTATCCTCTTAAGTCTTCCCTCAGTGCCCGAATTTCTAGGTGGCGCAAAACAACGAGTATGTGCCACATTCCTCCCCATATTTATAAGTGACCTGTTCAAAGTCCTCTTCTTCTCTAACGTGCGCTGGCAGTTGATGCCAGGCAGGGGATATCTCAAAGTTAAGCAAAACATCCAGCCGACAACGCCATCACATGTATTGGTGCCCACATCTAACAGCCTGCCTGCACCAGGGGGCCTACATTAATCCTTCCAAAAGTTAGGGAACAGATATTCCACCCTCTCCATAGCTTTGGGATCCCTTCCTGCGGGCTTTGTCATGAACTTGACAGCACCGACACTCGCGCCCTCGAGGTGCTTGGCGACGACCAGGTCCCCGTGTTCCTTGTCCTCAGCAACGAGCTCATCCAGAACCGCGCCCACCAGCCTCTTGGCGTTGACGCTGTTAGCGCTCATGTACTTCATGACCATGGCCACATCGACGTCCTCGCCCGGCACGGAGCGCCAGCAGTCGTAGTCGGTCGCCATGCAGATCATCTGGTAGGCGAGCTCGGCCTCACGGGCGAGCTTCGCCTCGGGGAGGGCGGACATGTTGATCACGCTGCCGCCCCATGTGCGGTACATGTTGGACTCGGCGCGGGTGGAAAATTGGGGTCCTTCTGTTGGTGGGGTAGAAAGAGGGGGAGAAAGAGATCGTTAGCATCTCTTATCGTCCTTTTATATGTTCAAGGGGAGGGAGGGAGGGGCTGTGGGGGAATTTGACATGGTCATCAAGACGTACCCATACAGACGATAGTGCCGCTCTCATGCAGCGTCGAGCCCTCGCCCTGCATGGCTCCGGCACAAGCCTTGACAACCTTGGCCAGCTTCTCGTCAAACGGGTCCGCGAAGCCAACATGGCCCACCAGACCCTTCTCGAAGAAAGTGAAGGGCCTGACCCCCTTAGTCCGGTCTATGATCTGATCCGGCACGACAAAGTCCATCGGCCTGATGTGTTCCTGCAGCGACCCGACTGCGCTAAAAGCGATCACACACCGTACTCCAATATGCCTGAGAGCCGCGATGTTGGCTCGGGAGGGAACCTCGTGGGGAGCGTGCTCGTGGTAGGCGCCGTGGCGCGACAGGAAAGCGACGGGGACGCCACTGTGCTCGAGGATCTGGATGGGCGCCGAAGGGTGGCCCCATGGCGTCAACGGGTTCACGGAGGCGACGGGGATGTAGCCCTCAATCTGAGAGAGGCCAGTGCCGCCTATGACGGCGATATGGACAGGCCCTGGAAGAAGAAGATGGTTAGACCACATCACTGGCGGAAGGGAAGAGATATCGTGTTTTGCACTCGTGTGGACTGCATGGGACTTACGATCGAACTTTTCGGGGAGATCGTGTGCCATCGTGAATGATTGTATATGCAAAAGGGTGAGGAAAAGGGAATCAAAGTGGAGGAAAGAAACAAAGGAAGAGAAAGCCAAAAGGATGCCCAGTCAATCAGTCGCAATGAGGGTAGCAGGCAGATGCTACCCCGCCAAGATGATGCTGAAGATTTGGTGGGGCAAATCATTTCTCGGTTGCCCCTCTGTCGTGTACCATAAGTACTGCGTGGTACTTTGTACTCATGGTACTGGCCCATTTTCTGGCGCTTGTTGCCCCTTACCTCATACCCACCCTGGCGGTCTTGTTCTAGTACAACCCGGCAGCGACGTCCTCACCCGCGCGACCCACCGTAAATTTCACATTGCAATCCAGCTCACCTCTGTCTCTCTTTCTCTCACTCTCTCACTCACTCACACATACACCCTCTCCATCATCTCGAAAATAGCCTTGACACCTCCTCACTCAGGCAACAGATTCTCATCAAGCATGTACACTTCCAATTGCCGCTAAAAATCGAAGCAAAGGAACACCTTCACGAAAAATACTCACTGGCCTTCTCCTTCGCACCAACTTCCCAAATCAGGCCGACCTGCCAGAGTTGCCCCACACACAAAACTCAAGAACAAACAAGCTTCGAGGCTCAAGGAGAGACGACTTGCCGCCTGCTTTAGTAGGCGATGGAGACTAGGACTGGAGTCATGGCCATGACAGCCGCCGGCGAAGGTGGCGCACTCGAGGTTCCGGTCAGGCCGGTCTCAAATGATACCATCGAGGAAAGATATTTTACGGCGGCGCTCATGTGCCTTGAGGGTCACTTCACCGACTCTCCGCCCATGGGTGTCCAGACCACCCTCAAGGTCGCTGCCATGGTATCAAAAACTCTAGATAAATCTCATGCCTGGAAGGATGTCCGGTACGTAACCTGTGTCTGATTCCCCTCAAAGGAGATCGATTTCCTGACCTGAACCACAGCGAGAATTTGTCGGAAAACGTGGCAATTTGGGTCTGGTTGACTCGAATATTTGCAGCCGCTATACCGAATCTCACAACCCGTTCTGTCGGACCACTGGCCAGCCTCAACGACCCCGACAAGGGCGTGACGCCTCAAGAGAGCACGGCTCTCATCATCAAGAACTACCAGGGCCTGAAGGAGGACCTGCAGATTTTGAACAAGCTGATGCACATCGCCCGGAATCTCCTCGTCACAACCGAGCCCGAGGTGCCGCAGGATATCTGTGCGGCAGTTCATTTCGACCAGATGGTCTATCAAACTATTATCCTGTGCGTGAACGTGACCAGCAAGGGCTATGACGGAGAGGTGCTGGACGAAGTCTCCCGGGCAAGGCTAGCTGAGATCACCGACCTTTGTAAGAACTGTCCCATTTTGTGTATATCTGAGCCCCCCAGGCGGCCCGCTGACAGTGTCCTCCAGACAAGAAAATACTGGTGACATCCCTACAGCAGGCGCACAACTGGACCGCCAAGAATGACAGAAACAAGATGTCATTCTGGTACGACGTCTTGTTCGACGACGATGCCAACATGGACGATTCGCAGGACGATTCGGATGAAGAAGTCCATTTTCGCGTAGATGTTGCCAGGACAGAGGTCCAAAACTGGCTGGAGCGCAACTCAACCATGACCACTACCGCCCAAGATCTCCTCAGGGCCTACGCAGTGGAACAAGCCCGGACACAAAGACAGCCTGGGCCCCTTGCCCCGATATCACCACTGGCATGGAACTGGCTGCCTAAGGGGTCTGTGAAGGTCAGAGCTGACAGGTCAGGGGAAGAAGAAAAGGACGACGACGATGACGATGATGATGACGACGACCTGGATGAGGACGAGGAGGATCTTAATGATGACGGTAGCATGCCAGAGTGGGACCCGAATGAGACCGACAAGTTCGAGCAGGACCGGCGTTATGGCCACGTCTCTCGTGAGGTCGACGAGTGGTGGGCCAAGGCCCAGGACCCAAACCTCCATCGACTGGTTGTGCCGATGCCCTCGATTGAATTCGCCGAGAAGCGTATGATGGTTTGCAAGGAGAACCTCATCAACAGATTCGCCCATCAGTACCGAGGGGATGATCATCCTGATTCGCTCCAGGATGGGGATCGCCCACCTGAAGAGTACAGCGAGGAGTATGTGGACGATATGGCGGATGACGACGATGTCGACGATGACGAGTCGTATGGAGATGGTCCCATGACCGGCCTCCTCACTGAGGTGCCCAATATCCTGGACCCCAAGCAGATCGAGGCCCTGCATATGATCATCAAATCATGCATCCTCGATGCGGCGGGCAGCGGCTTATCAGCAACAGGCGAGAACCTGCAGCTGACACGGTGCCGGATGCTCCTGGCATTAGATTGTGGCAAGAGTCTGCTTCGGGAAATGCTGGTCTTCATTGCCGTCTGGGAGAAGGATGAGACGTCATTGATCTTTCAGTTGACTAGCCAGATCGTGGAGGCCATTCACAAGAGCGCTCTGATCCCGTATGCTTGGAACAGTCTACGGATCCCGAAGGATATTGTGTCACCTGCCCAGACCATCCTCCTGCGACTGGTCAACTACATGTTTCGCGCACGACTCAAAGATAACCCCTCTGAGGCGTACCAGGACCCGACGGCAGCGGTCAGGCTAGTTCACTTCTTCTTCATCAACTTCCGCAGCAGGATCGTCCCGGAGTGCGTGGCTCTGATGAAGCTGCAGGCGGACATCCGACACAAGAAGCTGGATCCTACAGACTTCCCTGTGGACAACTGGGACATGGAGCGTGCCAAGGACGGGTTGGTGCAGTTCCTGGACTTCCTGACGAGCGTATCGGAAGATCCCGAGGTGCGGCCCAAGTTGATCGAATGGGAGGCGGCGTACGATCTCATCTCACTTTTACGAGGGCTCGAGGAGGGCGTGGCGAAGAAAAGTCTCGTAAATCCGCCAAACCGATCCAAAGACCGGGTTAGCCAAGCATCCCCACCGGTGAACAATGGTCATCACGACCCCAACGACGCCAAGCCTCCTCAGCCACCGCATGCGGGCAACAATATACGCGACACACCGGCTGCATACACCTTCCCATGGGCTGGCGTCAAGGGCCAGATCCTGCAGATTCTCGCTACACTGCTGCAACCACCTCGCGGCCACCACAGTCCGGGCAATGCAACTGTGCAGAAGCAAATTGTGAAGCACAATGGTATCGTTGCGCTGTTGAACTGCTGCACTTATGACGATCACAATCGCTACGCCAGGGAGCGGGTTCAATTATGTCTCAAGTGGCTCATGGACGGCTCTGAGGACGCCAATAAGTTTCTGCGGAACTTGGTGGCCCATGGGCCTCAACCAACTGCCACCCATACTGTAGCTCCGGGCCAGTCTGCAAACCTCCGCATCGATGGCATCCCGGGCGAGGTGAGAGTGACGGTGCATCCTAAGCAGACCGACCCTGTGACGGCGGGACACGACAAGACTGGCGCTGCCGGTGTCACCAGTGCTCCTCGTGCCGCTAACCCGGGACGCGTGGTCAACGCTCTGCCTCCGGCAGCGCCGAGTACTAGTACCACAGCCAGCGGCAGCAGTGATAACAAGGCATTGGCCAGCACTGCTAACACCACCGCGCGAAGCAACATGCGGAGCTATCTCCAGTCGATCGACTGGACACAACCGCACATGCCCTCGCCCAGCCGAACCGACGAGCTTCTACACGATATCATCAACCTAGCCGACGAGGCAGCGCGGCTAGCTCTGGGCGAGAACGTGGAGGAGACGGAAGACGAGAATTTTATGTGAGGCACTCTGAGTAAATCACCTCGTTGCTTGTCGTGCGGGAGACTCTGTTTATTCCTTGGCCCCTTGTCAGAACGTCTCCTTGTTTCCAATCTCTCTGGGTCTTATCCGCTACACCATCAACCAGGCCCTTCTCAAACCGAGAAAGAGAAAAGAAAGAGAAAAAAACACAGCCAAACTCTGGTGGAACATGAGGTTTTCTAATAGCATTGTTGCTTCTAGGTTTTACGTCATGAAGCTCACCGAGCGCCTCAAGAAAGAGGGAATTGATATCAATCTACGGGATGCACTAGGTGTTGATACAGATCCTAAGCTGAGGAATCTACGGGGGAAATTGTAGGGAGATATATATATATTCGGGTGGCAAGAAATTATCCAGATGGAAATCTTGGATCAAATGTGAACGGGAGATATTCCACATCAGGGAATGGCGTTTGTGGGAAGGGATACAGCATCTACGTTTACACTGCATTTTATTCACAAGATAAGCAATACCACCTGTGCATAGAGACAGATTGTATTATTTTATTTTTTTGGAAGGTTTTGCATTCTTGTGCCACTGGAATCACTACTCCAATACAGCATTGCTAGAGTCCAACATGATCATGCATTTTTTTTTTTTCAGACCCATACATACTCTACAGCATTAATCAAAACATCCATTGCCCTTGTTTCAACGTCCATCTTCGTTCTCTTCTATTCGGCGACCCACACAGCAGCCATGCTAGAAGAGCGCAACACACACGAGGTCAGCGCCAGTCTTGAAAGAGGCGGAGGGAACGAGGGGAAAATAATGAAAGACTTGACTTACCCCATACCAGTACCAATACACATACTCGTGACACCAATCTTCTCACCCCTCCTCCTAAGCTCGTACAGCAGCGTGGAGACCTGCCTGGCGCCCGTGCATCCGAGCGGATGACCAAAAGCAATGGCGCCGCCCTTGGGGTTGATCTTCTCGGCGGGCAGGCCCAGCTCGTTGGCGCACCACAGGCACTGGCTGGCAAAGGCCTCGTTGATCTCAAAGATGTCGACGTCGTCCTTGGTGATGCCGGTGAGCTCAAAGACCTTGGGGATGGCCTTCCAGGGCCCCACACCCATGAGCAGGGGGGCGACGCCGACGATGCTGGCGGCGACGTACTTGCCGAGGATGGTCTGTCCCAGGCGCTCGGCGGTGCTGCGGCGCATGAGCAGGACGGCCGCGGCGCCGTCGCTGATCTGGCTGGCGTTACCGGCGTGGATGGAGCCATCACGGGCAAACGCGGGCTTGATCTTGCCCAGGGACTCAGCTGTGATGCCGTCGCGCACGCCATCGTCGCGGTCCACGACGATTTCCTTTGTCTCGCCGCTCTTGGGGTCCTCAAATTTCACCTTGAGAGGCAGGATCTCCTCCTTGAAAAGGCCCTGCTTTTGAGCCACGACAGCCTTTTGGTACGAGGCAGCGGCGAAGGCGTCCTGGCTCGCGCGGCTGATGTTGCGGGCCTTGGCCATGTCCTCGGACAGAACGCCCATGGGGACCTTGCAGTTGGCGGCCTCGGGGTGGGATTCGAGGAGGTCGGAGAACTCGGTTACGGCGCCGGGCCTGTGAACAAAAGACAACAACACTTGGTCAGCATCTGAGGATGAGGAGGAGGAAGGGGAGAAAGGGTTGGAGGGCCCGGGGGGGGGGGGGGGGAAGGGAGCTTGTCTTGTCTCCCGGGAAAGAGAAAGAAACAAACATACCCGTACTGCGTAGACATGCTCTCGACGCCCGCGCCGATGCCCACCTCGATCATGCCGGCGCGGATCTGGTTGGCGACATCCACACACGCCTGCAGGCCAGAGGAGCACTGCCTGTTGAGGGTGCGCACAGCGGTAGACTCGGGGAAGCCGGCGGCCAGGGCGGCGGCACGCATCTCAGTGGCACCGCCACCTGGGGCAAGGACGGTGCCGACGCAGACGTCCTCAACCAGGGACGGGTCGATCTTGGAGCGGTCGATGAGGCCCTTCAGGGCGCCGACCACGAGGTCGGAGGCCATAGTGTCCTTGAAACCTCCCTTACCGCCCTTTGTAAAGGGGGTGCGGAGGCATGCTGTGACGACAATCTGTCGGTAAAAGAGTTAGGGCATCTTGTGGCTTGCCTGGGAATCAGAAGAAGAAAGAGGATGGGCAGGAGGAAGACGAAGAGGACGGCCTACATCATCAGGGTTCTTCTCGAGGAGCTTCTCCTTGCCAAACTTGGGGCTGGTAAGCTGGCTGCCAATAGAGGACAGTCTGTCGAGGGCTGGAAGAGCGATCAGTCTGGAGAACGGCACATCGTCGTCGTCGACCTCGTCAAGGAAGCTTACCACCCATCTTTGCGGTTTCTTTGCTGTTATTGATGATCTGTCAAAGTGTCGGTTTGGTCTGAGGGACGAGGAGGGACAATATCGAATCCAGGATAAACAATATGCTTGACGTGTAGAACAATAGGGAACTCTTGAGAAAGGATTATTCTGTTCAATAGAAAAGTATCGAGAGGACATGTTCTTCAAACAATGTGTCGGTGATTCCTAAGTGGGCCTTCGAGTTACCGAGGCACCGGGCATGCGCTCGGGGCAGCTTCAGGACGGGCAAGGTTAAGCGTCATAGGTCATCCTGTACTACTGTAGTCTCTGACTTGCACCTGCCACGCCATTGGCTTTCCTTTTTTTGCCTTTCTGTTTTGGCACATGGGCTTCTCTCCAGTTGGCATGTGATGATGGTCAGTGTCCCCTTCCATGAGCCCTCCTCTGTCAGGACGGACTTGACCGCATAATCAGTCAGCAGAACATTGACGTTCACTAATCACCTGCGTCGTCTTGAGTCCTTTTCTAATCTATCTTTTTATTTCTTTTTCCTTTTCTATTTTCTCTTTACCTCCCCCTGTCCACCTTCTCGAGCTCACATCTGCACATAATCCTTCCCTCTCTCTGTTTATCAGTTCTGGGAGCAAAGTCATGTAACCCCCAGATGCTGCGCTACAGCGACAAGAACTAGTCATCCCTTTTGCATTGTGCATACTGTAACAAGCCTCTGATCTTCTGGCCTCGCCAAGCTGGACACAGATTGGGCGACATCTCAAATGTCGTTCAGTGACGTCGTCTCTTGTCAATCGTCATCCAAGCAAGACTTGTAAGCCGGACTCTCGGAGCAAATTCTCTCAGTGAGGTAAACGAACGAGATCCATCAGATCCACCCGACCGGAGATATGGCTTCTATATAAGGCTGCCTGCCCCATAGTCACGGTGCGGCGCCTTCAAAAGAAAAAAAAAAAAAAAAAAAAAAACCTATGAGGAGGAGGATGATCATGATGATTATAGAAAGAATAGGCTTTATTGAGGCTGCGGTACAAAAGGAAAGAGCCAGCCAGGCCCAGGCTACCTGAAGCTATCTAAGCAAGGCAGGGCAGGTGCCTGCTGCAATGGTTATGATCCTCGGCATCAGGCTTGCTTACTTACTTTGACTTGATGTTTTTGTCTTGTCGTCTGCTTCATCTCATCCACCCTCCGTCGTCGTTCACCATTTACTACCACCACCGCCACCAACAAATGATCTGTTCAGCAACGTGGCACAGATAATCAATCGCCCAACAGGTGAGAAACTACCTACATACTCCATACAGCAAATAATGCAGCAGTAGCACACATGATATTACACAAAAACAAAAACCCTTGTGCCCCACTGACAAACCAACGGAGCCCCCTTTCCACGCCTCATCCCTCCTCCTACTCCAAGGGACTCGCCGGCCTAGCTGAGGAGCGCTACAGATGTGGTGCCCTTACCTGTGCGCCTGCAGGATTCGGGGATCCGTTTGAGAGGGATTGCTTTGCACCCACAACGGCTAAAGGGTCCACCCTATCGAACGCACAAGTCGCGCGACAAACCCTTGGAGAGCCCACGACTGTGGCCCAATCTCGCTTGCACACGGTTGCCATCCCTCTCTTGACTCGTCCTAGTCTAGCCCTGCCGAGCCTGCACCGGCCCCTCGTCTCTCTCTTCAAGGCTTCTTCCCGCTTGTTTATCTGCCCCCCCCCCCCCCAATAAGAGAGAGAGAGAGAGAGAGAGAGTGAGAAAACCCTCATTGACCCCGGCGAGGGATTGATTGATGATCGTCTCCGGACCCGGGGCCCTGCGGGAGGAATCAGGCCTTGTTCCTCTCGTTTTCCACTCAGTGGCGTGTTCGAAGCCTTGTCTCTCTTGCCTTTCTCAATTCTTTGATTCAGTTTTCCATCTTTGTTCTCCTCATACTCTGATTGCGGCTCTCTGGTTTGTCACCGTGCGCGCTTGCTCGCTTGCTCTAGGGTGTTTGATCTTTTCTGCAACCCTCCCCCCCTCCACACCAAGATCATACTCAGTCCACTGGTGGCGACGCTCGAGCCTCCAGCCCCAGCCCCGGCCGTCTTTCTCTATCTCCAGGACTGCTCAGCTCTGCCTTGCTGGTGCCTCTCGAAACCCTGATCCTTTCCTCCTCTTTTTTCTTCTTCTTCTTCTTCTTCTTCTCCGCCTCCCTCCCCCCTTCGGTAACCAGCAGGCGATAACTTTCGGCCTTCAAGCCACAAAGTTGCGCCGCTGTCTCTCCCTACTTTTCCACCCGCCCATTGACTGCGACGGGCAAAAGAGCTGCGACGCCGACGCCAACGACGACAACGACGATGATGATGGATTGAGGCTCGACGAGGACGAGTCGAACGATCTCTGGCGGCGAGAGAGGAAGAGTGAAGAGACACCGCATGCCCAGAGCTGAGCATCAATTGCAATCACTACAGTCTACGATTACTTGAATTCCCAGCGGCCTTTAATTCCTAATTCCTCCTCCCCTTGCTACGGGATAACGCCATACGCACACATACAACGCAAATAACCCCCAGAATTACAGTACCAAGGAAAGGGTCACAAACAAAACCAATTCTCCTGAAGGCGTCCGCGACTATTACGATCTCTTGGAACTATTTTCTGCTGCCATTCTTCTTTGCTTCTTGTTGTTATTTTTTATTGTAATTTTGACCTCTAATTTTATATTCAACCCCCACCTCCACCAACGATATGGCCACCTCCTCTACCGGCCACGCGGGGCAGATCACCGTGACCATCACCGCCGCCGCGGCCTCGTCAACAGCGACTCCGGGAAGCGATAACAACGGCGACCTCGACACAACCAGCAGCACATTATCATTAATATACGTCTACTCGACCTCCACCAACTCCGAACCCACGGACGCAGCATCCTCTTCCAACAGTTATAACTCCTCGAGCTCGCACCACCTCAGCGGGGGCGCCATCGCAGGCATTGTTGTCGGTTCCGTAGCCCTCCTCGCCATCCTCGCCCTCGCCCTCTTCTGTTATTCCCGCCACGTCGCTCGCAGGAGGCGCGCAGAGATCGCCTCGCTGCAGCCGAGCCGCCACCCGGCACCGAGCAGGGCGTACAGCCACGCCACCACGATCCAAGGGGGCCAGATGACGGGCGGTGGGGCGGGCGGCGCAAGTACCAACGGGCGCACCACCCGGAACAGCCACTATGCGCGGTCCATGGGCGAGCGGTCCATGGCTACTACCGTGGGTGGTGGAGGTGGTGGTGCGCGGCGGTCGCTGAAGAGCCCGGATCTGCTGCCTGTGCTGCCTCCGCAGGAACTTCCTACGCCGCACAACAGGCCTGAGCTGGACGGGCGCGCTAAGCAGCGGTCACAAAAGTCATCGAGGTCGCGGACAAAACCACGGGGCGCAGCAGAGGTGTATGGGTCCATGGAGCATCCGGTTGAGCTGCAGGCAGGGAGCATGACGGATCTGGTGGCTGTGATCCAGGAGATGAAGAGGGTTAAGGTCCCGGGTACCGAAGGAGGAAGTTATAATGGCAACACCCACAGCAACAGTGGTAGTAGTCGAGGAGGCCGACAACAGCAGGACAGGGATTCGGATACCCTCAGCGCGCGCGGGTATTTGAGCCCGGCCTGGCCACCGCACAGCGGGGCTGTGAGCAGCGAATCAGGCCTGGTGAGCGACATGGACGGCACCGAGACCGATTATGACAGCGGCGAGGGCGGCATGACGGGGGACGCCGGCAGCATACATATATATTATCGGTCCTCAGCCGCGACTATTGCTGCCGCCATGTCGCAGGCCTCTTCCATGAAGGGGCCTAGATCGACTATCAGGAGTAGTTCAACAACAGCGAGATTAGTTTAATACTATTTCTTGTACCTGTTTGTGTTTTTTCTTCTTGTCCTTTTTCTCTCTTCTCGCTTTTCTTTCCTCCTCCAGCCGGCTAGCAACCAAACAAACAAGTAGGCAGGCAGGCAAGGCGGGACAGACAGACAAGATCCCGAACCGGGGTGAGGAAGACCGCCACCGGGGGGGGATAAAGGTCGCTAGTCAGCCGCACACAACATCTCTCAGCTTTCACCCGTCTGCCCATCCATTCATGACGAAGCCATGAACTCAGCCGTCACCATCTTCCCCACGAGTCGAGTCTCACCCCCCTCCACCTCCGCCCTCAAGCCGCAGGCTAGCAACTCGGGGCTGACCGCCAACGCCAGAGACCTTCTTTGGGGTAAGAGAGAAGGGGGAAAAGGACTAATCACCCAATCCATTCAACCCCCCTAAACCCCATCCTGACGGAAGGTGGTCAAGCCGAGAGCAGCTGACTTCACCAGGGAGGAAAAAGAAATCCTACGATAAAGCCCGGCGCAGGTCAGACCGCCAGTCGCTCCGGTCTTTTGGAAAGGAAGAAAAACTTGTTCACGTGTGTGTGATGACGAAGTGGCAGCCCAAGCGGGCTTGCGAGTGGGGGGAGGAGGGAGGGCGGAGGGCGGCGCTTTTTTTTTCGTCTTTCTTTTGCGTTCACTTACAAAGGAGCTCGGGGAGGCCCGCGCCTTGTTGTGAGACAGGGTGGAACGCAAGTGTTTGTTCTCGTGCAAGTTTATTATACTCCACGATCTGTGTGACCAGCCTTTCGAGAATAGGAGACTTCTCATTGAGCGTTGAACGTGGCCAAGACGCCAAGAGAGGGACGCAAGAGTATCTGGCCTCAGCCTCAAGAAAAAGAGAAAGAAATAGAAGGATTTCAGAAAAAGATTATCGTTCTCATTTTGTCCTTCTCTTCTGTCATATACCAAGTTGTACCCTCATGCTACACTCCCCTTCTGCGCATGTCTTCTCGTCACTCACGCTGACCTGTTGTTGTTATCATCATCACTCTTACCCTCCTCGTCATCTTCCTCCTCTGTCACCGGTGTCACTCTTCTTACTGTGTGACTGGATCTCACCCCTCACCTATCGTCCCACCTAAACTACCCGTGCATTGGCCTGGTCACGATTCAACCGCTGCATTTCGAACATCGCCCGCCATACCGGAGTGTGACAGCAGCCCTTAGGGTGTGATTGCCTTTATTCACATACCTTCTTCAAAAGCAGTCAAGAATCTTCGTTCACGTATCTTCAAAACAGCACTGAAGACCCGTGGGTTCTTTCCCCGGGGCCTCTCTGTATATACACGCACAAAGCTATTTTCCTAATAGCTAAGCTGGTCAATTTCAGGGGACAACAACACACCACTTTCGAACAACCCACTCACAAGTGCTTCAACATCGACCAGCACAAGATTTTGCTCCCTTGCCTCTCTAAACCTCTTTCTCGGACTTCCCCTCTCCCCCCGTGTGTGCGAGGAACATGACGACCGCCTCCGCCAGACAGAACCTGCACAACCTTCTCGAGCAGCACAAGCAGTACAAGGAGAGGCTCAGGCAGCAGGAGGACGAACTGCGTAGGCTGCAGATGCAGATCTCGCAGACCAGGACGGTGGTCGAAATGACCCTGCCCGGCGAGGTGCGGAGGGCTCACCGGGAGTATATGAGCACTATGTGAGTTTGTTGTTCTTTCCAAGGATAAAAAGAGAAAGAGAAAGAGAAGGAGACATTTTCTGAGGGTGGGGAGGAGTATTGTTGATCACCGATATTGATTTTCTGCGCTACAGAGGACACAACAGCCAACAATGGAATATCGCAAAGCTGGAATACGAGGGCATCGACACCATGTTTCATGGTATTAGACCCTTGAACTTGGGAGGGCTCCATGACCCCACCAGCAGCGTTTTCGGCCGGGCTTGGGTTCAAGTTACATTGCTCCTGGTAAGCCTTCTCTTCGCAAAGATGGTATCTAAGGAAGCTTCGCGAAATTTTCTGTATTGAGATATGGGCATCCTCAAGGAAGAAAAAATGGGGATCTTGGAAAAGCTGAGAGGCATTGAAGGTGTGGCGGGTCAGGCATCACTACACGCGAGGGATGTGAGCGAGGGGTGTGACGAGACCTGAGACCATAGGAACAGCAGCAAGCCTTGTACACAACCACGCGACTCATTGACAGCTGAAAACACGGAGGAAACAATGTGGTGGATTGTTCTGCAAAAGCAAAGTTGGTCCACTTGAAAAAGGAACTCTTGACGAGCCTGGGCTATTGGTGCCCTAGATCTAAAAGCCTTTTCAGCTGTAATTGATCTGAGTAGATTGTTGAGTATTGGTGCCAGATGTAGCATGTGTGTGTACTCTAAACAAGATGGACAGGAAGACTTGGCCGATTCATCTTGATGAAATCCTATGTTCAGTTCAACGCAACTTTCAGGTCAATTTCCAAAATCGTCTCTGTTCACCTCATTCTTCTTCGAGAAGATTGGTCCAATGCTTGAGATGCTATAGTGTGTCGGTTCCAAAGCTGCATGTTTGCACAGCTTACTTATTATGGGCTGATTCGGTTTCGTTCCCGGTCCCCACGACCCTTGAAGAATTTGTGCAGAGGATCACTGCGACCATGCGTACAATTGAACGACTGAAATAACAGGCATAAAACTCTCCTTTCAGCTGGACATATTCAGCGATTGCTGACATCAATTATTGGCCGATCTCATCCCCTCTGACCCCACATCTGCTTGATCCTACAAAGCAAGTTCAAGCACATCAATGCGCTCTCAGTACGTAGACTCGTTGGACAATGACCTTTCGAGGTCAATACTGCTCGTAGGTCGCCTCATATCGTAGTTTCCATCGTATTTAGCCAATCCTTTTTTTTTTTTCTTTTTCCCTCTCCAACCAGCGTTGATGATGGCATCCTCTACCTTTAAGTACCTTCCCCTCGACCACAAGAAGTCCGAGATACGTCTCTTGACGCTGATACCCTCAAGCGACCCATGTGGACCTATTCACTGCTCCTTGAACCATGCATCACTGGACGACGAGCCACCATTCGAAGCTCTGTCGTACGTCTGGGGACCAACTAACCCCACACACGACATCTTCATTGACGGGACTAAATTCGTGGTCGGCCCAAATCTTCACGCGGCGCTGCGCGGCCTCCGTCAGCGCAAAAAGCCCCGTACAGTGTGGGCAGACGCAATCTGCATCAACCAGCAGGACAAGAGCGACCAGGCCTACCAGGTGCCTCTGATGGGCCGACTATATACGGTGGCAAGGACAACGGTCATCTGGTTCGGCGAGTCGAACGAGGAGGTCGATGCCTTGGCGGCCTACCTCAGCACCCACGGCTCCGGCCGGAGTCTCGTCACGGCTCGCTCCTCGGCATGGCTCAAGCTCGGTGCGAAGTCGGTGTTCTCTGACAAGGCCGGCCGGGAGAAGGACTTGCTGATGCTCAGGGCCGCCAACGGGTATTTTGATATCCTCGCGCGGCCTTACTGGTATCGGATGTGGACTTTTCAGGAGTACATGCTGCCCAAGGATGAGCCGCTGTGCCTGTGTGGGACGCATGAGTGAAGAAGGTGCATTTCCATTAGTACGCACGTTGGTCCGTGCGCGTTTGTTTGTTATTTCGGCCGCCAGGCCTACCAGTCTTTTAGTTTCCTCTTCTCCTCATCTTTCAATCCATCGTCTTTACTATCATCAACTTCAACAGGTTATGAGCCCGGTTCATCAAAATTTTGGACTTGGATTATCAATAACATCTCTATTGATACTAATCGCAAAATTGCTTCCCATCAATATTACGAGGAAGAGCGCGTGCGACGCCTGAACGACGCCCCCAGGTAAAGTCGAAGCACCGGAACACGAGTCTGGCACGTATACTAATGCAAACTACTCAACATGGCTGATAACCAAGCTCTTAATCTCTCTAATCCTTCTTCTTTCAATTTCAAGCTGGATCCTTCATTTCTGCCAAAGCTGGATCCTAAGAGCGATAACTTTCTGGACTGGAGAGCTGCCTGGATCAGAGCTTTCCGGTTTGCAAGCCTGGCAGATGTTCTGTTCAGTGAGAAAGTACGCCCAAATGTTGTGGATCAGGCCGGACGAGCTGTCTGGGATTATTAGGATGATCAGGCTTTTGTAATGCTATTCAGCTCTATCCACTCCAATCTGACAACCTTTATTGCCAACTGCAATAGTGCAGCAGATGCATGAATAATACTAGCTAACCATTTTAACTGCAATACTGGAAACTCTACAATCTACCTATTCTGCTTGTTAATGAATATAAGGTTTGAGAATAGCAGTGATCTGCAGTTCCATCTCAACAACTTCAGATAGTTATAAACCAAACTGTATATCAGGATTACTATATTGAACCAGTCTATAAGCAAGGCTATAATGAGAATCTTCGAATCTAATAATATCAAGGGATCATTTTTCCTTACTATACTGCTGAATAATATGAACTATATCGTTGATAACTTAAGTAGTCAAAACCTTATCAAATTCTTCCAGATCGAATCCAAAATGCTCAATATTACTAGCTGCAACAAACTCGAAGATAAGGCTGCTTACTATACATCTACAGCTAAAAAGAAGGATATCAAGCGCAGGATACAGGATAAGAACAAGAATAAGAACAAAGCTGGAAAAGAATATACTTAGTATCATGCCTGCAACTACACCTTTGTAAGCCATCTATATACTGATTGTATCAAGCTAGCAGACTACAAGAAGAATAAGAGCAAGAAATGGAATTGTAATACTGCTTGTTATGCAGAAGATGAGAATAATGATAATGATATCATCGCCTTCCATGCATTCCACGAGATTACAGCCTTTGCTATAAACCTGCTACTATAATTGGATAATGCAAGTATTACTTTCTTATTGTAGATTTTCAATTCTAGCGCATTAAAACATATGATAGAATGCATCGAGGATTTCTCCAGTCTCCAGCTTCGGATTAGCACTATTACTGTAGCTAGCAGCATGCAGCTTTCCGTTAAGAGCATTAGTATAGTGGAAATTCTCCTGCAGATATCTAATAGTTCTATTCATAAGTGCTGTTTATCTAATATTCTTTACAATTACTAACTTAAATCTATCCAACTCTTTAGCTGAATAATCATTTAAAAGAAGTTTAGAATGATTACTTAAGGCAATAATATCTTCCTTATTCCAAACGGAAACGAATTACAGCTAACAGTGCTGTAAGCGAGATTTCAATATGAGAATTTTAAGATTCAGACTGCTAGCAATGAGTCTGCATTGTTTGCTACATATATACATTTCTATAAAGCTTTTAAGCATAGCAATATCTTGCTAAATCTGGTATAACAGCTGTACTCTAACAGCGATTCTGTGCTCATCAAGCTATTAGATTTTAACTGCAAAGCATGCTAATTGTCCAAATCAATGCGCTATAAACTCAAATCTCTCCCAGCACAATACAATTCCACTACTATATTCAACCTTATACATTCTGATTTGTTTAGGAAGTTCTCAATTCCATTACTCAGCAGTTCTTTCTACTTCATAATCTTTATCAATAATCATACCCATTATAGCTGGATATACTTCCTCAAGTCCAAAGTGCAGACTATTAGAACTACTAAGGATTTTCTTGCAATAGTAGATATACATTTTCATACAAAAGTAAAAGCTATTGCATCTGATAATGGGGATGAATATGTTAATAAGCGGATAATTAAGATTCTCTGCAAACGAAGCGTAGCTTACTAGCGATCCTCCTCTTATTATCATAAGTTCAACAGCTTAGCTGAGCATTTCAACCGAACTATTATCACAGATGCAAGAGCTATACTTTGTAATAATGATTATTTGTTTTTGTAGCTGGAAGCTGTTGCATATGCAGTCTATTTATGCAACCGAAAGCCACACCAAAGTCTCCCATATCAAATCATGCCTTTCAAGCGCCTTCACGAACACAAACCATCCATTGATCACATCCAGCCTTTCCTTCAGCTCTGTTACCTTCATATTCCTGTAAAGGCCAGAAAGCTAGAAACAAAATTGCTGAATAGAGCTGAAAAAGCTTAGTTTGTGGGATTTGACAATCCTGCTGGTAAGGAAAATTCAGTCTGTCAACTCTACATTCCTCTGCACAAAGTTGTCACAACAGCTACCAAGACGCACATCCAATAAGGCTATTATCTATCGCTATCTGTCAAGTGAGCGATGGAGTCTGAGGATATGGAATCTCCAGTACCTGTAAAGCCTCCAAGATTATTATCATTGGGCTCCTCTTCAGCTCTCTCTTCTTCACTTTTCTCTGAGAACTTTTCTAACTCATCAAAACGGATAATGCTTAAACAATCCAGCCCATCCAAAATACTAATATCCAGAGCTTTCCCTATAATAATTCGTTCTAAGCAGCAGATGAAATCTACGGAATAAGCACAGAGACTTACTGCTTACGGATTTAACAAGAAATACGAATCCAATAATGATATTCATGCAATAGCGCTAGCTGCTGTTGAGAATAACAATATTTCTACAACCTATAATCAAGCAATAGCTAATTCGGAGTGCAATTAGTAAACATCTGCAATCGAGAGCAAATTATCTGCTTACTCCGCTAACAGCACATAAACAGAAGTGCCACTATAACTGTTATGACTCATCCAACATGCAGATCACAGAACAGATCACGAGTAACAGGGACCAGGTGTCAAGGATTCAACGTTCTGACAAAGCATTGATTACATAATCCAGGATTAGAGTTATGAACACAGCTAATCAGGAAGGATAGCTTCGGATATGTGCTATCCAGAGCTAGCAGGATAACTTGGATATATTGCTATCCAACATATCCACAATGAAGAGCTGAATATATAAGAACACGTTCATTCCCATTAGATAGATCTCGTATATAGCTCTTCAGTTATTAATCTAAGTATTCAGTTTCATACACTGAGTAGCCTCAAAAGCAGTGAATACTTGCATCGCTTATTAGGATTTGTACAGTTCTGTATTCAAGAACTTGATACTTTGATACTGCCCTTGTTAGCATAAACCTCTTTGTATACTTAGAAATCTTTGGATTGCTGCAGTACTCATTACATTTTGATAACTCTTGTTCAAGAACAGTTCAGTATTATCCCCTTGAGCAATACGGAATACGATAGCTCCTCCAGGAACCTCTTTGTTCTTGCACGCCCCCACTCAGGAAGAACTGGTCAACTAGGTATACCAACTTACCCAGTATATTCAGAATCTGCACGAACAACAGCAGGCCCAGAGCGCTACCATCGCCAACCAGCAGGCCCAGCTAGCTCAACAGGCTCAGCAGGCCTAGCTAGCTCAACAGGCTCAGCAGGCGCAGTCCATCTCTGCAGTTACTAGTGGTACTGGAAAGGCATATAAGATGGATAAGCCTGCTATGTACAACAGCAGCCAGAAGATGCTGCATGAGTTCCTTACCCACTGCAGAGCGTATTTTTTGCATTATGCAACCCAGTTCATCATGGAATCTAAGAAGATTATTCTTGTAGAAACTCGCCTCGAAAAGAATGCTCTCATTTGGTACAAGCCTTCTCTATATAACTACTTGGAGCATCAGAATAATCTTAGCGCACATATTCAGGATACCAAGGATATATTCGATTTCTTTGAGAGCTTCGAGAAAGCTCTCAAAGAAACCTTTGATAATTTCAATGAAGAACGCATTACAGCTCAGCAGCTTATGAATCTCAAGCAGACCAAATCAGCTTCTGCCTATATGGTTAGATTCAAACAGCTCTCAGCAAGACTTCTGTAGGAAGATAAGAATCTTATAGAGCACTATTATAAGGGATTCAAGAACGACGTTAAAGATGAAATCTCTAAGCAGGATTGGCCAGAGAACTTTGCAACATTCTCTAATCAAGCAATCCGCATCAACAACTGTCTGTACGAACGACGGGTGGAGAAATCCAAGAAAGAAGGAAGCCAGACTTGGAGATTTCCAGCTAATACAGGCAAGAAACTTCAAAACAAGAATAGCGGTTGATATGGCAGTACAGCCCAGAGCAGCACTATGCATGCTGATCCTATGAAACTTGATGCAGCCAATAAGCAGTATAGCAAGAAGAACAGTATTACTTGCTACAACTGCAATAAACAAGGATATATTGCATGCAACTGCTATCAGCTCCAGAAGAACAAATGGCAACCAGTCCAGAAAGAACGCTAGATAAATATTGCTCAACAATAGAAATCCAATCAACTAAGCAAAAACACCTCCTCGGAGCAAGTATTGAACTTTATTAATTACGGAAGTCTCAGCTGAACATTCTGCTATAATGATAACTGCTTAATATATCTCTCGAGTAAGGAAGATTCAGAATAGTTCCCTCAGA